ACCCCAAGAAGAGAGTCATTAAAGTCCATTGTCTACAAACATTCTAACAAGCAAATTCTGAAAACATGAAACATTCAGCTTTGGTTAGAATCAACTTCCTATATATAATTAGCCAAAGTATATTTCAAAACACAGTAATTGTCAATATATAGCAAAAGAACTAAAAAAACCTAACAAACAATTTCAAAAATATACTTTGAAAATTCTTGCTCCGGGGGGCGGCCTCGGGCCAATTAAGTTCAAAATCATTTCTGATTGAATGAGTCGCCATAGATAACAATCATGTTCGCAACATAACAAAACAATTATGATAATTCATGGTGAAAGCAAACCAAAACAAAAACCAAAAATCAAAATCCAAAATCAAAATAAATTCAACAAATTTCCCTTCATCTGTTATCTAAATTTAAAATCCTCCATATCCATTAAACAAATTCAAACAGATAAAAACCAAAGTCCAGAATTTTAAAATTTGTAAAGTTGGAGCGGAATCGGATCTTCCAAGGAGAAAAAATTAAAAAAATAACAAAAATTCCAACAATTTATTCAGTTAAAAAACTGCAAAATTGTATAAAACAAGAACATTAGGGTTTAAATAATATTTAGAGAAATTGCGGCGTTTTCTTCAGTATAGCTTTACCTTTCGAAGCAGAGTCAGCAACATGAAATGAACGAGAAACGAAAAGATTTCAGATCTAATGAAGATTAAGAAGAGTTTTAGCAATGGACCGAAGCGATTGCTTTGTTTCGCCCGGATTTTTTTTTTTTTTTTTTTCTTTTACAAAAGCTATTAAATCTGTCCACATAAGCATTTGCTCCTCTAATCTACGATTCGTGGACGAGAAGAGGAAGATCGAGATCCGATCACTTTCCCAATGTAATTGGTCACGTATTCCTGTAGGTTTCTAGAAATTGAACACGTGTCCAGGGACCAACTTGTTAGGAAGTATTTTGAGTACCTGCACGTGGCCAATACTTCGATTTTGACGTGTTTTCGGTTTAATGATTTTTTTTTTTAAATTTTTAACAATAATATTGCGTGCTGTTGCCGTTGGTTACCTGTATTAGTGGCCGGCGGTCTTGTCTTTTTTTCTTTTTTTTTTTTCCTTTTATAATATTTTAATTATGGGTGGGTGAAATTTGTAGGTGGACGTGGCACTCAACCTGTTACGTGAACCTTCTGTTTTTTTAATTTTATTTGGATCGAATTAAATTTTTTCATTAATAAACTTCCGTAAGAAGTGACAATTGGTCCGGTTCAATTTCGATAACCAAATCAAATTGAGAAAATTAATATGAACGAAAAACTAGAATTATTATTTATCAAATTTATTTTAATTCATATCAGTGTCACAATTAACTTTTTAGTTTTTTGAATTTTCTACAATAGAATAGAAGATCCAAAACTAAAATTTTTTACCTAAATATAAAAAGGAGTCAAAGAATTTGAATAACCGGATTGAGAATAACACCAGATCAAATTTGCTTAATTTTTTTGGTTAAACCGCTTGATTTGATTGCTTCACCCTTAATCACTATTCGTATGCACTACTCTTTAATTTTTAAATTGTTTTTAATGACAATTTAAAATTTGTTATTTCAAGAAAAAAAAAGTGAAATATTCGCAGAGTAAATGATTAATTTGGAGTTTTTTTTTAAATAATTGGGAAAAAAAAAGTATCGATCACAGTTAATTTTTAAATCAATTTAATAATCACCCTAATGTGCGACTGTAGTTTTTTTTTTTTTTTTGTTCATTTCAATAATTTTTATCTATTCTAAAAGGAGGTTATTTATTATAAAGGAAAAAAAAAATATATATTATATATAGAAGTATTTATATGTTTTTTTTGTGAAAAAGAAAAGAGTTTTTTTTTTTTTTTTTCATTTCAAATAATTTTATTATTCTAAAAGGAGGTTATTTTATAAAGGGAAAAAAAAAAATATATATATATATATAGAAGTATTTATATGTTCTTTTTGTGAAAAAGAAAAGAATGAATTTGTTCATTAGAAGAAATCATAATAACACTTGGTAGCGAAACTTCTGATGGCAAGGCAGGGCCGGACGCACATAGGCCCAGAGGGGGGCCCTGGCCCCACCCGATAAAAAACCATTTCAATTTTAGTGTTAAAAAATTATTTTAATTTGAACCCTTGTTAATCAAAATTATGGTTTGGTCCCCTAATTCTTTGGGCCGATCCATCCCTGCTCCTGAGATCCAGGGTTATCTATGCTTAGCAAGTTTTAACAGTACACCAACTCTTTGGAAAACTGCCACGGACACTGCACTGACCAGACATGAACATGGTAACTGTTAGCAATAAAGGTTTTTCCCTAATTGAAACAATTCAGATCAGTTCACTGTAATTTCTGAACAAAGAACACTGAAAATAAAAGTGCAAATGCAGGAATTCTATTATCACAGCCTGTTACGGTAATTTAACAAATCTAAAACAGCATAGGAGGATATAATCCAAAATAATAACAGTAGTCTCTCCCTCTCCTATCCTCCTGTTGCATATCCTAATGACTTCAATTGCCAGGAGAATTGGCTCTGCTCTGAAAGTAGCGTTGTTCACTCCAGAAGATCAGTCGCGCTCGCTAATGGCAGTCAGATGTTCATCGATCTCCTCAGTTGGCAACACTCTGAAAACTCGACTGTCTGCTCTCACGACACCCACCTGAGATACACCAAATATTTATAACTTATCGCTCAACCACAGCCAAGCCCAGCAGTCTGTCTCTGCTCTCATAAATAAACAGATCAAAAAGTAGCAAGCTGAAAAATAATCCAAATACATCCTACAGGAATCAAGACAGTGACTAAAAACTGAATGACATGTTTGTGGAAACTAATAACTAGTAATACTAGAGTTCAATGAGAAGCTATGGATGGAGAAAAAGAGGAGTCGGGGAGTGGGGGTCTTAGAATTCATCAGTTAACTTTGCTGGAGAACACAGCTACTAGCATTTATTTCATTTTCAGTCATTTTGATCACATCATCACTAACTACTGAAGACGAAAAGGTTAACATTAATACCTCAATCTCAGTAGCCTTGAAGTCCTCTTGCAGAATAGATTGCAGAGCAGAAATGGCAGTCTGCATGACAGTAACAACTGTACTATTAGGACCTCTAAATATAGAATATCAGCTTTGAAACAGGTAGAAAACTTATCAAATCATCAAAATGAGATTTTCCCTAATCAATCTAATAAAACCAGAAACTAATAATCCTTTTCCGATAGAACATAAGCTATTTCTATGCACGAATAATCAAGCTGCCTAGGAAATTAGATAATTCATGATGTTAATCTGACAATATCCCTAAAATTTTGTACTGAGTTGAACTCAGACTTACTGAACTACGCTAGTTAATCTCCACTGCAACCTCAGAACAGAGAAAATGCAAGAACTTGAAAAGTTAATGTCAAATATTTATGCAAGTTAAACCCTCTGTCTCCAATTCAATGTTTGATGGGCAAAAAGTAAACATATAAAGAATGAGAGAGAGAAAACCTCACATGCAAGCTAATTTCCCCCTTTCTTCTTTTCTAAAATTTGCCATAAAAATTTAAATGAATATGCCTTTTAGCAACTTCCATTTCAAGAAACCAAAAAAAAAAGAAAAAGACACAAGTACCTGCACAGTTTCCTCATAGGAGAAAGCAGGGTCATTTTTCATTTTCTTTTCCAAGAAATTGATAGCCTCTTGTTCTTTCAATCCAGCACTTGTGGCCTGCAACATATATTAAATTCAAAACCATGATCCTTGAGCACAAAATGCCTTGAAGTTTTCACACAAATCAAAGTCAAAATAAACTATCAAGGAGGAATCAATTAATTCAGTCTTACAAAAGAAGCATACTGAAGTGTGATATATAATGTTTTAAATGCTTAATACAAAAAAATATAGCATAATGCTTTGAGATGAAAATTAGTGCGCGTTAGAGATTTTTCCTCAAGACCTTAGCTTATTTTTTCAAAATGGCAGTTAGCCTTTTACAAACATGTTTCCTTTTATTACATCAGAATTCCCAACAGCATGATTTAAAATATCCAAGAATGTAGAAGCTCCTACAGCAAGATTGCTATCAATTTATACTCATCATTACCAGATGTTTCAGATTGTTTTTGGGCGGGCTCCAAAAGCACCAATGACAATAAAATCAGTGGTTAAAATCAACTGATCTACTTCAAACCCGCCAAAAATTGCTAGCTTTATAATGATGATCACAAATGTCATACTTGCATATGCATACCTTGCCATTCAGACACAATATACATAGCATAAACATCATTAATTAATTAATGCACTTTGGTGAAAGGATCAGTGTTCCACCTACCTTGTGACCAAAGAAGTGGCCAGCTGGATCACACTTGTAGAGTTGAGGCCCATTCTCTTCATCAATACCTAAGACCATAGCAACTTCAAAGAAAATACATGAAAGATGTTAGAATAAGTAGAAGCAAAACAATTAGTAACAATTAATGGTTATTCATGGTCAAGCATGCATATATTCATGCATCTGAGCATAACTACATATGATTAAACTTGTGTTGTACATGCATGAATTCAAACATGTTATGAACAACAAGGGATAGAAGCCACATAAGCATTAATGCACATAGGTGAGAGAAAAGGGATAGAAGAATTAAAGACTAGCTACATACCTACTCCAAGGGGTCTCATGTAAGCATGCTGAGTGTAAACCTGCGATTTGTCTGCAATCCTATAGATGAACCAAGCATATAGTTTGAGTTCAATATGATAATTAGTTACCATAAACTAAAGGGAAAAAAATCTATCCAAATGATCACAGACGAATAGCTGAGATTGAAAACAATTATAAGAATGCCAGAGAAATATGCATTAGAGAAACTATTTTAAGTCCCATCAAGGAGCCACTGTCTTATGCCACAAACTGAGGATATATCCACAATGAATGAGAATGTTTTAAAAATAGCCAAGGCTCAGTTTTCTCAATTGGGCAGCAAGCATTCAAATACAAGCTTAACTTAAGAGTGGAAACGAATACAATTTAGAAAAAATCGCCACATATTGAATAGTTGCAGCAAGGAACATGGTTAGATAGTACAAGTTCCACTATTGCATATATTGACAGAGAAATCCAATACCATTTGGCCAATACATCTACAGGCATTTCATATCCATATCTGAAACGAAACTCAGCTGCCTCATTCCGTGCTTGCTGGACCAAAGTTCTTGCATCAGCTGAAGAATGACATTAAAAAATCAACTTTCATGCGTGTAATCCATAAAAATCAATCAAAACAAGAGTCTAAACTAATGACTGCTCCAATAATTTGCAAAACCAAATTGGGAAGCAAAGAAAAGTTCACATCTTGAAGAAAAACCATATGCTACATGGCAGTTCAATCCACAGACAATAAAGAATTACCCAACTAAGGTTGATCCCTTATTGCATCAAAACACAACAAAAAAATTCAAGAGTGACATAAGCTGACCTGTCATCCCAGTAGCCAACAATCCAAGGTACTTGGTAATAGGAAAAAGGTTAGTGACACTAGTCTGATCCAAAAGCTTGTCCTGCTCATATTCAAACCAATTAATTACCCAATGGAGCAAAACCCAGAATTCCCAGATCAAATAAAGAAACGAAACTCACTTACCGGAACCTTCTTCTGTGTGACAACACAGACAGAGTCCTTTCCACGAACTCCGATCGAAGTAATGGCAGCTGCCTTTACCGCCTTAAACGCATATTCTGCAAAAATTCAGTCAGAAAAAAGAAGGAACCAATAATTATAAGTGACGTTGTGAGAAAATTTTAATTACATACCGACTTGGAAGAGGCGACCTTCGGGGGAGAAGATTGTGATATGACGATCGTAACCACCTCCACTTCCTCTACTCATTCTTTGTTTGTTTGTTCTCTTTGCTACCTAGATTATTATTATGATGACTGCGAATAAGGAATTGCTTCAACTGCAACTCGAATTGATTTTCAGGACAAAACTGACTCCCTGAACAAGAAAACTTAAATACTACTTTGTCCAAAATACCCTCCAAATCTTTAAGTTTGCATTAGAAAATAGGGTCGTTTAATAATAATAATAAATAATATTTTTGATTTTAATCAAATATTTCATTATTTTTTAATTATATTTGATTTAAAGTAAAAGTTTTATTTTGGTAAAATTTGTTTTTTTTTTTTTAAGAGAATGGACTCTGTGTGTGCAAATTCACGGGATGAAATTGTACAAAAAGTTAATTTTCAGATAAATTTTACATTATTTTCAAGTTAGGGACTAATTCTTAATCTTTATATTAACGGGTTATCGATATTGAAAAAACGGGTCAGCGTAGTAAAATCTGGGTGACGATCAGAGACAGAGAAAGCAACAGTATACAATCATGGAGGAAATAGAAGCAGCGAGGAATAGATGCCAAAGAGTCATAGAAAACGTACAGCGATTACCTAGGCGCACCACCATCTCCGACTCATGCTGCCGCACTCTCCTTAAATTAGCCTTCTCTGAGCTCCATTTCCTCTCTCGATTTCATCCTCCTCCTTCACTACCACTCAGGTACCCGAAAAAGAAAAAACTTCAAATTCTTTGCAATAATCAATACTTATGATTATAATTTTTGCAGTGTCAACATTGGCCATTTAGAAGCTGTGGTTCACCTTCTCGAGCAGCCATTTGTCACAGCAGTTTCTCGCGTTTGCAAGCCAATTCCTATCAAAACGAATACGAAAAATGTCCATGTTGATATAGTTTGTATTGTCAATAAAAACCCGGTTTGGATAATTGTATCTGATAGGAACCCAGTTTATCTTTCTTGGAATGGATGCATAAAATCGAGAATTGAACGAATCTTGGCTACGGCTCGTTCTTCCAAGATAATGAAACCTTCGTCGATTCTTCTTTTTTTCTCTCGTGGACTTCCTGATTTTGTCTTTGAGAAGATAAAGAATGAATTTGGGGCATTTCAGGTTAGATTGGAGTTTGATTTCCACTGCGAGGAACTGGAAGGTGACTGGATAAATGTGCTTCAAAGACCATATCAGGATTCAATTTTCCTTGAAATAAAGGTTGAAGATAGGTCTATTCGAGAATCAGTTGTTGATGCTGATTCTGTTGATTCTGTTGGGCCGGTGGTGGAAGAAGGGGATGCCAAATCAAACTTGGAGGATAATTCTACCTTTTGCTGTCTTATTTCAGGAATGAAAAGTGATGGTGATGTTATAAATTTTGACACCACAGCGCTAATTGCTCTTGTTTCAGGCATTAGTAATGGTTGTACGGATAAACTTTTGGCAACTCCAGAGATTCAGTTGAGGCAGCGGTTTAAGGGTAATTTTGAGTTTGTGATTGCACAGGTAAATTTTTATACCTGAGTTTGTATTTATTTCTATTCAGAACCATAAGATATTCGGAATATTTATGCATACATTTTTTAGCATAAATTATTGTCTTCTTTTTATGTATTGTACTGGAAATTTACTACCTTTTGTCCAAAGCGTTTCAATGATGAGTCTATAAGCAAAAATAGATAGCGGGTAATTTGCATTTATAGTCACTAAATTTAGGCCTTAATTTCATTGCAATCACCAGAAATCAATTTGTTGTTTGCATTAAGGTCAATTAATTTTCAGTTCCAAGAAGGTCACAAAATGAAGCACAATGTGATCACTAAGGTGTGCACTATAATGATGCAGCTATTTGCTTATTACTTGATATTGTATAATAACTTCTGTCTGTGTTTGGGAATTTCTGAAGTTTAGTTGGCCCTTCCAATGGACCAATCCCCACCCCCCACCCCCCCCAAAAAAAAAAAGATGTTATTGCATATTAACATCCAAGTTCAGTTTTGAATGAATCATTTCTCAACCTCCTGCCAGGTCTTGTCTGAAATCAAGAACCCAATACATGCAGAATTGGCTGGTGTAATATGTGGAAAGAAGGGAATAATATGTGAAAGTGTTCTTGCAGAGTTCAAAGAACTGATCTTGTTGTGTGGAGGGCCTAAAGAGAAGCTAAGGGCTGATAAAATACTGAAACACCTCATGTAAGTTATTAGCAGGTTATTCTTTCATTAAACTACTAAATCTGATATAATACAGCTCAAGATTAAATTGATATAGACAATTACAAAAAGTTATGGATTAATTTGGTGATTAGCTATCGTTTACAATGATGAAGATCTGTTTATTTTGATATGACAAGGTAAACACGCTTAACAGTAAGGTCCTTTGGATTGTTGCAAAGGTTTCCATCTTTACCAGGACTTTGAGTGAAGAAGGGGTTGATGCTGTTGTAGTGGCTACCAACTAGAAAGCACATGACCTGCATCCCAACCGCAACACTCCTTTAATATGATTATTATGAGTGCTCTGTCTAAGAAATTATTGACGTCACTTATTCATATTGTACTTATAAACACTAGTTAGACTTATTATGCCACTGTTGTTAATGTTATGTTACTATTGAATATTGAGAAATATTAATCAGGCTACATGTTAATGTTACCACTAGTAAGCACATGGAAAAAAATCATGTGATGTTTGAGAGAAGGAGATACCAGAACTTAAAACTAGTTGAAAGGGTCTTGGCTGATTCCAACTCCCAATATTGAATATACTAATTAAGGTTCAGAGACTGTAAAACAAGTCTATTGGTTCAGACCTGGGCTGAGGGCAGGCAGCATTTTCTATTTTATATTCTGAATATCGTTTCACATTTCATTTTTAGTTCTATCAATTGATAATCTGTGTATTAATACTGAGAAATTGGACAGGTTTGTGCCTGATAGTCCTTCAGAACGCATGATGTGCCTCCCAACAACTAGAAAGCTGGCTTTGAAAAACAAGGTGGTTTTTGGGACTGGTGATAATTGGCATGCTCCAACTTTAACAGCAAACACGGCATTTTTGAGAGCAGTTTCACAGACTGGGATGTCCCTGTTAACCATTGAGCATAGACCAAGGGCTTTAACAGGTGACTAGCAGAGTAGAGCGTAATTCTGGGGGTAATTGCTGAAAAACTAATGATATCTATATCCATGACAAATTACGAAATCCCCTTTTATCTTTTCTTCAACCAGTTGCTGCACATAAATAGGCACTTTGACAAATCAAAAATTTTAATGATGTGCAATAGTTTCTTAAATTAATCAAATGGAGTGCTTTTTGACATAACTAGAACTTGTTCAAGAACTACATGTTAGTGGAAGAATGGTTTAACTTTACTAAATTGTAAATATCAGAATAAATTCACAAAACAATTTTGCTGTCATTTACTGCTAAGTAGAGGCATCGATTCATTGAAACGCTAGAAAGGAACTTTAGTATCCCATCTTCTAGGACTCTACATATTTGTTGAGGAGGAAACTATCAAATGCTTTTACTTATACTGAAATATGTGGTCTACATACTTAATTTGTTACAGAGAGGAAGCATAATGAAGAGCTATTAGTATTGTATTGTGTGTTTTCTTCCAAATCTATGTGGGTTCCTTTTGTGGGGATTTACAAATTATGTTCCCGCCTTTTTGTTTGCTTTTTAGTTTCTATTTTGTTCAAATTCCTTGCACATAGATGAATTTTAAAAGTTAATTTAATTATTAATATATGATAGTACTAATAATTTTAATGTTTTAAACACTTAATCTTCCACTCATATAACTTAAAAATAATCATTACAAAAAATTCCAGCGAAAATTATTTTTATGAATATCAATGTTTTCTTCGACTTAAATTTCTATTTGAGATCAACTTTTTTTTTCTAAAAATATTGGTAGTGTGTATGCATGTATGTACTTATGTTGTGTGCGTGAATTATTTAGCTTCGAATACTATAAATTAAAATTAATCAAATAAAATAAAATCTCCTCAATGTTACAAGAAATGAATCAAACAAGAAAAAAAACAGCAATGAAATAGAAAAAGAAAAAAAAAATCAGAGTTTCAATCTAAACTTGCAATTACTAGCTTTAATGCTAATGATATTGTTGGTAGTTAAGCTATCCACAACCAAGTTACAATCTCCCAAGATCCTCACCTTCCTCAGCTTCAGTCTCCCAAATTTCACAGCAACTGGTGCGTCCACCTTAAGGTCCAACGGAATTTGTCCTGTTTGTTGTTGTTCTTGTAATGCTTGCATTAAAGTGCTTCCATACTGTGTTTGTCCACTTAAGCTAACATCTAGCTTTGTTACGTTCCTATGACCTTGATAGAACTTTGGTATTGAACCTGCACAGAGACGTGTCTCTCCATACCATACACTCAAATGTCCTCCCTTCTCATAGTAAATACCTATTTTCTTGTTTGGATTATTGGCTGTGATCTTGACATCAAATTTCGCATAAAGACTCGCGTCAAAATTGAGCCTTAGATCACTTATTCTCAAGCTATAGACAGAATATTTGGGAATTTTGGGTTGGAAGATAAGGTAGAGAATGCCAGCAATGGCGCCGATGAGAATTAGTACAAAGAAGATAATACCTATTGTCCAGCATATGCACTTGCAGCAACAGCTTTTTCTCGTCTTCTGCGGTTCTGGGTAAATTGTTGCTGGAATATCATTATTATTACATAATGGTGGTGGTGGAAGAGGACGAAGAGGAGGAGGAGTGGTGGCTTTGTCTGACATTGTTGAACCTGGAGGCACCAACGGTGATGTTGGTGGCGGTGCTTCCACATCTGCCACCATAGGGTGAATTTTCTGGCTATCTGTCATGACTTGCAACTTGTGTTTCTGCATTGATAACTGGAAGTAAGAGAGAAAGAGGGTTGTTAACGTATTGTTGCTGTTGTATATGTATGTAATGTATATGGAGCTCAATTTCTTGTATGACTTTTATTCTTTAGAGATTTGCTTTTGTGTGTGAAAGTTGTACTTTCTACACCTAACAATGCCATAGATATGGAGGTAGTTTAGCAACATATTGGAAGCACTATTTCCAATTTCAGGACCAGTATAATGTTTATAATATATATTGGGGTAGTTCAGCTAAATAAGGCATAACTTCCAATTTCACCACGAGCTTTTCGAATAGTTGCAATTTCACTCTAAATCGACCTTCGGTACTCTAAACTTATCAATATGGAGGCACTCTAAAAGTGAATTGCAACATCCTGAACTTTTCAATTTGTTGCAATTACATCCTAAAAATAAACTAAAGTCATAATTTTGATTAAAATAATGTAAAAATATGAAATCTGTATCCAAGTATTTAAACAATAAATACTAAAATGAAACCCATGTGTTCATATAATAAATAAATAAAATCAAGATTGAATTTTTGATTTTAAAATTGAATCAATTTTAAAGTGCAAAATAATGAATTGGCTATTAATTCAAATTAGAGTGTAACTGCAATGAAATTGATAAGCTCAGGGTGTATAAGTACAAAGTCGATTTAAAGTGAAATTGCAACCATTTAAAAAGTTCAGAGTAAAATTGAAGATTAAGTTGTTATATATCTCTCTACAAAATCTTTATATATTGTTTCATCATTATTATTTGAAAAATACCGTAAAGTCTTCAATGTTTGATCATGTTGAATTATTTAATCATTCTATTATTTTTGCCCTAGATGAAAGACTAAATAGTAATTCAATAATAAATGTAATGAATAAATTGTGATATACTAAAATGAATAATAGACATAGTCAAACATTATAGTTATTTAATGGCAAATCTAGCACTTTTATATAAATGGATTAGGTAGTTGAACAAAGTCAAACCTCAAGGACTTCATAGTAATTTCTCTGAATAGTAATAATGAAATAGTAATTTAAGTTAAACCTTAGGGGCTTTATAATAATTTGTCATAAATAGTATAATAGGGATAAAAACAAAAGCTTGAAATTGCAAATTAAATTTTATTTGAATGGAGAAAGACAAATTATCTCCTATAATTATAAAATAATATGATATACTAATCCATATTTATTATAGATAATAACAATATTACTCTAAAAAATAAATGTATTTACGTGTAATTGAATTGAGGGATAAAAAAGTAATTGCGAAAAAAGAAAAACAATATACCTGTTTGAAGTTCAAAAAAATGCCAATCAAAAGAAAAAGGAAAAGAAATAAATTAACCTTTTTGGTATGAAGTTATATTTTTCCCAAAAAAATAAAGTTAAAAAAATGCGGAATCCCTTCCTCTTTTTCCTTTTGCATATTTGATTCGTTTAATCAAATAAAGTAATTCTGAATTAGCTTCTCTCAATTCTACTGCTTTCAATTTTTCCTAATCATATTAGTAATTAGGGTTTCTTTGATTCCCTACTGTTGTTCAGGCAGAACAATGGCTACTGAAGAAGAGTCAATCGAACAAGCTGCGGTTGCACGTCGAGAGAGACTCAAAGCTCTCAAAGCTGCCCAGGAACTACTGAGTACTCCTGATGATGATAAGACAAATAATGAAAATGAAACTTCCGCCGACAAGTTAGTACTACTACTTCTTCTTCTTCTTCCTTTTTAAGCTATTTAAGCTATTTTTTCGTTTGATTGGCGTGGTTTTTGTATGCTAACAACTATGATAGTATTTGTTTATCCATAATATATTCAGTGTAATGGTTAGTCTGATATGTTTGGCATATCTTCTGGTTAAATTGTTGCAATCCTTCAATCCAAGAGTCCGGAAATGTTTTTGTGTGCCGCGTTGTTTATCATTTGATTTTGCCTCGAATTAGATATCCTGGTTTCAAATTAACTATAACTTGCGAAAGGATAAAGAACAGTTTTTGTCAAAGCGTGACAGTTGATCCTTTGAGGGCCAAAAGTATTGTTTGCCATCAATTTTCACTACCATGGTCTGAATGTCTTCAATGGCTTTTGCAGTCATGGTAATTGGTGTTTTGGGACAAACATTTGCGGCCCTGGTTGTCATTATTGTTTTTTTTTTTTTTTTCCGAAGGTGCATGTTTCAAGTCTTTGTGTGATTGTTGTTATTATGTAATAGGCTACAGCTGATACTTTTGAGTTATTTGCATCTGAAATGGGGCATGCTGATAATAACGGCCTATTATATTATATGTGCTCTTTTAGTTTGTAATTTTAATACCCCCTTTCATTCTATGCTTGGTACTTGTGGCTATAAGAGGAGTTATGCATAAGAACAAAGGCATATGGTGCTTTCTAGCCAAAAGGAGGTATTTGATCGTGGGTAAGTTTTGTTGAAGAAGAAAAAATTTGAAATGACAGAAAAAGCACTTGATACAATTCCTATAACAATGGCAAAGTGTCTTCCACATTAGAGGACCGTGGACTGTACAAAAAGCCTAATTGTTGGTTACTTCTCCTTTCTTATGTTTTTAAGGGTCCATATCAGCAGTACGATTGTGAAATTGGACAGACCAATTAGCACCAGAAAAACCTATATGTTTGGGACGCTATGCACATATATCAGCACTTTAGTTACTCATTGGCTACTTTTCTCTCCATTTCTTTTAGTAAAAGGATTTCCAGAAGGATCTTTCGTACAGTTTTGGAAGACTAGGAATTGTAGGACATCCTAGATATTTCAAAGAGAAAGAGAGAGGCAGAGACATGGGACTTATGGTTCAATTCTTAAACCCCTCTGGTACTTAAATGTGTAGTCAATAAGATAAGTTAATTGCTGTGTTACTGAAGAATTGGGGGGTACAGGAAACTAAACATTCATCTGCATGCTCAATTGCTTGACTTTTCCCCTCTTATTTTTGTGCAAGGTTTGCTAGAAATATTTTTGTAGGACGCTGAGAAGGAATGTAAATCACCGGCATATTATAAACTTTAATTGCATTCTTTGTGGAAGTAGATGGTGCATTCATGCTTGGAATTTGGATCTATTTATTTTTAGTCATGCTGATCGCTTTTGTTCATGGTAGGTTTGCTTATTGTCTTTTAAACTTTCTCCCTTTCTTCTTTTGCAAGGGTTAGTGCCAAGATCTTTAACACAATCGACCGAGACTAGAAATCATTGGGAAGAAAGTAGAAATCACTGGCATATAATCATACTTAAATTGTTTTTGTTTGTAGAAATACATATCATGTATAATGTGTTTGGATCTATTCCTATTCACACATTCTTCCATTACTTTTCTTCATGGAAATGCATGCAGGAAATGTGTATTATGCACAAAATGTTTTTACAGAGTCGTGTTTGGCATGTATGCAAAGAGAGAATAGCTGTCACAAGTTGTACCTTAGTGCACTTTTGCTTGTGGAAATCTGAAACATGCCTGATTTTTATTTTTTTTCTTTTGGAACTATTTATGTTTGTTTTGGACTTTGTATGTGTTGTTCACTTTATGCTGTCTGCACTAACATATACAACTTTATGTTTTTCCTATTCATTCTCTAGTAATCCCAGCATGAAGTTTCGAAATTATGTTCCTCAAGCCAAGGAGCTTCAGGAGGCTAAGCTTGCTCCACCAGTGCTACCAAAGTTTGAAGATCCTGTTGCAGCAGCACCTCCACCGTCAGAGACAAAAGAGGTGCTTGATTTAAATGCCATATTTTATTAGCAGTAGCTCATATCTGTACTCTCTCTCTCTCTCTCTCTCTCTCTCTCTTCTCTCCTCTCTCTAGTATATATATATATAATATATATATATATTACCTTTATTTTGGTGGATATATTTTTGTATTCTTAAATTTGGATTTTTTTATTTGCAGGATCCCAGTTCTCAACATATATTACCTTTTATTTTTTGGTGATTATATTTTTGTATTCTAAATTTGGATTTTTTTATTCAGGATCCATTTCTCAACATTGCTCCGAAGAAACCAAATTGGGACCTTCGAAGGGATGTGCAGAAGAAGCTTGATAAGCTAGAAAAACGCACACAGAAGGCAATTTATAAACTAATGGGTAAGTAATTGTGAAGTTGAATTCTAAAATTTCTGTTTCATCGGCTATAATGATCACAGTCAAATGCCCTTTCATTTATCAAAAATTTCTACTGCTACCCTTTAGACACATTCAACTATTTTTGACCCCATGGCATTTGCTTCTAAGCCTAATTCATGAGCAGGCCCCTGAACAATTGGCAAATTTACAACAAAAGCCAATGTTTCTCCCAATTTGGTTTTCAGCTATAATATTTCGTCGATCCAGTCAAATTTTGCTTACATGACAAATTAATCAGTTTGTTCTCCAACTCATTGATGATATCATCATTAACATCCGCCATGTATCAATACGTTAATGAAATTTATGCGTGTGATGTGTGTTCTTTTATTTGTCTGTCCCTCCCTTTCCTTTTCTACTATTTGTGCTGTTTCTGAATCATGACTCATTTAGGGACCAAGAACAAGTTGTTTGTGGATGTATCTTTTCATTTTTTAGACAGAATTTAGCAGCTATAGATCTTCTCAGAGATGTACCCTAAACTGGTGAAATGGGAGGAAAATTCCCATACCTCCAAGCTCAATTATTTTGATATGAAAACATAGATGACAACCTGAATTTTCTAGAGCACTATCCTGGTATTTTTTATCAAAACCTAGCATATGAAATTCATTGCCTGTTTAACAAGTTCTGTGATGCAGATTAATCTTCTGATTTGGTCACATGTTTTGTCATTTTGCAGAGGAACAAGAAAAGCAAAAACAGCTTGACGAAGATGGCGGAACAGCTATGGAAGATCAGTGATAAATTTTATCGCCTATTAAGGACAGTATTATAGTTCATTGGCTGAGCCAAATGTTACAACTTAGTGATAGAATCTTTTTTTTTTGTTTCTCAATCCAAGCAGTGTAATGTGCTGTAGCCTGTCTATTTGATCGAGGCAAAATTTCTACAGAGCTCTACCATTGTATTAAGATACCTGAAGTTTGAAATCTAAAGCTGAAGCAACTGAAAACCGAACCAGCAGGTTAAAACAAATTCAAATCCAAAGAATATTGAACTGAAATACCCTAATTTTTTAATTTTTTTTTTAAACAAATAGAAAATAAGACTTCAGAGAGACCTAGTCAATGCTGATTTATTTAATTTAATTACTATTGTTTTTAAATAGGCTTATCTTGGGGAACAATTCTTTTAGGTATATGATCATCTAAATGACTGAATGGTAAAATCAGTGGTTGTTGGATTGTATTTGACATTTTCTTAATGGCTAGTTGATTGCATTGTATCACCACAAAAGGAATATAGCCAATACTTATCAGTGTCTCTTAAGAAAATTGTCTAAATTATTGAGTGAATTGATTATATTACTTTTAACTAATTATTTAAGTGAAAATTATTCAATAACTATTAGTTATATACAAATGGTAAAAATGAAAAAAATAATATATTATTTGATAAATATAGTTTTTTTTTTAGTAAGTAAAGCGTAATTACTATAAAAAAATTAATAATTATTAAATGAAAAATATTTTTATTTTAGCATGAGCATATGTAGAGAGACATAATCTGCTTTTATTGCTATGTTGAAATTTTACACCCAAGGAAAACCATTCCTTTTCATGCTTACAACAGGAACTTGTACAAAGCTCTTATCACAGGGGAAGATACAAATCATTTAGGTAAGGAAAAGAAAAGAAAATATATTAGGGAAGGCAAAAAAAGAAAAATTGATGGGCTGAAGCGGACCTTTGGTACACACAATTGAAGAATGATGCACTTGTTTGAAGTACCATTCCATTCCAAGTTTGAGATAGCTCTTGTATACTGTTTCTTTCTAAAAATATTGCAGATGGCCTATCTTTGAATGAAACTGGCTTTACCCTCCTCTATTCACATTCTCTTCATTCCATGAGGAATCCACCACAGGAAGCTGATATTCGTCGGGTTTCAAGGACAAAGCGAAATCAGGCAAAGTTGGCGCTGTCTCCATAATTCTACATCCAATGTTACCGAAACCCGAATTAGATGATAATATCATTACTGAATTCATTAACAAAGAAAATTTGGAGAAAGAATAAACGAAAAAGAAAATACAGCAAATTCAGCTCTAAAAGCATCACTTACTTTTCATAAGAGTATAGATCGCGGTTTATTCGGACCTTGCTAGAAGCATCTTTCGGAATTTTCTCTGAGAGATATTTCACAGTTCCCCAAAGCGGAGGATTTCTGCACCAACAGAGATGGTATTTAGAAAGGAACATAAAAACTGACATGCTCTAAGAATTTGTCAGAAAACATCCAATAGTGAGTTCAGCAGAAACAGTCCCCTAATTGTCGAAAACCAAAGGGGCATAAAAGTTTGGAAACCAACATGAAACATTCAATACATTGAAATTGCAAGTTCAAATAAATGGATGGTCATAGCTTTCTCTCACTACAAAATACAAATCCGATTATGACTACTAGGTAACAGTTCACCATGTCAAGGAAGACACACAGCTAAAGCATGTAAATCAGGGTGTGGAGAAATAAAGAAAGCTTATATTGAAATTTATGAACAAATTCTCTTCTACAGAATAAAAAATGACCATTACAGCTTCATCATATGGAAAAAATAATAGCAATAAAGTTTTCACGAGGATCCTTAACAGCAGTGGCTTCAGTAGATTACCTCGACGTAGGAGAAGCTGCATTAAATGTCTCACATGCCCTCCTACTCTCCTTAAAATATTCATCTGCAGCTTGCAAAGCAGCTACAGCCATCCCATGAGATTTCTCTGTGTTGCCCTCATCGAGGATCAAGCCATGATAATAATATGCTGCAGCCTGGTTGAGTCAACAAAAAAAAAAAAAAAGTTAAAAGAAAAGAAAAATTCTTTGCTCGAATCACTTGGATGGGGAAATGCCAAGAACAAGGAATTAAAACTCGAGTTTAGATACATCATACCATTTTAAGCCTTTTGATTGAACAACTGGCACATTAATAAAAATATTGCTTCTAACTACTTGAAACACAACAGATACTTGGACACAGCTTAAAATCTAACACTGTTTTCAGGTCATGGGTACCAGTTGATTCTTCCAGAATCGATTTAGATGATATATCAAAACCGGATAGCTGCAATCTCTCAAGCATTTGCTACATATTACTTTCCCGACAACAAAATCAAAGAATTAATTTTTATATTTTTGTATAACAGCTTCAGCTATAAAATAATGTTTTCATCAAATTCTTACTCCCTAAGCTTTATGTCTAGGATCAGTCAATTTAGTCAGATATTTTATGTGACAACTAAACAAGGTAACCTTACGATCTCTTTTTAATCATGTAGCTATATTAGACTAATTTACTCACAAAGCTATAGGAAGCACCATCTCTCAGTCTTGGGACAAGATATTTCACAGACGTTACATAATTAGACTAAGATAGGCATGAAAGAAATTATAGCAAACCTTTGCTTCCACATATTTCCATTTCACAAAGAGTCTGTGCTTTTCTCCCCAACCATTTGATAATGGAAGATTCATTATATTATCTTGGGCCTGTCAAAAATATGACAAACAGAAATTCATCTTTCAGGATCACCAATTGAAATGCAATTTTATGATACATAAATTCATTAGCAACAGAAATAAAAGCCTTAACAGGTCTTCACTCAAAATAAATGCCATCGTACAAAAACAAGGAATAGTTGTTGCACAAAGCTATAAAAGTTGGCAAACCTAGCAACTAAGTGAAGCATAAATAAATAAATAAATAATAATAGATAAGGTAACAATCTTAAGGAAATATATGAAAAAAAATTTGAAGCTAAAGGGAACTCCCAATAAAGAAAGATATCCGATTTCACAAACCAAGGTGGTTTTAATTCCTAAGGTTCTGCGAAATTATTGCAGGTGAGCAAAAAGCTTAAGCAAGTCATTAGAAAGTTAAAATACACTTACTCAAAAGTGAAAATTAGCAATATTCTGCATATAAATGCCTGAAAGTAGGCAAAGCAGTATTCTCCCAAATGTGTTGCTTTTGTCCCTATGTAATTGGTAAACCAGGATTCTATGACACATACTATATAAGCGAAATCCTATTGAATAAGCAGGGGTATTAAAATAATAGTAAAATCTTGCACCCCTAGAAAAGAATCCTGCTAGATATAATTACATTTGAACGCTGAGGACTTTAGTTTCAATAATGATAAATTTCCATAAGCCTTTATTATTTAAGGAATGATTATACACGAGTGATAATCCCACAACAAGCCAAACCAAATGAAGGGAGGAAATAAACCAACAATAGAAACATGATAAATTTAATAGAAAACTGCTGTTTCTACATGTTATTAAAACTTTGAACTTTGAAGGATATGCTTGAATAGTCAGACTCAACAAAAATGATGAACAATTTTCATACCTGCTGCCAATACTTTACCATTTCACATGCAAGCCTCCGCTTCACTGCAAGTGTGGCTTTGGCACTATCAATCGCCATTCCAAGTTGGATATCGACAACCTTCATCAGACAGGAAACAGTAAAAATGTCATTAGACAGTGGGAAAGTTAGAAAATAGAACCAGATAAGATATATGAATAAAAAGAGTGCCTACAAATTGTTAATCAACAAAACAAATTCTACTTCATTTTTGAGGAAGTAGGGAGCCAGTGCCTCTATTGTAAATAACTTCATAGCAAAATAGAGGAAGTTTCTGTTCATAAAAGATCATTGCTCTCTTGAAAGAAAATCAAGAATATACAAGGATGTATGAACAGTTTGACCACTAAAACCCAGAGTTCCTGGCAGAAATAATAAGTAAAACTACATAAAAATAAAATAAAATAAAATAAAAGAAAAGAGGTGGTAACACCTGTAGCTAATCGCACAATCAAGAGAACATATATGCAATAAAATGACCCATGCACCATAGTCTTTTCGGCATGGTTTTGAATAACAATATTGGTAATTACTCAAATTCATAGTTCCGTGTATATTTGATCAAATATACATTACAATGCTCTTTATGTCTAAAACAACGTTTATTGGAAAGAAATTATGATTTTCTAGACAGTTGACAATTCCCATAGGTTCTCTTGAATTTGATCAAAATATACATTACCATGCTCTTATGTCCTAAACAACGTTTATTGGAAAAGAAATTTATTGATTTTCTAGACAGTTGACAATTCCCATAGCGTTTTCTTGTTTTTTTTTTCTTCTCCTCCACGGGCTTATGTATCAGATACCAGGAGCAAATCTTGCATAACAATAGAGTTTGTTGGAGAGGCCGACTAATTCAAAGCGAGGATGTAACAAAGATAAGGTTGCACAATGTAATATTCTTTTTTACTTTCTAATATAAATACAAGTGTAGGTTGAAAGATAGGGCCTACCTGTACCTTTCTCTCCTCTCTCTCTTCCTCTTCCCCCCCCCCCCCCCCCTTTTTCTTTTTCTCTCAGAGTAACTAATAGAGCTGTGCTGAGAAGTGACTAAGTAATTGAGATAGCTAACATGATAAGGGGGCAACTATGTTTATTAAATTTATTTATTTTAATTTTTGTTAATTTTATTTTTTAATTTTATAATTTATAATTTAAATAATTCTTTTACTTTTCCTATATCAATACAGGAGGCTGATGATAAGGATCACCCCTGTAGCCCAATCTAATATCTCTTCTCTTCTAGGTTTTACATGTTACTAAAAGCTCAGAGTGCCCCAAACAGGCCTTCATCTTTCTTTTACTTTCTAATATAAATACAAGTGGAGGCTGAATGATAGGATTCACCTGTAGCCCATCTAATATCTCTCTCTTCTAGGTTTTGACATGTTATAAAAGCTCAAGTGCCCCAACAGGCCTCATCTTAGGTCCTGTATTTTTACTGACGATGTTGGCCAACTCAACCCAAGACTAATGATGATAAGCTAATTTGTTCTATATGCAGGCAAGTATCAATCAACCTGATGCTATTGGACTAGCTAGGTTGCACTTGAGAGGAAGTGTTGGAAAAAGAATCCACATTGAAAAAATTACCAGATAACACCAGCCAATTGGTTTTGACATTGAGTTGCATTTGCCATTTAAGAAGCTCACACCGTTCCTAGCTCATAAAATTTAATATGCATGCACCTTATCCAGCGCGAGTGTTAGTAGGTGGCCAAAATACCTTCAGATTTGTGTTTCGTCTTTGAGATTTGTTCTTAAGCAGGATATCTAATCCTTCAAGTTGCTACCAAATCTTCTTCCTCTATATATTATTTCTCAGCAAAAGATGAATTGCCTTAGTGGATTCCTGTAAACCTAGCCAAATTCAAACCTCTATTCCAATTATTCATTATCCAGACCAAATTTGTTTTGTGCATAAGCTCATCAGAAAACCCTCGAAAATGTAAACCTTTCTCTCATTCCTCTTAAACATTATTCACAATTTCATTAGCAACAAATGTTGCACTAGTATACTTCTTTTCTTCTTTTTTTTTTTAAAAAAAAAAAAAGGGAAATTCAAGGAGCAAGAAATAGGAATGCTTAAAGCAAAACATAATATAAGAGAGAAGATCTTGGAAACGAACAATACACATCAGTTACAGCATTTAAACCTTCTAACCTTACAATAGGAGAGTTCGACCCTAGACAAGTATACTGCTATTGTACTCAAATTCATGTAAAACAGAGTATAACATGTATAACTTAGCAGTTCAACAATAAAATCCATCCAGAAAACAATCTAGTACCTGTCCCAATGCTTGCAGGCAAAGTGCTCTAAGTACTCCTTCTGCCAAGTCCACTGGCAAATCTCTCCTACAACAAAAAGAAAAAAGTCAGAATAAACTTGTAATGACAGTGTAACCAGCTATCTTTCGTGCAAGTTTTCCATTCACATCAACCTTAGAGCAGGAGGAAACTGTGGGAGCACATGTCGGACAGCACAATCCAGGTATCCTGCAGCCTTCAAGAAAATATCAATGGATGCCCTCCTGCTCTCTGTCACAAAACAAAATGGAACTTATGTAGCATAGGACTACTAGAACAAGCTTGTATGGAAGCACATTGTCTACAAGCTCACCAGGACCAAGTACGTATCATCACTAGTTCAAGTAGCATGAGATGTTTCTCAGTATTTATCTAAAAAAGCAACAACAATCATCCAACACTTTCAGATATAGCAGAAGTTCCTACCAAATCATTGATGCCACAAAAGTTTAAAAAAAAAAATTGAAAAAGCATAAACTATACAAAAACTTTCTCACTTTCTCTCCCATTCTTCACTCCATCGTCTTTATTGCTTATTATTTCCCTTGCACTAAACATTTATCCAATTTAGAAGCACAAAATTTGAGTACTTTCCTTGTAATAAATATATATTCCTGAAAATGGATGACCTCTCAACCGTAAAAGTGGAAGGAACGAAGCACAGGCCTCAAATACAAGAATGAAGAGACTTCCCGAAATAAGAGCAGTAGAATAGAAAAGAAATTAAAGTAGTGAATAAGAATACTAGTAATGAGAAAAGAGAAGGTAAATAGAAAGTAGTATAAAAGAAAATTAATGAAAGAAGAGTAGGAAAGAAATATTTCTGTTACTCTCCATACCACTCTCTTCACAGCAGAAAAGGGGTCATCTATGGGAACCAAGTCAACTACCACGTCAAAATAACAAACTGTATTAGTAAAAAACATTAACTTTAAAGGATTTAACTCACTACTACACCCAGCCAAACCAAGTATTCATCACAACTACCCCAGCCCAAATAACAATGACAAACCAATCAATTTGCATTTAGTTAACTCTCTGTCAACCAATTTTTGATTGGGTTCAATCATAGCCTGTGCAAAAGGTCACCCAAACAGGTGAACTGATTGATCCTCAATTACCGTGATCACCAGCTAGTCAAGTGCAAGTCTGAAACCAAATGCAACCTCCAAGAGACCCCACTCTAACCCTTTGTCCAAAAGCATTAAAAGAAATCGTTGTACCCCTAGCCATTTGGAATTTGGATAAAATTTGAATGATCCAGTTTATGGATCATAAGCAATATCAAACGCCATAGTTAGCAAATCAAGATGCCATAACCATTAATTAGCAAATCGAGATGCCTATAACCATGGGTTGAGAATCAAACTATCTCAATCATACAAATATCAGATAAAATTCATGATTATCATGCTGTGGATATTTTGAGATTTGGATTGTTTTACAGAATTTACATTGTTAATATAGCATTTTTAATTGAAAAATAATTAATTATACTTATCAGATATTAGAAAAATCTTTTTAATTATTCTTACTTCATTACAATATATGATGTTTTATCAATACTTCATTAGGTAGCAATCCCTAAAAAGTACGTAAACAACAGATATTTGTGATTCAGATTAAGCAATCTGAAGAAGCCTACTTCCACAATATCACGATCTCAGACAAGGAGATTTATGCTCCTGTTTAGTTCCACAACTTGGAGAACAATCCACACTCCGGGAAACCCAAACAATGAAAGAAAATAAAGAGACATAGCACTGCCATAAATCTCTTAGACAGAGAATTTCACTCACCATTGACAGCAACCAAAAACTATAGCAACAGAGAAGGACCTCAAATCCATTCTACCAAAGACCAAGGCCGTTTCTATCTGTGCCTTATAAAGAACCCCTATTAAAAACAATCATGCCTCAAAACCCAACCAAGAGCATCCCCTTTCATGCCCCATTCTAAGATTATCATAAAAACACTTTGTTGGCAAATAGGAATCAAATATTGCACCTAGAATCAACTTCTCCTAAATGAAAGCTCTCTACAAACTAAACATAGAGCATCTTGACACAACACCATCTATCACATAAAACTCAACCAAGATCTTATACACACTAGTGACCTACAAAAGTCTTTTCCATGGAATAACATGTTTCTTAGACAAAAAAGTGGTATTCAATCCCTTATCCACCACTATATTAACAGGAAAACTCCCAAAGCACTTCATATAAAGTCATCCTGTATAATATCCCAACTTCTGAATGAGAAGCAAAAATCTTAAAGAAAAAGGTCAATAGTAAAACCATTTATGATAGGAACCTTCACTTTATACACTTCATCTTGAACAAACAGTCTCCCATGGCAACTAGTTTCAACCTAGAAAATATGAACCCATTACCTTTAATCATCAATCTAAAGCTACCATCTCTCAACAATTCCACATATAAAAGAAAAAAACCATAATAATCTCACCTCTATCCACCTCCATCTCCAGAACGAAACTTCCCCTCCACCTACTGACTATCCACGGAAGCAAAATTGTTATAGCCTCCATCCTTCACCTAATTCAATTTATTATTTTACCTCTAACTTATCTATTATCTCACAGGTAACTAAGAAAAAATGGAACTGAGCTCACAATCACAAAAAAGGAAGTATTTCAATGCTTTAAGAAATTTAGTTATGACTTATGATCAAGATTTCACGTAACTCTGCCTAGGTAAGCGTATAACATTGATTTATTCCATATATAACCAGTCCCAAGTCTGGATAAGCCACAAAAGAACCTAAACTAACCCTGAGTTACAGCTGACACTGCAAACCAGCATATATAAACAGACATCAAACTCAATTCTTTTTCATATTTATAATTTTTTATCTTATCCCCTGCAAACTGTAATTATCCACATAATTTTCTACACTTGTTAGCCTTCATATAGACTTAAATCTGAACCCACAAAACTTCTGTTCATCTGTAACTTCCTTAAATTTATTTCCCAATGGGTCTTCCAAAGTTATCCCTCACTCTCCAACCTATCTAATTAACCAACACCCTAACAAAAATCTTATTTTTGATATGAACATCACTAAAACTTCTTAACATGCCAAAGCAAAAATAATAGCTTATCACATCTACAATACAAAAGTATAATTAGATCGACGCTTTTATCTTCCATACAGATCAATCTATTGCTACTGATTAAGTTGAGTATGCAATTATATTAATAGCAAAGATTTGATAGGCTGAAATCAGAAATATAACATATAGTTTGCAATGTTCTGACAGTTAATCTCCCGCAGCAAAACAAAAGTAACATTTGATCTTCACCTAAGAGGAAGAAACTAATTCTAGCAAGAATAAGGATGATTAATGAAAGCTTTTGAAGTTTAATATTATATGCATTAAAAAGGCATGAATTTGTGGGAAAGTTAAAAGGGGGAAAAGGCTTCACACAAATACATGGTCAACTGCAGCATGTATTTTTGCTGTAAATACCTACCTGCCGATACTTTTGGTTGATAACCATCAGCAGATATTCTTGGAAACAGTAACAGGTTGGCTTGTGACAACAATAGCATTGCCATTAAGTGCAAAACTGACAACACCTCATACCATGCATTAGACATGGCTGTTTCCTGCAAAAATACAACTTCACATTAAATACAAAATCATCTAATGCATAAGGTTAGATCATACGCCAGGACAAACAAAAAATAAAATAAAATAAAAAAGAGATAATGAAGGGTCAACCAATCTCACACTCCCACCTCTGCATCATCTTCTTGATTTATCCACACAAATTGCACCTTGTGCTGTAGATGGCTTCCATCTTTAACTAGTCCCAACAGAACGGGCAAGTAATCTTCAAGAGCCTGATGAAGATCAGCCAATGTTGAACCTCCTTCCAAGACAAATAAGTTTGAGATACAAATGACAGAAGGCACACCTAATCGACTATGATGTGCACATTAGAATTTCTCACAACCTACCATGTTGAGTAGCATTTTTTCTCTTTGTTCTTGTGACTGTTGGTGCTTCTTGGGCAGCCATAACTACAATTCGAGTTCTTAAAGCAGATATGCGTTCCACTAAATTCTTCGACAAGTGGTCACCAAGGGATGTAGAGAAATCAACAGGTTTTGGTATCCGAAAACCTGGTATGTAAACAAAAACTTCCCCTATACTCCCTGGTCTCCTCCTATTTCCACCGGAGTCCTTTGGTGTAGACACTATGCACCCCATATTCAACAATTTACTATACAAATCAATCCAAACGACAAAAAGTCAGTAAACAAAATAAAAATAATTTCTTTGGCATGTAGGATGTTGCTCACAAGGAACAGCAGTGATTTGAAAACACGGTACAGGCAATGTAGTGATCTCAATGATAATGAATTGGTAAAATAATTCAAACGATTAAGTTAAAACAATTTAGTCAGGAATCACAAGGAAAAGTGGAAAATAACCACTAAATAATCCATAAAGAGAACTAAATAAATGCCCCAACCAACAAAGTACAAGTACTAAGTCACTCACGAGCACTATTCGAAGACCTACCAGAACTCTCCAAAAACTATTGAAATTGATGGCACATGCAACACATATACACATACTTACATACATAAATATAATTAAAAATATATATAATAAACATAATATATATGTGTATTATCTGACCTTGTCCCTTATCAGAAGGTTGATGACCGATGGATCAGAACTTCTAGTAATTTCAAGGTAACTTCTGCAGATAAAAGGGGGAAAGAAATAGTCAATAGGACAGAGTAAATGGCAGAGAGAGGAAAACCAATAAAAGCAGGTGAATCACAAGTAAAGCATGACGCTTGACACTTTCCTTTTCTTCCCATTCTGAAAGATGTAAAGTGTTATAAACTAAAACAGCTAAAAGACAACAACCAGTTTAATTTCCCACCTCACATGAAATTTCAAAAGAAAAATGTGAAGTTAAGGAATTCAGGCTCGACCAGAATTAAGAGCTTTCAAGAGAAGCAACTCAAATAAAGAGCTCAAAAGTAATATCTCCAAATGGGTTTCATTTTACACCAAAAACTAAGCAGTTCCCAAAGGAAAAGTTGAAATTTTTTTCTTCCTTTTCCACTGTACTCCAAATTGATCAGAGAAAAGATCCAAGAAGAGTCTAATAGATAGATACCCAAAAAAACAAAAATTGGATAGCTAGTTGAATTTCAACATAGTTTGTGGATTAAGCATGCATAGATTATCAAGACAGCAAGAAAAACATTTCATCTGTGTTAAACCCCAACTTTCTAAGCGACCACATATAAATGAATAGAAATTTAAGACCTTACCATTAGAAAGCTGTGTAGTAGAGTAGTAGAGAGTCAAAACTGAAGTAAAAGAACAAAAAAGATGCCGATGAACTAAAATCAAAATCCAAGAAAATTAAACAAAAACCATAAAATGCGTGTAATTCAAACAAGTGAATTTGATATTGACAAAACAAAAATTCATTGGTCTGATTTTGGAGAGAGAGAATCAGAAACAGAGCTACAAGAGTGATTAGAAGGTTCGATTGAAGATGGAATAATATAAAAACTAAAAAGAGAGCATAAAAATGGAAAGAAAGCTTTTTAACAAACACTCTCTCTCTCTCTCGTATATTGAAAAAGAGACTAAAAAGCATCCTTATTATATTTACTTTAGCGCCTTACGTCATCAATTTATTGCGGAACAGAACACAACACACCACCTTCGCATAACGGTTCCACAAAAATGGTGCGTTTCACTTGGGACATGGGGGTTAGCAACTTTCACTTAAAACTGAAAAACCAAACTGATTGAGTTAGGTTCGGTTCAGTTTCGGTTCAAACCGATTCAATAGAAAATAAGTTGTTCATGTTTAGTTTGTAAAATTTGATTCTATTATTATTAGACAATTTGATTTTACTTTTATTTCATAATTTATGTGTTGTCCTAAATCCTGTGTGGATATGGAACAATGGCTAATTTTTATAAAAGGTGTTGAGTACTTTTTTTTAACTAAAAAAAAAAGACTACTAAGTGTATTATTCATTGTCGTGTCGACGGTTAGAATTTCGGAAGGGTTGAGTACTTGTGAATAGCTTCTAAGACGAATATATAGCGATATTGCTGCGTCTAAATTTTTTAAAACTATGAAAAACACTTTTTCTTTTTGAGTTAGTCCCTGATTTTTGAAAATTATACTTTAGTCTTCCAGAGTTTTGAGCCAGAATTTGTCATTATTCAAGATGATTAAGGCCATATTTAGCAATTTTAGCTGATTTAATAGTTGTCAGCTATTTTACTAGTTAGCAGTTATGATACTTTTACTTAGGTTGTAGCTTTTAGTGTTTCGATTGATCAAAACATTAAACGCTCTTAAAAAGTTGTTCCGTAACATAGTGTTTAAACTAGTTTTTATAGGTTGAGGTAACATTTTGCGAGAAATTAACTCATGTAATATTTAACTTTTAGCGTTTCATAAAAAGCTGCTAAAATAACTAACAGATAAAAATTACTAAAACAACTAGCAACTAAACGCTACTAAGGACCTATTCGACAATTTTAGCGATTCTAGTAGATATTAGCTGTTAGCGGTTAGATATTAGCTGTTAGTGGTTAGTTATTTATATAGCAATTTAAAATAGAAGTGTTCAGTAAAAATAAGTATTTGATTAACTGTTTAATATTAAAAAAAAAAAAATGATAAGGCAGTAAATAATAAGGCAAAGAAAAGTGATGGATATAAGCGTCACAAAAAGTTTATAAAATGCTAAACGTTAATGAGGATAACACTATGTCAAATTTTAAACGTTAGGATAAATGTGACATTAACGAACACATTAATTAATTAAAATAATATTTTAATCCAATCAAAACACTAAACACTACTCTAAACGCTCATACCAAACATACCCTAAAATAACTAATTTTGCCAGATAAACTCTTCCTCTTCTTGACACATGAAACAAGAAGCTCAAATTAGCTATGCTAGTGCCACCCTACCTAGTCTTTTTTACAAGTTACTCTTTTTCTATTCTAAGTTTATTCTTCTTGTTAACCACCCTCCCTCTTTCTCTCTCCTATCATTCCATCAATGTTTTTGTTTTTCTTAAATTGTGTGCTGTAGTATTCTTCTTTCATTGATGATATACTTTTTTTTTTTTTCTTCAATTCTTTAATGTAATATTAATTGGATCAGCAGAAGCGAACCGTATTCATTATCGAAAGAATTTCACTTCTATATTACTCAGTCTAAGCATAAAATATACTTTTTATAACAAATAAAATTTTCCATTTTAGTTAAAAAAAACCACAAAATTAAATAACAGAATTAAAAAAAAATTTGTAAGTGATAATATGAAAAGAGCACAAAACTTAGTTAAGACAAGATTTGACATAGCCTTTTTTTTTTCTTTTTCTCTTTTTTTTTTTTTTTTTTTTTTTTACAAGAAGCTCAAATTAAGACTTAGCTAGTGGCCAACCCTACCTAGTCTTTTTACAAGTTACTCTTTTTCTTCTTTTAAGTTTATTCTTCGTGTTAACCACCCTCCCTCTTTCTCGTCCTCCTAGTCATTTCATAATGTTTTTTGTTTTTTCTTAAATTGTGTGCTGTAGTATCTCTTCTTTTCATTGATGACCATACGTTTTTTTTTTTTCTTCATTCTTTACATGTAATATGTAATTGGAATCAGCAGAAGCGATACCGTATTTATTATCGAAAAGGTAAATTTCACTTCTTATTCTCAGTCTAAGACATAAAACATATGCTGTGTGTTATAACAAATTTAAAATTTTCCATTTTAGTTAAAAAAAACCACACAAAAATAACAGAATTAAAAAACAATTTCTGTAAGTGTAAATATGAAAGAGCACAAAACTTCAGTTAATGACTAAGATTGATCATAGCTTTTGTTTTTTCTTTTTCCTTCTTTTTTTTTGTGTTTTCTTTTTTAACTTAAATGTGGATGGTCTATATTTTCCTTGTATACATCCTGAGATCTTCTATTCCGGGCCCAAGACATTTTGTGGCTACACAAGTTTTTTTTTTTTTTTTTTTTTTTTTAACCTTAATGTGGATGTGTCTATATTTTCCTTTATACATTGACTTCTATGTCAAGAATTTGTGGCTACCAAGCTGAGAAGCCACCAGCTTCAAAGAGAGATTCAATTTATAAAATTTGGAATTAATTGAAAGCACAAATAGTAGTAGCATGTGCAATGGAATTGTCAAAGCCTTGATTTTCCATGCCTGTAAAAATGGCAAAAGTGTTTACTCCCTCCGTCCATAGATAAGCGTTACATTTACACTTTTCTTGTCTTTTAAGTAAATTATTGAATTTTTTTTAAATTTATAATAAATTATTAAATAAATTGACTATATTATCTTTATTTACGACAGAGAGAAATTTCTAACGCATTATCTGTAAAAAGCAAAACACATAATAAAACTGATAAGATGCATAGGTGTTGTTTTTATGGGACAAATGGCAAGTCTTCAATCATAAAAATCTATAAATATATATTTGAAAAAGACATAAAAAATCTATATATAGAGAGAGAGTGTGTGTCATTAGCATTTAAAAGGACTGGACTGTGAAACAACAAAGCTACAAGTAGTATAATATCTCAAACAACATCTCTCCTTTTCCCTTTCTCACATGCAACTCTTCTTTCTTTATCCTCTCCATGTGTTTTTTTTTTTTTGGTGTGTGGTGGCACCAATCAAATCAAATCAAATCAAATCAAATCAAACCAAATCAAATCAAACCATTATCCCTTAAAACCGAATTTTCTCTCATTATTTACACATTCTATACACACCAAAACATCATTTTACAACTTCCATTGTATCAATCACCAAAAGATTTAAAAAAAAGTTTCAAAATGTTCTTTTTAACCATCTATATTGACATGTAGGCACATATTCACCCGTTAAATTTAGACAAAAAATAATAAAAAAAAAAAACTAAAATTATAAAAGACTAATGACAAAGCATTCATATAAACAATCCTCACTATTTTTAAACTACAATTATAAAAAATGTCAAAATTGAGAATTTCATATTGTGAGATCGGAAGTTCAATATTGACGTATGAAGTAAATACATATTATGAGCGTTTTACCTTTTAATGGATCGATTCAGCACAAACCAAATTTAATCAAAACATGAAAAAAAAAAAAACAGAAGTCCTTTTCTTGCATTTGTACGGAGAGATATTGGAAATGGACGTAACAAAAACAAGGTCTAAAAAAGATCTTTTAGAGGAATATGAAATATGAGAATAAGAGCATTTTGTTTGTGTTGTGCCTGTATATAATCTTAAACATTAATTGCCTTCCTTTCAACACCAAACCGTCGCTCTTAACCCACCGTCCAATTTCTGTTAGCTCACACGTGGATTTATCATGCATGATGTCACCCATAGATGTTGTCACGTGCATGATGTCACCCACACGTGGTTACCAGCTGGTTTCCAACTGAATTTAGATTGGGAAAAAAATTTTGGATCAAAATAATGAAATGGGTTTAAAAGGTTAAGCTCGAGTTAATAGGTTCGACTCAAGCTTGATCTCAATTATTATAGACTCATTATTTTTATTGAGTTAATTTAAAATTTTCATTTTACAATTCGAGTTTCGCTTATATATAAATTAACTTGAATTCAAGTCTTTAAATTTATGGAATGAATTTAAAAATATTTTTTCATGTTAAGTTTAATTATTTTTTATATAAAGAGTGAGGAATTTTGAGTTCGAGTCTTCTCGTTAGTAATTGAATCAACCAAAATAATTAGGAGGAGCCAAAAAATAATTTTACTAATTATATAAAATTAAAATATACTCTATTTACCATTTTATTTGCTTGTTATACTTTTTTTGAATCTCCCAAAATATTTATAGGTTTTTAATTTATATATATAAACAATTATTTTTTTGATGAGAACTTTTATTATTATTCACTAAATGAAAACTTTTATTAATAATTTAATAAGTTAAAGATAAAAAAAAGAACAATAATGTGCATATAATATAATATAGCATACTATGTTTGTGCTTTTAATAATTGGTTTTTGGTTAACTCTAAATGGCCCACTTGTTATGCACTGGGTCCAAGAAGAGCCGGTAGAATAATGCGATAAAATATTATTTATTTATTTATTTTTCAAATCATAAAATGACAAGTGTAGACGAGACAGGTGTCAATCAAACAGGTGGGTTGATGATTAAAGAACACGAGGCAATATGACATTGCCGTTTTAGGACTGTAGTGTGTGTGACTTATTAACTTTGATTTGCTGCCACAACATTATTGGATAGGATTTTGATTTGACCAATGTAAAAGCTACATGTGTAAACAATTATTCTATTTTGCCTTTGTAGGTTAGGAGATCGCCTGCATCAAACCCAAATCGGTCAGATCACATTCATTGGACGGAGATACTAACACGTGTCGTCTCTCTCATGCTTCGGAGGATCTTTTCTTTCCCTGCTGTTGCTGGTCCATACTATGCTTTCTGTGCCTTGCCCAATACGGAAATGTTTTTTTTTTTTTTAGTTTTTTTTTTGGTACAAAAAGTTTAGGCAAAATATATAATTTCAGACTTCATAACTTCAACTTTGTCCCATTCTGAATTTTTCTCATTCTCAATTTTATTAATTCTAAATTTTATGAATGAATGACTAATTTTAAAATTTTAATTCACACGTAAAATATTGATTTATATGCGATTAACATAAATTTTAAAATAATAATTTTATATTTTTAATTATTTAATATATTTTTAATGTCAAATTCACAAATAAATTAATGTATTTAGCCAAAAAGTTAATAATAATAATGGTTTTTTTTTTTTTTTAAAAAAATTTGATCAACTGTGTTCCCTCTATCACAATGCATTATTTTCTAAAAGGAATTCTTAAAGCACTTGAAAATTACAATTTACAACCATTCATTCATAAAATTTAATCTGCTGCTGCTCATCCTCACAATTGTATGTTACTCGATTCAACACTTTCGACATACAGATCGGAAAACCATCACCGATTTGATGTCGTCCGCCATACACGTACATTTGTGCAGGTGCGAGCACTGGAATCTGACATGCAACAACCCATTATAACACCAATGCTGAAACTCTCTTCAAGGATTCACATACCTTATGCAAATCGGATTCCGTGTGGGCAGCCGAAACAAACAATTTGATTCCCACAGGCAATCTGCATTTATCAACTGTTGATCTCTTAGAAACTACTACAAATACATTGTCTTCCTCCAATGCCTGAAAAATCAAAAACCAAAAACCAGTAGGAAAGAAAATAAGAACAGGACTCGCACTGCAAACAAAATATACGAGTATAGTGAAAAACAAAGAACTAATCGCTCACTCGATCAGCAACTTCTTGAAGAAGTTTTAGGTCATCTTTTACAGAACCTTTGGGCTTCTCTAATCTGAGAAAAACAATAGGTGATTCTGGATTGCTTGCGATGGAGAGGCCCTGTATGTTTGACAACCCTGGCATTTGCAAAGTAATTTACAATTAAAGAGTAATAACAATCATAGTAGTCCGTTTTGAAATTGCTTTTTTACTTTTTGCTTTATGAATCTTCATTAACTTGGTTGCTCTTCCATTTACTAACTAAACTTAACATTGTTATGTTTCTTTAAAAGAAAACATGCTAAACACATAAAGACTTGTGGATTCATCAGTGCTTTCTGCATCAGTCTACGCCTTTCATTGTGAATTCTTTTACTTATCTAGCTAAGATATGCAACTGTTCTTTGCTCTCTATAGGTGAGGTCATATGCATATGCATATGATTTCTTTTTTTTTTGCATGTCAACTCAAGCAAACCTTGTTGCCAGCCAAATGGGTTGACAGTATTCACATTCTCTTCAATTGAAAGATTAACTGGGATACTGTGAAGTTTAGCTTGAGCTCAAGGATCTAATAAAATGTTAAATTAACCATACATCAAATATTCTCAAGGAAGAAGGAACATGTTTTAAAGCACATTAGCACACTCAAATAGAACCACTTTAGTTTTTGTGAAAATAGTACCATGTTTTCAAGAAAATATAGAAATGATACCGGATGTTAATGAAAATTAGAACCAACCTTTCCATAATACAGCAATGTTTTCTTTCAGCTTGGTTACTAAAGCAGGATTATCTTCTATGACATCAATAGCAGTAATTGCAGCACTGGCAAGATATGGAGGTAAAGACGCTGAAAACGTATATCCAGAGCTGCTCAGTCGCTGCAGCAGATTAAAAAAAGATCACGTTAAGATTTAGGAAAAGGAAAAGAAATAAGCATTCTCATTTCACCTCCACTCACTAATATAATGGTGATAAGGTCTAACTAGCAAAACTATCCAACTTTGAAAATAATGGTTCAATTGCTAGATATGCATGTTTTCATACTTGATGATCAATGATTCTAGCAGTTCCAGTGCAGAATCCTCCTTCGGTGGCTAAGGCATGCCCCATAGCCGCAGTTATAATATCTATCTTCTCAACCTGCAAGCCCTCAACCTCATAACTATATTTTAATTACAGAGTTTATATTAATAAAAGAAAGTAGCGTCACCAAAACGTACTGGAACACCGTAGTATTCAGTAAGACCTTTTCCAGATCTGCCAAGCACGCCAATTGAGTTGCTTTCCTCCAACAAAACACGGAAGTGATATTTCTCCTTCAATCTGATGATCTCATCTAAAGGAGCTATTTGTCCAGAATTCTAAAGATTCCAAGATCAAATGAACAAATCTTACAGTCAAGAAAGCTTACTTTTTATGAAAGGACATGTTTCAAGAATGAACAAAACAGCTGCATATAATGGCATTGCAGTGGCATAAACCCCACCACGAACCCACCCCCAACCCCTCTTTAAAAAAAGAAAAACAAAGAAGAGAAAAAAAAATCCCAAACACTTACCCTCAGGTGGACAATCAGGCACCATAAGGAATCATTTGCATGCAAAAACAAATTAAACAATAGAAGTGACAAGTTAGGAGTTACTTAAGTTTAGTTCTATATTACGTCAATTTGGATTGTTCTTGAGAAATTCCGTCTCAGGTCATTATACAAGTCTCATAAAACCTTATAATAACATATCAACTTTAGAATAATTTTAAGAACCTAGAGAATAATTTGTAAAAAAAAATATTAGAATAAAAAAATGACAGATAAGGGCTAAAAGTCCAAACAAAAACTAAAATGAATAAACCTATTATATGAACTTCATTATTATATGGTTTAGCAGCAACAACCAAATAAAAATTTAAAGCATTTCCAACTAAACACTTGGGCATTAAAAAGAAGAGAGTTTATTAGCTTATTTGAAACAATTTCAGCGATAAGAATAGATATGCTGGTCATTCAAAACTTTACTTTGGTTGGATCACTAGTTTGGGTTGCAATACATTTAGGAGAATTTATGCAAGCTAAACAACAACAACCTAACAAAAAGTAACACATGCACATAAACACATATATATAAATCTAGATACTAATAATAAACAAGCTAAAGTATACATCAATAAGCAATATATTAAAGAAGACAACTATAATATGAAAAGATGTCTATAAGTATTGAGAAAGAAGAGGAAGCGTAATGACAATTATTACATTTTTATGGGAAGGTTGCCAAATAAGGAGCGTTCAGGCTCATATTAAAATAGCAAAATTTTTAATTATTTACCACTTAATATCATGCTATCTGATTTTTATGCCTTCTACCCCTTTTTAGTCATGTTTTTGTTACTGTATTGCAATCAATAAAATAATGTGTAAAATGTTATTCAATATTGGATGCAAAGCTTGTTGGGAACTCTATGTCCTTTTCATCTCCACAATATACAGCTCCGCTAATCTCTAAGAAATGTTTGGCCTCTTTTTCCATCTCTTTTTGACAAATGACTAACAGAAAACAAACCTTTGTCCACCAAACCCAACCCAAACTACAAGGTAACTTATTAATCTCCTAGAGGTTTCCTTGCTTTAAGTTTTAACAAATGGCTTTCTTGTTCTCAATGGTAATCATTTAAAGTAAGACAAAACTTTGTCCCTGATTGTCAAAATGCAAAACCACAAGGCAATCTTAAAAACTTGTACAGTTTACCCTAATATTGATCATCACAATTTCCCATAGCAGGATTCACAATGTTATGTTGATATCCAGAAAGGAAAGCTTGGAGCTTGCGACTAGAAAGCTATTGGTTCAAGCGATATAAAAATATCGAATGATGGGAATATCTCTTGATTCTCCCCCACAATGACCCATTCATTACTGGTCCAAACCTTTTTACGTTGTTGTCAAATTTCCATATCCATGCTTATCAAAAATGAAACTAGCACCCTACTAGTCAACATGTTGATCAACTTTTAAACTCAATAGAACTGGAGACAAACTAGTAAGTGCAAATTGGAAATTGTCAATGTTAATACCAATGTTTTGAAGACCAGACTGAACCAGCTCCTATATGTATTCAGGAACCGGCTATCTAGTTTGGCTTTTTAATTAATGTTTTTAATTTTAAGTTTTTCACCTCTAAAACAATTACAAACATTAATTTAAATTTATATTATTATTTTAATTGGTTTTGACAGGGCATAACAGGTTGGGCTGCTGAACCAATCTATTCAATTGACGGTCCAGTTTTATAAACACTGGTAAAGACTAAAGGCAATGGCTGAAGCAATTCCATTGCGAAATATGAAAATAAGTTAAAATGCACAACTGACAAGAATACCTGGTATACTGCTTCAACAATGATGTATCGACGCAATTTCTTAGCACGCTTATTCTCTGCAGTTACTTTCTCCAACACATTTTGTAAAGATTCCATGTCATTGTGCTTAAAATACACAATGGTGCTTCTAGAAAGATAAAGGCCATTTTGGATTCCCCAATGGACTCCCTCATCGCTAGAAGGAAAAAAAAAAAAAAAAAAAACTTTTACCCCAATGGACTCCCTCAATCGCTAGAAGGACAAAAAAAAAACAAAAAACTTTAGTTAGGGATATAAATGAGACACTATTTTTACTTATTTTTTGAATCAAACGAGAAGCTATTTGGGTCGCATGCTAAAGCTTTAAATTAGAGAAAATAAAAAGCAATCTTCAAATTTTTTATAGGAATATTTACATGATAAATACACCAACACACTGTGGTTACTGGAACTAACATCCAACCATTAAATGAAAATTTTTCCCATAAAGATGAGAAAACCAAAATGACTAGACAGCTAAGTCAACTGTGAGGTGTGAAGATAGGAATATAAGACTCCGCACCTGCTTTAACTACTATCACCGAGGACTTCACTCGCATAGTGTATTGCGTGACATCGATAAATATCATACATTCATATTAAAAGAGATATTATCTACCTCAGAGAATTTGAAGATTCGACTTGTATCTTGTGTATCATCCTTTATATAGTAATTTCCAATGTTTTTGAGCTATAGGGTATGGATATCATCAGTATGAATTTGGAGAGGCATAGTTCATCGTTATGCAGGCAAGTGAATTTGCTGCGAGTCCTGGATCCTCAGAGTACGAGCCCTTATAGATGATCAAGATTGTTAGGGGAAGCGCCCACAGACGTTGATAGTTTCATTAGGCTAGTAGTTCCAGCCTTGGTCCTCTATTAGTGTGAGTATCCTTGTGCATTTATACGTGGCCACAGGTTTGTGAGAGTGTCCAGAATTCAAGGCTCATGGGTCATTCTTGTATAGGTATTATTTTGTAAACTTCTTATTTGTACATCGCCACTCCTTGTTTAAATCACTGTTAATAAGTCGCTGTTCATTTCTATGTGATTCATTATAAACCTAAATTGTACATCCAGAAAATAGCACCTCTTTATTAGTCCTGCCCTAGTGCTTTATGGTAAATAATAAATATTTGTTAATACCCTTTTAGCTACTTGATAAGACGATCATGATTTTATCCCACCATATATTTTTTGGCACGAAGAAATTATATACCACTCATCCTCACTCCAAACCTCCTGTATACTATTTGTTAAACAGGACAAAAACGGACAACATAAGGTGTCCTTTACTCTTTATCTTTATTTTCCTTGTTGTATGAAGCGGCTCTGCTGCACGCCGGGATCTAACAATGATAATTAACAGTTGGCGGACGGCGGCCGGCGTCACGCGGAAGGCATAGTGTTAGCCTCAACAACACTATTCATGTTCCTCCGTTTACACGTGGCCAAATGCGCCGCGAGTTCGGGAATTGGTACGTCGCAGCCTGCGGGGCTTGGTGGTTTGTGTAATCACTCTCTATTCATAAAGTGATAGTGAACGTGGGTAATTGGCATATTTATAGGTGTAGGTTCTATATCACTCTACTCAGCTATTTATTCTCTTTGTCTCGACAATCATCTGATCTGACGCGTTATCAGAATCTAAAGGCAAGAATTGATCACCCGGTGCTTAGATAGGGTTTATACTTATAACTTACTTCATATCACTCTTAACTTAAACTACTTCCTTTATAATTTCTTTTTGATAACTGATTTTACTCCGTTGTAAGATCATCTTTAATTTTGGTCTTATAACACAATATAAGTATGGTAAAGATACTATAACAGAGGGCTCAATAATCAATCACATATAAAAAACAATGAATCCCTTCTCACCATATGTGCTATTTATTCCGCAATTCGACACGCTGCGAGGTAGCAGATACCTCATGCAACAACGTCCTGAGAGTAAGTTTTCTCAATTAAATAAAGGCGATTCACTCCTAAGTATCGGAAAGGAGTCGCCTAATTAGTTATGCATCTAGGGATTATTGAGGAAATTTAAAATTAATCGGGCTAACTGGTGAGGTTAAGATTATTCCGTAAAGATCTCTTTCTCCACCAAAATCTCAAATTGAATGCTCCTACGGGCCCAATTTAATTCTTTAGATACGGTATAGGTTGAGGAGGCAGACCAGATTTGTCATCGGAAACTTGGAGTATGTGTGCTCCTCTATTGGTATTTCTTGTTGGTGATAGGGATGGGGTTCTTTGTGCTACCATACTGGGTGTGGAGCCCAGGCACTCGGACTCCTAAATAATAGAGATCTAGCTCGCGATAGAGGTAAACCATATTGCGCGTATACAGAAAAGAATTGATTTTATCACGCGTTGCTCGTTTGTAGACCACTGTTTTTCAGTTCAAGCCGACCCCAGCTAGGGGTCGTGATTTTGATCGTTGGTGGTTTGATTGGCGCACCTAGAAAGCACAATCTTGCTACTCAAGAACTTGATTGAAGAATTGGCTGCACGCACGATCCCATGTGGTTTTAGCCCATGATACGAGCCACTCAAGAAAACGCGGGATGACAGGCTTGAGGATAATGGCGGGTCATTGGGCATTTTTTAATGTACATTTAGTGAAAATGGTTCGTGGACTTCCTATTAATGTTTAAACTTACTACGCTTGACAGGCCGGGCTGGCTCTGAGAGGAATTGTCTCAATCTTTTTCTTTCTCTATAAAAAAAAAAAAAAAAAAAAACTTTTAGTAGGGATATAAATGAGACACTATTTTTATTTATTTTTGAATCAAACGAGAAGCTAATTTGGTCCATGCTAAAAGCTAAATTAGAGAAAATAAAAAGCAACAAATTTATAGGATATTTACATGATAATACACCATAAACAACTGTGGTTACTGAACTACATCCAAAAACAAATAAATGAAAATTTTTCCATCAAAGATGAGAAACCAAAATGACTAGACAAGCTAAGTCAACTTGATTAAAAAACATCCCTAATAAATTCCTTTTGGGTAAAAATCATTTAAAATATATCAAAAAACCGACATCAGTTATTTTGAGAGGAGAATTTATTGAGATAGTGGTCTGCATATGAGCAGTACGGTTTAACAAAGAAGTTTATAAAGCCAGTAGGCTGACTATGGAGACTGATTGGGCCAACCAGGTTTGTGAGAAAGTGTCCAGAATTCCAAGCTCATGGGAAGTGAGTTATTTACCACCCTTACAGAGTTACAAGTGATGTCATCACCTTAGACATTCTCCACCCAGTTGCCCCTAAAATATGAAACCCCTGCCACATTATCCACATACTCACCCTCCTATTGACTTAAAAGGAAAAAGAAAAAGAAACAATTCTTATCAACTGATTTCCATGGTAGAGCAGTACAGATAAATGATAATTAAACAGTTGCGACCAGATTTACTCACACAACTATTATGTCTCCTTTTTTGCAAAAGCATGGAATTGTACTGAAGGTGGTGGAAAGTCCATATGAATAGAGAATTGAATTAGGAGTTCCCAAAAACTTTGCTATTCTGGCCTCACAATCCAGGTGTACATCTAAGGAAAAGAAACTTGTTAAAGGTTAAATATTATATATAACCCAGATACTTGAAATGATGCGTGAAGACACTTTAAATTGTCTTACCAATTGTTCCATAGAATCCACGAGGACCACATGAACCAACACCATATTTTTCCAATGCTGAGGTGCAAGACTCCTGAGATAAAACTTTCTCATAAAAACTCCATTCAGATAAACCATTATCCTAATGGAGGAAAAAAAAATTATCTAGGAACTAATTTTCTCACAATTAATTTCTCATGCCCAATTAATCCAAGATAATTAGCTGAAGCAAAGTTCACAACTTCTTTGCCATTGATTTTTGTATGTGGCCCTGCAGCACTGCATAAAAAAATGAATGAGAAGCCTTCAAATTCAGAAGAATGATTTAACTGTTAATGTGATTTATGAGTTATCTGACTCACATAAGAACTATGGAGTAGATCATCTATCTATACTAATGTGGATAAAGAAAGGGCATATAGTGTAGCATAGACATGGAAATTGGACAACCAGAATGGCCCAACTTACTAGCTGCAAAATTATTTTTTCTCAAAAGAAACAGAAAAGGATAAGAACTACACTTGCAAGCAAAAGAACAATTTTCCAGAATACTCAAAAACTATATAAACTAAATAAATATGGGAAACATGTTCACCTTTCCAGTGCTGGTGGCTCATGTTGCATCTCTTCTGAAATAGCGGGAATAAGGGGTTCTGGAACCCATTCGTTGCATAGCTCATCTATTTCCTGCACAAGTTACAATAGACACTATTTCATGAATTTTAAATTAGCATGACATGAACAATATTAGAGTGGATGGTGCAAAAAACTGCTATCCTGCGACAGATTAAAGTAAAATTATGAAATTAAATCAGCTAATAAGAATATCATGTGCAAATATATTGTAAGAGTACACTCAAGAAGAATATATCAAGATTTATTATGCAAAAGTCAACAAAGGCAGCATTAAAAAAATGTCATAAAAGTCCTACGAATAATGTTTCCATGCATGAAGACAGATAGAGATGTTACAAAAATTATAACTTGGCAGATTATGAAATGCATATGGAAGGATGGAATTCAGTAAAACATAAAACAAATTTAAAACTATAATTAAATTAGATAAGGAATTATAAGCCACACTGACCTTCTTTGTTAATGGCCTTTTAGGGGGCTTGTAACTCTTCTGGGTTAACAGGAAAAGAATGACCACAAAAAGAAGACCCTCAACAAAAAGATGTCCTTCAACAAAACCACATAAATATCGATTAGTCGAAAATCACAGATTAACAGCTAGAGAAAGCATATGCTAGCATCAACAGTTGCAAAAGACACCAAAAAGTTAGTCACCTCCAATATGAACACCAAAAACAACAGCTCGAGCAGATGGAGCATCCAAGGCCACAGTCACCCACTCTAGAGCACTATTCATAATGTGCAAAACCGTTGAACTCATTGGTAGTGAATATCAAAACCCAACGTGCATAAAGACTTCAAGCATCAGTTATACGCAGGATTCAACACTCGTTGCAATGCAATATATGGATTGATTATCCAAAAAAACCTGCGGAAAGAACAATTAGCAAGTAATAAAATCCTGAAATACTAAATAGTAAAACGTCAACCATCTGTGCCCTCTTTTTTATTTTTAAATTAAATAGTGGTAGAGACCACCATGAAATAGCTTGAATAAAGAGTACAGATTTTATTACCTCTAACCACATAACCACTAAAATACTAAATCAAAGCCTGTTTAACGAATTCTCAGACTATAATTACAAGTTCACAGTACTCTAAACTAAACTTCTTCTACCCAGCAAAACAACTCTTTAAGATTAAAGAAAAACACGTATAATCCATCACTCTCAGTTAAAGTAATGATAGCTATTATCTTTCTAATGCTACTTTTGCTTTGACAAGAATTTTACAGACCAATCAGATCAATCAAACAGAAACAGGGCAAAAAGCAACAAGAACGAAGAATTCTTTTTCTTTTTCTACAGTTCCAATCCGTAGCTAAATAGCTAAATGGAGTGCGATGAAGAAAATGAAATCAGATAGAAAGAATTGGGAAAACTTAATGAAATCACATCTTAAAAATTATATTATTCTCAAGAAAAAAATACCAGCAAATTGATAAAGCATTAATGAACTGAATAGATCTATCTGTTCAACCATAAAAAATCCAACGCAAGGCTTAACTGCCTTCTTTAAGTCCGTATCTTCTAATACAACAAAAACATTCTGACCCATATCTCCCGACCTGGTTAAACCCAGATCCCATGTACAAATTGAAGAAATTTTCTAGCACTTACAATCCAATACAAAACCACACCAAAATTGCATTTCCAATAAAACCTAAAAGCAATCCAGAAGAGATAACAAAACATGAGTCAAAGATCCACGTACAAATGCAAGAGCAACAAAAGAGTGAATAACAAGGTAATTATTCGGAACTGAAAGCAGGAGAACTTTTGATTCGGTCGTTGGCTGTCATGCTTAACTACATATTTTTGGCTTAGGGATAGCAACAACCACACCTTTCAGGGTCGACGACTTTAGCGGAGGAGGAAGAGGAGGCGGCGCGGTGGCTGCGGAGGCAGAGGAGCTAAAAGGAGAGAGATGGAATTGAGAAGAGTCTCTGAAAGTCGCTGGCAACAAATGAAAGACCCATGGTCTGTCTACATAACTAACATTACGTAATTGAATTCCACAAAAAAATTTTGACTTTTTTGGGTTTGTTTTTTCTCAAAAAAAAAAAATTAAAATTTCATTTCTCCAAATTCTATTGTTTGATTCTAACTTAAATCCTTTCACATGTATTTAAAAATAACAAATAATAAATAATAAATTATTATTTAAAAAATTACTAATTTATAACAAATCAAAATAAGAATAATATATTCACCTTCAAAAATTTTTAATCTATGCATAAAAATTAAAAACAATACCAAACCAAATCTTAATCCTAAATTAATTGAATTTAGCTATATAAATTGCTTGTTTTATTTTACTCCATTGATAATAAGTCACACCAAAGTCTCAAAACATGCATAAAATAAAAATGGTAAAATATAAAAATTATCATTTTATTGAAATACCAAATTCTTGAATTTCAATTTTCAATCAAAATGTTAATATCAGGGGCTAAAAATACAAATTTCTAAACATAAGGGGGTAAGATGTATAATTACGTAAACCTGAGGGAGATTTTAGCAACTAACCCTTAACTTTTGAAGAAAGCTCTTTTCCCTCCGGCCTCACTCCCTTTCGATTGGGTTCACTCTGGTTTCTACTCAGCTGTGTAAAAGCTTTTTAGCCGTTGAAAGTTTTCAAATTCAAAATTCCAACAGTTACAACTTAACTTACAGGTTACCTTCTATCTCTCTCTTCTCTTTCTCTCATTGAAGCACCAATTTTGTTGCATGTATGTAAAACTGGGTTTTAGGGTTTCAGCATTTTCTGTTATATCTTGCTAATATGTCAATTCATTAATGAATTTTGCAATGAAATTAGTAGATAATGATAATCTTACACATTCTTAATCCATTCTTTTGTTTTAAGAATGTAATTGGATGATTTTTGCGTTGCCTTGTAATTGATCTAATCTAATCGATAATGTTATTCCTTGCAGGTTCAAAATTTCTGTTTGAATCAATTTTTCATATTGTCTTTCTGTCAAAAGCATGGATGGATGCAGACAAAATGTATTGGACTCTAATTCTAAAAAGGTGATTGATGCAATTGATAAAGCAACTGTTCATTTTCCTTCCCCTCAAAAACTTGGGATTGCTGGAAATCAGAATTGGGAAAGTAAATTTGCATCTCAGACTCCAGAGAAGACAAATCAATCTCTTAATGCCAAACCCAAAGAGGCAGAAGTTGAGCTTCTGGAAAGGTGCAAATATTAGCTGATGCATTTTCTTCAAATTTTAAAGTACTATTGTTGTTACTGATACCGAGGATCCTTCTGTCTTTTCTCTTTCAGGCATAAGGCCATCATAGAACTCTTTGATAGTATGACTTGTTCATTGAGATTGCTTGGTCTGCGTAAAAAGTCGCCTACTTTTCAAAACATTTGCACTCAGGTGGAAGTGTTAACTAGAAGGTATTTGGGAGTTTGCCTTGATTTATTTAATTCTATTGCCTGAAGTTTGAGATTTTTTTACATTTTGATGTTGGTATCTTTTATTGTTTTAAAAAAAATCATGTGTTGTGTTTTAAAGGTGCCATCCAAAATTGGTAGGTTTTCTACCTGTTATGTGTTATATGCTGAAACGTGTACGAACTTATGTCTTGCAAAGAATTCTACATTTCTTATGTAAATAATTATAAGGGGAAATATGATTTGATTGATATCCTTCAAAATTGGTAGGGTTTCTACCTGTTATATGTTCTATCTTGAACACATATAAGGACTTAAGTCTTGCAAAGAATTCTAGATTTCTTACATGATTAATCGAAAGGGGAAATATTATTTGGTTCATATCCTTCATTCTCTCTGCCTTGGTCCTGCTACTTCGAGACATATGTCCATATCATAATTAGTTATGTATCCATTTCAAAAAGTTATGCATAGTGTAGCCAACGAAAATGGTTGTCAGACTATTTCCACTCTGTTTCGATATGTATCCTCTCTCCCTTGCCCACCTTTTCTTTTTTTATTGCTTCCAGGACATGCTATATCATATTCATGCAATCCTCTTCCACATATTCTTAATGTTACCAAAAAATGGTGTCATATCAATCTACTGATGCATATATGTTGACTTTGCTTCCATAGGAAAATGAAATATGCACAACCAGAAAAATATATTAACTCAGCCTTGGGATGATTTGTCAGTATTAGGCAGGCAAATAAGGACAACCACCACCTAGGTCTTTTAGCTGAAAGAGCTATGTATTCTATCTCTTTCCAGAAACATATGTTGGGCTCATCCTTGAAATGGCATTCATGATTTAACATGTAAATAAGGTCAATGTCCAGTAACTGACATGGTTTTGTGCTGATAAAATGCATATCTTATCATTCCGTGCAGAAAAGTATGTTAGGCAATCCCTGAATATGACTTTCATTGTGATAGATGCTAAAAGGGTCAAAGCACATGTTTCCTCTTGATACAGTCATACAGAGATCAACTGTCTCACCCAAACACACACATAGACATTCTTATATATCTAATTGATTCCGCATCAAAAATAGATTATTTCATTTGAAGTTTATGACCAAGTGTTTTTCTGTCATTTTTTTCTTCAGGAAGTTCTCTTATGGGCATCTTGCACAGCTAAAATATTTACTTCATGAAGCCATACAAATAGATAAAATTCTTGTGCATGACAAGAAAACCCTATGTATGAAGCCAGAGATGGAAATTACACTGGTGTTTAATGAGATAGAAGGCCATCATGAGCAATCCGATTTCATTGCTCTCCACCAACTATTTGCTTCTAGGCTTACTAATTACTTTACTGTGCATCCTGAGGTATTGCTCTGCCCCTATATCAGTTAATTTCTTTATTTTGTTTTTGAAGCCTTGGATGAGACAATTTCAATACACTTACGAGAGGTTTGCACAGAGTTTATAATTGAATAGCAATAAATCAGTTGGTATGAAAGGGAATTTAAGAATGTGATTTTAGCACCAATTACAAAACTACACAGCTTTGATTCAGTGTATGGTGTACTGCATTTTTGGAGTTTAAATTTCTTTGTCCTGACTTGTTCTTTGATGAATGATATTGTATAAAGCATTTAAAGATAGAGAAATGCATTTGTGTAAGTGCAGATTCTCATGTTTGGAGATCCGCCTATCTATTTTTATTCTTGGTTGGAGGGTGAGTATATATGCTCTTCAGTAAGTTAAACTGGTTAACTGATTATGTTAATCTTAAGATTCTGTATTTCTCATGGAAGTCGTTTTCAGTGCAGGCCTAGCTCTCTGCACCTTATGCTCTATAATAAAGAGGAAAACTTGGCTTTCAGGGATAGGGCTAAGATTTTTAGAAATCAAGACCAGGCTTTAAACTTTAAAAATTAATCGATCCCATTATCTCAAGAAAAATAAATTTAAGCAAACAAAAATTAGCTACTAGCCTCAATCTAGTAGAATCTGCGACTCACTCCCTATCAAGAAAGTTTCATACTTCAGATTGCTTCACACAATTCATAAAACAAGAGTATAAATCCCTGAAATTTTATTGACTTAATACTGAATGAGAATGCTTTACAAAATAGGTATCTAGTACAGTTAAAATGTCATTCCTATGCCTTTACTTGGACTCCTATTCTACGCAAGATTCCTCTGTTTGATTCCTATGTTGACTACGATCATTGAAATTGCTCAAAGGGCCACTCTTTTATTTGACTCCTGTGTAGGCTAGGATTATTAAAATAACTCTAAAACACAAACCCTCACTGAAGCCTACAAAATATCCCGTATGGAATCCTCTTATTTTGGACATCATCTTAACTTGATTTGATTGGCCAATATATTTAGTTAGGATTGAAATTTACCATTCCTGAATAATTGAGTTTGTGGTCTTTTTTTGTTCCTGTTTTTGCAAGGCTTGTGACATTCCAGAGGCCATATTGCCAGATCCTTTTAACCAAAGCAAAAGGACTGCCTTTGGGGGCGAGGTCAGTGACATTCCAGAGGTCAAACTTCCTGAGCCCGTAAGCCAAAGTCAGACCTTTGCTACAGAGCAATTGCTTGCAAATGCTTCAACAGAAGATCTACCTACTACAGTTGAAAGTGAACCACCATCAAAATCATCCCATATGCACCCATCTTTTAGTAGACACTTCTCTGAGAAGATTATTACTGAAAAAGACAAGACCCAACTATTAACTTCTTCAGTTCCTTTATCATCTGTACCATCCAATATGAAGAATCAAGATACTGAAATTTCAAAAACAACAGAACATCCTGATCCAAGTTCCAAATCTGATAGTGAGACCAATCTGAACACCAAATATGAGCAAGGAAAAGAATCTCCTGGCACAAATTCCACATCTACCACCATACATCCTATACTTGTTCAAGCAATCAATCCTCAATTCTCTATCGATAACAATGCATGTGGAAGCCCCATGTGGAAGCTTGCATCATCTGCTGATAATTTAATGGTAGAAACACCTGCACAGTCAACTCCAAAGAGGGCAACGCCACTTAGTGATGATAACCACAAGAGTGTGGCCAGCCAAAAGCAGGCATCATCATCTTGTACGGCTGCAAAGAGGTCTTTAGATTTCTCATTATTGGAAGGTAATGAGTCAGCATGCTGTGAATTTTTACCGGACAACATCTCTCAAACTGTAGATGGTTCTTCTGCAATACTTCAAAAGGTATTTCTCCCTATTTCAACCCAGCCATACTTATGTTTATTCTGTAAGTCAGCAAATTTCATATGCTTGAACCTTTCAAATGGTCATCTGTTAGCTGATTCTTACCTGTCTACTTCTATGTTTAGCAATTTCTATTTCAAATGAAATTAATTATATATGTATTGTGGGATTGGTTGAAGTCAGAAAAATTATTTGAGATTCATACCTAGTTAAAATGATATGCAACCACAGCAGTTTAGAAAATATTTAATATTGCAATAACTAATTTGAATGGAGGAATAGGATTCATATAACTTTCTCCAACCAATTTGGAATTGAGAGTTAATGGAGTTGTCTCCTACTCAACTTTTGCTCAGTGCTGTTCAAAATGATTAAACTCTTAAGTCTCTAGTGTAGTTTGCACTCTTCTGTGCATTCTGTAACACTAGTATGCAAGACATCCTGATGCATGTGCTGGACTTGTGCCATGTATGCAATTCTGGGCTGCTATGCTCTTAGTGTTTTGTCTTCCACTTAGGTTTTTACATTTTTTTTTTTTCCTCTGAAGGTTGACGAGAGCTTTGGCTGTGACACTGAGGAACTCAAGATGAGTCCGTCAGATTTCTTGCATCAGCAGATATCTGTTTACTTGCCTAGACTGGTTTCACTGATTCACCGCATATTCCAGTCTGTCAACTACTCTACAATCACAAAGGAGGAACTTGTGCACAAGATAATCGTAAATAGTTTTGATTTTGATGAAAGAAGTATGTGTTCTTGATGGCTTTGACTATGTTGGAGAATTTTATTTGTGTTTTGTGAGGTTATTGATTGCTCAATTCATCTCGTCTTCTTTCACAGGGCAAGTTGAAGAGCAGATTGAGATTCTTGAAAAGCTGGTTCCAGACTGGATTTGCATGAAGCTTGCACCTAGTGGAGATGTTTTGTACTGGTGGGTGTACCGTAATCTATCTTTCTCTCTCTCTTTTATCTGTTATATGACTATTTGAATAGAATGCCACACAGACTTCAGAAGAAAGTACCCAGCCTGTCACTAGAAACATCCAATTATTCGAAGTAACAACCCTTCTTTACACAATGTTACTGCCATTCAATGAATGTGCTAAATATAGTTCTTGATTTCATTGTCTGTATTGTAAAACATCTTTTTTCCTTTTTTTCTTTGCATTTTACTTTCTAACTTGTAAAGTTATTTTCTTTTGATTTGTAATTTGCCCTGTTGGTCCTGTGCAGTATCAAGAAAGCGTCAGATTTGAACTCTGTTCAGTCCAGGGTTGCCATGATTAAGAGCAATTAGAGGTACTCTCCTTTTGTTCTACCTATATACTTCAAGACTGCTTCGGTTGGCCAATCATTGTTCAAATTTGGTTTTTGGTTCAGCCAGCTATTGATTTTGCAATTCACTATTATCTATTTGCAGGTCATTGGTTATAATTGCTGAGCTATCTTATTAGAGGATGATGAACTTTACATTGATGGAGCAGAATTTTAAGGTTAGGAAGGAAGACCTCCCTTTTGGAATCCAAAAAACCTGGGTGATTTCCTCTCCATCATCCATCACTAATTTGAATTACTATTTTTTTGTTTTAATCAAAGAAATGCAATTTTAGAAACTATTTGCTTGTTGTATAAAATGTATTTGCATTTACATTTTGAATTATGTAAATATTTGGCTATGTAAGCTCAAACTTTCAATAAAAAAAACTTTACGGCTTCCTTAACTTTGTAAAGACCATTTACGTACCTCAAGTTTCTTTTTTTTTTTTTTTTTTATGTAAATATTTGGCTATGTAAGCTCAACCTTTCAATACAAAAAACTTTACGGCTTCCCTTAACTTTGTAAAGACCATATTAAACGTACCTCAAGTTTCCCCTTTTTTTTTTTTTTTTTTTTTTTTTTTTTTTTTTGGTAATTATGTCCCTCGCTAGGAGCCGGAAAAAACGTGCGTAGTACGCGCACTATGTCGTGGTAACAAGCCAAGAAACACTTTTGTGCCACATCACTTTGTATTACACTACACATCAGATGAAAGGAAAAAAAAAACCTATAATTTTTTTTTTTTTTTTTATTTAACAAATCTTAAGAACTCTTACAGGGAGAGTTTAGCATGGAAATTGCAATTTCTAGATTTTCTAAAGCTTTCTCATAACGTAAAAACCCCATGAACCAAAATTCAAAATCATCTTCTGTAACTATTTCTATATACTTTTGTGTTGGCTTGTGCACATTTTCTCTCTTGTTGGCTCTTTTGATCTTCTTAACTGGGATCACAACCTGTTTCATGTATACAAACACACAATCAAGACTCTTATTTTACATATTGTCTTGTAAAATTACAGTTACATCCATAAAGACGGTAAAATTACCTTGTAGGGTATTCTAATCAAATCCCCATTTGGGGAATTTAAGGTAACCATTGCTTCACTGCAAAAGGCAACCTTTTGAGTAGAAATAAAGAGCAATCCTGCAATAGGACCAGCTGTTGTTGATAAATAGCACTGTGATGCCTTTAATAACTCTTCTCCTTCTGTAACTCCAAATATATGTTTGAAAATATTTTCTCTTCCACCTTCTTGAATTATTCTTGCCCCTAATCTTAGTTTACCTTTCACTGTTTGGGACAGTTTAGGACTCAACTTTACTGCAATTTTCCACATGAAAATTCTAAATTAAACATTAATAGCTCCACGTTTTAGTAAGTATAATGATGAAACGAAATTATCTGCTCTCCATGAAAATAGTTCTTGTCAATTTGATGAATTAAGGAGAGGGTTGTGTAGCCTAAGAGTGTAAACAAATCGAGCCAAACTCGAAGCTCAGTTCGAAACTCGACGAGCCTGAAAATTTTAGGCTCAAGCTCAGCTCGAGGTTCGATTTCAATTCGAAAAATTTTAAACTCGCTGGAGACTCGATGCTTGAATAAATTTAAAATAAATATTACTTATATGTATATATAAAAGACTCGAAGAGCTTTCGAGCTGAACATCTTTAGACTCGAGCTTGATTTGAGCCGAATTTTTTGAACCGAGCTCAAATGGCTCTCAAACCAACTCGGCTCATTTACATCCCTAGTGTAGCCCATTGGGGTCCCAATGAATACAAAAATTATATATATGGTCTAAAGGGTTTGAATGTTATTTGTTTATGTTTGATTTTCTTATTAAAATTAAACTTCTTACCATGATCTCTAATCCTGCATGCAAAAGTGCTGGTTTTTCTTCCTAACTTCTTCATGTGACCCATCTTTGAATCCTCTTTGCCTGCAACTGGCAACACATTAAGGTTCTGTTTGATGCATAGGTCTTTATTTATTTTTTATATAAATAATTTGTCAAATCTTATGAAAAGGATATAAAGAGAAAGAAAGAAAGAAATAGCTGCTCACCTGGCTTCTCCATATTATGATCACCTGCAAATTGTAAGGCTATGTATTTAAATCTACTTTTCTCTGCAATAATTTTCTGTAAGAGATATTTATATATATTATCAAGAAAGAATAATAAAAGAGAAGGGGCGGAGCATAGGCTTATGATTTTTCAAAGATACATAATTTTAAAAATTTTGGTTTTAGTTAGCTATATAATTGTATGAACTGAATTTAACACATGAAAGAAGATTTTATAAAAGACAATAAGGTTATGATTTCCAAGCAGCTTCTAAGGCTTGGAATATAGCTTCTCAAGTCAATAAAGATGGCCTTAATTTTGGTCCCACATGTACAGTTGTATGTATGTATGTATGTATGTATATATGTATTGAAAAGTAGAGGCACTTTTTGATGAGGAAATAATGGGACAAAATGATTCCACTGCTGTCAAGTAGAGGCAACTTGGAAATATTTTATTTTAAAATGGACAAAATGATTTATTTTTTCTAGAATTGTATACACGTGTTATTAATTTATATGGACAGTACATGTGTATAAATTTACTCTTATTTTTTGTACTTTCAATTTATGGATGAAACTGTAATAAGTTAATTTTAAAAATACACTAATTTTGTTTTCTAATGTTTGATTCTGTTGATCTAATTTATCATTCTAACAATTTTATATACTTTTTCTCTTTAATGCCTTAAAAAACGACGAGAATAATTTTTTACTTATATCAAACAATAAATTTCTATTGAAAAATTACTATATGTCCATGTGCTTTTCCAAATAGTATGTACCTGCATCTAACGAAAAGTGAAAAAAAAAAAAATAATAATAATAATAATAAATGGAAGAACGTAATATTGTAATGGATTACGTATTATAGGACCAAGTACGTAATAGTGTAATGGAAGAACGTAATAATAAAATTAAAAAGGTTTAATTCCATATATACCTATAAATGCCAAATAAAGTTCAATCATGGATGAGTAAAAATGCATTATTAAATAAGATGTTTCAACTTGATACTCTTTTCAAAAACAGTTAAATACATAATCTTTTATATTAATGAATAAAGTAACAAATCAGTCTAAAAAATACAAAAACAAAAGGCTGGGTATGGCGAAGGGGATTAATAAAGATGTGAAAGCTTTAACTTTCATAGTTCAGTCATCAAAATAAAGTAATCTCCTATGCTACTACCAGTAGTTTCAGAAACAACAAAACCACTTCTTTTGCAACCAAAAAGAAGAAAGAAGAAGAAGAAGAAGAAGAAAACAAAGTAATCTCCAATACATAATTGACTATCTGATAACATGAGCATCCAACGTGTCTGGCTCCTCTTGGATATGAAAGTAAGCATCGGCAAGAACCACAAACCATTAACTTAAGCCATTTTTACATTATAGATTTCTCCAACTGTGTATAATATAATATGATATAAACCCTCATTACACCTCGCAATTCTCATCCCTTTCAAATCATAACACTTTATAATTTTTAAAGGAAGAGACTTGAGAGGGTTTAAGGGTTTATATTATATATGCATTTATAATGATCGAGCGAGTATTCTAGAGCCCATTAGTATTGCCATTGGCTTCAAAATCATTAGCATATTATAGTATATTGCTATCAACTATTGTTAAGTGCTAATTAATTAAGGATAATATGTAGTTGTAAGTGGAATTATAATCTGGACTGAATCTACATTTTAAATGATGATAACAAGTTTTGATGAATAAACATGCTTCTGCATAAAAGCCCTGATGTGAATCAGCAAGATCATGGCTAACTCCACAAAATGGTATTTAAACATCAACCCTCCCTATTGCTACCAATCTAATGGTGCTTATCTAAACAGTAACACTGCATGTATCCTGTAATCTGTTTGAAGAATTAGTAAAAAGTTGCACATGTAAAAGAAAAGATTGGAGAATAATAGTACAGGGATAAAGAAAAGAAAAGAAACTGAAGCATATTAAAGACAAAAGTAAAACCAAACTCAATTATCTATTTAACTCATCAGCTGCCACCTAAAAGAATAACCAGAGTGCTTTTATGTATTCATCGGACTTGACCACAAAACATCATCTTCCAAAACAATCCTAATAAGGGTTATATTCATATTCTAGTAATTACCAATGGGCAAAAACCCTTATAACAAGTAAATACTCTGACATACAAATTTATAAGAAAAAGCTAAATTTCAATATTAAGAATTAAATCAGAATGCTTGATGAATTTATTTTCCAATTACAATATCACTTTAATCGTCACGAGAAGAAAGTGATCAACTTTCTAAACTCAAGCTTATATAATTCAACAGGATCATCATATCAGAACATTATCCAATCCACAATCATTACTGGAGCACCCATAAGAAGAACGCTGTACTTTCTCCACCATGTTTACTTCAAGGACACAAGTGAGTGTATTGAAGAGAAATTATTGTGGTAATTGATGCTGAGCAGTTTAACTGATGGTGTGTTCATAATAAGGGTTAATCTACCTCATCCAGAGCAAAATCTTATCCATTTTATTCCCCCAACTTGGGATTCTTCTCTTAATGCTTTAAAACCCACTTTCCACAACCCAGGGTCCCGTCACACAACTAATTCACGGAAATTTTTAACCATAAATCCTTTAAAAACTCCTGCTAAGCACTAACATCTACCCACAGAATTTAAACTTACAGCTAGCACAGGAACTGCCTCACTGCAGAATAGCAAACATTCCGCAAAAGAGAAAGGCATGCATCACATTTTCCCCTACCATTCATTTTACTTAAATGCCTCCATGACTAAAAAAGAGGGTGGTAAAAAGATTGATTGCCCAGAAATTCTGCAACTATACTTGACATATTATTTTCCAGTTACCTCTAATTAAGTGAAATTAAATTAGCATTTTACTAGAAAGTTTCAAATCAATGCATTACTTAGGGTTATACAATGTAATTCAAAAATATTCTCTAATTTGTTAGGTAATCTTAAACAAAAGAACATAGCTAATCATAAACCCTAATTAATTTGATTACAATCAGAAGTACAAGATGTATATAACATAACCCTAAGAAAGAAGCGGACCTGAATGATCGCTCATTTACAGTAGCGATCGGCTTTCTTCTTGACGCGATCATCGAGAGCATCCTCTACCGAATTGAATTTGGACTTTTCCTCATAACAGAACTTCTTCGCCTCCACCGGAAAAAGCTGCTCGTACTGGAGCTTCTTGGCAGCGTCGATTGTGTAAATATCACCTCCACCGCCAGTTTCACTATTATTCACCTCTACCGCGGCGGCGTCGATTTCATCATCAGCAACCTTTTTAATCTTGTTCTTGTTCTTCTTCTTCTTCTTGTCAATGCCTTTGCTACTGGTGGCTACGCTTCCTCCCTTGAAGGTGAGTCTCCCTCCTTTCACTTTCTCATAGGGGTTCGACATTCTTTTGAATTTCTTCTTCTCGAAACTCGAACAGAGACTGCGTTTATATTTTCCGACTTTCCAACCACGTCTAGAAGCACTTGATTTACAGTTTTGCCCCTCTAGGCAGATTGCTCTGGACGAGGACAACGACAAGCCGTGTTGTTTTGCTGATTTCGAGAAAGAGAAATTAAAAAATTATTAATTGATTAATCGTTTTATGGTGCAAAAGTATTCTTAATTTTGCATGTTATTACAGTTGTACCCCATTTCAACCATGGAGTGCAATTATTCTCTAACTTTTATTTCAGAATACGAAAATGTAAACGAGAAAAGCCTCTCATTTAAAAACTCATTCGAATTCGTGTAATAAGCTTATTAAGTCAAATTCAATAAGCTAAAGTCAATTAAAATTTATATTAAAATAATGCCATTTTCGTTAATAAATTTCAGCTCGAACTTAACTCGTTTACGGTAATTGAGCTAACGCCGAGTCTAGCTCGATTTTATAACAATCGGAGTAGAATGTGTGAATTCTAGATCAGTTCACATTTCACGAGTTTTTCCAGATGGATTACAGCCTCTTGAAAGTACTAATATTTCTGCTTCTGATAAAAAAAAAAAATGATCATACAGAAAATGAGAATAACTCAAGGCCAAAGTCGAGTGACTTTTCAGAACAAAATTTGAGTAAGGTGCAGCCTCCGGTTTACCTTTCTCATCTTTTAGGTGGTGAAGTTTCCCAAACAGAAAAAGAAATTACTCCTATAGAATGCAGTAAAAAGAACCATAGTTCTGTTTCTGCTCGACAGAAATGGGTACCTATTAGGTTACAGGTTCTGGGGTTGACCTCATTTGGGAGTCATCATTATATCATTTTGACAGGCCAGAAGAAGAATGGATTTTAAGAGACACTGTTGAAGATAAACTCGTTTCCAATTCCAAAGGCCTCATTTCCTCATTGACTTTGAGAATGGATGAAGTTTTTGGAAATGTGCCTTGTTTTTCTTATGAAGATAAATTCATTCGGATGTCAGAAAATCCGGGTGATTACATGCTCAAGCACAATGAAAACCAGGTTACAGTTGATTGTTTAATTAGTAAATCCAAAGATCAAGACTGTTCTGTTTTTGAAGTTGAATCAAACAAAATAGCACAAGCAATGAATGATGCCTGTAGAACACAACTAGCATCTGAGGCTATTCAGATGGCCATTGGTGGTCCAATTGCTGAATTTGAACAAGTTCTTCATTGTTCTTCTCCAATCATTTGTCAATCACCCAGTTTATTATCCTGTCAAACTTGTTTGCGGGACCAGTTTGTAGATTCATTACTATGTAGACATGAGACTCCTAATATTTCATTGGGATGCCTCTGGAAGTGGTATGAAAAACATGGGAATTATGGGTTAGAAATAAAAGCGGAGGATTTTGAAAACTCAAGGAGGTTGAGTGTTGATCGTTTTATGTTTCGTGCCTATTTCGTCCCGTATTATCAACAGTTCAACTGCTCAAAAGCCATGAAAGTCAATGTCTGAAGAGTAGCAATGAGATTTCTGCTCCTGGACTTATAGAGACATATGAGATTAGTGAAAAATTAGACAACTTAATATTGGTCACCTTCCAATATTTTCTGTACTTGTTCCTCAGTCTGTCTAACACAAAAGTTTCGTCTCAGTCAGTTGATATTACATGTTACAATAAGATAGAGCTGCTATTTGAGTACTTCGAATGAGATCAACCTCAGTGACGGCAGCCATTATATGAGAAGTAAGCATTATTTCTACTTCTTGATTGAAGTTGAACTTATTGTTACATGGATTGTTGTTTGATAGCGATGTTCCAACCCTTTTTTGTATCTTAATTAGCTCTTCTTCCCTGTTGTGAATACTGTTTCTAGTTTCTTTTGCTCATGCACTCAATATTTCAGGATCTTGTAGTCTCAACAATGATAGATCAATTGTACTATGTAGTTCTTTCTACGTGGAGGACAACATAGTAATACCATTTCTTTACTATCTTAATCGTTATTACTGGCATTCTGTTCTTTATAATATAATGTAAATTGGTATGTTGACAATGGACCAATTGTATGAGCAGTCATTTGAATAATTTTGTGAATTCTTACATATATAATCATTTGTCTGCGTTGTTTGATCGACCTGCATATCTGTTTTAACTGATTTTTTAGTTGAATGAAGATGTAGGAACCATGTCATATAGTCATCACAGACAAAATGGATTTCATAAGTTAGTTCTGAATGATATTTGATTTGCAGTTTTCGGATTGATATCATTTCTGATTCCATCCATTCCAGGATACAAGAACTGGTTAGGGGTGATAAATCCATACAACACAAAATGTATGGGGACCCAAGTAGTTTGGTTGCTCTGAACCTACATGACCTGCACTCCAGATCCTGGTCAGTAAGAGAGAAAATGGCTGTAAATTTTCTATTTTCAGTTGCTGAAACATTAGAGGTTTCTGAATTTCTTGCAGTACATTCATACACTTGTATTTGTACTTAAACTTTGGAAATCCACTAGTGCAACTCTTGTATCCGATCTTCCTTTCAGGTACTCAGTAGCATGGTATCCTATTTATAGGATACCGGACGGCAACTTTCAGGCTGCATTTTTGACTTATCATTCACTTGGCCATTTTGTGCATCGAGGCACGAATTTTGGTTCTCCCAGCGAGGATGCGTCTGTAGTTTCTCCAGTTTTGGGTCTTCAGAGTTACAATGCTCAGGTAGTTATAACATCACTTTTCTTTTCCTTCAGTGAACTTCAATGTGTTAATTGTCATGTTCATGTTTTTAAGATGTTGGTAAACTCCATTTCACTTGTCTGATTGCGTAAGAATATGCTCAAATTTGGCAATACGTTGAGTTTGAACCCACTTAATTATGATTGGTTGTCGAGAAAGTAAAGGAAAGTGAAGGAAGTTATAGAAAAAAGAGAATAGAAAGATCAAGAAGAATAAAGAAATGAGAAAGGGAGACTATCTGAGGATTTGTTATTAAAGAAGCTATAGCAGAATGCTTAGCTCGGAATATGATGCACAGAAACTTCTAGCCATAAGCGTTTCTGCGTTTCAAAAATGTTTCCCGTGTCTATTTCGCTGTATAAAAGCCGTTTTCCCTTGTAAAATCATATTTTAAATGTCGTTTCCCAGTTTCGTTTCCATATTTCTATGTTTCCATTTCCATGCAACATAGGCTCGGCATAAACTCACATTGGTTGCCAACATATGCACACCTAATGGTTTCTGTAACTACTACTATCGTAAGTATCAGAATGTCACTGCAATTACACCCAAATGAAATGCACAATCAAAATTACTGAAATTGAAATGAATTGAGAAGTAATATCTTCTGTCAACGGTCCTTCATCTTCATGCATTTTCGACAATGGCTCGTGCATTTTTAAATATTAGCCACGTTGTTTACTATGTACCGTCCGTTTTATGAACAGGTTGAATGCTGGTTCCAACTACAACATAGTGCAGTTAGCCAGACAACAAAAAATCAAAGCAGAATCCTGAAGGAGCTATTGAGAACGCTTGAGGCAGCATCTCTGATTGCAACAGCTGTTGTAAATAAAGGAAGTGAAACATCTGTAAAATAGACATCCTGATTATAAGTTTTTCCGGTCTAAGCGAAGCTACCGACTTTGAATTTTTTTTCCGATTAACAATAGCAACTGGATGTTAACAGTTATGTAGCTTTCCAGTAAGAGCTAGCATTTATAGGTCTGAAGAGATCATTATTATAGCATCTGTATATTGTTAGTAGTGCTGAAATTGATGTAGCCTTCGATCATGTAAAGACGTGTTTGATATTCAGTTAAGTGTAATTATGAACATCTGCAATTGCTCTTGGACTTTTATTCATTCAAATCCAAGACACTAAAATGACACTTTGGCTAAGAGTTAAGGACAAACAAGCCAATTTAATAAGTTGCATTTTACGCTACCAAAACAAAGCGGAAATAAAGTGTACTGCAATAAAATGAAATGCATATTTAATAAAAACATTTTATTAAAAATACATTTCACTAAATTGCATTATATTCTATTACAGCCGATCAAACCAAAAACACAGTGAGTTTACATTATTGGTTTCTCATACTGTTCTTTTGTATATTTCGCGAGAAGCATTGTATCCCTTCCTTTTGGCGAAGAAGAAAAGATCCTTACCAGATCAGTCACTCCTTTAAAGTTCATCCACATTTGGCTATACCAAATTGACATTTCAGCAATATCAAAGCATGTATCAATTACGAACATGTTCCTTATCTTATAGAAAATGGACATGTTTTTCCAACTATTTCCTATTCAATAAATTGCTCTTATATGTGACAAGTCAAAAACATCTCCACTCTGGCCAAAACAGAGATAAAGGAGAAGCGAAAACAGAAAACAAATATCTTGAGAGGGGAAGACAAAATAAAACTGCAGTAACAAGGTATTGCTAATTGATTATTTGTTAAATAAATGAAACAAAGACAGCTCTAGAACCTTTTGTATGGTGTTGCCTATGCAAAGAAATTGTCTTCTCCCTCATTCTTAAAAGATGTGGACACAGAATTATCTGTAATCTGCACCAACTGCTTCAAGGGTTGACTTGAAACCATCTCTTTCTAAGCATTCAGCCAGTTCAGCCTGCAGCAAATACGTAAAATTAAACACAAGCAACAAAAACCAAACAAACAAGACTCACCCAAATTGAAAGGTACAGATCTTTCCCATCATATATGGCATTTAAACTCAATCCATGAACTCCATGACTGGAAGTGATTGACACGTCTGGATTTGGTTTCAAAAACTTCCAGATTTGCAATCACAAAATTTATATAGTCTTGGGCTACCCAACCTCTACAACTAGCTTTTGAGGTAGAGTTCTCTCAATATTCATATCACCCACCCAAAGAATATCTCTTTAGGGTAAAAAGCCAGTAGGGTCGATGGTGTGCAGGATTTAAAACAACAGTACAACTAGCAGTGTAACCATATCATACAGCATCAGCTGTTAATTCAAAACTTAGAAGCACGTGAGAACTAGTACCTTTATTCGAGGAATTAGAGCAGGTCCCCCATAGGCAAACCCTGTATAGAGCTGAACAAGAGTCGCTCCAGCTCGGATTTTCTTATAAGCATCCTCGCCACTAAATGGTATATGAACAAAGTTCAGAAATAGAGTCTTCACGAAATTTATGATCAGATGATGATGCAATCATAGATCTTACCTGCTTATACCACCACAGCCAATTAAAGGAATCTTTCCCTGATAAGAATAAACATGCACAATGTCAAGCAATCATTAATTCATTAGATATTAACTTTGAAAGGAAAACCACAAAGAAAGGATCCCGGCATATCATAGCCACTTCCAAAAAAGTTTATAAAACATTCCATCAACAAGAGATATCTCCAGTTTTCATAAACAACGTAAACCAAATTCCTCAAAGGCTTTGAACAGTAGGATGGAAAGGGGGCAGATGATAAAGAAACAGCTTGAATAGTATAATGGTTAGGGGCAAGGGGACAAACAGGATGAATGAAAAAAATAATAAAGGAAAAAACAGAAAAGAAACAAAAAAGTCACATTAGTGGAAACAACACAAATCCATTACTATAAAAACAACAACTAACCTTGATCCCATATTAGTTTTTCAAATCTGATTCATACTTCATTCTACTCAAAAATGTACTATAAAACTCTTCTATAGACAACAAATCATTACAAAACAGGAAATAAAGAAATAAATTTTGTAATTAAAATTTTCTAACAATTACTAATTATCAAACTAATTACTCTATTTAATATTGAACTTCTTAATTACATAAAAATTTTCTGAATAATCTACTGTCCAAATAAAAAAAAATCCTATAAGATTCAGCCTCTACTATTTTACGCACGAAATCCAAAGATTGCATGATGGACAATAGGCAAAACTGAAAAGGGATAATAGACAGTGGAAGGGTGATAGCAGCAGCAGAAAATAAAAAGAAAAGAAAGAAAATTTATTGAGAAAAGGGAAAGCTTTATTTGCTTAGTCTGTATGGAGAGGATCAGACTCCTTACAACTCTGATTAATACTTCAATAATGATGAAATAAAGAACAAGAAAACGAAATATAAATACTGACAGGAAAGCAAATCACGAAATCCAAAGGATTGCATGATGGACAAATAGGCAAAACTGGAAAAGGATAATAGACCAGTGGAAGGGTGATAGCAGCAGCAGAAAATAAAAAAGAAAAGAAGAAAAATTTATGAGAAAAGGAAGCTTTATTTGCCGTAGTCTGTATGGAGAGGATTCAGACTTCCTTACAACTCTTGATTAATACTTCAATAATGATGGAGAGGATCAGACTCCTTACAACTCTGATTAATACTTCAATAATGATGAAATAAAGAACAAGAAAACGAAATATAAATACTGACAGGAAAGCAAATCAAATCCCAAGTAATTGGGAAAGTGGGGAAGTGGATAAGTGAACTGCAGCAGAAAAACCAGGCACGTGAAGCAGTTTCTATATTTTGAGAAATTCCAGAAATTGATTAATTCCATCTTCTCCAACAGTTTTGACTTCTTCCAAATGCTCTAAACCCATGTGCAAAGCACGTGAGGAGTTAAATTTCTTTCTTGAATAAGTTTTCAGAGGCGGGTTTGTATCAAAAGGGATGTGTTTTTTTGTGCATGTATATAAGTGTATGTGGGGATACATGTTTGCCTGAACAAGAAGTTAGAGCATCTCTATAGTCAAGATCATTTATTAGAAGAGAATATGGTGATGAAGATATTTTGCAATTTTGAAACATTAAGAATTAGGCAAAAAATTATAGAAATTTGAAAGAACATGACTACACGAAAATCACCAAGTAAGTTTTCTCCCATGGCTCATCACTGACTAGCATCCGGAATTTCAACCACAAAATAATCAACACACTATCATGAAGATAGCAAAATTTGAGGCAGAAGTTTCTAACAAACAAAATGTATCACAAAAGCAGCTATCATACCCTTGTCAAAATATACATCTCTTTTAAGATGTTGGTCGATAGATTGAATAGAGGTTTGCCGCTTAAACCACCTGATTCCTTAGACACTGCGTACTTCCTTACGGGATCTGGCCTTGATATGGTTGTATTTGATATAATCTATCCACAAAGCAGACAAATCAAAATCAGAGTCCATTAGCAAACAATAAGGTTGTATTACGCATAGTCATACTCCGTAATAAGCATAGTTATTAAAGAAACAAGGCATAGTAACGCATGAAAGGATCATGAAGTGCACACATGTGCCTTGGAAGGAGAAGGTGCACAAACACAGCAAATAAAATTTTCCAGAAGAGTCAAAATTAGCATCATACATACGTGAGAAAACTAAATAATAAATACTCCCTTATTTTAGATTTGCAAACGTGTATGCAATGTAGGATCTTTGGGATTGTTTCTGCTAGAATTAGTAGAATCCATATTCCACACCAAGGGCTGAAGAAAAAGATCAGGGTAGACAGAAATTGCAGAATCCATATCTGGGATGAACTGAATGTCAGTGTCTATCTCCTACTATGCAAAAAGGTTTCTTCGAGTTTAATGGGAAAAAAAACAAGGAAAACAGAAATAAAAAAATAGACCACAAAAGGGAGAGAAAACCAAGGACAAATAAATAAAACGGGCAGCCCGATGCACGAAGCTCCCGCTTTGCACAGGGTCCGGGGAGGGGTCAGACCACTTTAGGTCTATAGTATGCAGCATTCCCTTGTATTTTCAGAAGATGCTGTTTCCACAAGTCAGACCCATGACCTCCAGGTGAAGACGCGCCCCCCCCATGCTGTTTTCCACAAGTCAGACCCCGATGACCCTCCAGGTTTGAAGACGCGCCCCCCCCCCCCCCCCCCACCCCCCCCCCCCCCCCCCCCAAAAAAACTAAGGACAGTGAATGAGAAAAACAAAAAAACCTTTTTCTTTTTCTTTTTTCTTTTTTTTTTTTTTTTTTTTTTTTTTTTTTTTTTTGAATTCTTCTCCTTTTTTCTCTTGTCTGCCTTAAGAATTGATGTGTACCCCTAACCAAATATTTACCTCGTATCAGTAGCAAAACCAAAATACATCAAGAAAGATTTTTTTTTTTTTTTTTTTTTTTTTTTTTTTTTTTTTTTTTGAATTTTCTCCTTTTTTCTTTTGTTGCCTTAAGAATTGAGTGTACCCCTAAACCAAATATTTACCTCGTATCAGTAGCAAAACCAAATAACATCAAGGAAAGAAAAAGATAAAAATAGTTGTAATCAAAATACAAAAGACATGCCTTTGTTGCACCTTGTGCTGCCCAAGAAAAGGCATGTGCTTAAATTAGGATGTCGGCTCAGCTACAATAGAGAAGCTAGACCTAGCACCTGTTGAGCCTTGAGCCTAAGGTGTGTCTTTAATAACTATGTCAATAAGTTGCATGCAAAGTAAAAAAAAACAATAAAGTACATCAGCATCTTGTTCAAGTGCAGTTGAAATAATGTGGTACTTGGAGAGGCAAAAAACTCATTTTGTAATTTAATTTATTTAAGCAACTTGTAATTTAATTCATTTAAGCAACTTTGGGACTGATGGCTGAAAAATTGTAATCTCTTCCTGCCACACCTCCAACCTCAACATGCTCCTGAGCTCTTTAGGATGCAGAGACTAGTGATAAGAATGTTGGACAGCAAGTTAGTCACCTTATCAAATACTGCTTGTGAATTCTTAGCTGGTCTTTTGAAGGTGTTCCAAACAAGCTAATCACTAAATCCCATTACAATCGTTAAGTTTTAATTTGTCTTTTAAAAATACAAAACCTTGATTTTCATAATGATAAAGCCACTGGGACCAAAATCCACTCACACCAAAACCAAAAGTGTGACATGATAAGTACATTGCAGTTTCTTTCAATTTAAGTTGTACGCTCAGCAGACCACTCGAAAAAATTTTTCTTCTCTCTTCTTGCACTTTATCCTGCTGTATGTGCAGGTAAAACACTGGAAAGAAAAAAAATGGCACCCTCTCTCTCTCTCTCTCTCTACTAAGCATATACAAATATATTTAAGAAGTCCAAATTTTCACATCAAGCTAACTGTAGAGTTGAGATACAGTATCAAATTTTGACATGAGCAAATTCAAAGGCAATAACCAAATACAATGCCATCTAAATGAACACAATTAACATTTGCTTTTACAACCAGTTCATTCTTCACATGCAAGAAAATAAAAAGAGGAATGTGAAATACAATAATGAGAAAAGAGGAGGGGAGAGAAGGGGGGATAGAGATCATATGCATGATATTAGGGAATCGCATTGGAAATTTCTTCTTCTCACTTACTAGTGTCATCTGGCATATTACTTATTACCTGCTACATTCTGTTGCTAAAATAAGGGATCATACCACATGCATTGCATACCAAAGAATGTGATGTCTCCGCAAAGTTACAGAAAATTTCAACACATGTATCCACTAAATTATAGATTTACCTATCAAGCATATTAGCAAGTAGCATACAATAAAAATTGAAAATCTTAACCAGAAATGCTTAGCCCACTTTAAGCAACCAAGACTTATGAAGCATCGACATTTCAGAAATATAAACAAAAGTAGTTTTGGTTCTTGATGGGAGGAAAAAGTACCAGTCCATCCAAGCGGAGTGCAAGAGCAACCTATTATCACACAGAAGAACTATAAGATTGCTACATATGGAAATTGAGAAAAAGATATTAAAATAAGAACATTCACCCACTGCTGCTATGTCTTCAAGGTCTTCCTTGGACAAGTCAGGTGCAATCTTCACAAGCAAAGGAGGTGGACCTTCTTCACCCCATTGCATTTCATCACGGGCAGCTTGAACCTAAATAAAAGGGGGGAAAATGTAAAAAGCTCAATTCAGCATTAGACCATGAGATAAATGAGAAGAAGAAAGCAACAAGTTCATCTTTAAATCTTTATATCATCGCACCTTCTTCACAAGGTCCTTTAATTGCTTTCTTCCCTGAAGCATACGCAATCCGGGAGTATTGGGCGATGAAACATTAATAACCTAGGAGAATTGAAACATATATTTGTCAAGTTTGTGCAAATAGAATACAATTCTTTGGCATCTGAAAAAACAAAATGCTGGAAATTAAACCTCTGGTAAGGATGTTCTAAAAGAAACTCAATTGACATGAAAGAAGATGATAGCCAAGGTAGCTAAGCCCCCCATTTAACCTGAATCCAGTGGAGGATCCATAAAATCATAAAATTTTACAATCCTCGAAAATACAAATTGAAAATGGTAAATAACACAGTGGACCAATTTATTAAAATTTAAAATATAGTCTTTGTGTTCCAATTTTACCATAAATATAAAATTATACATAAGATGTAGGTGTCAACTTCTTTTTGGAAAAATAAAATAACACATTGCTACAATCATAATTAAACAATTGCAAGGTTCATATATAATGGTTAAAACCATAATAGAGGTAACAACTTACATTAAACTAAGTTTATAACCTGTGAATTTTCATTCAATTACATTGGTTTGGAACAGATGGGTTGATTGAGCTTTTTCTTGTATAACCCTACTGAACAAAAATTTCCAGGAATAACAAGATGATCATCATTTTATTTTAGATATAGATTGAACTTTGGTAACTCATATCAAATAAGAGTGAACTTTGGTAACTCATATCAACTAACAGTCTTTACTAGACAGCATATAAGAAGAAATTTACAATCAATCATTTCTTAGACAATCACACATCTCCTTCCCAAGGTAATAGACTGCAATAACAGAAATTTGCCTCATATTACATCTCTTGTAATCATTGTACACATGCAACAAATGTTTAGCGAACATGTCAAAGACTAAAAGCCATTTTAATCTCTCATCTGTTTTGAACAGATAGATGGACTATTCTGCTGCTACTTCACTTTTAACTTCTCAATTTAGACATAGCTGGGTTAAAAATTAAATTTTCTTTCATGAGAAGTCAAGCTTAAACGTAGAACTGCTAATAAACCCGCCTAGGCCCTACATAAATTGTGCTAACAGAATTCATAAATGTGGTAAAGAAACTTTGACAGAATAAAGAGAAGCAAAATGAAGGAACCCAGGAAAAATTAAAAAAGAAAAATCTACCAAGTAATCGGCATACTGGGATAATGTATGAACCCCTTGAACATAATCTGCAGCAGCATCTTCACTTGTCTTGTTCTTTCCTAGATTGACCCCAAGAATGCCAGGTCCAGCTTTGCCTCCATGTTTGACATCACCACTTGGCGAAGATGAAGTGCTTGAAGTTTCGTCCAACTTCCTCTTTCCATGTTGAGCACCCAATCGCTTTGCAACAGCAACAATGCCTTCACTGTTAAACCCACAGCGATTGATAATTGCACTGGCCAAAAAGATCAGACAAATATAGAAGTCAGTACTGGAACACTTCTGTAGACTCTGTCACGTTAAAAATCATCACTTTTAGGCGTCCAAGAACCAAAAGTTAAAATTTATACAAATTCAGGCAGCTTCCTAATTAACAAACGGACCAAAACAGGAAATCCCTTCTTACATTACCTTCTTTATATGCATTTACAACTTTATATAACAAATATAACAAAATTACCATTTTATACTTTCCCCCTTCTTGCACTTACAGCCTTACTTTTTTATATTTACAAACTTTATGCATATATAAAGAAGGCATGGTGATCACTATTCATTTATCATTACTTACAAAAATATTACATATTTGCCATTACATATCATTACAAATTTGCCATTAACTTCAACATTGATGATTAAGTCTTTATATAATAACCAAATCATACATTAACTCACAATGATTTCAATTTTTTTAAGTTTTACTTAAATAATTTAATGTAGTTACCCTCCTATTATTGGAATTTGATTTAAAAGTAACATTACTATAGTTAGAAGTATGATAGAAAGTTTATTTTATTTCCCTTGGTAATATTTGATAATTACAATCTTACATTTATATAGCCTTGGGGTGTCTCCTTCCCTACCCTCTTTTCCTTCTATTGCATTCTCACCTGACCAAAAGTAACATAGCTATTAGAATAAAAAGGCTCAACTTCTAATCCAAATCCTCTCTTCCTCTGTCTTACAACTCAAAATTGGAAAGTCTCTATTTTAGAATGCTTTTAAAAGAAAAAGACACAATTTTATTTATTGGTGATGGTGACAATAAAAATAAGAAAGTTTGAGGGAGCCTCTGAAATAAAAATCAATAACATATGCATTGTTTTTCTTCTGACTTTCACAGGTAACTTCTCGAAATTTTAAAAAGTTCAAATCTTTTTTAATATTAATTCTGATTATAATTTTCTAATGAATGCAAAAAATTTACATACTATCCTAAGCTCAAGAGACTACAGTTGATTTCAGGAAATAACCTGAAATTTTTTACTGATGAATTCTATTTGTGACAATATAGTAATTGCACATTTATATTTGATAAAAAAAACTATATACTACAAACATATTCTAGTTTGTAATTATTTAATAAAGTAGCAAAGTTAGAAGAAGTAGCATCCTCACCCTTCCTCACGCAATCTGAAAATGCGTGGCTTTGCATTACCCTCCTGTGGAACAGGTGTAACAGAGCCAACCTCAACAAACCCAAAACCCAACCCAAGCAAGCCTTCAACAGCTTCAGCATTTTTATCAAAACCAGCAGCAAGACCTACAGGATTAGAAAATTTCCTTCCCCAAACCTCCAACCCTAAAATGGATGGGTCAGGCCTCTTTTCCTTTGGAACCCAACCACGAGCTGCAGCTGATACAGCAAGTTTATGAGCAACCTCAGCATCTAAAAGAGCAAAAAATGGATTCACTACTTTTGTTGCGTCAAATAGCCAACCACTGCACCAAATATTCAAGAAAATTAAAAAATTGCAACTCAAACTAACACCGATGAACTGAAATTAACTGCAACAAAGGATTAAAACAATAGGAAAATTACAACTGAAACTAACATCAACTGAAATTACCAGAAAGTTGCTTCGTCGACTGTACTGACATAAGCTCCTCCAGCTATAAAGAGTCCTATAGTGAGTCCTGTGAATAGTCTCCCCTGCAATTGAAAGTGCAAAGCTATAAAAAAAAAAAAAAATGTATTTTCATCCTCAAGAGAAAGAGAAAGAAAAAGCCATTACTTTTCTGGAGAAGTGAGGGATTTTAGGAGGAGTTTCTGTAGCAGAAGAGCAATGTCTAACACCTCTAACAGGAGCTGAAATTACTCTTTTGTACAAAAATTCTTTCAATAATCTCCTTGAAGCCCTTGCAGCCATTATTTCTATTCAAATCCAAGAGGAAGTATAAACCTCAGTTATTTCAAAAAAGAGAAAAAGAAAAAAAGAAAAATCAAAACTCAAAAAACAGAAAGCTTAGAAACGCAGAGAAGGAATAAGAGAGAGGTGACAGTCTGCAAGACGAGGAATCAAAAGAACGAAAGAGGGGTTCAGTTGTTCGCCTATTATGAAAACTACGTCGTTCTGTTTAGAGGCGGGGACACGGGGTTATTAATACGTTGTGTCTCTCTCTCTCTATCTATATATATATATTTTTTTTTTTTTCTTTAAAAAAAGAATCTCTACTTTTAAAAATTAATTATAAGTTTTTTAACTTATAATTTTCTTAGAATTATGATCATTTTCTTCGAAATAAAAAGGTCAAAGTGTTAATGGAATCATAAATTAGGCTTCTTAGTTAATTTGACACTGAAAAAAATGTCATTTTAAATGAAATGACTCAATTATTAACAAAATTATAAATTAAAAACCTCATAATTTTTTTAAATGAATTAAAAATCACATAATTAGTTTTTAAAAATTAAAAATATTAATTTAACTATAATTTTTACTTTTTCCTTTTTTAATTCCCAATTTCTCAATCTCATTTACTAATTTTATTATCAAATTATTAGATTAATGTAAAAGAGAGTAAAATACCTTCATCAATTTTTTAAAATGACTCAATTATTTGTTATTTAAGGCTAATTACATACATTTAACATTCTACGTAGAAAGAACCGTAAATGAGACAACACCTCACGCATATATATTTTAGCGCTGGACTTAATAAAAATTTACTTTTTTTTTTTTTAGTATTGAATAAGTGAATTTGAACTTCGATATATCGTCAGATCATATTGCACTTGCTACTATATGAGGTTGGTAAGCTAATTCGTATGTTACATGCCCCATATGTATATAATTTTTAAGTATAAATATATTTTTTAAAATTATTTTTCAAAAAATAATTTTAAAATTTACACAATTTTAATAAAAAAAATTAAAGTATTACTAAATTTAAAATTTTAAAATATAAATTTTAAAAAATGTAAAAATTTATGAGCGTCAAATGAGTAAGGTAAATTAATTAAAAAGAAGATGTAAACTCTATTGAGCTTGTTTAAATTTGCAAGCTTTACACAAATTGGATGATATTCAATTTTGTTTATTAGTGAGTCAAATTTGAGTTCATCAAAACTCAATTTAACTATTTAATTTAACTCTTTTATACCCATATTTATGATATAAGTTATATCTCTCTCCCATTATTAATATTAAGATTATTATTATTATTATTATTAAACCTACATTTAGGTCATTAACTTATATTTTAAATTATACTTTTATCTCTATCGGATCATTCTATTCAAAAAATTAAAATTTTCCATCTAAAAATTAGCACATTTTATCTCAAAAACGCGTCTAATTAACGATAAAGTGAAACTTTTTGTACATAATAACCTAATAATGTGTTTAAGCAAATATTAAGAAATTTATAGTAATTTTAAAAAATCAGATAGCCAAAAGTGTTAAATAGAATATAAGTTATGGACCCAAATGTATTTTTTCTTTTTTTAATAAAATAACATCACTCACCAAAAAGGAAAAAAGAATGTCATTTTTTTATAAAAAAATGAAAAATTAATCATAGTGTACAACACTTTTTTTTTTATATATATATATAAATTTCACACTTTTTTTTTTAAAGGTTCATACATAGTCTAAACAATAATATAAAAAGGGAAAACAATGCTTTTAAAAATTAGATAAGAATAATAAATAAAAGTAAATTATATGTTCAGATGAATTTAATAATCATTAAAAAGTAGAGAAAATGAATTGAAATCTTTTCGGTAATATTAGTTCTATTAAGTGTTACATTTTAATTATTAGCTTTTAACATGTAATTGTTTACATAGGTTTAAATTAGAAGTGTTCGGTAAAAATATCTGTTTTATTTAAAATGACTAAAAACGACATTAATTGTTTAATTAATTGAATTTAAGGAAAACAAATAATGGGTGTGCTTGTTCAAAAAAAAAAAAATCTAATTAATCGTTGTGAAATGCTAAACGCTGGAGTGTTTAATATTCATAAAAAACTTCATTAATCTGTAAAAATTACTATAAAAATTATAATACAATTAATAAAGGTAAAGTTTTAACTTGATCAAAATATTAAACCTGTTGCCGAACAAGACCTAAACTAAAAATCTCATTCTCTCAATATTTTCTATAAAACGTAATAAGACTCGTCGCACCGTGAGAAATTTGCAATTTAAATAATTAAATTGGAATAAATGAATATTAAATTATTTTTAAGGAAATAAAATTAATTAATTAATTACTCTTCTTCGTCTGGATGATGATTATTTTAGTGGTGGTGCTTGACTGAAAAATGCAAATAGTCCGTCAGCTTTTTGTGGTCACTGGTCAACGATCAACCATCCATGGCCGACAAGCAATTGTGGTGAGTACTGAGTAGTAATAATAATCACTGATAAAAGTGACAAAATTGTAAACTACTGACTAATAAAGACATTTCTCAAAAATAAATAAAAATATCTATATTTAATATAATACAATTTGTAAATATATATAATAATAATAATTTTTTATAATGTTTATAAATGTCCACCTAAATAAATTATATATAATTGCAAAAATTCATATGTTGAATTAACTTGATCTAAGTAAATATAACCAATTAATATTAAATATTAAGATTACGGTAATCATTTTTTAAAAATTACAGAAGCGTTTTATAAAAAATTAATTCTTAAATTACTCAAACAGTTAAAAGTTAATTACCAAAAGATTTAATTTTACCTTATCAAAAAATGAGAACGGCTTATTCATGAATTTTTTTTAGACTAAATTATTGAAAATTTTATGTTTTTAGAAATAAAGATATTTTGATCATGCATGAGAAAAAAAAAAGTAAATTTGAAAATAATTTAAAAAAATTTATAATGTAGTTAGTTTTTGAAAGGGATATAATGTAATTAGTTGATGTACGGTGGATCTATGAATCGAATTTAAATAAATCTTATATCCAAAAAACTAACGTGGGATACCCGTTGGAAAAAAAAAGAAAAGAAAAGAAAAGTCAAACAGAAATTAAGAAGTATACGCAATAAGTCAATACTCGCAGCCAAGGTCTTTGGCTTGACCTACCGCCTCAGCATTTGGATCACTTGTTGCTAGTCAATTCTCAGAACCTTCGTAGTCCATACCATTACCATATTGTATAATCTATATTTCTATCTTTCTTCTATTTGATGATTTGATTTCACAAACCACAGATTAAGAATCAAAACCAAACCATTTTCCTCTCTCTCCATTAAAAGATGGATAAGAATGACGAAGTGGGTTTTGATTCAGAGAATTATGACAAGAAGAAGAAAAACCCACAACAAGATGAAGTAGAAGAAGGAGAAGGAGAAGACAAGAAGCATTTTTCAGTAGAGCAAATATTCAGAGAACAAGAGGTTCCATCATGGCAACAGCAACTGACTGTGAGAGCTTTTGTTGTGAGCTTCATTTTAAGTATACTATTCACCTTCATCGTCATGAAACTAAACCTCACCACTGGAATTATACCTTCACTCAATGTATCAGCTGGTCTTTTGGGTTTCTTTTTCCTCAAAATTTGGACTTCTTTTCTTGAAAAGTCTCGGTTATTGAAACATCCCTTTACTAGACAAGAGAATACTGTTATCCAGACTTGTGTTGTTGCCTCCTCTGGGATTGCCTTTAGTGGTATGGCCTTAATTCTTCTCCTTTTTGATTACTCTAAATTTTATTTATTTTTATTTTTTCTTTACAAATTTTGGAATCGATAATTTGGCATTAGAAATGCATATTTGATTATAATAAATATAGATTTGCTCTTTACTTGCTGAATTTTCAATTTTAAAAAAAGTTAAATCTAACAAATAAAGAGACATCAGAATCAGACATAAATGTACAGCTTTTTGCTTTGTCTTCTTCTTTTCTGGTGGTAGAAGGCTGCCAAAATTGTTTGGAAAAAGGAATCTTGGAAAATTAGAATCTCATCCTTTTGAGAATGTAAGATGAGATATTTTTCCTGTGCTTTTAACTAATTTAAAATAAGTGTTTATTATTTTCTTTCTTTTTTTTTTTTTAAGGCAATTATTGAGATCAACCTTGTTGGGAAAGCAACTATTCTCCAAAAGCTAGACAACTAGTATGTAATGATGACGACAATGATGATGATGAAGAATAATAATTAATTAATTAATTAATAACAAATTAAGCTAAAATTCATGTATATTTCTGATTAGTTGGGGGGGAAATTAAATTTACTTGTAATTTTTATATATACAAAATGCTTGCAGCTTGGAGATGTCCCTTATCTTTTGAACACAGGAACCATTTCTCATGGAGAAAGAGTTCATTTCCATTCTCTGTAAAAGATAATTGCTCTTCTAGCTATCTTACTCTAGGTGATGAAGGTGTTGATACTTATACTTTTGGAGTTTCATAATATAGTTGTAGTGCTCAAGTGCAAGTTTTTAGAGGAAATTCAGTAACATGTCACTAGATATCTTAATGAGCGTAATTATGCATCTGAGTTGGTTTAAGTATAAGGAGTTCTCTTAAATGTGTATCAGATAAAAAGTTATGCAAGCATAAAAAATTTCAAGAGTTGCAAATTTTAAGTGTTGAGCAGCAGGAAATTGACAAAGACGGAGAAGGAACTCCTTGTGATGGTTAAGGATTGTCAATCTTGTTGATTATTTGAGGTCTGATGAGGATGTGATGGAAGAGCATGTGATTTCTGTTTTTCTTTTTTAATTTCCTAGGTTCTCTTGTGTATATTCGTCCTCATTCAAGGTTGATGTCTTTAGAGGTGGGGAGAATGATATAGTATATCATGACCTAAGCCATCTTTAGGAGAAGCACCTGTTGCAATTCTTATGCTTTTTTTAACAATAATAGGAAACATAATAAAAATTTCTATATTTTTTTGCAGGATGATTTAACAAATTTCTATTTTATTTCTCTATGAAAAATTGTAGCACCTACTGGCAAATTATATTTTTAATTGAATGTAGTATTTTAAAAGACTAGTCTTTAGGATTCTAAATCAAATCTACTTACTGTGATAACCATATCATATATGGGTTTGAAGATGAGAATCATAATTGGAAGAAATCAAATTTAAAGTTGAGTAAAAATCATCCTCTAAAGCAGTTTTCTCCCAACCCATTCATGATGCATCCACTTTCAAGTCTATTAACTTCAAACCATAGCATCCTTTGGTCTTTGATCATTGGAGCATCTGACACATACAGTCTACTTGCTCTCATGTTTGTGCGCCTGAAGGATGAAAAATTAGCAATAAAATAAAGACAAAGTGTCTACAGCTGTTATCATTTCTGTCTGTAAAAATACAATCGTGATAACGAGCATGTGTTTCAGGCTGTCAAGTAGAAAATCATTTGATGATTATCACAATGACATTATAGTGCTCTAATTGTTTTCAGACAAAATGAGTTCGGTTGCCCAGTGTAAAATTTAAAGGATGTTACTAGTTAATTTTAGAGCAAATTGATTGCAACAAAAATATGCATAAACTATTTTTTCCTTGGCCAACACAAAAGTTTTGGTGCTTCGTACTTGATGAAGACATTTCCTTCCCATACATTCTGCTGTTATACGTATGCATTGCACTAGGAAATGCATAATCCTTCTATGAGAAGTTTGAAATGATATGAACTTATTTTCCTAGTCATCCATGGTCATTTAAGAAATATCCTTGATGAAAAAAATAATAAACAAATGAGAAATGTAAACAAGGTAAACAGCAATGCTGATTGGTTATATCCGATTTAGACCAGAGTTTCCAATTGGCTCACTTACTTGAACTACTTAAGCTTTTTGTGAATTTACTTACTGGCCTACTTTGAGAGTGATGGACTCCAGTCAAAATGGATGATGACATTTCAACTAATATTAAAAATAGTTAATCAAATCTTACTTCTACCAAACTTGTTTAGAACCCGACAATATGAAATGCCAAATCTGAAAGTGTGTTCATGGTTGATGATTGCTTGTCTTGTTGATGAATATGTGTGTTTGAATTTTATATGACAGCAGTCTGTTTCATTCTATATTTAATATTCATCTACTTAAAATTTAACATTTTGATCTCTCATGCACAAATAGGAGGGTTTGGGAGCTACCTGTTTGGAATGAGTGAAACTATTGCCAAACAATCGAATGACAAAAGTGATCACAAAAATCCAGCAGTAGCTTGGATGATTGGCTTTCTGTTTGTAGTTAGCTTTCTGGGCCTTTTCTCAGTGGTGCCTCTCAGGAAGGTAAAATACTGAATAGAAAGAGTGCTAACAGTTAAAAGTAAACTCATCATATATGATTATCTTGTTGGCCTTGGTTTCTATAGAATTTATCCTACAATCTTGTTTTCTTGTGTGACACAATTGGCTTTAGATCATGATCATAGACTTCAAATTGACATATCCAAGTGGCACTGCAACTGCACATCTCATCAACAGCTTCCACACTCCTGCAGGGGCCAAACTAGCTAAGTAAGGCATTAATTTATATATAAATATATATTTTTTTAATTGGTTATTGTTATGTGACAATTTTTACAAATTCAATTACCTTCTTTGTGCTGCCATTGTAGGAAACAAGTGAAAACATTGGGCAAATTCTTCTCTTTTAGCTTCTTGTGGGGTTTTTTCCAATGGTTCTATACGGCTGGAGATGGTTGTGGATTTTCGAACTTTCCTACATTTGGGCTCAAAGCATATGAAAACAAGTAAATACATTACTTAACCTTCAAAAAATCTAGTTAATGGAAAGCCGTTCTTGAGACAGAATATGTCTGTATATTCTGGCGTGTATACATAAAGATCGTTATATTTACAGGTTTTATTTTGATTTCTCGGCAACATATGTTGGAGTTGGAATGATATGCCCATATATAGTAAACATATCAGTGTTGTTTGGAGGAGTTCTTTCCTGGGGTCTGATGTGGCCTCTAATAAATACTAGAAAGGGTGATTGGTTTCCTGCAGACCTTAGCTCAAGCAACATACGTGGCCTTCAGGGTTACCGGGTAAGTTTCTCATAAAGGAAACAAAAGGGCCTTCTCCATAAAAATAATGCTTCCAAAAGGCCTTTCATTCCCACTGACTAGCTTATGCAATGAACTCAGGTATTTATTGCCATTGCCATGATCCTGGGCGATGGTTTATACAACTTCTTTAAGGTGCTAAGCCGAACGCTTGCTGCTTTGTTTCTCCAACTTAGAGCCCGAGGTGCAAGCAGTGGTCTCCCTATTGCTGACCGTCATTCTCCCAGGAGTACCAAGTTCGCTTATGATGAGGAACGCCGTACTCAACTCTTTCTCAAAGATCAAATTCCAACATGGTTTGCTATTGCAGGTTACATTGTGGTTGCTGCTGTTTCTACTGCAACTCTTCCTCACATCTTTCATCAACTCAAATGGTATTACATAGCAGTCATCTACATCTTTGCACCTGCCTTAGCATTTTGTAATGCTTATGGATGTGGACTCACTGATTGGTCCCTTGCATCCACCTATGGGAAGCTTGCTATTTTTACTATTGGTGCTTGGGCTGGTGCCTCGCATGGGGGAGTTCTTGCTGGACTTGCAGCTTGTGGCGTAATGATGAACATTGTCTCTACAGCTTCTGACCTCACTCAGGATTTTAAGACAGGTTATTTAACTCTGTCGTCTCCACGGTCAATGTTCGTGAGCCAAGTAATTGGAACTGCAATGGGTTGCATAATTTCCCCATGTGTCTTTTGGCTCTTCTACAAGGCCTTCGATGATCTCGGGTCTCCTGGAAGTCAATACCCTTCTCCTAATGCTGTTATTTACCGAAACATGGCTATGCTGGGGGTACAAGGCTTCTCGGCATTGCCGAAGGACTGCCTCTTGCTTTGTTATGTGTTCTTTGGTTCAGCCATTCTGATCAACTTCACCAAAGACACATTGGGTAAGAAATGGGCAAGGTATATTCCTCTTCCAATGGCAATGGCCATACCTTTCTATCTAGGACCATACTTTGCCATTGACATGTGTGTGGGAAGTTTGATTTTGTTTGTGTGGGAAAAGATCAATAAGGCGAAGGCAGACGCTTTCGGCCCTGCGGTGGCTTCCGGTTTGATTTGTGGGGATGGAATATGGACTTTGCCTAGTTCAATTCTTGCTCTGGCTGGGATTAAACCACCCATTTGCATGAAGTTTTTGTCAAGAGGAACAAATAGCAAGGTTGATGCTTTCTTGGGGCAATGAGGCTGAAAGTTAAGCTTCAAGACTTGATTGTATTATTATACATTACATATGTGCAGTTTCTCAAGATTGACTATTTTATAGCCATTTCTGAAAAGAAAGGATATGTATGGTAAATTTGTATGAAGCCTTGGAAAATGATTGTTAGTCATCTGAAGAAAGGAAAAGAACATGTAAAAGTGTATGCTTTTTTGGAGTTATACTAAGAGTGTATGATTAGCCATTGAATGGCAGAACGCAAGTATCCTTATGTTTTTCAATTTCTAGTCGAGCTACATTGCTATATTGGCCCTGCTTAGCAATAACTTTCCATATAGAACGTAGGGAAGTGAATGCTAGTTAAAACAATAATTTTATCAAACATGCCTTACATATTGTATTAATTTCATCGAACATGCCTTAAATATTAGTATGTTTTACTCCACTATACAAGTGAAAATAGTGAAAAATTAGGAAAATTAAAAAAAAAAAAAAAGGGGCACAACCAAAAATCACCATATTTCCATTTACTGGATTCTTGTTAATGTTTAATTAATCTTATTTTATTACAAGTTTAACATAGACCGGAATGTTACATGTAGCTTCTACCATATACATCGATTCAAATTTTTACATAATTGAAATAATTAAATTTAAAGACAAAAAAGAAGTGAATCAAATTCCAAATCAAATTGAAATTCTAGAAATGACCTAAAGATTTTAAAAATACATATAAAAAATAAATAATTCCATTTGCAATTTTTTTTTTTATAATGTAAACAATAATTAATAGAGGTTAGATATTTACATTCATTAACCTCCAAATGCCAATTTTTCTTAATTCTCAAATGAGGGATTAAATAATGGAATGAATATAAAGATTTTAGCTATTATAAATAACTATTAAAATCTATAATTCCTTCCTTTTAAAACTCCCAAACAAAGTAATGTTAATTAACTTTGGTTTTACAGTTCCTTCACTTCCCATTGACTTCCATTCTCATAAAATTCCAATGCAATAGATAATCTAAAACCTGTCGACAGATAAATTATAACCTCTCAACATATGCCAAAGCCAGATTTAAAGTTTGAAATCTTACATGAGAGAGATGAAGTGAATCTAACATTGTTTTATTACATGAAATAGTTGGTAGATATAGTGAAGCAATACAAGTCTAAATTCCATTTCATGGGACAAATCTCACCATACAACTTAGAACAATAGCAAATGCAGCTTTTCTCATTCTTCTGCAGCACTTGCAGCACTCAAGTCCACACTTAGATCAAGTTCCTGCATAACAAAATCAAAATTAGTTACCAATATAAAAATATTAAAATCGTTCCGCAAACTGACAGAACGAGGAAGTAAATGGATGTGATTTCGACAACTTCTACTGCCCATTCACATCCTTCACTTTCTTTCTCCATCAAGGTTGGGAGAGTTGGGAATGAAACTGTGTGATTAAATATTAAAGCAAAAGCAAAAAATAAAACTTTCTAGCAACACTACAGCAACTCGTTCCAACTTTTTTCGCCTACTCTTTGGTAAGCCATAATGCAATATAATGGTGATTACATTTTGTAAGTTTCTTTATGACGTTATTAAGAAATTCATGCAACGTAATCATCCATTACATTGCATTACAGCTTACCAAACATATTATTTTCTAAAGGAAATGATCCTCCCTGACTATTCCTCAAAGCAAATTTCACTTGATGCAATAGATTATTAAATAGAACCTCAATTTCAAGGGTAAATCACCAAAAAATAAAGACAAAAAAAGAAAATTATAGCTTTTTTTCTTACCTTTCCAGTGATCAAGCTATACATATTCAGAACATCTGTAACAGTCGACTCAAAATGTGTTGTAGCATCATAACTCTGTTGATATTGAAGGAATCCAATCAGGCAGCGATGGAAGTAAAGCAGCATGCACATAAGCAAATCAAAGCAACCATTAACAAAAATCAAAATATACTTACTGTTGATATGAAGCAATTGTCCAAAGAGGGTTCATTGACTGGTTCATATCTGTCATAAATTTCATAGAATATCTCATCAACTGGACCTAGAAGGTCAATTCCAGGCTTCAATTCAACCTCAGGATGATCAGTCTCTGCCTCGGATGAAACAAATGCAATAAATTTGCCCTTTGGAGCAACATTGTGAGTATATGAACAGCAAAAAAGGTACCTGTTCAACATTGAAGTAACAAAAGAATTAAGAGTAGCAACACAGAGATAGAATTTTAATTTGCCAAGATAAAGCCACAATAATGAAAGCTTCCCTCTAAGCCTATGCCAGTTCGAATTAGGCATCCCATTTGGTAAGAAAAATTTTCATAACCAACAGCAAAATGCACAATGCTTGACTAAGTAAATTATTTCACAGAAAGTTATGCTCTTTCCAATTCATCCTTCATTAACAATCAAGCTCAAGTCAGAGTTTTGTATTCACCCACAATTTATCCAAACAGTGAAGGGTAGCATCGAAAAGTCAAACAATTTTAATCATTAGAATTCTAATAATCTTGGGACGGAAAAAAAGAGATATTTGTGAGAGAAATGGTCGTAATCTGGTACTCACATGTCTGATCTACGACCCAACTGCTTTTGTGGCAGGATAACCTGAGCTGAGTGAGAATCATTGGTGTTTGGAATTGGGTGGCTCATAATGGCAATTGCCCTGGCAACCCTACCAACCTTCCTGACCTGTTCAAATGCACACCATTTTCAGTAAATAAGATTGTTCAAATTCTATCTTTAGAAGAGACATAAGAGTAAAGAGTCTAATTTAAATAAAAAAATTTTGCACCATTATTCAACTTTTTATTTTCAACCAGCCACAAGAGAACTGATAATGAAATGAATACCTTGTTTGGCATGTAAGAAGGATCACAAACAACTTTCTTGCACCTAGCAGTTTCACCTTCTGATGTGACACCACAAACTTTGCCTTCCTCATTGAACTCTACCTGTAAGTAGAGCAACATGCTAATATCAAATTTTGCATTCACACAGAAAACAATATGCAGATGCATAATATCCTCATATATACAACTGTGTTGTTACATGATATAAAAGTCAAAAAATGGAAAATTTCAGGAAAGTTAAGTACCTTGCATTCAGGTTTATTCAACATATATGTGCCACCATAAACAGCACTAAGCCGTGCAAATGCCTGTGTAGAAAAGAAAATCAACAGCAAATAAATATATAACAGCATAGCCTATTTGTTTTACATGTTTTTATGAAGCCAACCTGAGGAAGTTCTCCTAATCCATATAAAGGATAAATATATGGTGATCCTCCTTGAAAACGGGCAAGAGACTCCGCATATAGCTACAACACGATCAACAAGAGACTAAAAAATTTAAGAATTGCACAATGAAAATGAAAATTTTCAGTAAGAACCCAAAAATCTTGAGCAGAAATCAAGTATAAGATTCCAAGCAGTTTTCACCTTCATCCTCTTCACAGTATCCAGTGCAGGATCATTGAGGTACCGGTCATCTCTGTGAAGCGCTAATGCATGGCCAATGAAGTCCATTGTGTTGTCATCAAGACCATATTTTCTATAATAGGTGAATGTATAATAAGAACAATGACCAAGAGTACTCACCTAATTTATTACCAAATATAAATAAAAGATGAGAAAGGTAAAGATGTTATCAAAAGAAGATAACATCCACAATCACATTAAGTATAAGAATACTACGACATCCTTAATTATAAATCTGTTCCTCGTGCTATACTGATGAAATCACCGACAGCCACATTTCCTCCAATTCCGACCGAAACAAAACAACTAGTTACTCCCCATTTATCATACTTCCAAAATATTACACTAATAATTTCTCCTACAACGGCATGCCCAAAACCTCCTAGATGACTTTTAAATGATAGAACAAGAAATAGAAATGCTGTCTAGTTCAGAAGAGAACGAAAATCAAAGACATTTATGAAACATGGGGAGACGAGAGCATACGCAATCAGTTCTCTGGTTGTCACCCTAGTCAAGTCCATTCCCTCGTGTGTTTTGGGATCATTTTCATCATAATCTTGGACATATATGAAAAACTTACGAGCACGACGCTTTTCAAATATACCCATCAGTGGAGATTTGAGTGCCTCCATATCAGTTGCTGGCACTTTGTGGACCTATTAGAGAAGTAAAATACCGGAAGGTTTTAGTTAAGAATGTATCGAAATAAAAGCCACATCATAACATTTCCCAACAAGCTAGAAAATGATTATACCTTTCCTTTGTTGTAGACAAAACTGCCATCCACTGCTTTAAAGTACAAATACTTGGTGACATCTGTGTGAATGAGGACTCGTACAAGATTTCCATTTGCCATCATAAACTATCCAAGCAAAAAAACCTCCAGTATTAACAGAAATTAAACATATAAATTGACAAAAGCCAAAAGGAAAGTGGAAAAGTTAAGGGGAGAAAAACACCTTAGGGATCATATCCACATTATAATCCCTGCTTGAACCCAAATGTGCTGGAGGCTTATCATTTCCCCTGAACCTCTTCCAGAGCTGTAAATGAATAATTCCATTAAAAGCAATTACAAACACACTGGAAAATTTCCAGTACTAAACTAGATATTGAATTATTGGGACCTGGATAAGATTAAGTGATGCAGCCTCTCCTCCGTAATAGTCATTTCTATCCATGTGCAGAACCTAGCACACAGTCAATCATGCAGTTATTTTAGTAAAGCAATTAAGGAAAACAATAATTCTGTTAGAAGATAGTATTCAATTTTACAAGTCAAAAAAAAAAAAAAAAAAAAAAAAAAAAAAAACTTCCAGAGCTGTAAATTGACAATAATTCCCTTAAAAGCAATTCAAAACACATACGCTGGAAATTTCCAGTAACCTAAACTAGGATATTGAATTAATTGGGACTGGATAAGATTAAGTGGATGCAGCCTCGTCCTCGGTACATAGTCATATCGTATCCATGGGTTGAGACCTACGCAACACAGTCAAATCATGCAGTTATTTTGTAAAGCAGATTAAGGTAAAACAATAATTCTGTTTAAGACAGATAGTATTTCATTTTACAAGTCAAAAAAAAAAAAAAAAAAAAAAAAAAAACCAAAACAAACAAGAGAATGTTGTCATAAATCACAAGGAAGGTGAAAATCTTAGTTTTTCAAACTATCTTTAGGTATTTCATCGACGAGAAAGCTTATTCAGATTGTTGATGAATTTGTTAAAAAAAAAAAAAAAAAAAAAAAAAAAAAAAAAAAAACCAAAACCAAACAAAAGAGAATGTTGTCATAAATCACAAAAGGAAAGGTGAAAAATCTTAGTTTCAGAACTATCTTTAGTATTTCATCAGAAGAAGAAAAGCTTAATTCAGATTGTTGAATGAATTTGTTAAAAAAGAAAAAGAAAAGAAAAGAAAAGAAAAGAGTATTCCTACTCTAGTTTTATGGGTTGTGACAGAGCACATGCAAAGTGGGAAAAGGAACAGTTAGACTGCCATATCGTATCATGAAGTCATCAAATGTAGCACAGTAACATATCAGTAAATTGAGACACGGGATCCAATTCTCAAAGAAATATTGGTAGGCAACAAAACGATACCAAAGCTGTCCAGCATCACTTTAAACCAATGATTGTACTTTGGAATATGCAAATAACCATGGTTATGCATACAGGTAGACAATGCAACAAATAGCAAGTAGTGCTATCAACGAAAGAACCAAAGCCAACAATCCTCTAATTTATATTAATCACTATAGCATCTTACCTGTTATTACTCATTAAAGCCACATTATCCTTCCAAAGCTAATTCAATTTCAAAGTATAGGTAATTCATATAAACCTCACACTCAAAAGCAGCACGACATTGCTAAACAATTGTAGGTCAAGCAAAATGGAAACAGCCAATCAAAACATAGAGATGGTAACTAAAATTTATTATTAATCAGTAAAAAGGCCCAAATCACCGTAATTTACAATCGAGTATATTACAAGTAAACAGATCCAATTGCAGGTTCACTGTTCATGTAAACTACTAAAAGAGTGGCAAAAAGACTGACCCGATAATCCATTAATCAACACATCTAACATTTCCCTCATAAACTTTCAACCAACTCTATCAAACACTGAAAAGGATGAAAAATTATACCCCAAGTACAGGAATTCAACTTCAAGACACAGAAAGCTATTTATTTCAGTTCGTTAGACAAATCAATAAAGAAAAATGCATAGATCTCCTAAATACATCAAGAAAGTCAACATAGCAAAACAAACTCAAATAAAAATCACTAAAAAATCAAACATTTAGATCGATCAGATTGCAATCCATTGGATTCAAAAGTAAACCCATCTGTACTTCAAGTTAATTCTACGATACTGACTTAAAAGATTCTACCTTTAATCAACATATAACATTAATAAAAAAGCAAAAACAGTGAAATAAAATCTGTCAAGTACAAGAAGAAACCTTGAGGCCATCAACAGAAAGAAGACCACTAAGGATGCATTCTTTGAGACCAGTTCCAAGAACTATGACATCATACTCTTCATCCATGATTGTGATGCAGAGAGATTAACCTTCAAAGTTAGGGCTTTAAGAGTGAGGTCAAGATATTAGAAATATATATTACACTTAGTACAGAAGATGGATATATATATATATGGAGAGAGAGAGAAAACAGAAAGAGGTGTTTTGTTGTTTATAATAGGAGGAGAAGAGATGCTTTCTTTGTTAAATGGGCAAACCTAAAGAAAAATAAATTTGAGATTTTTATTTAATAAAAAATATAAAAAAGTATGGAGACAAAGGGGAAAAAGAAAAGGGACAGATAAATCTCAGAAGCGAGACATTCGGTGCTCTTGCTCACACAGGAAAGGAAAGAATTATGCCTTTATTTTATTTTATTTTTTTTTATTTTTACTTCCTAATAATTTAGTTCCCTATATTTTCTTATTTAGTAGATAGACCTTAAAATTTTAATTTCGATAAATTATTTGATTCAAAATTATCAATTTATAAATAAATTAAATATTTTATAATATTTGACCTTTTATTTGATTTAAAAAATGACACTATTAAATAATTTTAAAAAAATCAAATTTTAATATTGAATCATTATCTATAAAATAAGATGGATAATCATGCTCACAGCCGAAGTATTAAATAATTATTTACTCCTGATTTTTTGAAAACAATTTATACCTAACCTTTTTTTTTTTTTTTAAAAGTATACCTACCATCTTTTAATCTTTCACATGCTAACGGATAACTTTATTTTTAAATTTTAAATTATTTAATATATGTTTTTATTAGTTTTTAGTTTTAGTTGTACTAATTTTTGTGTATTATAATGAGTTTATTTATCTTTTGTTAAAAGAAAAATGAAGATTCATAAATGAAATAAAACATTATTATTTATAATATAAAGTTAATTTGTATTTGTATAGAAATCATATTGGTGAATTACTTGATATATATTTAATATAAAAATAATTTTATTTTACTTTTAATGAGTATATTAAAATTAAATATAAAGTAAAATTAGTCAAACCATCAAATATTTTAATTAAAGGAAATAATCCTATTATGTATACTTTACTACATATTCCTTTTTTTAATTGTTGAAAGAATATCTATTTTTAATTCTACTTATTTTCAGCATATTTTAATGGAAATATTACATTAGAATTCCTGTAATTTGCGAAATACAATTAGTTCGTATAATGTCCTTATAATTTACTTTTGTCAGATTATAAAGTTATTTCGTCTAATTTTTACATCTTTTCCGTCAAGTACCTTATGAAATAATAAAAATACCTTATTTTATTTTAAAAAACACAGAGACAAACTAGTTGTGTTTTTCAAACTATAGAGACTAGACTGTAATTTTTATGACATGATATTTTAGTATTTCTCGTTTGACCTTTGTGTTTTCTTGTTGACTTAATGGAAAAAATGCAAAAATTGGACAGAAAGACTTAATAGTGTAACAGAAGCAAAAATATAAAAGATAAATTAGTATATTTTAAAAAAGATAGAGACGGTCTAATTGTATTTCGCAAATCATATAGATCATACAGTAATTTTTCCTATTTTAAATTTTATCTTCTATTTTAGTGTTTTTTATTCTTTTTACTACGCATGCTTAAATAAAAATAAAATTGTACCTTTCTCCTCTTCTTCTACATGATCTGTTGCAAAATAAAAGAATAGGTTAAAATTGAAAAAAATGCTAAAAGTTTAGGATTTTTCAGTAATTGACCATTTTCTATCACCAGAGTCTGAAATGGTTGATCGTAACGTATCGTCATTTGTCAGTATACTACAAAATCCTAAAACCAAAAGATTGAAAATCAGTTTTTGTTATTCTTTTTTCTGGATTTTGGATACGTTAATGGCATTGATGCTGAGAGCAACGACGGCAATCACTTTCCCTTTGAAACTCTGTCCGTCTTGTACAAAAATCCCTCTCAATCACAAGAAATCCATGGCCTCCTTCGCCACAGAAGCGAACTTGCAGACTACCACTACAGATAGGAAGCTTCCGATACTCCTTTTTGACATAATGGACACCATTGTTCGCGATCCTTTTTATCACGACGTCGCTCCGTTCTTTGGGTACTTAATTTTCTTATTCTTCGTCTTCTTTTTGAATAATCCGTATTACCTCTTATTGTCTTATTAGTTGAATGCTAATACATATCACAATCTTAACAATTTAAGAGAAATTGGTCCGAAGAAATGAACTTTTAGTGCTTCTCATGATCTTAACAATTTAGGATTGAAAAATACTATTAATTAATGAGTTCTTGAATTCTGACATTTTAAGGTGACTTTTGAGTGTGGGCACAGAGTTCTTTATATCTTTGGACCTTGCAGTTGCAAGTGTGCTAACATTGTTGGATTTCTTGATGAATAGATAATAATAAACTTTATTTTTAATGACCCTGCAAACTGTATTGTTTTTCTTCCTTTTTAGATAATGAAATCATATTTTTATCCTTAGAATGTCTTTCGAGGAACTGCTAGAAAGCAAGCACCCAACTGCATGGACTGAGTTTGAAGAGGGGATAATTGATGAGGTACTCTTAATTTGTTTAAGATTGTCATTGTTATATGAGATCATGTTTGTTAGTGAAATGGATCTTTGTATTCGGGATTGTTTTTTGAGATATTAAATGGTGAAATCTAACCTTCTTCTGTTTCTTGAATTCTCTATGTTCTCTATGATGGGCTAAAGTCCTTTAGCTCTCTTGGGCTTTGGAATATGCTCAAAGCATAATTATATAGAAAAAGATTCTAGACTTTAGCCTGTTTTTCCTAATTGTTTTATTGTCATCAATGTGACAGATGGACTTTATTTTTAAATGTGCTTAGTAAAATTGAAATTTAAGGGCTTAAAAATCTCTGTCACTGATTTAGGAACTTTAAGGTTAACAATAATTGTAAGTTTGTAACTAAACTAATAAGTGCTGAAACAAAAAACTAAAAAAGAACGTGGATTTGTTTATATTATTTGATTAGAATCATAGCCAAATTTGACAAAAGGAATTTTTATGTTGCTAGAGTAGTGTGGCCTTGATAATGATGGTTTTGGTGACAATGATATTGGGAGTGGTGGTGAAGGTAAGGTTTATGGGAGTAGTGTGGTGAATCTTCTTGTGGCTGTGATGGTGTTCATAGCGAAGAATGATTGATTGTGGCAGAAATGGTTGTAGTCATGTTGAAAATTTAGCTATATCTTGTCTTCTTAAGTGCGGGATGTGTTTGGCTTCTAGTTGGGTATATGTTTTTGGAACTTCTAGGGCATTTCTTGGATTTCGATTCAACTACATTGGAGATTGTTACTCGATTAATCTTGTTTTTATGTTGTTTATAGTTGTTTATCAAGCCTCTTTACAAGGATCCCTTTCCTCTACAGTACATACATCCTCCATTCTTTCTCAATAAAATTTCCCCTTGTGAAGAAATATTCCTTTAATATAATAAATTGGTTTCAGTGAGAAATGCTACATAACTATTTCAATGAATCAATGCGATTAAAAATGTCAACCTTTTCCTCCGAACATCTCATCCAAACACCATAGTCCATAAGTTTGCATTTTTTTTTTTTTTTTTTTGCTACATACTTTTCAATTGAATCAATCGGATTAAAAAATGTCAACCTTTTCCTCCGAACATCTCTCAACACCATAGTCCTATAAGTTTCGCATTTTTTTATTTTTTTTTCATTTTTTTTTTTTTTTTTTGCTTGTGGATAACGAAAATAAGGTTCTACATGAAGCCTAGTTTCTGGATTCTAATATATTTGCTAAGGTACTTTTCCTAACAAAGTCAAATAATATCGGTATCCTGTTGCCTTCAGCAGATGCTTCAGTATAGTATTTCTTTGATAAGGACTGAGGTATCTTATGCAAAATGATGAAATCAATGCAGTAAAGGCCTAAAAAAAGAGTAAAGAAATACTTGCAAACGTGACTGACTCCTACAATATAGGAAGTCTAATGGAGTATGTAGAAATTGATGTAGACTACAATCAAAAGCCATGATGAAAGTAAACCTCTCACTACCATTGCACAGCTTCGTAAAACATCTTGACAAATGAGAAAGCCTGAACACAGGAGTGAAAGAAATGATCTTGCCCCTGATTCCAAGAACAAGCTATGGAAGCTAATGCCTAAAAAACTTAAGATATTACACAATCCCATGAGTCCCTTATTGGATCTACCACACCAATACTGTTATTCATTTTTTATTTATTTCATGTCAACCTTTGAGTATAATTTGTTTTTTTCTCCTTCAGATGGAGCTGTACAAAAAATTCTTCAAAGATGGAAGACCTTTTGATTTGCAAGGTTGACGACTTGGTTTTAGGAGATTTATGTTTTTGTTTTGTTAGTGTTGATTATCAATTTTTTGAGTGATCTACTGTGGTTATGGTATGAATGTGATGGAATTTTGACTAAATATTCAGAATTGGTAGATATTCGAATACTAAGCTGTTCTGTTCTTTATATCACATTTTTGCAATATTATTTTTGTTAAAGATTATATTTTCCAATACTAATTGATGAATGATGATAACTTGCTTTAGGATTTTGTTGAAAATGGTCTCACATGCTTGTAAATTCCACCCAGCCTGTGTTGTTTAGAAAGTACTTACCGTACGAGTATTAGAACAAGAAGCACTTTCATAATGAAACCGATCCTTATGTTTCTGATATTTCTTTTTAATTTTGTTCTTTTCACTTTTTCTTTTCATTTTTCATTCTCAGAATGTGATGTGCTTCACATTCGTTATGCCTTTTGACCACTTGCTTTGGTTGATGTTGCTGTAAAATGCTGGATGTTTCTATGACAAAAACTTTGACATTACTTATCATTACCCTAACACTTCCCCTCTCAAGACGCATTGAAGTCATACTTGTCTGCAAAATTTATTGTGTATTTTTGCTTTAGTTAATTCCCATGGCCATGTCATAAATTACTTTTGCAACTTCTTTATCTATTGCATCCAATCTAGTCAACAAACTTAGTTCTAATCTCTAAGTTGTTGAAATACAAATGGAGATTGTGGTGCAAGATCATATATAGGCTAAGAGGAAAATTACTTTTCTCTGTTTTTCAATTTTAACATTGCGACTTCAAATGACTGCTTGTGTATGTAGCATGTTTTATTGTCTGGTTTTTCATTTGTGCCCAAAAAGGTACTAAATCGTCACTTTGTCTTTGCAGGGCTAAAAAATTGTATGAGGAGAGGATACTCCTACATAGATGGTGTTGAACAGTTGCTTTATGATTTAAAACAAAAAAACTATGAGATGCATGCTTTTACAAATTATCCCATCTGGTACTACGAAATGGAATTTTTCTACCATTGCTTTTGTGGTGAAATGGCTCATTATCCTCATCACATTGTGATTTATAGGTACAAAATGATTGAGGAGGAGCTGAATATCTCAACATACCTATCTTGGACATTTTGTTCGTGTATATCCGGTATGATGTTTCTGTGTGTGTGTGTGTGTGTGTGTTTTGTGCGTGTGCAAGCATGCTTTGTTTGTGATCTTGGTTCAGTAGCTGAGGCATGGATTTCATTCTCTTCCATTCATTTGCATAGTTGATTTTTTTATTGTGGTTCTGAATTTCTTGTAAAAGAAACAATTCAAGAAGTTGTTCCTTAGGAAAAAAATCACTATTAATTGGTATTATACATACTATAGCAAAGAATCAATTGGTTGTTTTGTTCTGTCTTTTATTATTGAAAGTAGGCTGCAATATTCGCCAACATAATGCTGCTGGGGAGATGACTGTAAGTTTCCATCCGATAACAAAAAGTAAGGCTCTAGAAATCAGAATCATGTTTTCATTTTAGTGTCTTGTAACTTGTAATGAAGAGAATGGCGATCGCATATAAAATGTTACAAGGTCTTCGCTACCTTATCTTCATTCCCACATGAAAGGCGGGCATTATAACTCAGGGATTAGTAATATTCTCTATTCACTTTCTAATTTGCATATTCTTTGATAACCAGTAAATTAAAAGTACCTTCTCAGCAATAAAAATCTAGCAAACCATTATTAAATACTTACCAAATGTTAGACTAGGTAGCCTCCCTTTGACCGGTCTTCCCATTGCCTATGTTATGGGTACATGAATCCGCAAGTCTGTGAATGTCGTTTATATGCACTTTTGTACGGGGATTATCTCACTGTGCTCTCAGAATGAGGTTGCCTTTTTTCTTTTTCCGTTGTTACCATGGTGTATTTATGCTTTTGAATGGAGATTGCAAATGTTTGAAACTGAGGGGATTTTAGTGATGTTGATCTACATTTCATTTCAGGAAAAAGGAAACCTGATCTTGATTCCTATCTGGTAGTGCTAAGACATCTTAATGTTGATCCAATAAGCTGTATTTTTGTTGATGACAGGTTTCATTTTTGCCTTGCTTGCATCTACTATGTCATTTCTTTAAGTAATAGATGATTATGTCATCTATTATGCAAGATGATTCTTAAGCTTCACGGACTAACCTGCAGCTTGGAATCTCTTCTACAGGTTGAGAAACGTAGAGGGTGCAACTGAAGTTGGCATCATTGGCCTGCATTTCAAAAATGCAGAGACGCTGCGAAGAGATCTCTCTCGAGTAGGGATTGACATATCAACAGATGAACATAATAAAAGGAATGATTAACCAAAGCTTTTATACAATATAACTTTGATTCAAATTTAGCAACTCTTGTTAACTTTGATTCAAATTTGGATATGAAATAATAATTCCCTAATCTCAAGGCTTAATTTGAAGTTTAAAATGTATAATAATTTATTATTTGTAATAAATATTTACAAAATTTTTTTTTATAAAAAAGTGATAGTTATTTCATAAGATGAATGGTTCGTTATAAAAGTCAAGCAATGGCTTTGTGAATATAATTGTCGAGGAAAATTATTTGAAGGTAATAATTATCCCTAAAAAATGATATTTCAATTTTAAAAGTGGAAAAAATTATTCTCAACTAAATAATTAAAAAGCACGTGTTTTAACTGATCTTTTTAATGTAAAACGTTAATTACGGGACCTATAAACTTTATACTTTCTACAATTTATTATACCATGCTCTTTTGGCTAATAAAAGGAGAGCATCAGAGACCTTTTAGTCTTGTAGCTAAGGCAGAAGTCTAGAGGTCCCAAATCAATTCCCAATGGTGGAAAGATATCTGGAACATCTTCAGTATGTTTATAGTTTAATAAAATTATAACTGGACTGAGAAGAAATCAATACAATTCAATTTTTCTATTTTTTTTTTTTCTTATCCTATGCATCAAAACACAATTCACCACAGTTTATAGTGTGTATGTGATTGTGAGCAACCAGTAGTTCTACATGTTAACAGGACTTGCCGACTACGGCTCCATCTAATTGTACTAACAGCAAAGTTATATATATGAATAAATCATAACACACAGACCTCTAAAAATCCTAATAGTGAGAGAGGATAGAGGAACATCACCAAATCTAACCAGAAAACACTTTCCCCCCTGACTTTTGCTTGGCCTTCTCAATAAGGGGCTTCAGCTGCTTCTTTTCAGCAAGAATCTTCAGGAAGTTGAATAAAAAGGGTATGTAATTGTGCTTCCTACGAATATTTTCCGTTCTCCACTTCTTGAATTTTTCCTCCTCCCCTAAAATCTTTGAGGTTGCATTCTCAATCCCACTATTTACCTCGGATAATGATTTGTTCAATGCTTCAAAGTTGCTGCTGTCTACATGTCTGTCTGATTGGATTGCAGACAACTGCTGCAAGATACGTTCCCTTCTCCTTTGGAGCTCCTTCAGTTCGGCAGTATATATTTCTTTCCTGTTCTTGATTATTGCCAATAGATTGAATCTTATCTCACTTTTTGAGTACCTGTCCATGCGTTCCTGGATCACTGGTTGCACCATATGCAACCAGTCCAGATCATTGGGTCCACCGCTGCACTGGCCAAGGCTAATGGGACCCTCTTTCAAGCCATCAAGCTCATAAAGCACTCCATCAACAGGCAAGTAACTTATAAAATGGTATACATCATCATCTTTTCCAGCAGTCTTATGCTCCTCAGGAACAAATGGCTCAGGTCTCGCAAAACTGTTATGAGCTGCACGTATGACTTCACTGTTGTTTATGGCCAAACCTTTGAGTTCAGGGGGAAAATTCTTAGTGAATTCTTTCAGTTTTGACAATTCAGGACCAATGTCGATATCTGGACAATTCATTAGGATAGAAAGAATTGCTTGGGTTGCGCAAGCATTGTTAATAACCTATAAGACAAATTAAAAAGGGAGGAAAGAAAGAGAAGAGATAAGAGTTTATAAGACTTGATACAGATTTGTCATGCTAAACCAACATCAAATCTCAGGGAAAGATACCTGACTGGCAAAAAAGAGGTTAGAGTTTGAATCCTTCATCACAGGACGTTCATCTTTTTCCCCTGGGTGCCACTTGAAAAGGAAAATCAACCCATATACAGGCCTGGTTAAAGATGAGAAGAATATGTTAAAATGAATATAAATAATGGGTATGCCTCCAACAGGGATAAAGAAAGGGGTAGGGGTAATGGAATTTATAAACCAACCTAAGTTTGTCAACAATATCAAGATCCAAAGAATAAAGCTCCTCAACCTGTAAAGACACATGAAGAAATCATATAGGCATATATGGAGATGAAGGCAGAGGTAACCATTAGTATATCCAAAACAAGCTGTCATGTTAACACATTTAAATGTATGGCAAATCCAAAAAGCAACAAGCTGCATATTTTAAACACCACAGAAGTAAAATCTTTTTCACAGAAAAACATGTCATAATTCTACAATAAATTTGAGTCAAACAAAGAACTCAGTTGGAAATACAAGAATCCAAAGAGATACAGCTCTAAAATGAAAATGGCACATAGGCATGACCACAGTTAGGTTCCAGACCAAAACCAAACGGTGGTCAAAAGTTCCCAGTTCCAAACTGGAACTGAAACCGCGAGCCTATGATTCAGTTCCAGCTCCTCGTTTTTTGGAGCCAAAACCAGTGATTCTAGTTTGAAACCATCAACAAAAATAAAAATTGCAAAATCAAAGGACATCAAAGGAACTCCAGTTTACTTTTATACTTTTTAAATAAATCTAAAGACTTTTTGTTAAACTCCTTTAGTCTTTTTCAATACTATTAGTTGTTGTTATTTTTTGATTACTATCCATGGTACAAAACTTAAAAATTGAAAAAAGTTGTCCCATTCCAATAACAAACCAGAACTGGCAGTTCTAAAACTGTCTTAGGAACCACCTATGAGCAGTTGGGTTCTGGTTCCAACCTTCTCTGAAACCGGAACTGATGATTCCAGAATTGCAGTCATGCCTAATGATAAAAATGTAGAGATGAAGGCAGTGATAATGCTAATAATGATTACTAATCTTAATGGTTGCCAAGCAGTGATAAGAATGGCACTATAATGGTGGTTGTGGTGGCAAAGATCAGATCCTAAAGATGCAAGTGATGGTATCATAGAAAAATACTGGTGGCAACATTAAGAGATGCAAGTGATTGTATCATAGCAAAATACTGGTGGTAACATTAAGTGACCATAAATTATGCATGTGAATTTTGAGAATACAAATCTACACCTTCTAAGGCATTTGCCTACCACTTCTTTCCCTATAAAAAATTCCCAACTACCCACTTTATAAGATGCATTTCTTGCATGAGTTCATTCTTTCTCATGCCACAAGAGGCCTATGCAAATTATCAGAATTAGTTTACAGCACATTATAATATGCAACTAGATACATACATATATCTATCACTTCTATCTATTCCAAAACAAGCATGGACAAGACACCAGCATGATAAGAAATGCAATGAAAATGGCATAAAAATCCAAAAGATTACCTGCACACCTTTGACTTGCATTTGTTGTATAAGTTCTGTGAAGACACCTGAATGTAAACAGAGAATCTTAGCTAATCACTTCATGATAATCAACTCTCAATTCTCTTCCCAATCGCGAATTATAACTCTTAAGAAACAGCACCAAATATCAATGAAATGACTTCAATAAAGCTCTTATGAATAAGAACTTGTCACAATGAACTCTTTAGGAGATTGAGCAAGGAGAGAGGATTAGGCAGTGTCTAAATAAGCACCTGCAGCTCCTAGAACGTGTTTCATCCTATTCAATAAAGAATGCACACCTCTTTTTTTTTTTTTTTTTTTGCTACGCTTTTTTAGAACGTGTTGGCTATCACTCCCTAAGTGTGCGGGGATAAAGAGATGCCCACACACTTCTTTTTTTTTTTTTTTTTATGTAGTAAATTGGAATTGAGACTTTTTTTTTTTTTTTTTTACTAAAATTGGAATTGAGAATGTTAAGAAATTAGAAATTTGAGCTTTAGGGTTTAGTTCAAGGTACATATGCACTTAAATCCTATTAAATAAAGGGAAGATTAAAGCAAAAGTAGCTCAAAGCCCCACAATAAAGTTAAAAGACTTTACCATTCAGTAATATACATTACTTGCTCAGATAAAGACTCCATCTTTAGTTTAAAATAATGAACAAGAAACAACAATAATATCCAGAGATAGATCCAAGACATGAAAGAGCTAAACAACGTACCAGGATCAGACTCAATAGTGCACCAAGACATGATTAGAAATCCAGAAGCTGCAAGGAAAAAAAAAAAAAGAAACACAAATATAGATAATTAATTACAGAAATAGAAACTGAAAAGTTATTTCGACAGTATTGATCAAAGCTACAGAGATAGTTCATAAGTAAGGCAATTGCAGGACTTGCAACGTAGAAAGAGTGGTAGTACAATGCAAATTTACCTTACGATTCTAAGTCCAAATTAAATGCAGAGAAAGAAAGAGAAAGCAAGAGAATGGGCGGTGATGGATTTCGCGAATATTGAAGGGGTGGTCGATGGTCTGTAAAAGAGGAAGTGAAGCGAGCGAGAAAGGCAGAAGGGAGGATTAGGGTTATCAGTCTTTCGATTTTTTTACGTTTTATGACTTTGGAGTTGAGAGGTTGTTGGGTTTTGGCTATCTTTTAACTTAAATGTCTTTTTTTTTTTTTTTTTTTTTTTTTTTCTTTTTTTATGTGCTTTAGTTAATTGGGGTATTTTAACGTTATTTTTTTTTTTTTTTTTTTTTTTAAATGTGCTTTAGTTAATTGGTACTTTAACAGTTTAACTTTATGTGTGTTTTTCTATTATTATTGTTATTATCATTATTATTATTATTATTATTATTATTATTATTGTTTAAATGTGATTAGTTAATTGGTACTTAATTAGTATACTTTTTTTTTTTTATTAATTTTGATATATTTTTTACTTTTTAAAAAATTTTTAGAAAATGATTAACTACCTCTATGAAAAATTAATAATAGTAATTCATTGAAAGACATTTTTGAACATGTAAAAATAGAATAAGATAAATATTACTACAGATTATGTCTTTTGATTGCATGTTGAACATGTAGGAAGAACTTTCGGACTTAATTCTAATTATACATATTTGCAGAGACGAGCGTAGAATCTTAATTGTTACTAAGCCGAACTGGATTCAATAGTTCTAAGAATAATTTGCAAAAATAATTTACGAATCAAAATGTTCCCAAAAAAAGCTATGCTGTTTGTATAAAATAATTTGCAAAAAAAGTTTTTTCCCATTTTTCTTTATTTGAGATGTTAGGAAAATAAGTAAATGAAAAATGAAAAATATTTTTCTAATTAAAAAAAACTAATAAATTGTTAACGAAAATGACTTTCACAGTAAGAAGAGAAAAACATTTTTGAGATATTAATAAATCTATTATAAAATTGTAAATATATTTTTTTAATTTATTAATTTCATTGATGGTCATTATAATAATTTATTTTTTTAAAATATTTTTTCTCATATCTAATAATAAAATGCTTCGCCTTCTAGTTGGGTCATATAGTAAGATAATTTATTTTTTTTAAATTATTTTTCTTCATTATCTGAATAATGAAAATTATATTTTAAACACATAAATGTTATATTATTGTTAAATATTTTCATTTCTATGTTTATGGGTTAAATATCATATCTAAAAAGTATTTCTCATATCTAATAATAAAATATTTTAAAACACAAAATTTATATTATTTTAAATATTTTTATTTCTATGGTATTATAAATTAAAAAGTTTAAATATTTTTAACTCATGTTTTATAAGTCATCTGAAAATTATTTTCTAAGGGTAAATTATTTTCTGAAAATAAATGTAGCCTACTGTTCAAGATATTTATAGTTTGTATTAAATTTGTTTCAAAAATTATTTTATAAATAATAAATTATTATGTGACCTATTTCACTTCCAATTCCCAAAGCATCATTGGAATTCCTAAATTTGATAATTATTGGTGGGAAAAAATAAAAATAAACTCAATAGTAGTAATGGAGATTCCCGCCCCCTATCAAGGTTTTGTCACAGACAGAGAGAATGGTGAAGGCTTCAGCGGCGTCGTCGTCCAAGAAAAACTCAGAGCCAGATGTCCTAGAGCGAAAGAGATTAAAGAAACTAGCACTCTCCAACAATCTCTTATCGGAGACCCCAGCAAAGACCTATTCGCCACTCGCTCCGTCAAAAACCGTCTTAAAACACCACGGCAAAGATATTCTCAGGAAATCTCAGAGAAAGAATCGGTTTCTCTTCTCTTTTCCTGGTCTTCTTGCTCCTATTGCCTCCGGCGGCAAGATTGGGGAGCTCAAGGATTTGGGAACCAAAAACCCCATTCTTTATCTCCATTTCCCTCAGGTATATATTGTTTTGTTTTAATTATATTTGTACTTTAGGGTTAGATTTGGTTGCTAACTTTAATTTTCTTTAATAAGGGGCAAATGAAGCTGTTTGGTACTATTGTCTATCCTAAGAACAGATACTTGACAATGCAATTCTCTAGAGGTGGCAAGAACGTTATGTGTGAGGATAACTTCGATAGCATGGTTTGTTCTCTTCTTCTAATGTATTTTTCTTTGTTATTTTTTTATGATTTTAATTTCAAGCTCGTGGGATTCCTTTTGGTTGTCTAGCTGTATGTATTCTACTTTCATTTCTTTCAATTATGCATATCATTGGTTATGTTCCTAGATTGTGTTTTCTGAAGCTTGGTGGATTGGAACACAAGAAGAGAACCCAGAAGAAGCACGACTTGATTTTCCCAAGCAATTGATTGAGGTGGTTTTCTCCCCTTCTGAGCTGTGGGACTTGGAACACAAGAGAGATAACCTCAAGAGGTAGAGCTCACGATTGATTTTCCCAAGCAATTGTATTGAGGTGGTTTTCTCCCCCCCCCCCCCCCCCCCCTTATTAGGCCAAGTTTGGTTATTAATGAATTTCCACAAATGAATATTTTTTATGTTTTTATGTTTGGTTTCACCTCGCTATGAATCCAGTTTTTATGGAGGTTTGGACATAATTACACTAATTCTCATGTTAGTTTATTAAATCAGTTATATACTTCAGGATGCAATATACAACTTCCGAAAAGAAAAAAAAGAAAACCCATTTAATAGCAACATATCTCAAACACTCTTATAGAATCTCCTCCCCCTCAACTAGTTGGAGATTATCTATTTTCGCTCGAATTCAGGCTTATTAGGCAAGAATATAAGAGAAAAGACACCTAAATACAAACTCTATAATAAATAATATGGTATAGTAGTAAAATAGTGTCCCCCTTATTAGGCCAAGTTTGGTATAATGAATTCCACAAATGAATATTTTATGTTTTTATGTTTGGTTCACCTCTTTGAATCAGTTTTTATGGAGTTTGACATAATTACACTAAATTCTATGGTTTATAAATCAGTTTTATACTTCAAGTTCACCAAACATAATAGCAACAACTAAACCTTAATCCCAAACTAGTTGGATTTTATTTGCTCGAGTCCATAATAGCAAGAAATAAGAAAAACCTAAAATATATATAAATAATAAATAGATAAATGGGTAAGAATAAACGAAGAACCATAGACATACAATAAAAAAGGAGCCTTAATCCTAGATCAACGGGGATCTTCTAGATGATTTTTTTGTTTTCATTCTATTCTATTCATGGCTAGATCTCCATTAATCCCAAGAGACTGTAGATCTTTTGCTACCACTTTCCTTCATGTGGTTCTAGGTCTATCTCTTACCCGTTTAGCACCCTCTACCACCAAAGAATCACCCTAATAAATTGGGATACATATTATGTACCATATGAGCAAACCATCGTAGACGTCCTTGCCTCATTTTATCTCCGACTTCTGCTACTTTTATCTTTTGTTGAATGTGGTCATTCTTAATCTTGTTCAACCTTGTATCACCACACATCCTTTTTAATTTCTGGATCTCTGCAACATTCATCTTATGGACATGCTGTGCATTTGGTATCCAACATTCACTCCCTATAACATTGTAGGTCTCGTTGCTGTCCTATAGAACTTACCTTTCATCTTGTTTGATATCTTCCTATCACATAGTGCGCCTATGGCACTCCTCTATTTTGTCAATCTTACTTGAATTCTATCAGTTACATCCTTATAATCGAACCTCCTTTTTGGAGAATGGAGCCTAGATACTTGAATGATTGCACTTGGGTACCATCCTACCTTCAAATAAAATCCCTTGTCGCTGCTTCTTTTCTTATGTCAAACTTACATTACATGTATTTCGTCTTGCTGTTGCTTAGCCTAAAACCCTTACTCTCAACTGCTTCTCCATAATTTCAACTTTTTGTTTAATTCTTCACTTGTGTCATCAATTAGGAGAATATCATGTGCGAATAACATTCACCATGAAATCTCATCTTGTATGTTACTATTTAACTCATCCATAACGAGAGTAAATAAATGTGGGTTCAAAGCTGATCCTTGATGTAGTCCCATAGTGATGGAAAACTTATCTATATCCCCTTCAACCGTTCTCACACTTGTGGCTGCATTTTCATATGACATTAATATAATTCACATGCATTTCTTTTTTCTCCAAAACCCACCAAAAGTACTTTTCGTGGCATTATGTCATAAGCTCTTTCCAAATCAATTAACACCATATGTAGATCCTTTTTCCTATAAATTTCCATCAATATTTTAGTGGGAAAATAACATTCATAGTAGATCTCCATGGCATAAAACCAAACTGATTCTCTGACACCTTTGTAGAATTTTTGAGTCTATGCTCTATTACTCTTTTCTAAAGTTTCATTGTGTGACTCATAAGTTTAAAACTTTGGTAGCTTGTACAACTTTTGATATCCTTCTTGTTCTTATGTATTATTATCAGTGTGCTATTTCTCTACTCATTTGCCATCCGTCTATTCCATAGAATAGTATTGAATAACTTGGTTAACCAAGTAACTTCCATACCGAGACTTTTCCTAACCTCTATATGGGTACCATTTGGGCCACATGCTTTTCTGACCTTCATATGTTTCAACGCCTCCTTGACTTCAATTGTCATAATTGTATGTGTGTAGTTCAGGTTTCTATCCGTCATTGAGGCTTGAAGGTTTGTAGAATCATCCTTCTGGTTTGTGTTGAACAACTGTCAAAATAACCTCTCCATTTATCTTTGATCTCCTTATCTCCTATTAATACTTGTTGGGAATCATCTTTGATGCACTTCATTTGGTTTGTACAGAAGGGAGTAAATCTGTACACAAGGAAAAAGGATGGGAAAGCTTTAGCATTTTTTGTTAATGATTTTCATTATTGAATTGTACCAGGGACAAGGACCACAAGTTGAATGTGACTTTAAGGGAGGGGCAGGTGCAATGTCTGCAATTAAGCAAGCTGTTAACAGAAGTGCTACAAAATATGAAGAAAAGTCCCCTGAAACTGAGCCTGAAAATTATTCATCAGATGATAAAAACAATTTGAAAGCTTTGGAGGGAACTACGCCAATTCAACATTCTGAGAGAACTGCTAGGAAAACATTCAAGTACTATCTTATGTCTTTCATTTATAATATGCGGCTTAGTTTGGATGAAGATGTTAGCAGTTGTAGAAAACAACTGACATAATTTCATTTATATTGGTTTAGAATGCATATCCGGGTCCCTAAGATACAATACTATTTCTTTTCTTCCCACCATATTTTTTACAGTGTTAGCATTTTTCATTCAGCATTTCATACTTATTTGTTGTTTTCAGCTTATGCGTCTATTTTGCTTGTAATAATCATGGTTAGCTTGTTAATAGCCTTAAGGAGTTCAATTCACTTCCAACCTTTTCCTGAATCAGGTCTACTGACGTTTCTTCTGGTGATGATTCTGTTGAAAGTGTAGCGGCTGAGGAAGGAGGAGAAGAAAAGAAGGTGGGCAAAGAACTTGACTTTCTATTGAAATTTATACTGCTAGGACACCTTAGTTTCATTTAGTTTCATTTAGTTTGACTTGAACATCAATTTTATTTATGTTTTTTTTTTTCCCGGGGGGGGGGGGGGGGACTATTTCTTTTCTTTCCACCATTTTTTTACTCAGCTCTGTTAGCATCTTTTTCATTCGAGCATCTTTCATACTTAATTTTTGTTTGTTTTCAGCTTATGCGTTCTATTTTGCTTGTATAATCATGGTTAGTTGTTATCAGCCTTAAGGATTTTCATTCACTTCCAACCTTTTCCTGAATGGTCTACTGAACGGTTTCTTCTTTTGGTGATGATTCTGTTGAAAGTGTATAACTTTGTAGCGGATGAGGAAGGAGGAGAAGAAAAGAAGGTGGGGCAAATAACTTGACTTTTCTATTTGAAATTGATACTGCATTTAGGGACACCTTAGTTCATTTGTTTCATTTTAGTTGACTTGAACATCAATTTTATTTATCTGTTTTTTTTTTTTCCCGGGGGGGGGGGGAGGATCTATGTGTAATGTTCTCTGCTGCTAGTCCATATTGAAGTTTTTTTTTGATTGAGGGATATCTACTTTGTATGAGGCTTGCTTTTCCATGAGCTTGTTTGAATTCCATATTCTCACAGGTAATCTCCCTTCCTTGGTTCCACCATAGTCCTTGACCTTGACAATGAAGTTCAATAGGAGGAATCATCTTTCCCACAAATTATTTAAATCAAGGAGCAACAGTGCGATATGTCTTTAAGGTAGTTACAAGTCTATGAAAGGGTCCTCAGAATCTTGCGGCTGTCATCTTTTAAGCCTGTACCTTTGAACCTAACCCACTAAAGCTCAAATTTCTTAATCTTAACATTCTCAATTCCTAAATGTTCCTAAGACGGTATCTAAAAGGGTATGAAATAAATATTCATCAACATACTAAAATAACAAAAAAAAAAGTGAGGTTTCACTTGTTCAAGCTACAATATCCCAGTTATTGTCAATATGAAGTGCAGCGTTTGGGAACAAAAACTATATCGTGTGATAAAAGTTTGGAGAATTAGGATGTGAATACACGTTAATTCTAGGAGCTGCAAGAGTGCTTATTTAGACACTGCCTAAGAAAAATCCTTCTCCTTGCTCAATCTCCCTAAAGAGTTTCGATGGGGGGGGGGGGGGAGGACTCTATGTGTAATGTCTCTGCTGCTAGTACCATATTGAAGTTTTTTTTTGATTGAGATATCTACTTGTATGAGCTTGCTTTTCCATGAGCTGTTTAATTCCATATCTCACAGGTAAAATCTCCTCCTGGTTCCACCATAGTCCTTGACCTTGACAATGAAGGTTCAATAGGAGGGAATCATCTTTCCCCACAAATTCAAGCACATGCTATGTCGGAGACAAAGTCTAAAAGGGTCTCAGAATCTGCTGTCTTAGCAGCAACGTCTAATGAAAATTCACACTCTAATCGTGGTTCACTTGTTCAAGCTACAATATCCACATTATTCAATAAAGCACGTGGAAAAAAGAAAGTGGAAGAAAAGGTAAGGTCTAACTTTTTTGGCTAATAGTTAATAAGTAAACCATCTCTAATGCTTTGTTCACTCTCAATTCCATTGAGTCTCTTGAATTGCAATTTTTGAGGCATGATCATGGGGCAGGATTTAATCTTGAATGGTGCATAGTACTAGCACTGGCCCTTACTCAATATGGCTAATCCTAGTATACTCAAAAACTCGCTTTAGTGGGTCTGAAGCAAAGTTCAAAATATCCTCTTTCTGGAACCATACATTTTGTCATTACATGTGAGCAAAAGTTGGAGTTGGTTTTTTGCGTTTACAAAAATACCCTAATCTCTTTGGTGAAGATCAGCATGTATGTCATTTCTGGGTGCAGCTTTATCGTGCACAAAAGCATGTATGCGGCATTATGCATACATTGTGTATGGTTATCTTTATATTTGTGCAGAAACTAGCAATCATTTCCAATAATGTATTAATCACTAACAAGTATGTAGTGTAAGACAGTCGGATTTTAACATAATGTGGGAGAATGGGGTTTAGAAACTAGATTATTCCATAATTCAAGGGAGTTGCAGCCCCAGTCTGTTGGCTCATCCAATTCTATGCATAGTTCTCATTGTTGGGAAATTTAAGAGTGAAATAAAAAGCCTAAGAGCAATGCTTGATATTTTCTCTGATCTTATGTTCAAGGCCTAAAACATATAAAATCTCAAAATTCTTCGCCAAGGTTTTACTGAAGACTTGGATTTCTATGGGTTATATTTGGACATCAAACATTCTTGATTCTTTATGCTTCACTGGTCTGTTGAGTTTCTTCTGTTCCAAGAAAGAATTACCACATCTGCTAATGGAGAAAGTTGATCCATATAGCTAACCCCAACAAGTTTGAGATTAAAGCTATTTCAGTTGACTGCTTCTGCTAGTGCATGAGCTTGTATCATGTGGTGCATGTTTTGTTGGTGTGTGCATGTTTTGCATCCTTCATTCTCTCCCCTTGCATATATTTTTTTGGGATATGTCACACCTACGTGCTTGTTATATCTGGCTTTTGGTGTTCAGAGGTGAATCCCTGTCTTTTATTTTTCCTGTTAATTTCTAATTAATGATATATAGTTTGATATGATCTTATCATAGTTGCTAAATTTCACTCTCTCTCTTGATGCGTGCTAATCCTGGTAAAGCTATCAGGAAAAAAAGGTCATTGATTTTCTTTAAAAATTCTGCTGCATAAATATCCACTTTACCCCAAAGTTTTCTTCAATGTTATGTGTATTTCTCTCTGAGATTCAATATTTCTTATTATTAAATAGAACGGATAAAGTTCATTGAACTCAAGTGCATAAAAACTGACTTTGAGAAATATAGTTGTCTGATACTTGTTTTATATAATCAGAATGAGCCAAGAAATTCAAGGATATCCTCATCATCAAAAAGGAAGATTGATCAGGTGAGAACTCCCCCCCCACCAAAAAAAAAAAAAAAAAAAAAGATATAAGAAAGGAAAAGAAAAGAAAAAAGCCCCCTAGTTCTATATCAATAAACGGCTCGCCAGGTAACAACAAACCACTTAAAGTGAGACAAAACAGGACTTCATGCAAAAGTATGATTGGCTTTACTGACATTGTTTTTTTGTCTGCAGGCTGGAGGGCCGAGAACAAAGACGGGAAAATGACTGAAGGGAAAAAAGCTGTTCTCTGTCTCTTCTCTCCCTCTCCCCTTCATTTGTGCCTGTTTATGGTCAAATTGTCAGATTTGAAACTACAAAAAAAAAAAAAAAGATAAGAAAAAAGGAAAAGAAAAGAAAAGGCTCTCCAGTTTCTTTAACAAGTAATATTTTCTGCTCTGCTCATGGTAACAACCACTTAAAAGTGAGACAAACAGGACTTCATGCAAGTATGATTGGCTTACTGACATTGTTTTTTGTTGCAGGCTGGAGGGCCGAGAAAAAGAGGAAAATTGACTGAAGGGAAAAAAGCTGGTCTCTGTCTCTCTCTCTCCCTCTCCCCTTCATTTGTGCTGTATGGTCAAATTGTCAGTTTTGAAACTATATTATCTTACCAATTTTTTCGGGGAACTTCAGTTCTGTTTTTCCTTCATAAAAGCTAAGAAATGAAAAATGTCGTGCTTCAGATTATTAGGGAACTATCTTTGTTTGCTTCACTGGATTTTGTTTAGTTGCTGACTTGGTGAGTGATTTTACCTCCTAAAGGATCTTTTATGTGATTATTTTTGAACTCTTTCACAATATGTTTGAGAAAAAGCATTTATTTAGGCTAAGTAGGAGCTTAAGGTTGAAAATTATAGGATTAGGCCTACAATTATAGGTAGGTGGCATGGTTAGTTTGAGTGTTAAACTGAACTAAGTATGGCTTAGGTATGGAGGTAAAACTAAGTATGGTATTGATAGAAAGTTAGGCATGGCTATGATATACTTTTATACTATCTCTGTTGTAACTAAACCCATGTAAACTTTAAGAAATCAGTGAAAGCCGGCTACCTTAAGAAGTTCAGTTTACAAAACCAGTATTTGCCGTATTTTGTGTTCGTTTTGTTCTCTGCACTAACATTTCCGACATATGGTATCAGAGCTTCAAAATGACTTTTTTGGGGTTTGTGGATGAGTGAGAACAAGTGAGATTCTTCCTCATAAGACCTTAAACTCCTGAATCTGAATATGCCGCTTCAATCTATGGCTTCTAGAAACTTTTCTCCTCCACCTCCTATTTTTTCTTATTTTTGAATTTGATTCTAGAAAACATTGCTTTTGTGGATCTTTTTGAAGATATAGTCCTAAGCCAGGCAAAATGAAAGAAATGGATCTATAAAGTGGAGCCCAACTAGTTTGGAATTAAGACTTAACTGCAAGAACGATCATTTGTAAAGTGCATTACCACATTATCTGCAAGGGGATTGTAGTTAGTGAGTTAGTATAGGATAAACTTTGTCTCAAGCAAGTGGGTTGTAATTGTTGATCTGGTATTGAATCAACTAGTCAATTGTAATAGATTCAATTGTACTGTAAGCAGGTATTGTTCATAAAGCTTACCTTATTATTATGACAGCACTATTCGCATAAGCAGGTTTTTATGCATGAATAAATAATTCATTTTTTGGCTAAAATTTTTTAGAGTAATTTTTGTTGTATAGGTTTCCCTAAAATCAAAAACAATATTCTCATCTTCCTTTCTCTCTTCTGTTCTCTTGCTCTCTTGTCCAGTTGTCAACCTGTAATGAAACCAGAAGAGACCCAAAATTCTTATCAATTAATTAGAATGTACCACCTTTATTACCTGCATGCATGCTTGCTTACTTGGGAAGGCCTACTTATTAAATTTTCTGCACTTATGATGTAGAGAGGATGTTTGATTCTGAGCTTCATGAATATATACGTTTACACATGCATATAAATACACTATAGGCTCAGGTTCCAAAATATCCGTGCACCTTTGTCTAATATAGCTAAAAGTTTATTATGATGTAATTGCAGGTACAGGAATTAAGGAAAAGAAGGAAATTTACGAGGTAAAGACCATTATATTTTAAGGCATATGTTTATGGTGCTGCAATATGAATTAATGTTCGCCATATCTTTTGAATATTTTATATCTGGTCATAGCATATGAGTTTTCATGTTGTGCCATTCCATATTGTTGATAATATTGTCTTTTATGCCATTGCATCTGCATTACGATTTTTATAGGATTGTCATAGGAGCTCTAAAGGAAAAGAAAAGGAAAAAATTTATTCAAGCTTTTGTTTTATTATTTATTGGCCTTTTCCTTTGATCTTAGGCTCCATGGAATCCAGAATAAGAATGTCTGTACTAGCTGATGAGAGATGTAAGAGATTAGTCTATATTTGTTGTGTCATGGGAGTAATTAGAAGTTATTTTCTAGTATTGAATCTCTTTAAATAAATTAGAAATTGTTATTCAAAGCATTTGTTATATCTTGTGACATTTGTAAAGTGCATTTCAATTGATGAAAAGTTGAGCAAATTGCTAATTTGAATGGTATCTTCTGCATTTGACTAAAATTTCAATTTTTTTTTTTTTCTTTTTTCACTTCAAGATTCTACCAAGAAGTGGCTAACATGGTAAAGGAACCTTGTAGGTTGAAGATGATGACATTGAAGAATTCTCAAGCTCAACCCAGGTTTGACAAAAAAGAACTCTCAAGCTCAACACCATTCTATTGCGTTGCAGACACTCCTAACTTGTTTTTTTTGGTTTTATTCTCAGGAGGATACTGAAGGAAGTGATGAAGATTGGGAAGCTTGAGATTGTAACTCAACCTGAGTGGATGAAAGTACCATTTTAACCTTGTACAGCATATAAGCCTCCAATAAAAAAAAAAAAAAAAAATTTAAGGATTTTTTTAATTGCCAGATGAAATATATATATTTATGCATGCATGCATGCTTGCTTGCTTCCTTACCATTTCCTCGGCTCAAGTTCAGGCGATGAAAATTAAATGATTTGGACATCAGGAATCAAATAATTTCTTGAATTTAATTTCTTACTTCCAACTTTCTAATAATTTTCTTCAACAATTATATTCGTAAAGCTATTAGGATATAATCTAGGTATCTAAATATAATTTTACCCATAAACAAGCTTATGTACACTCTTGGTTTGTCCAGCCCAAGATATGTTTCTTGTTGCGAACAACAAAGCATCATCGTCATCACCTGATAAGGAAAAAAAATAAAAAACAAAATTTTACTAAATATTTAATCTAATCTAAAATTAATTTAAAGACATTTTAAAATTGGGACCACTTTTTTCTCTATTTTTAATAAAATAAAATAAAATAAAATATATACTACTACCTCCGTTAATAATAATCTAAAATCTAAAATTAATTTAAAACATAAATTATAAATATTCTTCTTTATTATTAATAAAATGTAAAAAATGTTAATTTTAAAAATAAATTAAGTGTTTAAGTGTATAAAGAGGAAAAAGAAGAAAAAAGAAAAGAAAAGAAATGGGTGAAAAGTGCAATGGCAGCATGAACTGAGAGTAGGAGTGTGCAAATCTGTGATGAGCTATAATAGTTGAATGTTAATTCTTTAGGAGGCAGAAGCAAATGGCATTGCCTAATCCGAATCCGATACCAACTCTTCAAGTTCTTCCTTCTTCTCCCTCTTCTTCCTGTTTCTGTCTCAATTACATAAACCATCTCCACAACAGAGATCAAAAACATGCTTTTCCTTTGGGTTTTTCCAATACAAGAATCGCCATTTCTGTTTCAAGGGTTTTTGGGAACGCTGATTTCACAATCACCCAGTCCATTTTTAACGCCGCTGATACTCGCATTGTCGATAATGTTCCTGCTCGTACTTCCACCACCACCACCACCACCGCCTTCGTTGAAATTCCCGTCAGTTGTTACCAGGTCATAACAAAAACACTATTTTTTATATATAATTTTTTGATATACGCTGTTTATTTTGCAGAAAAATGTATTACATGGCCTTGTTGATTTAGCCAATTGGAGAAAAACGTAAAAAATGTGGATGGGAATTTGCCTTTTACGTTGTCTTGTTCAACTGTTTGCAATTTGGTTTCTGGATTTTTTTTTTTTTTTTGGTTAAACCTACAGCTGCTTGGTGTTCCTGATCAATCAGAGAAAGATGAGATTGTTAAGGCAGTGATGCAATTGAAAAGTGCTGACATAGAGGAAGGTTATACTATGGATGCTGTTATATCTCGTAAGGTAGAAAATTGAGGGTGAAACTTTCCTGTTCTTTTCATGTGTTAACCGAAGTTATTTTTTTGTTTATGAGTTGAAGGTAGAATTTTGTATTTTTATATTTTCTGCCTCATATTTTGATTTGCAGGAGCTTCTAATGGACGTAAGAGACAAACTTCTTTTTGAGCCTGAATACGCTGGGAATGTGAAAGAGAAGATCCCACCTAAATCTTCTCTTCGAATTCCATGGGCTTGGTTGCCTGGTGCTCTTTGCTTACTTCAAGAGGTACAAGTCTTCACTGTCATGTTTATTTCCTGACTAGAGGTAGTTTTTGTGGAGCAAATGTTTTAACATTTTTATGAGTAGAGCAATCCCTTTAGTGGTGGCTGTCTGGTTTCTCAGAGTTGATTTGGCCTTTACTTCTGGATCATTTGTTTCTTCTTATCACTTCTGACACGGCATTATTATCCTTTTCTATTTCCTCGGATCACTATTTATTGATAGCATCGTTGTTGTTGGCCAATTTGGTAAAGTTCCCTATTGCTAAGCATTTCCCTACTTAATGAGATATATATCTCTAATCCAGTCTGGAGAAGACAAGTTAGTGCTGGATATTGGCCGGGAAGCTCTCCAATGTCCTGATTCTAAGCCATATGTTCATGATTTACTTCTATCTATGGCATTAGCAGAGGTAAGACAGACTAGCTAAGAGGGAGTTGAATCAAATTGTTGTAGCAGCCTTGTTATTCCTCCTTTTCTTATCATAGGCGCTTTCTTGAAGTGTGCAATTGCAAAGAGTGGCTTTGAGAAGAATAAAGTGTCCCGAGGATTTGAAGCTCTTGCTCGGGCTCAGTGTCTTCTTAGGAGTAAAATATCTCTTGGCAAGATGGCATTGCTATCTGAGGTATTGTTTATTCTGTTGTTTTGTATCCGATGATCTGGGGATTCTATAATGTTCTGGATTGGTTCTGCATATGTTGGCATTTTCTTATGTTGTTTGTTCCATAAATCGAGGTTGTGAACTTCTGGTTGAAATTATCCAAGTTTTCTCATTCTCTTGTTAATGAAGGGAGGAAATAAATATTTCATTCATTGTATTTTTAGTTCTAGGACATTTTATAAAGAGGAATGGAAAGCATATGGTTCATATCAGGAACTTGTTTCTTGTCATGCATTTATTCTCACCCTGTCTGCTGTAAAGTTCTTGGTTTTGGCTTTCAGATAGAAGAATCTCTGGAGGAGCTTGCACCTGCTTGCACATTGGAATTATTAGGCATGCCACACTCTCCTGACAATGCTGAACGCAGACGAGGAGCTATTGCAGCCTTGCGCGAGTTGCTAAGGCAGGGACTTGATGTGGAAACATCGTGCAGGGTTCAAGACTGGCCATGCTTTCTGAGCCAAGCTCTTCATAGGCTCATGGCTACAGAAATAGTTGATCTCATTCCTTGGGATGATCTAGCCCTTGTTCGCAAGAATAAAAAATCAATTGAATCACAGAACCAAAGGATTGTTATCGACTTCAACTGTTTCTATGTTGCACTAATTGCTCATGTTGCTGTTGGTTTTTCAAGCAAGCAAAAGGAGTTGGTATAAGTAGAAGATTGCCTCTTTTCATTAGTTGTTTTGATCTTATAATGTTTATAGGTATCGATATTCAGGTTTCATGAAACAGCTCTGTGTTTGACCTTGCTGAATTTCTTGTCATTATCTAGATCAGCAAAGCAAAACTTATAAGTGAATGTTTGATGACATCAGAAGGGATTGATCTGAAATTTGAGGAAGCTCTCTGCTCGTTTCTTCTTGGCCAGGTATATTTTATTCATCATAACTCTTCTAGTGTACCTCAGATCTGTAACTTGGTTTACAGTGGTGTGCAATTCATATCCTTTCTTATTCCCTGATCTTGCTTTCTCTAGTCTTTCTTCAGCCGTAATACTACAGCAAAATTTACATTTTGATATTCAGGGTACTGAGGCCCAGGCTGTTGAAAAGCTGCATCAGCTAGAATTGAACTCCAATCCGGCTTCACGAAGTTTACTTCCAGGGAAGGATACAAAAGATGTCTCTGATGTAAAACTATCATTGGTATGCCTTTTCTATACTAGATTCATTAGTTGTCCATGAGCTCATGCATTTGAAGCAACTTTAGGTGGAGAGCTAGATCGATCGGACTTGATGTATGGCCACACTTCTTGGAACTGGATTTGATGCTGTTAATAGGAAATGTTACTTCGGTTCTCTATGTTGACTCATTTATGTTGCATGGGAAACTAAAATGCCGAAATGTAGGAACTCAGAAACGATGTGCGGAAATGCATTCTAAATATAATTCTAACTTATATGCTTGCGTGCGTGCATGTGTGTGTGTGTGTGTTTTCTCTGTTATCTTTTGTTTCATGTTTTGCTGGATGATAATTGTGATAATGGTGCTACATCCCCCTTGGAAACTTCTATGTTTTAATCTTAATTGTTCTTGATGCATTTTTTGAATATTTGACATTTTCTCATGTCAGAATGCATACTGAACTTGACCAGGAAACATGGCTAAAGGATGCTGTGCTTGTTGTCTTTCCAGATACTAGAGATTGCTCTCCATCTATGGTGAGACTCGTGAATATGTTTATAAATAATAACCGTTGTTTTAGCAGGAAATATTGGTTACAAAAAGATGTTTCAACAGGTTAAGTTTTTTGGTGATGAAAAGAGGACTTCAGGAAGCAAGAGAAGTAATGAAAAGAGGATATCTCAACAAATCAATCCTGCTCTAGACCACAGACTGGTGTCTGATATTGCAATGAAACGAATGGATCATGTCGAGTCTTTTTCAAATATGAACTCCACCCAACATCTTGGGACTGCTGTTAAGCAGTTAGCTGCAACTGATTTGCGAAGCTCATTGTTACCAGGGAAGAATGATAGTGGAGGCAATGTTAGTGAACCATCTGTTCAATTTGAAAGAAATCTTAGTGCAGTTCACAGTATAAGTTGGGGAAGTTGGTTGGCCCAAAGCAATTTGATTGGAAAGATAACTTTTGTAGCTGTACTGGGATGCTTTGCACTTTTTAGCTTTAAGCTGTCTTGTATGAATTTAAGAAAGATAAGGATTGCATCTAAATTTGCCTCCAGCAAACCTAGAACAAGCAACAGTTCCCTTGTTTATACGACAGATCCCTCTCTTGATTGCAATGCTGGGACTGCTTATATTAGGGAGAGTAGCGTTACCAGGAGGATCAAGAAGCTCTTGGGAATGGTTAAGATGCAGTTTCAGAAAGAGTCAGATCTTAGAAAATACAAGAACACAGAGCTTGCTGCTAATTTGGCACCACGCACATTATCTAGGAAGCAGATGCCTGCTGAAGAAGCTGAAGCACTTGTTAAGCAATGGCAAGCAATTAAAGCTGAAGCTCTCGGGCCCAACCATGAAATCCATAGCCTCTCCAAAGTCCTTGATGAGTCGATGCTGGCTCAGGTAAACTAATACGGATTGCTATTAGCATCAATCAACATTGAGTTATCTATCTCAGAATTTTGAGTTGAGTAAATGGCTAAAAGAAACAACTTTGGTTGGTTTCCTGATGATGATAAGCTATCAATCCAGTAACATTTTGTTTAGATATAATAAAGTAACTAGTTCTCCTGGAGTTGTAAGTGTCTGATTCGACAGGTTATCTAATATATTGGTCGAAACATGGTTGATGCTGTTTGCTGGTATGTTGAATGCTGATGATCAAACTCACAATTTGAATTGCAGTTCGAACATTACTTAAAAATCAGATAAAAACCATGGAAGCATGGAGTTTCATCAACTTACTAGAAATTTCGAAAATGAAATAATCAATGTTGAGTTCCTGCAAATTTTGAATTATTGTTAGTGGAATTTAAGTCCTGTTGCTTTTCATTATTTACAAACATTCAGACCTTGATACTGCCCCTCCTTTGATAAGATTCTGGAGGAATGTTCCTAAAAATTTCTTCTCTGAAGTATTTAAGCTGTTATAAAACCATTAACTGTGATTGGGTGTTTGGTTCACAGTGGCAAGCTTTGGCCAATGAAGCAAAAGCCAGACCTTGTTATTGGAGATTTGTTTTGCTGCAATTGTCTGTGCTGCGAGCTGACATTTTTTCAGATGGATATGGTGTGGAACTCGCAGAAATTGAAGCTGTCCTTGAGGAAGCAGCTGAGCTTGTTGATGAATCTCAGCAAAAGAACCCAAACTATTATAGGTAAGTTTATGTTGTGCTTCTTGGTTATTTTTTTTGGTTGAATCAATTTTATTAATGTGCAAATGCACAGTTCGGTTCCGTACTGAACCAAACTGCAAAAACTGGAGACCCAACTTTCCTTTTTTCTTAAATCAAAATTCAGATTGATTTTGGGTGAAATCACATATTTTGCATAACCTTACAAAAACCTGAAACTGAAGTTATCTAAAATTTCAAACCAAAAATTGCAGTGAATATCCAAAAAACTGAACTAGATCAGTTCGTATTGGTTTTTCGGTTTTAACTGAACTTTGCTCACCTCCGAAATCAATTGCCATCTTGGCACAATAATTTGTGAAATAGTACGCTTTGAAGAAAAATCATAGAGCTGCAAAATGGGATATACTGAAACTCTTTGCTGTGGATGGTTAATGTGTAATCATGAAAATCTCGGCCATTCTGTTATTTATCGATAAGAAGTAATAGTTCATATATATATAACACAAACATCACAGCAGAAAATAATCCTACACCATGATGATGAATTGTAAAAGTTTATAGAACTAAGATAATGATTTCATAGGTGCCTCTTTTGTGTAATTACTAGTACTTTTCTGACGGAAAATTTAAGAGAGAAGCCTCACCTTCACATCCAATTTTACATCAATGTGATAAATCTTTTGATAAGCCATTCTAGTTCTTTAGGTTGTGTACATATGGATTTACTTGATGTGTATTATTGAACATAAGAGAGCTACAGAAGGAAGAAAGAAAGGAATGTTTTACATATAATTGATGTCAGATGAATTTTAATTCCTCGTGATGTCACTCACTCTTTTCCAAAGTTATGATTTTATAATAGTTTTTTTTTTTTTTTTTTTTTTTTTTTTTTTTTTAATTTCAAACCTCAAAAATTGCAGTGAATATCAAAAAACTGAAACTAGATCAGTTCGTATTGGTTTTTCGGTTTAACTTGAACCTTGCTCACCTCCGAAATTCACATTGCCATCTTGGCACAATAAATTTGTGAAATATAGTACGCTTTGACAAGAAAAAATCATTAGAAGCTGCAAAATGCGGATTATACTTTGAAACTCTTTGCTGTGGATGGTTTAAATGTGTAATCATTGAAAAATCTCGGCCATTCGATTTATCGATGAAAGAAGATTAATAGGTTCACTATATATATAACACAAAACATCCACAGCAGAACAATAATCCATACACCATGGATTGCATGAATTGTAAAAGCTTTACTAGAACTAAGGGAGAATAAAATTGATTCGCAATACCTCTTTGTGTTTTTAATACTAGTACTGTTTCTACGAAAATTTAAGAGAGAAAGCCTCACCTCACATCCAATTTTACATCAAGTTGCATAAATCTTTTTGATAGCCATTCTAGTTCTTAGGTTGTGTACATATGGATTTACTTGAATGTGTATTATTTGCAACATAACGAGAGCTACAGAAGGAAAGAAAGAAAGGAATGTTTTACATCATTAAAATTGCACTGTCAGCATGAATTTTAAATTCCTCGTGATGCTCACTCACCTCTTTTCCAACAGTTATTGGATCTTTATAATAGTTTTTTTTTTTTTTTTTTTTTTTTTTTTTTTTTTTTAGCTTGTCAACCTTCAAGTTTTTTTTTTTTTTTTTTTTTTTTTTTTTTTTTTAGTGTCAACCTTAAGAGCATCAGAAAGTAAACCTTACAAGGAAAATAACTCAAATTTTTAATCTCAAAATAGTTGAGTCTAGCTATGTAGATTAATTTTCATCTTACCACTCAATTTAGGGGATATATCTTCAAAGTTTTGGTCACTAAATCTTCTTTTACTACCTTCATCAGTGTGTACTGTATATCATTACACAAGAAGAGCAAAATTGAAAAGGGATTTTGATCGGCCAACACTGAATTTCTAAGAATATGCTGAAGAATGGACTCTCTTTTAATAGTTCAGAAAAACAACCATGGAGAATGGAAGATGCCATGTAAAATTACGTAAGATTATACATTTGTTTAAATCTCTTTTGAAATTCCAGGTTAAGTGAGATTCTACATTTACAAAAGCTCCTTAGGATTTGTTTGTTGTGCATTAGTTTGAAGCTGCTTATCAAACTAAGCCAATTATTTTTAGACTGTTTTCTAAAATTTTTTGACTGCTTTAGGAAAATCATGGTTTCGGAAAAGCTAAAAAAGATCTAGCGTCTTCCAGACTATGGTTTGTGAAGTTCTAAATATACTGCAAAAGCAGTTCAAACACAGAGCCATCGGACACTAAATTAAATTTGAACTTACCTTTCAGATTTGTTTTTGGCTTGAAAGTTTGAAAATTTTAGAGGATTGTAACTTGGCATTCAATCAGCTCAAATCCTCAATTACCTAATATAGTAGACAATTGAAAGTTACCTTCTCTTTCTCTCTCTCTCTCTCTCTCAATTTGCATGACTTTGGTACTGTTCTTAAATAATTTCCCATTGTCCTTGCATAATACCTTATCAGGTTTGACAATTTCTATTCTAAACTTTGACTCAATGCAGCATCTATAAAATTCATTACGTTCTTAAAAGGCAAGAAGATGGATCATGGAAGTTTTGCAATGGTGATATTAAGCCGCCGTCATGATAATTGAGCCCTGTTGTGGAAAGCATAGCCAGCAACGATTACTAATGTTATTCTAACATGTTTTTTCCATCCCCAGTTTTCACACAGGTAGACCTACAGTATTGTAAATTTATAGGGTGACAATGATTCTTTTTAATGTAGTGGTAGATCAAATGAATAGTATGATTCTGTTTGCTGCAAAAAGGGGTTGTAATGGATGCTTACCAAGAAAATTGAAGTTTAATTCAGAAAGCTTCCATGACCGGGTCGAGAATTTCCTTTCAAGTATCTGTTTGCTTGTGCAGTATCTTGATCTGATGACATTTGGAGAATACAAATGAAAAAGAATGATTACAGGAGATGGATGAAGCTTGATTATGAAACATACCTGAATTGTCTAGATGAATTTTTAAATTTGAAGTCTGAATATGTCTAATGTGGGAAGAGTAATGCTGATAATCAAGTTTAAAGATTCCAGACGCTTGGCCTCATTGGTTCAAGAAAATAAATTTGTTTGTGAAAAATAATTTCAGAAGAAAATATTCTGGAAACTGATTTTCTGTTCTGGAGATATTGAAATTTATAGCAGGATATTGGAAATTATGTACTTTCTTTCAATGGGCATGACTTAAATAAAGTTTTTGCATTTGTAAAAGCTTCATATTTATTTATTTGCAGGTAATACATGAGAGGAAATTGAACAAGGAAAACCAAAAAAGAGAGAAAAAAAAAAGAATGTGGATCATTTACAAAAAGAAAGATTGACCATTTAAATTTATTAAATGGATTTGAATAATTTTTCCTTTTTACATAATCTAGTCACATTGATTTTTTTTTTTTTTTAATATTTTACAAGAATTGAACATTAATAATTCATTTTTTATACTTAATTAATATAAAACTATATAATTCCTAAAAGTTATATATAAAAAAGTTAAAATACAAATGTTACATGTTTTAGAAAATGTTACTTATATTTTTTAGGATCAAAGTTTGAAATTATTTTACCATTCACAGGAGGGGAAAAAAAAAAAAAAAAAAAAAAATTTTTTAGGATTCAAAAGTTTGAGAATTATTTTACCATTCACATGGAGGAGGGGAAAAAAAAAAAAAAAAAAAAAAAAGTGGACCGGGTCAAAAAAAAAAAAAAAAAAAAAAGTGACCGGTCCACGAGTCAGTCTCCTTTTAGAGGGGGTAGCGTTGAATCCTAAATATAAATATAAAAGCAAATGTAGAATGTAGCAGCAGCTGTAAATTTCAAAATCAAAGCAAGCGATGACTCGTCAAGCCGTTGCCAAACTATTCGGCTCGATCGCATCACGCAAACCCTCTCCTTCCTCGTTTTCGCTATCGTCGTCGGCTACTCAGACTCGACAATATGCTGCGGCAGCGGCTGCACCTCCTCCTCCGGCAGTATTTGTTGACAAGAACACCCGAGTGATATGCCAAGGTATCACTGGCAAAAATGGTACCTTTCACACCGAGCAAGCCATCGAATACGGCACTAAGATGGTATTCCTTTTTTTTTTTTTTTTTTTTTTTTTTTTTTTTTTCTTTTTTTTTTTTTTTTTTTTTCTGCTTTATATGTATAGAAGATCGTAATTTTGATTTCAGTGTGGACTGAGAAGGCTTAAGAAATAGTAGAACATTTCTTAATCGGGAAACTCACCTTGCGAATTACCGTTTTAGCAGATTCAAGCAGAAGAGGAATGGCAAAATAGATGTTATTAGTTTAATTTCTAACCTGATTTGGTAATGGATTTTACTGGATTGAACCTTTTCATGCGAGCCACTCCAAAGGTCCAATTAGTTTTCAGGAGAAAAAAGTGTACAACAGCATGCACGTTCCTAAAATACTTCTCTGTAAACTAAAACTTTAGCATATTTAACCATATATATGTTTCAGTGCTGAGAGACAGACAACTTTAATTCTTGAAGTATCATTCTGGTAATATGAAAATTAAAATTTAATGACTGCTGAAGGTAGTGATAAATTTAAGGACCATGGATGGAATTAAGCCCTTGAAATAACCTTATTACTCCATAAGCATTAGTCTATTCATGTCAGCTTTGTACAACTCTTATTACCTAGGTAGTGTCATTCTGACATCTTCCAAATGTTTTTTCTTTTTTTTCTGACTTAGGTGGGGGGCGTAACACCAAAGAAGGGAGGAACAGAACACTTGGGCCTCCCTGTTTTTAATACAGTTGCAGAAGCAAAGGCTGAAACAAAAGCTAATGCTTCAGTCATTTATGTTCCCCCACCATTTGCAGCAGCAGCAATTATGGAGGCAATGGAAGCGGAGTTAGATCTTGTTGTGTGCATTACAGAGGGAATTCCTCAACATGATATGGTAAAATAACTTTATATTTTAAATTTCCTCCACCATATGGGATGTACATTCTGTAACTTGATTGACTTTTGGCAACCTTGACTGGTTAGCACGTATGACCTTTGTTGATACTAATAATCTCATAAATCCAGTGGTGGTGTTCAAATTTTTTGGACTTCTACTTTTCCTTTTTTTTTTTTTTTTTATTAAATCCAAGTGGTGGTTGTTTCAAAAATTTTTTTGGAAAGCCTTCTATTTGTTCCTTTTGTTATTTTTTTTATTTTTGACAAATTTTAACTTATTATCTTGCCCTATGCAGAGATTGGATATTCTTTAAATCTGATGCTAGTATGTAAAATGGGAAAAATTATGGAGGCTGTCTTATCCAGACATCATATAGGTAATGTGTTCGTTTGGGGTGTTTAGTGGTTCTTTTAAATGCTAAGTGTTGGTATGAATAAAAAATTTTAATGAAATATCCAGATCCCAGTTTTTGGATGATAATATAGTTGGTCTTGTTAGTAAAAAGTTAGATAGACCTTTTTTTTTTTTTTTTTGACAATTTTATTTTATTTGCCTATGCAGAGATTGTATTCTTTAAATCTGATGGCTAGTATGTAATGGGAATTATGAGGCTTTATCCAGACTCATATAGTAATTGTTGGGTTTATGGTTCTTAATGCTAAGTGTTGGATGATAAAATTTATTGAATATCCAGTCCAGTTTTGGATGATAATATATTGGTCTGTTAGTAAAGTTATAACAATTTACCTTTCCGTTTTTCATTTGTTGATCTTTAAATGACTATAAAAGGTTCAACATATTTCAGGTACGTGTGAAGGCTGCTCTTAATAAACAGTCCAAAACTCGGTTGATTGGTCCAAACTGCCCTGGTATCATTAAACCTGGGGAATGTAAGATTGGCATAATGCCTGGGTACATACATAAACCTGGTCGCATTGGAATAGTTTCTCGATCTGGTACTTTGACCTATGAAGCGGTAAGTCATAATTTTCTTGTGACTGAGAGTGTGTTGATAAGAGATAGATTTCATTCATTTGCTTATGTAATTCATAGTTTCTTGTTAGGTGACATTGGATGAGAATTATTAATTAGATATGCTGCACAACCCCTGTTATGTTTTATATTATGGCCTTCCAATTACTAGATAAGAGGATCTGGGTTTTGCTGCAGAGTACTTGCAAGCCCTTTTTATAAATATCTTGTTCGTTTTAATCAATATTTGGAAAGCTAAAATATCCCTTCCAAGCTTTTGTTGGTGAACAATACCCAGACCAATGACTTACTATCAGTGAAAAGGGTTACTAAGAGATATTTGTATTTTGCTAGCTAAATTGCTTAATTTTCTTTCGGATATGGAATAAGCTATTTACTGGTTTTGGGAACAACGGATTTTAACAAGTATAGAATGTGTTAAAAGGTTTACTGGTTGACAGAAAAGCAGGCTAGGTTTACTGTGGCTGTTTTGTTGCAAAAGGGAATATCAGATTTTACAGACAAAAGGATTTGCATGTCTAGTGGGATAAAATAGTTTTTTCCACATGATTATGGACTTCTCTTTTTGGAGTATGCTTAGAAGTGCCTTGGCCAACCCAAGTAATACAAAGGTGTGACATTCTCTCAACTCTCAAGGTAGTGGGTTCTCTTATTGCATGAGGTACAAGGCGTGAAGAAACACTTGCTTGAGCAGAGGGAGGCACTAATTTTTAATGTTTAAGAATTAAGAATTTGATAGTTTATGCCAAATTATATCAAACAACTGCGAGCAATTTAGTTCTAGTATCTGAGATTAAAAGCATAGTTTTACATGACTAAACTTTGTTAAATTATAGCTGTAATTTTTAATGTGAAGAATATTAGTGGTGTGATTTATACAAAATGCAAAAGACCTATGTAGTATTTTATGTTCCCAAAGAAGGTAGTAAGACAAAAATTTGGGAGGAGAGAACAGAAATAGGTAGGGACTATGGTGGAACTGTAGAGAAAGAAGAAAGAGCAGAGCCATATAAGAAAAATAATATCAATATTTGGATTCTGAGTTCAAACCTTAATGCATGTAGACAAGTTGATATTGAGGAAAGAAAGGCTAAAAGATGTTCCCTTTCTGTTAAAAAAATACGAGAGAACTCTATTAAGGTAAGAATACTGAGTACATTGATGTTAGGTTGAAGATGTTGCTCATATGCATATTTAAGACATCTTTCTATCTTCCTGCCTCTCCCCCGCTTCCACTCCCTTTTCTTTGTCTTTCTTCAATTTTCTTTTCTCTTTCTTTCACCATTATAACTTAGCACCAAGACTTCAATTCTAAGATTGTGCTAAGGTATTACATCGTATGTATTTTGCACCCTGATGTATCTCTGTGATTTGTTATTCTAGTTGTTTATACATATCCTAATTTTATGTATCTTCAGGTTTTCCAAACAACTGCTGTTGGCCTTGGACAATCTACTTGTGTTGGTATAGGGGGTGATCCTTTCAATGGGACAAACTTCGTTGATTGCATTGAAAGGTTCTTGGTAGATCCACAGACAGAAGGTAAATATTATGGTTATGGGAAATACAAGATTCCTTAATTTAACTGCCTTTAGAGAGTTAATATTATAGAATTTCTCGAAGAGCTTATATGTGTTTTTGCACACATCGAAACAGACGCAAAACCATTGTTTGTATATGCAAACACCATTGTTGTATTAGTTTAACTTTGATTTATTCCAACTTAGTTGCCTTGGTGCTAAAGATAAATTGGATTTATATTTGGTGCTTGTCATTCTTTGTCAGCCATCTGTTTCCTCCTCTCATTTGAAACTGTTGCCCATCGTCCATGACAATTGCAGTGGTTCTGTAAAATCTTGAGGTCTGGAATGTTACACAATTTATCAGCCACATCTGTGGCTCCAGATTAAAACATTTGGATATCATTCCTCCAATATTATTAGATTAGATTCTAAGATGCAAAATCCATGAGCTTCAGTAGTATGTTCAATTTATCACCCATGACAAAAGCATTGAAACAAATTTTTTTTTTTTTGGTAGCGGTTCTTTTCTGTTATTTTTGTCCAGTGAGACATGGCATAAATAGTTGCACTTGACTATGGTGAAGAGAAGATTAAATTGTCATGCTAAAAGATTTTTGTATGCGTTTCAGGCATCATTCTTATAGGAGAGATTGGAGGGACTGCTGAAGAAGATGCCGCACAGCTAATTAAGGTAACCATAGTTGATTTATAACGACTCATGAACTGATGTTTAGAGAGGCAACCTGTTGAGGTAGATCTATTTTTGACCTAATTCAGGCAAATTGGCTATAATTTTTTCATTCAGTGTGAATTGATCAATTAACTTGTGTATATCAATTCTGTTATTATGAAATTTCATTTTACAATTCCTTATATTGTGAACTTTTAATTTGTATATACTATTTGGATGTTGTAATTTGGCCTTGAGAAGAAAACTGTCATTAATGCTATCATATATTTTGTAAAAGTTCAAATTGTAGTAGTTATGTCCAGAAAATGATTCCTTGATCTGATAACAGGAAAGTGGGACTGACAAGCCTGTTGTTGCATTTATTGCTGGACTAACTGCTCCACCTGGCCGTCGGATGGGGCATGCTGGAGGTATAAGTTTTCATCTTGTAATTACATATTTTATTTTTTATTTTCTGCACTGGCACTCAATGCATTTTCCTGAATTATCTTTTAGTGCACATTAATGCCTTTCTAGGAATTGAACCAGAATAGATCTATATGTTGTCTTGTTGGTGTGAAACTGTTTACTGTTATTTTTGTATAGTAGAAATAGAATGACCTCCATGCATACCTTTTCTCTATCTTGACGTTTGTTTAAATATATTTCCTGAATTAAAATGCTTGAAATTTGGGATACCCTGAGCCTGTTTGATTCCCTTTCAGAAATCTACTAAAAATATTAAACTGTTAAGCATTTCATCCTCTTGCAGTGTGGAGTGAAATGTATGTCACTTGGACCATTTTGCTACATGAACTCAACTCATTTCAGCTTTGACGGTTGTGTAGTTGGGGATTTGCTATATCACTTCTTCTTGTGTCATTCTTGGTTCAAGCTAATTTTCAGTCAGTTAAAATGAATTAACACCTCCTCAACCCCCTCTCTCTCCCTTGTTGGCAAATGTGAATTGTTTTGTCTTGTAAAAGGATTCAAGCATTGCCATTAGTGAATATGTAAAAATTCTTTTCGGAAACATATAACATATAATATCTTTTTGGAAGAAATGTGCTTCTATTGAAATATTTGTCATTGCTTCCACATTTGGATATATGAGAATCCTTTTGGTTTCCATTTGTGCAGCCATTGTCTCAGGTGGGAAGGGTACAGCTCAAGACAAAATCAGGACCCTAAGAGAAGCTGGAGCTACGGTGGTCGAGTCTCCTGCGAAAATTGGAGTTGCCATGCTTGATATTTTTAAGCAGAGAGGCCTGGTGAGTTAGCCTCATTGACAAATTGAAGGATTTTGCTATGAACGTGCGAACTGCTCACTTTTGGCTGAAAGTTGATATAATTGATAATTGTTGATTAAATTCCCCAGAATATGGGATTGTTCCATCTTTTTGATTTTGGCCAAACACATCACCGGTTATGTAATAATTTAGGAGATTTCCTCCCATTGCAATTTTTTTCCCCTGCGGAAACACAAAATAGATGCATGAAATTGAGCTTGAAGTCCTTCCTTGTTCATCTTATTTCTTGGGATATGCCCTCCTCATAGGCATGTAGCTGCTCTTGTAACCAGCAAGTTTTGGGTTTTATCTTAAAGCTTTTCTGCTAAATGGAAAAGAAATATGGGGACGAAGTTCACATCAAATTCATGCATACATGAGTTAAAGTTATTCCTTATGGGCATTTATCTTATTTGCTTGAGAATTGCGTAAGAAAATTTCCATTCGATATTCTTAGACCTAATGCATAAATTTGTCTTGAAATTTATGTGATTTGTCAATGTATCATGATGATATATTTTCATATTTCAATAATGACTATGCTTCTTAAATTTATATGCAACTGGGTTAGTTTTATTTCTTTTGGTTTTCAAATTTTATTCTCTCAATCGACCCAATCAAACCGAAAAATCGAAACATGAGATTTTCAGTTTTGGATGATTTTCCACTACACGGTCGGATTTCTTAATAAATACATTTGAATTTATTTTTTCCCACAAGGCAAATTAGACTTTGTTTCTGATTCATGCGTTTCCAGCACGCACTTCAACAAGCAATGTGGACATAATCCTAAAGGATCGTCCCTTTTATCGTGTTCCGAGACAACAAAATATTAAACTAGCTATTAATCCAAAGAATTTTAGTATATATGGACCATAATTTAATATATAGTAATAAAAATTAAAAAGCATGAAAAAAACTGAAGGTGAACCACCGAGTTAAAATGAGTTAAGCATGTTATTATCAGTTGTTTAAGGTTACAAGACAGAATTGTTATCAAACTAAAATTCAACTGAAAAAGCTATCAGACCACAATACGAAAAACAATTCATGTTTTTCCTTCTCTTCATAAAAGCAAACCATGGACCTCGCCAAGATGGTTTGTTCAGTCTTATCTATCAGACAAAAACATCCGCTGACTGGTGAAAAATCTCCTAAATTATTTCATAACCGACTGGACATTTTTGGCTAAAAAAGGGGGAACAATCCCAAAACTATATAGAATTTAATCAACTATATCAACTTTTCTGGCAAAGTTGATCAATTTCATAGTTATAGCAAAAACCTTTAAATTGTCAATGATGCTAAATTGCGCAGTCTAACTTGCCAGACCTCTCTGCTTAAAAACATCGAGCATGGCAAGTCCAATTTTCGCTGGAGACTCGACCACCGTGACTCCAGCTTCCCTTAGGGTCTTGATTTTATCTTGAGCCGTACCTTTCCCGCCTGAAACTATGGCTGCACAAGTGGAAACCAAAACGATTATTATTATATGTCAAACATGGAAGCAAATGGCAAATATTCAATGGGAGCATATCACTTCTGAACATATAACAAGTTTTGCTAACAGTAACAGAAAAGAAAATCTTCAGTACTTGCAATATCTTTTGAGGAGAGATTAGAATGTCAGTAATTTCACAATTTTTTTTCGTTTTGTTCTTCACTGAGCCATCTTTCTTTCTTTTTTCCTTTTTTGTTTTTTTCTTTTTCTTTTTTGGCAATGCCTATAGCAAACATTCAGCATAATCATCCCAAGCTGTGAAGAGAAATTAGTGTGATTAAGCCTTATGGAATAATAGATCAGCTGAATCCTTCACAACTTGTATGGGATGCATTCGAAGTTTGAAAATCAACTAAGCCAAGGCTAAATAACATTATTCTAAAACTAGTGAAATAAATCATGAGCTTTTTACCCTTAAGAATTAGAGAAGGCAGGATTTTCAGTGTATTTTCTAGTTGACTAAAATTTAGGTGTTCAATTGCAGAATAAAGGTGCTCTATGATGTTAGTCCTAACATGTCTTTGTGCCCCAAAAATCAATGCAAAAGCAGCAGCAAAGAATGTAAAAGAAGTATTATGACTAGGATTCAAAGTCAAGCCATCAACAAAAAAGCAGCAGAAAGCAAGGAAATCTTCCTCATTATCAGAATGGAAAACAAACCTCTTACTATGAAACAGACAATGAAAAACGTGCTGTGAAAACAGTTGTCTGCATACTAGAAAACTGAAATTTTGGTTTTCAGTTGTCTATATGGAGGAAAGGTCAAACTCGAAGACAAAAATCCAGTTCCAGTTTTCTTGGAGAAGTTTTCTGAAAGAACTTACACTCAAAAGTTTAAATTTCCCATCTTACTACAACTACATAGAGTAAGCTTCATAATCTTGCACACCAGGAAAGTGGGAGTTAAAGTAGAGTAAGCTTCATGAGACGAGACTTCTGTTGCGATAGCAGTATGGTTCTGTGATGTTTCTGAAAGAAATTTGATGTTGTGCTTTCTCTTGCAAGCTTGTTATTCCAGCAAGGAGGATACTGGGGTTAGGTATCATAGTAGTTTAGCTGGAGTGCTCAAGTAAACTAAGCATGTTAGTTATGGGATAAAGCCAAGTCTGGTTAACGCATGGCTGTCATTGGGTTTTTGTTCTTTATATTTAGTAATGTTATGTATATACTTCTGTTGCGATAGCAGTATGGTCCAATTCTAGGACATGTATATATTTAGCGGAGGCCTGTAGGAAGATCAGTACTGCGAGACCTCGACCGCGCAGCACGGGAGCGGAGGTTGACTCCCACCAGCTTCCTTAGGGCTTCTTGTTTAATCTTCGGGAGGGCCGGTGATGCCTTTTCCCCGAGCACTGAAAACTATTGGCTGCAACAAGTGGAATAAACGCAAACGAGTTATTATTATACTGTGCAAACATCAGGAAAGCAAATAGGCCAAAAAAATATTCAATGGGAGCAATATCACTTCTGAACATATAACAAGTTTTGGCCTAGACGAGTAACTAGAAAATGAAAAATCTTCAGTACGTTGCAATATCTTTTGATGGAGTAGATATTAGAATGTCAGTAATTATTTATTTCAACAATCTTTTTTTTGTATGTTTCGTTTTTGGGTTCTTGCACTCTGAGAGTGTGAGCCCATCTTCTTCTTTTCTTTTTTCCTCGCAGCGTATTTTTGTTTTTTTTTCTGTTTTCGTTAAGCCTTTTTTGGCCAATATGCCGTATAGCAACAGATTCAAGTTCATAGATGCAATGGATGCATTGTTGTCGCCTGGACAAGCTGTGAAGAGAAATTAGTGTGATTAGAGCCGGCGTTCGTATGAAATAGGATAGATCAGTCTGAAAATCCTTCAACAACCCTTGTATGTGGATTGCATTCGGAAGGGTTTGTGAAAAAATCAACCGTAAGCCAAGGCTAAATAAACTTTAATTCTAAAACTAAGTAGAAAGATAAATCATGGAGGCTTTTTAACGCGCCGCTTAAGAATCTGAGAGAAAGGGCGAGGGGAAATTTTTTCAGTGTAATTGTTCTAAGTTGACTAGAAAAATTTTAGGTGTTCAATGCAGAATAAAGGTTGCTCTAATGATGGTAGTGGCCCTGAACATGTCTTTTAGTTTGTGGCCCGCTCTGCAAAAGATCAAAACAAAAATTGGCAAGAAGCAGGGCAGTCAAGAATGTGTAAAAGAAGACGTAATTAAAATGAACTGAGGGATTCCAAAGTCAAGGCCATGGCAACAAGGAAAAATAAGTCAGCAGAAAGCAAGGGAAAAATCTTCCTCATTTATCAGGAATGGAAAGACAAGAAACAGCTCCTTACTTGAAAAACCAGAGCAAGTGAAAAACTGTGCTGTGAAGGACAGTGCATAATACTAAGAGAAAACGATGAAAAAGATTCTTTGGTTGTTTTCGAGTTGTCTGATATGGAGGAAAGAGGTCAACACCATCACTGTATAGAGACAAAAGAATCCACATAGGTTCCTCAGTTTTCTTGGAAGAAAGTTTTCTGAAGAGTATAATCTTACACATCAAATCAAGTTTTTAAAAAAAATTTACCATCTTAAACTACAAAAGCCAATACACGAGTACATAGAGTAAGCCGTTCTAAATAATCTTGCACAATCGACAGGGAGTGGAGGGAGTTGTAAAGTAGAGTAAGAAAGCACGTTCAATAGACGAAGACTTCCTTTTTGCGATAAGCAAAGTATGGTTCCGTGAATGTTGTTCACTTTGCTGAGAAAAGAAATTTGACGAATGTTGTGCCTTTCTCTGTGCAAGCTTGTTATTGTTCCAGCAGGAGGGAATACTGGGGGTTAGGTATCATAGTAAGTTTTGAGGTCGGGGTTGAGCTGGAGTGTCAAGTAAACTAAAGCTCGTTTAGTTATGTGGGAGATAAAGGCCCCACACCGTGGTTATACCACGGCAATTGGCTTGGAGTCATTGGTTTTTGTGTTCCTTTAGTATTAGTAATGTTATGTAGATAAGTACTTCGTGTGCGATATAATAGAGCAGTAAAATGTGTCACAAAATTCTAGGAACACAGCGATTGTATATAAGATATATGAATAGTAATATAATTATATATTAAATATACGTATATATATATATTTTTGTGTGTTTGTGTATAGAGTACCGACTTCTTACCCTTTTACCGAGGGCTATTATCCTCTATAATTAATTAAATAGCCGTTAGAAAGTGCACAAAAAATCAAAAGGCATGAAGAATATCATAAATTCGGCGGATATCGGGTGGAGATTATAATAAATATAAGTACCATGTCCTCCCGCCATGCCCCCATGCGAACGGCCAGGTGGGAGGCAGTTTAGTCCCCAATCCAGACAAGCAAAAATAAATGCAAAGAAACGGAGATATATATATTTTGTGTGTTGTGTTAGAGTTACCTCTACCTTACCATTTCTCTATAATTATAATGCGTAGAAGTGCACAAAATCAAGCATAAGATACATAAATCGCATATCGTGAAATTATACCTCCAGCATGCCCCATGCGACGGCCAGGTGGGGCAGTTAGTCCAGCAATAAATGCAACGACGGGCTTGTCAGTCCCACTTTCCTGTTGTTTGATCAGGGAATCATTTTGAGCAAATAGCTGCTAGAATTCAAACTTGTATATAATGCATGGTAGCCATAATGGCATAGTTTTCTGAAGGCCAAATTACATTACCTAGATATTACAAAAAAATTGACAGTTCATGATACTGGGAATTGTAAATCAAATTTTCACATAACAGAAACGTTATACACGAAGTGGGCTCAAAAGATCAACCTTATTGAGTTTTCTTGAGTTTTCACTATCATTTATATGTATTACCACAAGTTATTTGATTGATTCACACTGAATGAAAGAATTAAAATATATTTACCTGAATTAGGTAAAAAATAGATTTAACCCAACAGGTTCTCTCCTAACCTATTCAATCTTTAAGAACTATGCTTCGTCTTGAATCAAGACAAATTAACAACCATTACCTTAATTAGTTTAGCAGCATCTTCTTCAGCAGTTCCCCCTATCTCTCCTATAAGAATGATGCCTGAAATGCATACGACCACCTTTTTAGCATGATAAGCATATCATCTCTTTCCAATATTCAACAGCAATTAATTATGCCCACATCTTAGTAGATAAAACAAACAGAAAGGAACAGTGAAAAACAACCATTGCCAATAAATAAATAAATATATTTGTTTCACTATTATGGTAATGAAACTGCCAAAACAAAGAATGTGCTGAAAAAAAAATACCAGCCAGGGATTGAGGGAACCAGTCATCAAGGACAAGCAACACAATCAAGGTAGTCAAAAGCCAAAGGCACATCCGGAGCCATAGGTTTCTCCATTTAGCACAACAAAGAAATTTAAAAAAGTAATAATAATAAAGCAGTTGCCTGATTGAAGCAAAGAAAATTTTCTAAAAATTTATTAAACAAAATAATATGTTAAAAAAAAATAGCGGAATAACTAATACAAAGAAAATGCAATCATCAAAAATGAGAGAGAAGGGACGAAAGCAAGGTTGAAAAAGAATGAAAAGCACCATGCATAAGTCTATTTTATGTTTAGCACCTAAGCAACTAGTGCAATATTATTTTTGCATATAATAGCATGTGCTTTTGTGCCTATTTCTGCATCTGCATGCGCATGTACAAGTTCTTAGCAAAATTCTGTAACATTCCTCCCCTGCAAATAAGCAAAATTAAGGAATCAAATATTTCCCATAATAATTTACCTTCTGTCTGTGGATCTGCCAAGAATCTCTCAATGCAATCAACAAAGTTTGTCCCATTGAAAGGATCACCCCCTATGCCAACACAAGTAGATTGTCCAAGGCCAACAGCAGTTGTTTGGAAAACCTGAAAATAAACAAAAATGAGCATATATGAACTAAATAAATAAAACACAACAACTCATGAGATGATACACCTTGGGAAGAAATTAAAAGGCTTAGGGTTGAAGTCTTGGTGCTATGTTAGTAAATGTTAAAGAAAGAAAGAAGAGCATTAAAAGACAACAAAGAGGGAGGAAGAGGGAGAGAGATGTGGAAATATGCAATATAAGCACCATCTTCAGCTATCCTCTACATCAAATTACAAAAATGACCTTCTCCCTTAAGTTATAAACAGATGAATAAAATACAACCCGGGGGGGGGGGGGGGGGGGGGGGGGGGGGGGGGGGGGGGGGGGGGGGGGAGCATGTATAATAATTCTCATCCCATGAGGCTCTGACACCTCACCTCTAAACAACAAATCACATAAACAAGTGAAATATATATCACACTTTTAATCACAAAGAAAATTAGACTTACCGCTTCATAGGTCAAAGTACCAGATCTGGAAACGATTCCAATGCGACCAGGTTTATGGATGTACCCAGGCATTATGCCAATCTTACATTCTCCTGGCTTAATAATACCAGGGCAGTTTGGACCAATCAACCGAGTTTTGGATTGTTTATTAAGCGCAGCCTTCACACGTACCTGAAATATGTTGAACCTTTTAAAGTCATCACAAAGATGGCAACAGAAAAAAAGAAAGTTAATTGTATAATTTTGCTAACATATCAACTGTACATATTGAGCTAAACACTCTATCCGGATATTCAATAAATTCTATCATCCAAGATTAAGTATTCAAAAATCATAAACCCAACAATTATTATGAGTTATGGACAAAGCCTCATAAATCCCAATACATAAGCCATCAGTTTTAAAGAACACAATCTACATGGGCAAGTAAAATAAAATCTATAAAAAAAAAAAATTCCTCGAAGAAAAATTATCAAAGTTCAAACCAACAAATTTGAACAGAACCTACCAACTGTTTAAATCAAAAATCATTCGATGTAAGAGATCAGTAGTATTATGGAATATAACACAGACTGAATTATGCCAGTCAGTCAAGTTAAAGAATACCTTCTGATGATGGAAATTTAAATTTAAAGTTACTTTACCATATCATGTTGAGGGATTCCCTCCGTAATACACACAACCAGATCTAACTCTGCTTCCGTTGCCTCCATAATTGCTGCTGCAGCAAATGGTGGCGGAACATAGATGACTGAAGCATTAGCCTTCGTTTCAGCCTTTGCTTCTGCAACTGTGTTGAAAACAGGAAGGCCCAAGTGTTCTGTCCCTCCCTTCTTTGGTGTTACACCTCCCACCTACGTCAACAAAATGGCACTTTGAAGATGTCAGAATGCACAATTGAGTCAAAAGATTTGTACAAAACTTATGTGGAAAAGTTTTGAGAAAATTAAAATAAAATAATTCCATTATTTAAGTGCCGGTTAAGCTTTATTTTCAGTTTGCTAAAAAATAACTCTTGAAATCCTGACATTTTATGTGCAGCAACATTTTACATCTCCCATTGAGAACAATCAAATTTTCAAAGCAGTTGGAAGTCTCCTAAGTACCAAAGTCTAAGTCTAACAATATGACTTAAAAAAAGCAATTTAATTTATTATTCTCCAATTAAGTGAATTAATATCTTTTAAGACTCATTTTCCTTGGGATATGCTCATTAATTCTCAGAAAGGAACAAAATTTAACAAAATGATGGAATGTAGAAAAAGAAGTCTTTGTTTTTGTAATGGAAATGAACTTAAAAAAAACACTTTCTGTAAAAAGTTGTCTTATTTTTTATCATTTGATTATAGCATTTAAAATCAATGGAAATCTTTTTCAGCAAAGAAGCAATGAGACCATTTGGAGCTAACAGAAACAAATTTTTCCACTTGGTTTTAATCCATTTGAATAGAATAGAGAATTTTATTATATATATAAAGTTGTAATGCTTGACCCCTAATTAGCGACCAAAACCAACTGGTGGCAACAAACAGCAATTGGTAATAGCTGGTAGACTGCGCAAATAAGGTTCTTCGAGGGCATAATTCCATTCATCGTCCTGGAATTTATCACTAAGCTCAACAGAATCATTATATTTTAAAATTTACACTAGCGCTAAAATCACTCAAAAAATGCACCGATTCTACATTTTGTTAGAATTGCAAATATTATATCCAAGTAAAAATTATTCTAATACATTAATAAAAATAAAGAAAAAATAAATCGAAATTGAGTCAATAAATGAATTAAACACGATAGCTCTCAGCAACCATAATTTTTTCCAAAGAATATATACCATTTTGGTGCCGTATTCGATTGCTTGCTCGGTGTGGAAAGTGCCATTTTTGCCAGTGATACCTTGGCATATCAGCCGAGTGTTTTTGTCAACAAATACTGCTGGCGGAGGAGGCGCAGACGCCGCATATTGCCGAGCATGATTTGCCGATGATGATAGGGAAAACGAGGAAGAAGAGGTCTTGCGCGATGCGATCGAACCGAGTAGTTTGGCAACGGCTTGACGAGCCATCAGTTGCTTTGATTTTGATATTACAACTACTAGTACTGCCTCAATTCTACATTTGCTGTGTTATATTTACGGGAGAATTATTACTATTTCCTATAAATCAAATAAATACACTTAATACTTTGTTCCATTATCTTGTTAATATATATATATATTTACCGTTCGATGTTATATACAATGAATCTGCAACGCAAAAAATACAAATTGAAATTAATTGTTACAATATCAAGGATTGAATCTGCATACCCCGAAGGTAAAAAAATCATTTACACTTATTAAAATCAATTAATTAATCACTATTTTTTTATTATTTTATTTTAAAAAAATGGCAACTTTAATTTCATCTATTTAGTTAGATCATGATTTATTTCCGCTCTATTTAGTTTCTTTTAAGCTTTTGCTCTCTTTATTGTAAAAAAAAAAAAAAAAAATCATAGCTAGTGAAGTATGCTAATCGCCACTTATTATACACACACACACTACACTAAAATGAATAGCCACTTGAAAAATTGCTGTCATTTTCATTCTCTCCGGTTAGCTCTCGAGGGAAAAATCTGCAATGCTGACGGTAACAATATTCATTGAATAAGAAGGCATGCTAAATGCCATAGCCTGCTGGTCCAAGCTTACGTTGAGAGACCAAGAAAACAAAACCTTATCACCTATGTATCTATAAACAGCACACATATAGGTATAGTCTAGAGATAAGTGCATATATAATCCGAGCATAAACCTTTACCACAGTTCAATTTTCCCTTTTCTCAGTCCTCAAAAAAGTAAAAAGATCTATGAATTCCACCAAGCTCGTTCGTTACACAGAATACTAGGCAGTCAAGGATCTAATGTGTCTACCAACCACTACTGAGGTGAAGGGGCGGTTACAAAAACTCCAAAAATGGGGTCCAGAAAACTCAAGCGCCTGGAGGTTACAAGCTCATTCTCTAAGCAAATACTGCTTCTTCTAATGCCAACTCTATATTGCAAGATTCAAGTTCCCGTGGATCAATTACGAGATTCCTTTGTGTCCTCCAGACAGAGATCTTACCACCTATTATTTGGGGGTTTAACCTTGTAAATGCGGACAATCCAATTAGATGTTGTGAATGCCTCTTCCAAGTATTCAAGCTTAATGTCCTTGTTTCCAATTTCCACACCCCTTGCTCGATCATAGCTAACACAAGAAGAAATCACAAGAATTACAGAAATGCATACTGAAAACTTTCACAAAGTAAATTACAGTGGCAGTTTAGTTATTAAACATTACCTTCTCTAATATGCAAATGCATATACGTACAAGCATCTGCATGCAAGCATATAAAATACAACTTCAGAAACAAAGAGTAAGATTGCTGAACTTACCCTGAAGGCCTGCCATATTCTGTTACCAGCTCTCCAAATCGATAGTAGGATAGCTTGTACCTAAGTAACAAAATTAGCAAATAAGATATATATATAGTAGAAAGTTTAACCACAAGCGGCTCATGACATAGATGTATAGTTTTAATGCACTTCAACTCTGAAACTACAAGTTTGGCTTCAAAGCAAAATTATTAGTTGTTGATGGTAAGAAAAAAATCTACCATAGTGATTGAAACTCTAGTTTAAAGAAATCATCACCATTATGTCATCAAATAAAATGGATATATTGCACGAATAAATCCCAAGCAAATACTCCAAACATCTAGGACAGACACAAAAGACATAGTCTCAACCCAATCATGTTAGCTGACTTTTGTTTTCATGCATAGAATTACTTGAGATTCATCTTAAAAATGAGTAAATAAATTACATTATAATAACATTTTCCTAATATTACAATCCCCTCCAACACTTTTGTTCAATTACATAATTAAGTTAAAATTGGGAATAGTTTCTGATTTGACATATTGTTAGACATTATGATAGCTAACAAAAGATAATGGGATAAAGTGAAGATAATGGAAACAAAAGACAATTGAGAAAACCATGGTACTACAACATCCATAAAAGAGTAAAGTTGCTCTACACAATCTGTTCAATTGACACAAACGTGAGACTACAATATCCACTGAAGAGCAAAGTTGCAATACAATACTAAAAGAAAATAAAAATAAAAAAAAAAAAATTTGCAAATGCGATACAGAAGGTTAAACATTCAAATCTCTAGCTAATCTTCTCCCAATTGAACAGATTGTCTTTTGTCTGAACTTATTTATTTAATGTAATAAACAAACATAAGATAACTTTTATCAAGCTCAATTATGGTGCAGTAATTCACTTACACCCTTATACCAAGAACACCCCATAGTAGATTAATAAAATTCAAAATAATATAACCAAGAAAAATCCCATTAAACACTAGGGTCACAAAAACAAAAAAATCAATCTAGTTGCCAAAACCCCACCCCGCCTCTCTCTTTTCTTCCTGTTTTCTCCTTCTTCCACCCTTTTTTTTTTGCCTGTCCTAAACAAAAGAATTTACGATTCGACCATTATATATCATTCCATTTGTATTATTAGCCAGATTGGCGATTACTTGGATAAAATGCAGCAACCTTTAGACATGAATAGAAGATCATTTTACAGCCATTATATGACTAAGATATGTGAATGAGGGAGCAATATTAATGAAGAAAAATAAGCATAGAAAGGGCAACTATTTTCCAAAGGTGTCTCCCCACATTTCCTATAATGACAACTATCAGAATTACTCCTCTCAAATGAGTTATAATGACTATACAATAAAAGCACTATCAAAAACCAAAGAATCACTCTTCATATAAGATTTGTTTTCAACCACCTATACATGGAAGCAATAAAGACCCATTTTTAAGTTTATTTATATCAAGGAAACGAGGAAAAATATTCAGACCTTTAATGATATATGAAATGAAGAATGACTCAGCACAGATACTTACATGAGACAATTCAACATTTTAGGAGCTGCACCTTTGTCAACACGATATTCACCATTGACAAGATAATCAGGTTCCTTGATAACAGGGAATACTCCGCCTCCAATTCTTACCATCCACAAAAACCTAGTGCAAATGAATAGAATTAAGACAGAATGAAAGCATGTTGTCCATGAAATAAAAATTTAGCAACATCTTTCCAACAGATGCTCATAAGACACTGCTGAAATTCGCTACAGACTGTAACAGATAACTTCAGTGACCAGTCAAACAGAGAAATCTGGATTTGTCAAATTTCACAGAAAATTGAATTCACTTGATTATTTAAGCTAGATATCAACATAATGATTTTGTTTTTATGTTTTAATGAACAATTTCAAATTAAAAAGAGCAAAGGAATATAAAGATGGTAAACAACTCGAAAGATACACACTTTTCAAAATATGACTATTAGAGCCTTACTTATTGATGTCGTCAGAAGAATAACCTGTGACACCACCAAAGACAACTAATACATAATCCACATCAAGTGATCTCATTATCTCATATGCCTCGTCCTCATAAGATGACATTGCACGTCCAACAGTGGCAATGTGTGTATTGTTCCAGGTATTATTGTCAACAATAACAGTTCTGTTTCCCATGGCAGTAATTTGATACCCATAATCCCACCATGACATCACCTTAGCATCTGGAGGTGTGTTTTGCCGTAACCAATAATATGCTTCACGGTAATCATCAAAGATGACCCTGTTGCCATGGGCACCTCTTGCCGCCAAGACAATTGAGGGAGACGAGTATGCCTCTGAAGTCACCCAGGTGCAGTGAGTTGCATACTTACTGAGCAAGTAAAATGCACCAAGAAGCAATGCGATAGCACCATTTTTTTGGAAAGGCTGAGATTGATCAAGCAAAGCCTGCATGCAATATCACATGAGTGAGCCCACATTTTACAAAATCTACCAGCATAAAGTGAAACCAACCTTTGTCTAATGCTAAAAATTTAATAAGAAAGAATACTTTGTTCCAACTGGAACAATTATTAATCTATATTTTTTGCAAACCTCACAATTGCTCAGTACTAACAGTGCCGTGGCCTATATTGAGTACTAATTATGCTGAATGAAGGCCACAGCAATTGTTATGTTCAAATTGTTCTAGTTACCTTTTTCATGAGGTGGTTGGTAGGCATACATGTGTTTTCGCAGGTAAACCACACTTTATCATTAAGATCTTTTCTAGATGGATAAGTATAACCTTTTCCACATGACAAGTTGAGCATAGTCCTAATCTTATCACTCAAAAAAGTTCACTTTATGGCTGGAAAACTGAATCTGAAGTTATGTTAACAATCAATAAAACTTGGCATGTGAGCTATTAAAGAATATGAATAGTTATCCTGAATCAATGTTTGAAGAAGCTTCAATTAATAAATCAATCTGCATGTAGAAACCGCTAGTGACCCAATCTGGGGAAATGAATAGATAGTAGTCATTGAAAGCACTTTCTCATGATTTGCTAAAATAGTTACAAATTGTTTCATTATCAATCCTATAACAAGAAGGCAAGTACACAAGCATTAAGAAAAGCATTAAGTCTTAACATTATGCAATAACAATATGCTTATACAAGGTGATTTCACAGCAATACATTAGAAAGCAGGAAGTGAAAGAAGAATCTAAACCAAGTCAAATAAATCTCACCTTAGAAGAAGCTTTTGCACTGCTACCGCCTTTAGTGGAACTAGTTTGGGCAACTTTGTTCTTTGCCCTCAGCAATAATGTCAAATTCTTTATGGTAGCAGAAACAGCAATAGCACTAATAAGGCACACAGCAGGTGTGGCCACAAGAATCAACCGAACCATTACACCCGCAAAATACATGCTAGTGAGACCATACATAACTATAAATATTGTAGCATCTGATAGTCGCTTGAAGCAGAAATAAAGACCAGCAGGGAAAAAGAAAAGCAGAATATGAAAATCAAACATGAAAGATGACCAAGCAGTTGGCTGATGCTCAGAGACAGATGCAATAATGGGGATGTGATCCTTAGCATATGTAGGGTCCAGGAGAGAGTAAAACCGGCCTGTCCATGGAGAAATGTAGCCAGATGCTGTGCCAACTCCAAGAGCAATAGCACCAACACCAACTGTGAAGGTCACTGTGATTCTCAAAAAGGCTTGAAATTGCTTAGCATCATTTAGCAAGTGCTTAACCCAATCTAAGAAATAAAATACCTGTACAACAGTATAAACATGCAAGTTCAGTGTGCGTATAGCTTTCTCTGACAGCAAACTGAAGGAAATGAGAATCTATAACAAATTGCATTCTTGAAAGTGACCAACATAGTTAAAACAACACAAGAATGCATCAATAAATGGTCGAAGAATTAATCAAGCATCAATTGCTAAGCAATTCTTTGAAAAATAAAATAACAAGAGTATAACTGAATTATGCTGCTGTAAGCTCTAATTATGCAATTTGGAAGAAGATTAAGTATAATAACCTGCATCAAGAAGAAGACCCCCATTGCAGCCATATGCTCTCCAGACTGCACATGTTGGAAACCCACAAACCGAATCTGCATAGCAAGCAACATTCCCAACACATACGTGCAATTATATGCAACATACAATCTGAGAGAGTACCTCCCAGTAATTAACAGCACCATTACATAAAGAGGGATCAAATTAATGATAAACACATAACCTCCCCAGGCAGAAACCATATAGAAATACCCAAAAGCAGAAGCCAATGCCCAAGCAAGAGACCCTGTGTTAACAGCCTTAACAAACAAGTAAAATGTTAACAAGAGAGCAAAAATGGCAACCCCTTCATTATCATACGAGCCAGCCACAGATCGAGAAATGTATCCAGGACAAATGGCAATCAGAGCAGCAGCAACAAGACCAGCACCAGAGTCCCAAATCTCTTTACCAAAGAAATAGGCGACAAGGGTAGTGTTAGAGGCAAAGAAAGGAGCAGTCAAGACACAGACCTCGCGTATATGAACGGCAAAGCGCAGGATTCGAAGAGTCCAGTATATGACAGCAGCAGTGACCATAAGACCAGGGTATAGAGTGCCACCAATAATACGACCCAAAGGGTACCAACTTTCAGAATCGAACCAATTCCAGAATTCATAAAATCCTTTTTGGGTAAGGAAAAGAGTGGTTCGATAATTGAAGTAAGGATCGAATTCATGAATCATAGACTCATAACGAAGAACACTAAACAAACGGGTAATGAAAGCTAAAACGTAAACGAGACAGAGAATTGAGACTCGGATCAAGAGCTCCTGTTGCTTAGTTTTGAGCTTGAGAGACTTAAGAGAGAATGTATTAAACAGATCTGACTTGAAATTATTCAGAGATTGTGCGGATCCAGATTTTGCAGTGCCGTTGACGGTGGCCGCTTCTATTTTGCCCCCCATTTTATGAGCAGTAGAAATGAAAGATAGGATTTTTATCTGATTTTCTGCTTCGAGAAATTAGATTATTATTGGGGCTACAGAGGAAGATCAATTTTCGCCATGGGAGGAGAGAAAAAACAAATCGGGGTTGAATCGGGGTTTATACGAATATGAATATACGAGTGAGTAAGTGAGAGCGACAGACAGAAATGGTTATGGATTTTGTATTCCGATACGGCCTTCAAAAAGAGCCCAAAACGTCCTATCCTATGTTTGCTATATACGGCCTTTTTTAAGTCTTACCTATATATCGAATCAAACAAAAAAAAAATATCAATTATATATTTTTCTTTTTTTAATTTATTAAAAAAAACTCGAACTCGGAACTTCTCTTGAATATATATTTTTCTTTCAACGAACTAATAATTTTAATTATCGTTATCTTTATAGACATTTAAATATTTTTATGTAATTATATCTTTATTTTAACTTTTTTTTTCTAACATAAGGACTTGAGATGACTATTTGAAGAAAGCAATTCAATTCAATTTAATTATTAAAAATCAGTTCAATTCGATTAAAAATAGCTCGTTAATTTGATTTTCATTTAAAATGAGAAATTGAAAATTTAAGTTAAAATTCGTTTGGTATATTCAGAAATGTTATAATCCAGAAATTTCAACATTTACATTATCCAATAAATAATAAAGTAAATATAGTTTATTTTATTTTATTTTCCTAAATATTAAAATTAGATGAACTCGTATTATTCTTTTTTTTAACAAATCAATATATTTATCGATAGAGATGCAAGTTAAATAAGAATAGAATAGGAAATTACAAAGATTATTTTCTTCTAACAAGAGAAATAAGACTACCATTTAAGGCGAGTAAAAAAAATTGAATTTATTTTTATCAGAACAAAGGAATATAATTTTACCAAAAACAGAAAAAAAATGTGTTTTTTATTTTACTTTCATGGCAAGGAAAATGAAGCCAATGCTCAAATGCTAAGGCCTAAAAGCATTAGAGAAAACAGGGAGGCCATAGCAAGGGGCTGATTTGAATTTTGCAGCAACCAAATACTCGATACAAGAAACAACTCAATACAAGAAACAATACTTGTACATGATTGTCTTCAACATACAGCTGTTCTCTGCTCAAGAAAAAAACCTCTAATACAAAACATAAAATGGAAACGCAATTAATATTGTTTGTTTTTGTATTTGTATTCCTTAATCATAAGGAATTTGGATATATGCTGCATCACAGGCAAAAGGGACATCTGCATACATACCGGCAAGAGCACACCTTATGCACTCCAAAACCGTGAAAAGGTAAGCAAATGCTATAGCTGTCCAAAAATGCATACCTACTTTACCCCAGTAGACAGCAAGTGGCATCCAGCGACTCACGGTTCCTATCACTTGAAGAGCAATCTCCAGCAACATTCCCATCACAACATGAAATCGGAAAAAGTGTGGCCATTCCTTCCTCCTTACGATTCCTAGATATGCAACAAAGAAATATGCCATCAGGAACCAACTCGGCAAACTCCCAATGGCTCCAAGGAATGGGTATGTCAAGAATTCAAAGTCTTCAAGGAATGGGTGCAGATGATATGCCGTCTCAGCATACATCCATGTCTCGTGAAGAGGCATCAAATAAGGGAGACATGCTAAAGTCCTCCACCACCATCTTGGCTTCTTGGTCATTGGAGGGTAGCGAAAACTGGACGGGACATCTTTTGATGCTCGAGGGCACAAATAACGTCTGCAACGCCTAGGCAATGAGGGAATTGTGCGCCAAATTCCACCTTGATCACCACCTAAGAGTGTAGTTGATGCAGCAGAAAGGTGAAAGGATGGCAAACCTGCCATTGAAAAAAATTCTAGATGAGAACAATAAGTCATCATTAGTTTGATGCTCTACAACCTAACAAGACCATCAAAGTAACAGTTATAATGGAGAACTTGTTAAAATTGGTTACAGCATTATGATATGACAACTTGATCAAATTGGTGCCTTGAAATCCTCCTGCTTCCCAAGAAAAAACAGGGGGAAAATGAAGGATAACAATAAGGAGAGAAATGAGAATTTTGACAAGAAAATTTACATATACCTCTAGATTGTCTGAATTTAGACTCAAAAGTTGGAACTGGAAGCCATGAACTCCGGATGTTTAAGAATGAAGCCTTGGCAGTGGAATGAGGAAGACAAACAGAAACTGGGCTACTAGACCTGGTATTACATGTGCTTACATTAGTACAAGAGCATCCAGCAGCAACAGAAGGTTTTGTGCTTCCATTTAGAATCATTTCCAAGCACCTGTTTGAAGATAAAATGGGAATATATGCATTTAGGCACTCAGTATATCACTAATCAGCAAAAAATAAAATAATCCAAATCCATTCCATTTAATATCATTTTCTGCAAAAAAAGCAAAATAACTTCTTTTCCACCATCAACCCTCTTGAGTTAACCAGCTTCTTTAAGGATAATTTCACACAAACTTATCCAGTAATTGCAACCAAAATTCTTTTCTGAAACAGAAAGTCACAAAAATTTACAGCATGAAAGAGGACTAGTAACAAATTAGGGATTCGACAACAGATTAGCAAAAAAAAAAAAAAAAAATTGAACCAATTTCAATATTTTCATACTTCTTGTTTGCTTCAACGACAATGCCAAAGAAAAAGGTAAATAATGTATAAAAAAATTGACAAATTATACCTTGGATTGAAACTTGAAATGCTGGCGAGGGGTGAGTTAGGGTTTGCAGCTCCGATTTATCAGTCTCATAGTTTATCGTATCTCGCGTTTTTATTGGGCCATCAAGACAGTAAGGCAGCGTTCCAGTTTTGTGAATCTGCGATGATGTACCGTTTATGTCGACTGGTCGTTTCGTTTATAATCGGTCATTCGATAGCAGCTCGCGTATAAAACGCACCGTTGGAAAAATTTTGATGAACTTGGCCCCTGTCTCCGTGCTTGCAGCCAGTAGACGACCAGTCGTTTATAACTGGCATGAAAAGATCAACTGTATATCAACTAAATTAAATTGAATCGGCCAATCAATTCATCCAAAAACAACATTTAAAACGGTTAGTTATTATTAAAAATAAACCTATTTTTTCTTTAACAAAGAAGAATGCATCAATCAGGTATAATCTAAATTGATCTTCTCGTATTTTATAAGTCCGAAATCTCGAAATCAAGCCCTCGTAGTCACAAAAGTTATTACAAATTTAGTCAATATGTTTTTAGAAGAAAATATTATGAAAAGGTGAAATAGTAATTTTTTAAAGTAATTATTTCTATCTGGCCCAAACCAGAGCTTCAAGACACTCAATTTCTCACCTTCTCAATACAATATAATATAAAATAATCTTCATTAAATTTCATATAAGCATAATATTAAACAATTAGGATAGGTGCACTTCCAGTGATTTAAAAAAAAAAAAGAAAAAGAAAAAGAAAAAGAGAAGAAGACAAATGGCTCTTGTAGTTGTATTGTATACATTATATAACAGAGATTATGTCAAAAATGAAAAATGGAAAGCTGTGAAAATGACAATTTTAACGTTCTTCCTTGCAGCTTTTCTTTTTCTTCCTCTTTCAAACATATAACCTGATACTGTGTTTTCTTCCCTGTTAGGTTTCCTTGGCTTTCCTCCTCTTTCAAATGCACTTTTGCAGCAATATGACATGACAATGGTTGGCATAGATATTCCATTCCCATTTACATCAAAGTAGACAATAAAAAAATTTCCACGAAATTGTGCAAAAGTTCAAGCTAATCAAGGGCCGCTTTGCTTCTGCGTCCAGATATGGGCTTTGGTAACCCATCAAATATAGGTATAGTAATTGCTGCAGTTGAAAGAGCCTGCAGGTCAGTTTTCAAACTCCATTTTGAAGATGGCCAAACAGAAGGGAGATTACTGTTGTCTTGGTCATGAAGACTTGGTGTGCTCGATGATTTTCTAACTCCAGTCATTCCATCAGCCATTATAGAATCCCCCAAACCTATTGGAATAGAATTTAACCATACTGATTCTGTTTCACTGGACAGTGCCGCTCTGCTTGCTGATTTTGGTCTCATGGCTAAACCCTTTCCCGTTACAGGTGAGAAATCACTGCTTCCACCACTGTTTTCTTCCTTCAGCAACTTTTCTGGTGTGCCAGCTCTAGGATCTGCTTCAGATTTCTGGCGTCTTCGAACAGATTTCTCATTGGATTTCTCACCTTCTGCATCTCCAGCTTCTGCAAGAGGTATATAGTCTACCATAAGACTACCATCCTCGGGCAATAAACTGTTAGAAGTATTTCGGGATTTGAGATTGTGGTATGGTGATCCAGAGATTGGTGAAGTTTTATGTAACAACCCCTCCTTCAGGTGATCTGAGCTTCCTGTTCTATAGACAGCCATCTCTGTGCCTTCAGTTGCACCCTTGTGATTTAAAGATTTGAGACCATAATAATCCCGTAAAGTACTCATAGCAGGAGAAACCTTCTGCTGGGTTGGTTTGAATCTCAAGGACTCAAATGATTCCAACACATTAGAGTAGCGTGGCTGCTGTGGACTTCTATCAAGGCTGTTTCCCCTGTGAAAGAGAAAGTATTATAGTCAATACAAATCTGGTGTACTTATATATTTCAAAATTATTCATACATTTAAACATTCTGTATTATGTGATCAGCAAAAGTAGAGAATACGAACAAACACCTTGAATTGAGAACAGTTAAATTGAGTTTTTGATTTTTTTTCCAAACTGTTAGGTTTTATTTGCAGGTGTTATTGTATGCTAAACAGGCAAATAGCTAACCATAGAATAACAGAAATGTTTAAGGCGAGGCAGTGGTTACATGGTTGGAGAGTTTTTCATTGGATGCTTCAAGGAGATGATAAAATTACTATCTTTTTTCAATAGACTAAAGCAAATTCTTTTATTTCTTTTGACAGAAAAAAGAATTTTATATTGAAAGTAAGCTAGATGTTACAACGAGGATAAGATACTCTTCTCTCACAAGTGCAGAACAGAATCAACACAGCAAAACTATGAGATAGAGCTGTCCAATCCTGCTGAAAGCATGTAGACACTCTCTAAAAGCCCTTTTAAGCATGGGCTTCCAAAGAAACTACGAAAACCACCTTTTACCCCTAAACAGATTAAAGGATAAAACATGATCTTTGAAAACATATGCATTTCTCCCTATCCAAATAATTCCTAAAACAGCCTCAACGTGCTGCCATTCTCTTTATTTTAGTAACTGCTAGTTCCATAATGGCTCCAATGGAGGTGTGGTTCAGCAGGCAGCAACCCACAAAGTGAGACACCTTTCTAAGGGACCATGAGGCCCCTTTCACTTGAGAACTAAACCAACAGGCACTTGCCTTCGGAAGTCAAATTCTTGTTAAAAAATCACGATAAAACAAATTATTTTACATCAAATCAAGTAATTAATGCTCAAACTTACTAAATATCATCACTGAATTGAGCAATCCATTAGAAAAACAAATAGGCTCCATATCATCACATATCCATCATGATTGGTAAAAGATCATCTACCTAAAGTCGAAAACTCAAAAGCAAAATTATACAAAATCCACTTTAGTTTCTGCCATGGAAAATCCTAAGAAGCTCTAGTCTTCATCAACATAAAAAATACTTGCATCACTATATTTTTGACCCTCCATCTGAATTAGCCTCTTTGTCTTCTACATTCACTGCCCTGGAATTTAAAGTCTTTGTGCTTCCCCTTACTAAATAGGCCATTTTCCCCATTAAAATATTAAATTCTTGCACTTCCTTTCCTTCAACAATATCAGCTCTGAATCTAAAGCCGATCAAAATCAAGCAATGAATCACAATATTCACTCTTTTATATTTTAATTTTTTTTTTCCTTCCCTTTTAGTTTTCCTCTTTTCCCCTCTGCATTCATGATGCTAGATGCCCTTTTGCCCTAATTAAAGCTAAGGAAGAAGTGTAAACTACTACCATTGTAATAGGTCTCTTCACTCTTAGAAAGGTGCCGGTCCTTGGCCTTGCTCTGTCAACTATCAATGGCTCAACTGTTTGTCAATCTAACCAAAATTGCCTTAGTGTATCTAGTCAAATCTTAAAAAACTCCCGTTAACAATAATCATGGCAAATCTTTTCTTATAGCATTTGTACTTGTAACCAAATTAAAGTAAGAACACTGTAGCTGTAGAAACCCACCAACAGTAGCTAAATATCGAGGTTTCGCAGGCGACGCTGAGTTTGGAGGACATGATCGGAAGTGACTTCCTGCTTCTCATTGAGAGCAATACTGGAAAAGATGACACCAGTTCCACTGCACTGGAAATTTAATTTTTTCCCCAGCTTGCCCGATTGAAGAAATTTAAATAACTTTTCATGGACATCCAATTCTTCACTTCACCAGAAGAATCCCTCTTGATTGTTCAAGCAAATTTTCTTTTCCTTTTATTTTTCCTTATTACCTTTATTTTGAAATTTACATTTCTTATTCTGCATGTTATTAGTATTCTTAGCTTGTAATTGCAGAACGGTTTCAAACTTTTAGAACCATTCAATTTCATTTGTTTCCAATCTGTTAGCATTTTATATCTAGGTTGATATATTTATCTTGCAATTTCTACAAAATTGCTTGCGTGCCCGTCCTCTATCTATCTCTCTATTTATCTATCTAGGTTGAGCAGAAGAGGTTCCCGTTGAGAAGTCCAATAACCAAAATAACTGAATTAATATTTATTCATTTATCTATATTATTCTGTTCAATTCAATCACTGATTAGAGATCTTCAACAATTATGGTCAATCATGCAAATTGATTCAGTCAACCAAATGCACTATTCTAGTGAGTTCAACAAGGGACAGGAAAATAAAAGACACAATGACTGTGTAAGTGGTGCAAGTGCCTCAATCAATCCACACACTTACCTAGGAAATTCCTGAATGAAGCAGTCATATCTCAACGATAAAGAAGCGGTTAGGCTGTGCCTGAGTTTCCTTTGACAACATGGCTCCCAAGTTTGCTTTAATAGGCATGGATTTGGGTCTCATTCTTTTAATAAGGCCTCTATGGTACATGATTTGTTCTTTAGTACTTAAAACATTCAAGTTTCTTATTTAATGTACATGCTGGAAAAGTTTTATGTTTGAAGTTTCTTATACTCATGCTATGCTAGTAGTTTTACATATCCAAGCACATCAATAATTAGTTTTACAGGTCAAGATTTTGCAAAGGAATACGTATGGACTTATTACATGAGCTTGTTTAGGTTTAGCAATGTTGTCCTCAAACTTCAAGATTTTAGTAACCAAATAGTCGAACTTCTCTTTAATGGCAGCCCTTTATCATTACCGCCATCAACTTACACTAAAGTAGCAATTGAGATTCTGTCAGATGGCAATTCAGAGTCTGCTAAAGAACAGATGGAATAACCAACAAAAAAGTTACAAATTTTAGATTTGAGGTCCACACTGAGAAAATTTTATAATTTCAAGGGCTAAATAAAAACATGTTCCGTTCAGAAAGTAATCCAAGAACACCAATTTTCCAAGGGGTTTGTGAAGCAATCCTGAGTTGTGGATGTCATAACTAAGGAAACTTATGATTGTAAATGTTTTCCTTCCTTTCTTTTCTTCTATTTACATGTGCAGTACTCCTTCTCAGTGTCAAATCCAAAACTTGCAAAGCTCTATATGTGAGACCCTAAAATTTGCCCAATCATTAATTGTGTTAATGCTCATCCTAGGCTGTCTAATACTAGAGTTAACGATCCTGCAATTTCTTTGCTACAATCTTCTTCAAAAATTGTCATATTTTGGTTGTGTAGCTTAGAGTCCTTTACATTTGACTTCACAAGAAATTTCCACAAATTCAGAATTTATTTAGCTCCTTCAAACCATAGAAATCTTCTATTGAAATCATAATCAAACTACTATCAAGTAGCACTAAATTCCTGAAATATTTTCCGAAAACCTTGTTTAGTGCAGTTCAAAACCGAATTTCTATCTTTACCTATTTGATTTCAAATCCTATCCACAACAATACCTAAACTCTAAAGCACATTCTCCTATTAGCAGTCATTTTGCAGTCATTATCCAACTCTCTCTTTATTCCATGTACTCTGGATCTTAATTTAAAACTTTCATCTTTTATCAGGCCTCTATTCATAGGTCTAAGATTCATTTAAAATGACCAGCTTAATATCATATTTGAAGTCCAATCATTGTTGTAAAATAATCTCTTTCAGTTTTAGTTAATTAGATAACTATTCCAGACCAAAAAAAAAAAAAAAAAAGAAAAAAAAACCAAAGAAATAAGGAACTACTTTCGACGAATTTCGGAAAAATAAAAAACCATTGGTTAGGTGTTCAAGATCACATGCGTGGGTTTTTCTATCTTTTGCATAATTTTGCAAGTTGCAACCATCAAATCTGAGTTCCTGCAACTCATGCAGCATTATGGCACAAGAAACTGGAAGTTTGCCACTAATTTTTGCATCCTTCACAGAGCAAGTTGCTTATAAAAATGACTGAACCAAGCTAGCCGATAGACTGGAAAAGACATATAAGAAGCCCAAAAACCAAAAAAAAGAGAAATCCTCTTCCAAGTTGTCATTAGCCCTAGAAAGATGAAAATGAATAACAATTGAGCAAAGGCATAGCATTCACTCGATAACAAGATTTCCTAAGGCATAACAGAAGGGACAAAAAATTCCAAAAATATGGAACATTGAGTTTTGGAAAGAAGCGGAAGTTCATCTTATTACTAAGGATATTAGGTCAACTTAGTCTCAAAATGTAAATTAGTCCAGACCAACTCATAAAGATGGATAATAAAATATAGAAGCACGGTATGGAAATAATAAATACATCGCAGAGACGATAGAAAGTGAAAAAACTAGTACCCTGGAGAAGCAGAATCACTGGACAGAATGGAAGATGGAGGATGTCTTCCTGGCAATGGTATGAGTAACTTCTTCAAAGCAAACATTTGAAGATCAGTAGCCAATCCATTTAACCTTTTGATGTCAGCAACCTAATAGTAGAAAATTCGAAACATATGCATCAGTAACAATTAACCTTCAAAATGGACCCATCTCATGAAAATGAAGCACGGGCAACTGGGCATAATGTCATATATACTACAAAAACAGCAAAAATAACGAAAACAAGGTGGATATCTAGCCATTTTTGATCTCCTGAAACTTAGAGTTATCTCAAATTATAACGAATTTAAACCAAAATCAAGAAATTGAAAGTAACCCAAATGATTTTTTTTTCCAAAAAAGTACATAAATTGGATTAAAAGGAGAAATACCTCGACTCCATACTTGATGGCTACACCAGCGAGAGTATCCAACTTGGAGACCTGATGCTCTATGTAATTCTTGCTATTAGCATTTCCTCCTCCAGATACACCATTAGCATTTGAAGGAGACATTTTTGCCTCTTTTTATTAACCCTTCAGATCAAATTCAATTCCTTTGTTTTCGATCTTCTTTAAAAGAGAGAGAGAAAAAGAAAGAACCCAATTGGGAGGAGATGAAAGGAGATCAGCCGGTAAAATGATTCAACTGGAGATGATGGACTGAGATAATACAAATAAATAAACTATATATCTTACTTTTAAAACAAAAACAAATGGTAAAAAACAGAAAAGAAATTTGGAATAGACAAAGGGCAGAGGGGTTTAGTAAATGGAATCAAACTTTCTTCTCCATCATCCAATCATGAGATTCTTTCCGCAGACAAAGTCTCTGCTTTCCATTTGATCTTAAAAAATCTGTTTTTTTATAGAATAAATAATAATAATAATAATCTTTTTTCTTAATTTATATACGAATAAAAAATATAGAAATAAAAAAAATCCCAAAAAAATGTCAAATCCCAGAAGGGGAGACAGAAAGAGGTATGGCCTGTGTGGCTTTCAGTCTTTCGCTTTGCTTGTGTGCAAATGCTAATATATATTTATAAAAAATATAAAAATAAATATATATCATATTTTTTTAAAAAATCTTAAATTTGTTCTGATTATTATTACTTTATTTATTATCATTATTTATCAGAAGAGGCCTAACCTGACTAAAGTAGACGTTTAAAAAAAATAAATAAAAAAAATAAAGTGGTCGAAACTGGGAATAATATAAAATATTGCCGACGCGGTTCTTTCGAGTGCAGAGAGACTGCCGACACACCGACGCATCCTAGCGCTTCATTTGTGGACCCCCACACTTATCTTTCTATTTTCAACGGCTCTCCTTTTTCTCGTATGGTTTTCATGTGTCAAATGAATTTCTGTATTTTCCTAATAAAAAAAAATAAAATGTTTATATTTTATTAATTAGGAAACTTCTTTATTTATTTACACCTAATCTGAAAAGAAACCGGAAAGAAAATTATTTATTGCCTAATTGTTTGAATGGAAAAAAAAATAACAAAATAGAAGCCAAACTGAATTGTTTATAGAATTTAATAACTTGAACCAAATTATTATTTTTTAATTTTAACCTAATTTATGAGTTAAATCATTTTAATTTTAGGGTATAACCAAACTCCAATCATATCAAAAAATATATGTTTTTATTAAAAAATTGAAATTCTTAAAAATTGAAACCAATTCGATTTGGTAAGTTTTATTTTTTATTCGCTGGCTCAAACTTTAAACTTGTTTGATATGTTTTTGTTCTTATTAATTATTATCTATTATTATCGAACCAAGCGAGTTCAAACTTGACTATTTTTAAATGAGCCGAACTCAAATTTATGCATATCCTTATCGAGCCAAGCTCGACTCGAGTCAGCTTGTTTATAGCCCTGTATGTTAAGCCAAAAAAAATAAAATTAAGATGAAAAGTTGTGACACCTAAATTGACAACTTTCTCCTCTGGTTTCTTTGTTGACCTTGTTTTTATTATAAAAGGTCAAATTGAGTTTTTATTTGTAACTTTCATTCCAATTTTTTTTGGGATCAAATTTCTCTTTTCTAAGCAAAGGACGGCTAAATGATACTTCATATATAAGTCATTTATTAAAAAAACAATTAATCTTAAATTATAACAAAATTAAAGATAATTTGACTAAATTACCCTTTATTTCAAAATAAAAGGTACTAACTTGTAAGAATAGTTATTGTATATAATATAAATAAAGATAAAATTAGAAGAAAAAAAAAACTCATTTATTACTATTGTCTTATATTTTGAGATAAAATAATTATCTTAAACGACGTATATTTTAAGACAGGAATTACACAAATAAAAAATCATCATCAACAATAATAACGCATTTTACAATTACAGCTAATTTTATTAATCGACACCTTATATTTTTATCATTCATAATAATTACAACCTTCATACATCACATATCAGCATTAATTGAAAAATTAAATAACAACTCAAATAAAAAATACTTATTGTAAAATGAAATTAAACTTGCCAATCAAAAAGATAGGGTCTTTGCTAATGGATTTTCTCATAGCCCTAAATATGATGCATCTACATTATTAGTTTTAGCTGACCAATATGATGTAATGAGAAATAACATACAAAATAACATTGTAAAACTAATTAAAGTTCAAAACTTTTTTGTAGAGGAAAACAGGGAAGTTAGGTTTTCACTCTTCCATTTATTTTTCTGCTCCTAGACATTCCCCTCCCCAAGCAAGTAGTCAAAAGGATATCATTTTGCTAGTATAATGTCACTATCCTAATGATGCATGACATCAAGATTTTAAATCCTAAAACTCATCCCTTTCAACTTGAACATAGTTGAAAAATTAAAATTAAGCCAAATCAAATTGAAATAAACTAAATTACTAAAAGTGGAAACTCTTAAAATCATTTTTCTAGTTAAGATAAACATAGAATAGAATGATTAAATTGAATTCTTGCTACTCTCTCAACAAGGCAATATTCTCAAAAAGAGAAAAAAAAAGAAGAAGGGCAATATTAGAATTAAAAATTGTATTTCCTGTTTCTGGTACCTGGCTTGTCGGCTCACCTGAACAGGAGTGGCTGGTAAATGGACCTTCTGTCATCTTTATTAGCCATATCTTGGTAGACACTTTTCATGAGTTTAACAATAATTAGAAAGCGAGGGAAACAAGTACAAGGTCACATACCACAATTCACAAAAGTCATTTCAGTCAAAACATTTATCTCCCAAGATTATTAACCATGCCAAATGAGTAGACCCAGCCAAGAACCAATTTCAAACCAGAATCGGATTGGCCAGGAACTGGTCCAAAAAGAAATCAGGGGCCCCTCAGTTTTGAATCAAAATGGAGAAGCCAGGTCTCAGTTTGGTATATTGGGTGAGACGGGTCTACCAACAAGAATAGCAAAGGCGATTCAGGCTAATTCCAAACTAAAATTTTAAAAAAAGGAAAAGAAATAATTTCCAATCTGAAAATTCAAAAAAAAAAAAAAATCAAAACAATATTAACTTAAAACTAAAATTAATTTATTTTCTTTTGTTTAATTTTGTTTATTTTAAAAATTAATTGAAAAAATAATTGGCCCCCGGATTAACGGTGGGTACCTCGACAAATGAGGCAATCTTTCAAGCATGTCAATCTGTCTCCTGAAACATAAAATGAACATAATCACTGTAAAGAAACAGCAGGAATATGAATTAGGAACCTACATGAAGTTATGAACTATTGCAGAGTCAGAAAAAATTACTTACCAAAGAGAAGAAAAAGAAAAGAAGACCTTCACGTTAAACTTACATTTACAATGCTATATTCAAAGCAGTTCATCAAAGTTAAGAAAAAATAGCAAATTTTCCATTAATATCCACTATATTAAGAGTTATATTGCCATTCATCTACAATTCTGATGCACCTGAAACATGATTTTCAGTAGCAACCAACAACTATGTCCCAAATAAAGAACTGGATCCATGGATTTACCTAATGATCAGTAATTTTTTTTTAAAAGATTGTAGTATCTGGCCACTTCCCAAGATAATTTGGGAAGTGCAAGTCAAGTCTATTTGACTCAACTCTCTACACCATCTTGTTGAATTCCTTTCCTTTATCTCAAGATCCAGTTCATAACATTTCACCAACTGTCAGGCCATTTTCCAGATAATTTCAGCAATTCAGGTAAACTTCACTCAGCAATAACAATCAAGTCCTTCTATGCATATACTCCCAGTCTATAATTTTCCAATGATAAATCAATATACTGCAGCCATAAATAAAAAGGCATACCTAGTAGACGAGGCTGGTTCCACAAGAATAATGTGCTCTGCATAGATTACTAAAACTAAAAATGCTGTGCTAACAGCAATAAAGAGACGTACAAATCCCAAAATTTGCTGCAATAATGATGACAACATTATCCAAGGTTCATGTGATGAGATTGTTTGATTCTCTACCTATGTTTGGTTGCATTTTAGAATACTAATTTTAACATTCCAATCTACAATCCGGATTTTGCATCTATTTCTGGTACAATTGGCCCTTCCTTCAAAAGAATCTCAAACAAAAATATTCAATCATTGTGCATATCCAAGCTCATTAACTCTGTATTCCTCTAATGTAACTACTGGGGACAAAAAAAAAGCATAATCAGAAATAAATATAGATTACTTACTGAGATTGCTATGTACCCACCAGCCACAATTTTATCTAGTTAAGTAAGAGGGCTATTGGAAAAAAATAATTACCAACATAGGGTGGGTTGAACAATAGTTACTAATCTAGGGTGTGGTTTTTTTTTTCTGACTGGGAGAGTCAAACAACTGCAGTGAACCCTGTCAAAGTGCCACATCACCCATCTGCCACTTAAGAGTAGCAGACTGTCAGCAGCTTTTCATTATGTCCACGGCTTTAAGTAGGGAACAACAAGACAATATTGATGCATCTTGTTGCCTGCTACTTTAAGTAACTAGTGAATGCGTGAATTTTCTTCCTAAGCCCCATTTCTCTGCTCTTATTTTTTACTCTCTTTCTTCTACACTTCTTCTCTGCCTCTTCCCTAAAATCGTGCTGCATAAAAAAATTTTACTTAAAAGGAGTTGACAACACAAGCTGATGGCAACAAGTTGTCCATCATTTGAACTGATGGCAGCTGCCATGTCATCTCTACCTGCCATTTTAAGTGGCAAACTGGGGTTTTTTTTTAAAGAAAATCTTAGGTAAACTATGTCTACCACGTCATCTATGGACCAAGCCAATAAATAGTACCATCTAAAATTATATCAGACTTTCATGCCATAAAAAATGGTAAAAGATAATTAATAAGCTATAACTGTTAGTGTGTCGCAAAAATCAAATAGCAAAATTTTAAAAATTATTCTCATATGGCACTATTATTACATTAGTCCATGGGTGACATGGTAGACATAATCTACTAAAGAATTTCTTGGTTTTTACCCTTTTTTAACCGCTACAGTAAAAAAGTCAAGTCAAATGATAGAATGAGGTAGTTTACTAGCTTGGCCAAAGGGAAAGGGAATTTCATTTCAGACTGGAAACTATTATAGGAGAAGTTTGAATCTGTACCGTTTATTGTTTTTTAGTCCAGTCAACACATTTCACCCTAAATCGATAATTACTTCTCAATCCACCCTATGTTGGTAAATATTTTTCATCAATACGTTAACTAGATAAACGGCCCTAGTTAAGACATAATAAACTGATAACACCAATATTATCCGAGATTCACGCGATGAGATTGTTGATTCTCTACCTTTGGTTGATTGCATTTTAGAATTCTAATATTAACATTCCAAATCATAATCCAGATTTTGCATCAATTTCTGGTAATTCTGGTCCTTTCTACGAAAGAATCTCGAACAATATTCCAATAAATTATGTATATCCAAGCTCATTAACTCTATTTGCCTCTATCATAACTACTGGGAAAAAAATAGAGTGATGAGCATAAAACAGAAATAAATATACAATGCTCGCCCAAAATCATCAGGTATCAACCAGCCATGGTTTTATCTAGTCAAGACATGACCAACTGATAATTTCAGTTCAAAAAGGAAAAATTGAGTTTTTTTTTTTTCAATTTATTTTTAAGATAAAAAGTTACTGTATCTAAATGATGTGAAGAACAAATAGAAAATACCTGCTTAGTCTCCATTCATTCATGCTGTTCTCCGACAAGCTCATGTAACTGAGCAAACTTTTTCTACTTCAATCCAACTGGATCCTGGCACTTTCTTTACATCCCTATTCTCCATGATTTTACGCAACATCCCCACACTGTCCCAATTCTTTATACCAGCAAACATGTTAGATAATAAAACATAATTTGCAGGGTCAATTTCATCCAAATGGATTGCACATTCTGCTGCTCGCTTTCCAGTTTCCATATCCCCATGCAGCCGACAAGCACCTAATAAAGTCTGCCAAACAAGCACACCTGGTTGAAATGGCATTCTTGAGATCAATTCCTCCGCTTCCTTAATATGCCCTGCACGACCAAGTAGATTCACCATACATGCATAGTGATCTTCTCCTGGAGTGATTCCGTGGTCATTAGACATGGAAAAGAAATATTTCCACCCTTCATCAATAAATCCCCCTTGGCTACATGCATAAAGCACACAAATGAATGTGACATAATTTGGCTCTACACCTTCCATTCTCATCTCATCAAAAATTTCCAAAGCTTCTCTAGCTTGGCCATTTTGTGCACATCCCATAATCATGGTTGTCCATGAAACAACTGTTCGATTAGGCATTGACTGGAAAACAGCCCATGCCTCATCTGTGCATCCCGATTTTGCGTACACATCGACTAATGCATTATCAACACAGGTATCAACCTGAGAATCAAGTTTGATTCTCAGGCCATGGAATTTCTTTCCATCCTCCAACGAAGGCAAATTAGCACAAGCATTAAGTGCAGTGGCAAGAGTGAACTTATTTGGCTTCACACCAATGTACAGCATTTCTTCAATAATCTCAAGCGCTTTGCCTGGTTCCCCACATTGTAAGAATACAGCAGCCATCTGGGTCCAAGAACGCACATCTTTACAAGTCATGTCATGAAAAGCATTCAAACCATCAACTGTCCTCCTATTTTTTATGTACATATCACACAAAGAATTTCCAACACAAATATCAGCCCCATGACCAGTCTTTATAAGCTGTGCATGGACTTGCAAACCCATATTGAGATTAGTAAGAGCAGAAGAAGCAGTAAAAGCAGCAGCAAAAGTGTATTGATCAGGTTTGTGACCTTCAAAATTCATTCTACACCAAAAATTTGGTAATTCTAAATAAGAATACTGCAACAACCCAGAAATCATTACGTTCCATGTGACCATATCCTTATGTGAACACCCATCAAAAACTTCTTTAGCCTCTAAAAACTTTTCATGCCGTATCAAAGCAGTTAAAAATGCATTAACCACAAAAACATTTGATTCAAATGCTAGCCGAATAATATTCACATAAATTGGGTATAAATGAATAGAATTCTTAGATAAGGAGCAAGCATGGAGAACGCTAACTAGTGTAAACTCGTTAGGCAACACTGAAGAATCAAAATGCATGCGCGAAAAGAAAGAGAGAGCTTGATCGGAATAGCCATGTTGGACAAAGCCAGAAATGACAGAGGACCAAGACACAACATTTCTTGCAGGCATTCCATCGAACAATTTGAGAGCATAGTTCAAATGTCCAGATTTGATATAGAAATTGAGAATATGGTTATGGAGATAAAGAGAACGGAAAAGGGTTTTGATAAAAACGGCGTGAATAGCTCTTCCATGGCTTATATTGGAGGTTTCTAAGCATCTACGCAACAGGTTAACGTAAAATTGTTGCTGTAACTGTGAGGTAGGAATGGTGCTTATGGTGTTTGATTGCAAGGTTGAAAACGCTAGTGAAGGTCGCCTTGCGCTCCCAATTACATGACCTGGCCACCGCATCTAGCATTTCACAGTTGTAGTTAACTTCTTTCAGTTAGGATGTAATTTAAGTCGAGTTTTTCCAATTCATCTCGTATATCAATCTTGAACAAATTCGAGTAAGTTCAATCTAAAAATGGGCAAGAGCTTAGTTTAATCTAAAGTACAAACTCAACAGTAGAAATCGATCTTCGTGAGAACTGGGCACTAAAAGGAAGCATCGGAGCTGAAAATGATAGATGAGGGTGACCTCAAAGGCAACCCATGGCAGAAAGCTCGAACTCTTCAAGAGCTAGGCAGGAGAGAGGGAGCATTAAAACGACACCGTCGGATAGAAGCCTCCACCAGCAATTAATCCAACATATATCTATTAATAATTGTGCATATAATAGTAGTAAACAATACTTCCTCCCTCCATAAATATAAGTCATTAAAAGTTTTAAATAGTAGTGATTAATAATATATAACAAAAAAATATAACAAAAAAGTCATTAATTTAGTTAACTTATTTTTATTTTTTATTATTAATAATTAATGTGTCTAATATATATATAAAAGGATAAAATTGAAAAAATTCATTAATTATTTCTTAATATTCTCAAAATAAATTACTCCCTCTATCCCAATATTTGAGATTATTCTAAAACAACTTTAAAACTATTCTAAAGCAAACTTACGTTTATGGACAGAATAAAAAAAAAATTAAGCTTAATTTAATCAGATTTGATAATAGTAGATATCATTCAGTCTGTCCGATTAGCTCAATAAAAATACTCCCTACGTTTCATTTTATTTGCATGGTTTGGCAAAATATGTATATTAAGAATTTAGTTAATAAAAATTATTTTGCTATTTTTTACTCTTAACTCATTAAGATATTAATAAAAACTTTCATTTAACAAATAATCATAAAAATTATTATAAAAAAATAATTATTTAAATATATAAATTTAGAAACCTCCTAAATATTTTAAGACATAAAAAAAAAAAAAAAAAAAACTCCCTACGTTTCATTTTATTTCCATTGGTTTGGCAAAAATATGTTATTATTAAGAATTTACGTAAATTAAAAAAGTTTATTTTGCTATCTTCTTTTACTCTTAACTACATTAAGATTATTAATTTAACAAACTTTCATTTTAAAACAAAATAATCATAAAAACTTATTATAAAGAAAATAAATTATTCTTAAAATATTATAAATTAGAAACCCTCCTTAAATATTTTTAAGGACATAAAAAAAAAAAAACAGTAACCAAGGCAAATAAAATGGAAAGGAGTATGGATAGGTTTTGCTTTTAAAAAAAAAAAAAAAAGTAACAAGCAAATAAAATGGAACAGGAGTATGGATAGGTTTTGTTTTAACACATGATGATAATGGGTTTTAAGCTTCCATACCATATTAAAATTAAACCATTAAGAGTAATTAAAAATATTAAAATTTATAATTACAAATAATCTCTAAATTTTATTTTAAGATACAATAGAAATTTTTGTAAGGGAAAAAAAAAATACATTTACAACAATACACAAAATTTAAGATATTACTACTTATTAGGCTTTTAGCTTCATTTTATAAGCTTAATTTTTGTTAATTATTATGTATGCCATCTAATAAATTATCTATGAAGTTCTTAAATATTAGATTTGGCAAATAAAAAGAAATTAGCTACCCTGCAACCACATAAAAGTGGATATCAAGATTTGATTGTTCAAAAACTATCTGATCAACAAAGTTCCCACCTCAACCATATTCTAGGTGGTAAATACAGGTACAATAACAAAATCAAAAGATTTTAACTTTCTGCAATCACTAAGTATAATCTGTGCATTTGGGCAAAAAATTAGTAGAACAAAATTTCTTGTACTTAGTAAAGGAACCTGAAGGAGTCAACAATCAGCCACCAACAGAAAAAAAACAAAACAGATCAAGTTTAGATGCAGTTTAGGCACCTGAAGGAGTCAACTCTGTCTTACTTAGTAAAGGAACCAAGCTCATAGAGTAAGGAAGCACAATAGGAGAAGACATAATGGAATTAGTACCAAACTTTGAAATATCACTTACTTTCTCCATTTTGCTCCTCTCAATGTGATATAAGTAGACAGTGTTTGATACCCTCAACAGCAAAATCCCATCTTTGAAGGCAATAGGATCCATCCATGGACTAAAATCATTGGTCAACCTTTGTTTGACTCTCTCCTGTAAGTTGCAGAGGAATTGAGGATTTTCTTGTTCCATTACTGCCAATGTTTTTGAGTGCTTCAATGACCAGTTGAACTCAAAATAGTGTTCAAGAAACCAGACATGGATTCCTTCTTCAGAAATTATTATATAGTATAGTTTGCCTTCAGATTCTCCAATGCAAGCCTCAGGAACACTATTGAATTCTGTAGAAGGAAGTGGTGTTGAAATTAACCAAGCTAACTCATTCTCTACCATAAAAGTGAGGATTTGATCACCATCAGTTAGCCAATGTAATATCCCTCCAATGAAAACACCTTTGTTCTTGTAAAAATTGTTGTTGCAACAACAAATCTCATTTGACAGTTTCCAACTTTTTGTTTCTGAAGAATATATATCAAACGAGAAGTAGAATCCTTCTTCTTCCGCCTGTTTTTGTGAAACTCTAACCAATTTGAAGTTTGCAGAATTGTCAACAAGATCCTTAGAAGGATCAAATGCAAGAGCAATGCTGTTTTCTTTATCAGGATTGATCCAGTCCAGCTTAATCCATTCTCTGTTCAAGGGATTGCAAACAAAGAGAGATGGGTTTTCAAAAGGGAAGCAACTTCTACAGCAAATTAGCCCATTGCAAGACGTCAGGAGAACAACTTCTTGAGAAAGGAAATCAAAACACCCATTTTGAAGTTCAATCCCTTCTTTTAATTTCACAGGTATGTAGTTTATAGTTTTTATGTCAATTTCACACCACTGGAATCTCTGTTGGAAGAAGAAGCCTGATAACGGTTCTTCTTTCTGGGATTGAACCTTAATGAATAATGGATTGGTTATAAGTTGTTTCCACCCTTTAGAAACAGTCTTTAACTCAATCAATCTTTTTGTTGGCAATCTTGAAAGCACATCAAAGGTTATATCAGTGGTCAAACTCTCAAAGTTCTTCATTTTCTTCATTTTCTTCATTTACTGATCCACAACACAAAAGAATCAGATAATGAACTCAAATTTTCAGAATAAATAAACAAAAATGGTGATTGATATGTTTATAATTTCCAGGAAGAAAACCATTTCATTTTCTTCCTAATTCTGACCAAACAAACTAATTTAAAGGCTTCTATCTCATTAGTGTGTATGAGTTGGAACAATCACGCTTGGTGAATGTTTTCATTTCTTTTATCAAGTAGTAATTGAAAACCAATATAAACAGCACATGTAAATCTCAAAACCCTGTTTGGTAAGCAAGAAACGAAAGGAAACATCACTCTGTTTCTTGTTTTATATATATGATTCATAAATTCTATTAATACAATAATAAAGCACCAAACCCATTTCATTTTCTTTAATTTACGTATAAGTTGTAACTGGAGTTGTTCCCACGTCTCATCCAATATATATATGAAACATCACTCTGATTTCTTGTTTTATATATATGATTCATTAATATTTCTATTATTCAATAATAAAGCACCAAACCCATTTCATTTTCTTTAATTTACGCTTATAAGTTGTAACTGGAGTTGTTCCCACGTTTTCTCCATCCAATCTATATTATATAGTATATATATATATAATATATATATAAAGAAGAAAACGAAGTACTAAAAGAAACAGAGAAATATATATAAAGAAGAAAACGAAGTACTAAAAGAAACAGAGAAATAAAATATCCTAGAAAGGAAAGAAAACAAGGAAGGAAGTTGAAATATTCAAGATGTGAGTTTCATTTCTATTGATTTTCCTGCATTTTACTCAGATTCTTGCCAACCAAACAGGAATATATTGTGCAGTGATTCTGAAAAATAAAACAGAGTATCATCTAAAAGAAAGAAAGGAAGAAAGAAAGTGTTTTCTTACGCTTTCTTTCTTGGCAAACACGTAGTCTACTACTCCTTAGTCCTTATCTATATCAAACAATCAGTTTCTTTTCCTCAATTTCTGTTCTCAAAGCTCAAAATGTCCATAGAAGAAGAAAAAACAAAATGCGTTTTCCTTCTGCAATTTTTAGTAGTAGGCTATTTGAAGCAAAAGCTTTACAATTTTTAACAGGTGGCTAAAGATTTTACTTGGGTATATCCTCTTGTACAGCATTATCGTACTGTTTTCTTGATTTGTAGAAGTCAAGATTTTAAAGTAATCTAATCTAACGGTTGGGATATGAAAATAATAGTAGGACATAAGTGGGTTCCACTAGAATGATAATGCACGCTCATGGAGGCGGGTGTGCAGGTGGCTTAACAGTAGCCAGTGGCACACAATTTGGTTGTTTTGGAAGGGAAGAAGAAGACGGTCCAGCTTTTTAGCAGAAGAAAGAAAGCTTGCAATTGCAACAGATTTTGTTTTTATTTTTATTTTTATTTTTTTAAAAGATAAAACTGTTCATATTCTTTGTAAGGTCTTTTTTTATTGGAAATTCATCCACTGTCTTTTACTTTTACTTTTTACTTTTACCACTAGTTAACTCGTGCAATCAGTAATTTATTTGATTTAACTTGTGTAAATATAAAAAATCATAAGCTCATTTTTATGCATTTTTCTCATAATAAATTTTAAAACTATATTATTTTTATATTCTAAGTACTTTTAATTAATTTTTAATATTACAACTAAATAATAGAAAAGTGTAATATTTATTCTAAAAAAATGTATTTTATTTGAAAAATAAATTTTAAGAAAATGTAAATTATTTTTGAAACTAGCTTTAAATTTAACCTTTGAAAATCAATTTCCAAGCTTTTTTTTTTTTTTTTTTACCTTTTGAAAATCAATTTCCAAGCTTTTTTTTTTTTTTTTTTGAAAAAGAGAGATTAACAAACAAACTACTTGATTTCCAAGCAATAATTAAAAATATTTAAATCAAATTAAAATCTCACTTAATAACTATTACTTAATTTAATTTTATTTTAGAAAAAAATTCCAAGCTTTTTTTTTTTTTTTTTGAAAAAGAGAGATTAACAACAACTAACTTGATTTCCAAGCAATAATTAAAAATATTTAAATCAAATAAAATTCACTTAATAACTATTACTAATAATTTTATTTAGAAAAAAAAAAAATACTATTACTAATACTCAGTTGGGAAGGCGAAGAAATAATAAAAATAATTATTTACACTCCTTTGTTAAACCAAAAAACCAATCCTTGTTTACACTCCTCCGCGGTCTGTCGATCTTTCGCTAGTAACCACCGGACGAGCTATCACCGCCGGTTATCAGCACCTGTTACCGCTCTCCGCTCTCCGCCACCGGTACTCCTTTCTCTACTATCTATCTCTTGAATTATTTTTTTCGCAATCGAGAAAAAAGAAGTATTGAGGTTATATTTTGATTAAAAGAAATTGAGATATAACGATACTTTTATAGCACTTTCTGCTTGTTTGAGTGTTGGTGAATTGATAAGTTTGGGTTCGATATAAAATCTTTTTTAGGTTGAATATATAGCAATGGCAGGAAGAGAAGTCCGGGAATACACGAATCTTACAGATCCGAAAGGTGATTTTGGGTTTTTTTTTTTCCTTTTCGTCTTCTTTTTGTTACTAGATAGATAGATGTACGAGTGTTGATGCTTTGTCTTTGATGAAAGCAATAAATTTTGGTAAATGAACTTGCAGATAGGAAATGGGGAAAGGGGAAAGATAAAATTGACGATGAAGACATCACTTTCCAGCGCATGGTTGCTAAGGTTAGAGCGTCGCCTCTCCTAATCCTAATCCTCTCTTTCCATATGTCATGGAAAATTTTTTGCTTGCAAGTATTCTGATGTCATTTTTAGCTATTATATGCTGTGTGTGACGAGAGGCCTGCTTCATTCACCATAGCTAAACTTAAATGTTGTTTAAACTTGAGCAACTCCTTTCTGGCACGAAAATACATGCATGCTTATTGTGCTCTTAGACCTGAACGAATACCACTTGAGTATTCTAATATCTATATATTGTTGCTGAGAGTTTTGTGATGTTACATTATATTTGGAAATTTTCTTGAGTTCATTTGTGATTCCAAACCTTATGTTTTGAAAGCCCATAAACTGTTCATTTTAATCATTTGGAATTCAACATGATTAAACCATCCTATAGAAAGAATGTCAAAATTTCTAAATTAAATTTCACGAAACTCAAGCAGCTAAATTGTGCACTAAAATAACCATGATATCTCTCGTTCTTCTCCTCTGCCTTCCTAGGACAGCATTTTGAGTAACTTCCACTTTCATACAACAATATGTTTGATTGTGCTTTAGCTTATTTACCAGCTACATGGATAAGCAATGTGGGATAGTGCCAACTAGAGAGTTTGAATTTTTTACAAGGAAGATTAGGTTTGAGAGTTTGAATTAGTGCCAACTAGAGAGAAAAATGGAGATATTGGTGGCAGTTAAGAGTACCTTGCATGATACACAATGTATTATAGCAACAGGGGAAGAAGGAGATGAAGAGAAAAAAAAAGAGGAAAGAGAAAACTAGGCTCAGTAGCCTTCTGAAGCAAATGAAATTCCATTATCTAAAAACTCAGGAAACAACTAGTTAGGTAGGTACTTATAAAGACTTAATGATAAACCCTAACGCTGTTAGTATTAGGTACTAGAGATAACATATCCTAAATTTGGAAAATACTAATTGATACTAAATACGAAGTAAACAGCTTTCTGAAAATGAAAATAAAATTTCATAAATTGAACTAAAACCATAGACTTTTTCAATAGTAAACTTTAGGAAAAAGTTTGATTTTCCCTCTAGCTTAATTGTGGCATAGGTGGATGTTTATCCTCTTGTGCCATCTGATTTATGTCAAAGATGTTGCTGCCATTGTGAGAAAGTTGCGTGGTTAGAGGATCTAGAAGCCATTATTGTACCTAGCTCGAGTAGAAGCTATCATGATATGTTGATGGTGTTTTAGGAAATAAAGACATTAATTTCAGTTTTGACTTGCAACATTAGTTATGGGCAATGCAATTGAATATTATGAATATTCTGTCCAATTTTCGTAGACTATTTCAAACTATTTTGAAAAGGAAACTTCATTTGCAAATGAATTGCATACGCTATGGAATGGGTTCCAAGTACAGAGGGTGTTTTCACAGGTATCTAGCACCGCTCTTTTACCTCTAATCTTATATAGCTTTCTCTTGGAGAGAACCTGAACCATCATCAGTTATCATCTTTCTAGTTTAGATTTTATAGTAGTCATTAAGAAAATTTGGTTTGTGGTTAAAACGTGATAACAGTAGATTTGCTAAACTCTTTAGTCAACTACAAATGAGATCAAGCTAGCTAACCCTCTTATCGCTTTATCTGCTTATGAGGATGTATTCACATGTTTGTTAATACTGTTTCTTGGAACCATGGCTGTCAGTCATGCTTTAAAGTGTTGAAGCATATGATTCTACGAGTCACAAAAAGGAAGTTGTTCCAAATTGCATCAAGGATCACTAGTTGGCTGGAATTGGGTAGAATTGGTAGAAACTTAGCTGTAACCAATTCAATTTAGAACTGCACTGTGTGTTATTTTTTAGCCCAAAAGATATTTCTAACCTGTTGTTTCCTCATCCATCGCCCCAAATTTTAATAGAAGATGTGAAAGCAAAAAATAAATAAATAAATAAATAAGACAGCAAATTCTAATTTTCTGTCTGTTATCAGTCTGATTTTTCTCTCTCTATTAGCTATTCTTTTTTTCTTTTTAATTTCTCTTCTGCTTCCTCTCAGTAGCGTGTTGTCTTGTGTGTCAATATATATCGGTTTGATAATTCATGAAATTTTGAAAGGATTCCAGTAATTAAATTAAATAAAACAAAAAGATGTCTTCCAGAATCAGAATTAAATATTAAATTAAAAAAAGATTAAATATTGAGGATCTTAGTAATTAAATAATGCAATGATGAAGCCATTCCGAGTGTAAAGTTTAGATGATGCTAATTGCAATGTTACTTTGGCATAAATTGCATTGATTTCTTTTTTATTATTTTAGTGATTATTGCGCGACATTTTTATTATTGCAATGTTTTGGGAGTTTTTATTTGAAAAAGTTTAAATTTTTGTTGTTTTTCCCTATGATTTATGAGATGACTAGTTGACTAGGGAAAAACAACTTATTCTCCACCAATCATATCTTTATGGTTGATAAAACTTACTCTTAGGTCCCCCATAAAGAGACTCCTTTTCCTCACATTCATCATCACATGCCATGTTTAGTTTGGTCCATTGTGGCTGCCTTCTCTTCCTTCTAAGCTTCTTTCTATCTTTTCTCTTTACATTGGTATCACTTGTACACAACCACCTCTCCCTTCATCAAGAACCATCATCATCAAGGTTCATGGTCAAAGAACCAAAGTTTAAAGTATGGTTGGGTAGAGCAAGAAAAGAAGTTTGTGGATACTAGGTGGTTGTGAATGGTAACTTTGGTTATCTAGCTCTAGCAGGCAACCTTGGTTACTGTAAGCAGGCAACCTTTTAAAAAGAAGGGAAGGAAGGATGGTAAAATGAGATAAAAAAAAAAAGAAGGGAATCTTTCAAACCGTACACGCCTTTCAAACTCTAAATGAACTTGTATTTTATTCACTTGTCAAAGCATGAAATTTTCTAGGTTAAATGAGATCATTGTGGAGATTACTTTTATGTTCTTTGACATTGATTCATACTTATGGAACAACTCTTAGTATTCACCATATAAGAAGCAAATAAGTTCCTAAATAAGAAATATATTCCTAGTGAAATCAAAAACTGCTGAATGATGATAAACTATATATTTCTTAAACAAGAATAATCAATAAATATATATATTTTCCTATATGGAAAAGAGAAATTAGAAGGTCATAAATAGTAGGCTTTTTATTGCTGACATTTTTGCTCCTAGAAGCATTCTATGACTTTCTGTACCTAGAAACCTTTTTTTTTTTTTTTTTTTTTTTTTTTTTTTTTTTTTTTTACGAAGACGAGAATAATCAGAATACAATATTAATATATTTTCCTCATATGGAAAATGAGAAAATTAGCAGGTCATAAATAGTAGGGGCTTTTTATTGCTGACATTTTTTGCTCCTAGAAGCATTCTATGACCTTTCTTGTACTAGAAACCTTTTTTTTTTTTTTTTTTTTTTTTTTTTTTTTTTTTTTTTTTTTTTTTTTTTTTTTTTTGATGTTGATTAGCTTTATAGTTTAGGGCACAAAGGGTGTGAATTTAAAGTCCATGAGCATAAGAATAATTTCTCAATTTCTATTGTAAGGGTGTAATTTAAGTTATGAAAATGCAATAACTATCCTTCAAACAGTGTTTTTAAGCGCAGAAACATCTACATATTCACCTTGATAGATCCAAACCCATCTAGTACCTTATCTACTCAAGTACCTTTCTACTCAAATATCGTTATTAGTATTTAGACCAGTATAATGAACAAGTGAAGAATGGTTGTTGAAAATTTGAACCAAAGCACTAGCTTTAAGAAGAGATCACGACTTATGTTGTTGATTGACAAGAGACTTGAATAATTTTTAAATTGAGAATGTATATTGGCTGCCGGTGACACTACAAAGGTCAAGGCTGCCTGACAGAGAAAGCTAGGATTAATCATCCTCAATTTCTTTCTCTTCAACTAAGTTAAATTCTCTTTCTCTGTGGAATGTTGCTCTACTCTTCATTCTGGCGAAATCTGTTGATGCAACAAACAACAATAGATACCTGGTACCCAATTTTGGAGATGGAAATTATATACCATTTTGACCTGGACTGCTAAGTATAAAAATGCAGGACGGACAGCCCTTATTATGATACTGTTAGGACTTGGTGAATTAGATAATTACTATTGTGAATGTCACTGCTGTGATTGTGCATTACAGTGTATGGATTTCATCTTTGGCATTGTAGTAACAATGTTGTATGATTCAAATCTGCCTTTCCTTGTGTCTGCTCACTGATATTTTTAAATGAAATATTGGGAGTTTTCTGATAACATGCCCTGGCAGGGATCTTGGCTTGGTTGATGCTAACAGATGCAAGAGGTTGCTGGAGAACGTGGAGGCTACCTTCATGGGCGAGGCGGTACAATCTTCAATCTCTCTCTCTCTCTCTCTCTCCCTCTCTCTCTCCCTCTCTCTCTCTCTCTTGCCAGTTGTGTGTGCATGAATACATGCACTTTTTTCTCATTACTTGTTTTTATCTATAGTTTCTTGAGTTTTGTTTATGCAGCCTTGGATAGTGATGACTTACTTTATCTCAAAGAGCAAATGGAAGCTGAGGAGGATGCAGAACGCCTTCTTCGACGCACAGAGAAACGGGCGTTTGCTGCATTTAAAATATCCTTTTTTGTTGATTTAGGAAATAAGTGATCATGATAAATACATGCTGATGTAAGATCTTGGGGAATACCGGCATATTCACTTTGTTTTCTCATCCTTTTTCCCTCTTTTTCAAATCTGATACATAATTTAGCCTTTTGGTCATTGATAAGTATATGCCATTGTGCTCTATTAATTTTCCCATTATGATAGGCATCAGGCTGTGACAGCAGTCAATTGTGGAGCCCAAACAAGCCCCCCAAAATGGCGCAAAGGGGACGGGGGAAGGCTATGAGGAACTTTTGAAGCTGTTGCCCCCCTCTCCTGCAGGTGAATATCACCATGCAAAGTGGTTGCCCCCTCTCCTGCAGGTGAATATCACCATGCAAAGTGGAGCAGTATTTTCAAAAGTCATTACCTGAATTAATCGTTTATAACCTCAACTAATATAGTAACAGATTCATTTGGAAAGATAAGTACATCGACTTAGTATACATTGCTAGTGACTGGTAGTCTCTTTGTATTGTGTCCTTGACCAATGAGTACAAAGCTGCAAGTTTAGCAGATTCTTCACCAGCATCAGTTCCCTTGCCACTTCGTGTTGAGCCCAAGCCAAAAAGTGGAATTAGGTATTTCACATGCACAACTCTTTTGAAAATGCTCTGGTGCATTTAGCTTCCATCTAAATGTAAACTTATTTTTGGCTTTAGGCAGCAGGATCTCCTGAAGAAGGTGGTGGAAGTTAAGCCTAAACGGCCAAGAGTGTCAAACCATTCCCTCCCGACTTCAAGTGATCATTCCTCAGCAAATTCTAATTCCAAGGTTGATCAGGAAAAGAAAGAATGCTCCTTAGCAGAACCTGGCAAAACAAGCGTGATTAATGAGGAGAAGACAGATGACAGCAAGAGTGAATCAGAAAATCCTATTAGAAGTTTGCTGGGTGCATATGCTAGTTCTGATGATGAAGATTGAGGAATCGAAAATACTGAGCCAATGGGTATATTACTCTGTTTTTAAATTGATAGCTGTTATATGCTTAGTAAAATATATATATATTTTTCCATTTTTTACCAGGACATTTAGGTGAATTTTCTGTTTGACAAATCACTTGTAGAAAGTAATATTACACTACGAAAAAATTTTAAATAGGCAATAATTGCTTTAGTTTCTTATGGAGAGAGATTATTGAAGGACATTTTAGTCAATTATTAGTCTATTAATTTAGTGTGCCTTAACAAATAAAGTTGCTTCCTGAATAATATTAATGACAGTACTGATATGGTATCAAAATATATCTTTAGATGTAGAATATCATAAAATCATTTATGTCATGTTTGGTTGGCTAGAAAATAACTGGGTATTGTTGACATAAACAGTCATCCACAGATTAAATTATTCTGAGGCAGAAAATCAGGGCCTTGATTCTTGGAGTGTGTATCAAATTAGAGCTCCATACCTTTTTTGACTCAAAAAATAATTGTTGACTTTAATGTGCATATTACAAAATATTTCCTCTCTCTCAAAATATAATTCATTTTAACGGGATCATTTTAAGTGTTTTAATGAATAATAAATTATATTTTTTCATTATTACCCTTATTTATATTAGATGTGATAATTATTTTCATAATTTAGTATGGATTTTGAGATGAAGGGAAATTTAATTATTTACTCTTGGTTTTATTATAATTTAGAAGAATTAATTATTTTCTTAATTTTCATATAAAACCCTTAAACGACTTATATTTTGAAACAGATGAGTAATGCATTGTTAATATTTCTAGATTTTGTAGATTAATTATATTATTGTTTCAGATTTTCGCTTAATTTAATTAGATAACAAAATTTCTTCTTAATAGCAACAAACTTTTGGTTAATTTAGTTGTAACAAATGTATTTATTGCACACAAACGAAGCAGACTAATTCTTTTTTTTTTTTTTTTTTTTTTTTTTTTAATATTACAATTTAAATAAGTGCAAATTATTTGCAGGACTAATTCTTTTTTTTTTTTTTTTTTTTTTTTTTTTTTTTTTTTTTTGAAAAGGGAGACTAATTCTACTTTAATCCGCAATAATGAATTAATACGGGAAATATTTAATATTTAGAAATATGTAAATAACAATATTATTATATAGTAATTAAAAAGTTTTATGTAAAATAATTGTTGAACTTTAAAAATCTTTTTTCTAAACAAAAGTATATGACCTCAATCATTTTGAGCACAAAGTTAATATTTTACGAACACCGAGGACAACTCTAATCATTGTATGATCTCGAGCTCTCAACTTGCTGGTGTAGGTTAAAATTGACCAATCTTAATTGTTGCAAAAAAAAAAAAAAAAAAAAAAAAAAAAAAAAAAATTGTTATAGATTATCAATAGACGTGACTTCTATAATTAAAACTGTTGAAGTTCAACTTTTTTTTTTTTTTGTTTGCAACTAAGCATGATTATGCCTTTTCCAAGTTGTCAATATCCTTTTTTTTTTAGAGGAATTTGAAGTCTTTTTTTTTTTTTTTTTTGTTTGCAAACTAAGCATGTTATCCTTTTCCAGTTGTCAATATCCTTTTTTTTTTTAGAGGAAATTACTATTATATCCCTGTATATTGGTCAAAATACACTATTTTTTATACAATACATTATCACGTTTTGGTCCGTCAAACAGTCCTTCCATCAAATACTTTTTTCCTTTAAATGAGTTAGAGGATCTAATTTTCATGCATGGAATAAATATTTATCGAGAATTCTTTATTCTTTAATGAGCGGATTTAATCTTAATCCGGTGGCTAATAATAAAAAAAAATGATGCAAGAAAATTGAATTTTGATACTATCATGTGTTAAATAAAAAAATGGTCTACTATATATAAGACCATAGACCATATTTTTCCTCTTATCTCAAAGGAAATTCCTAAAAGAAAAGGAGCGGGACAATATGTGGGAATTTTTACTCCCATCACTGTTATGCATTATCCTTGTTTTTAAATTTTTTGGGAGTAATAATAAAAAGAAGAGCAAATTGCCACCAGGAAGAAGAAGTTGGCCATTAATTGGTGACAGTTTCAACTGGTATAAAGCAGTGTCTGGTTCTTACCCACCAGAATTTGCTCATCAACAGGTGAAGAGATTTGGTAAGATTTTCTCTTGCAGTTTGTTTGGCAAATGGGTTGTCGTTTCAGCTGACCCAACTTTCAACCGATTCATAATGCAAAATGAAGGAAAACTGTTTGGATCGAAATATCCGAAATCGTTTCGAGATTTAGTTGGAAAAAATGGAGTCATTACGGTTCAAGGAGAACAGCAGAGGAAACTCCATGGGATTGCTTCTAATTTGATGCGTTTAGATAAGCTTAAGTTTCATTTCTTGAAGGATATTCAATTGGTTATGCTTCAAACACTCAGTAAATTTCATAACAATCAAGTCATTTGCCTTCAAGATGTTTGTAGAAAGGCAAGTTCTGTTTTTTCTTTGGCTTTTATCTTCTTAATTTTATATTTAAGAGCTAGGGGCTCTCGAGGAGTTGCAAGCATTCGGTTGAGGGTGTAAATGAGCAGAGCGGGTTCAGAGCTGTTCAAGTTCGGCTCGAAAAAGTTCTACTCAAATTGAGTCGAGCAGAATCTAACGATATTTAGCTCAAAATTTCATCGAACTTTATGAGTTTATATATTATATATATTATAATATTTATTTTAAATTTATTCGAATTCGAGCCGAGCTCGAGCATAAAATTTTTAGACTCGTAGAGTCTCTAGCCGAGCTAAATTCTATGTAACTGAATTTCGAGCTTGGTGAGTTTGAGCTCGGTCAGATCGATTATACCCCTACTCTCGGCAACTTTTCTGTGCTTCTGCAGGAGACTGATTATATGGCTCGAACCCATTACTAATAGGTCACAAATGGAACACTTTATTACACCAATATTTATAATATTATAAATATTAATTTATTTCTATATTTATTTTTTAAATTTTATTTACAATCAATTTGCAGGTGGCAATTAATTTAATGGTTAATCAACTGTTGGGGGTATCAAGTGAATCAGAAATTAATGAGATGGCTCAACTATTCTCTGATTTTGTTGATGGCTGTTTATCTATTCCTATCAATTTCCCTGGTTTCACTTATTACACTGCCATGAAGGTATGCCTACTTTCTTTCTCCATTTACCATTTTTATTGATTATTACTAATTTTTTTATTAAATATTGTAGAGCTCATTGGATAAAATTCAAAATGATGAAGCACAAAAATGGAAATTTCTCTTTTTCTAAGTTCTAACTTCAATGGTTTAATTTCATGATAGTGGTGAAGTAACTCCTTTAGCTACTAAGTTGGAACTTATGAATTCAATATATACAAATTGATAAACCAATGTCCATAACTCACTTATCTCGATCCGGTTTATGACACAAGTTGTAGATAACATCAGTGAAAAATAATTTCACGTTGAAATAAGTGTGTTTTTAATTATTTATTAGAAAAAAAAGGATAAAGTGGAAACAATTTTTAAAAATTATTATTTTCATTGGTTTGGTCCAGGGATGAAGTCATAGACCGAGTCTAGTCAAGTCTAATCTTAAAATAAAAATATAAAATCAAATAATTAATTAAAGAAGCTTTTGAATTCATTTTCTTAGGTTTGACTGGTTTATTGAACGGACAGTTTCAAGTTCTGAATCGGTTCTAAGGTTTTGGTTCTTTTATCATGGTTTAGCTGCACCTTCTATCTTTTTTTTTTTCTACTTTCAATTTGGGATTGAATCAATCCAAAACCATCATGATTTTGGATTGAGTCCCAAAACTTGTGGAGAGAAATTCAAACCTGAATTAAACTCTCCGACTAGAATACTGAAATTTCCAAGCTGATTTTAACTAAATAATTGTTGAATATTTAAAATTCCATCAATATTTATAAATTTGCGTTCTCTCTGCCCTCTCCTCCCTCTTTACTATTTGCAGGAAAAGAAAATCAAGATTAAAGAACTTACCTTCTTTTTTTTTTTTCAAATTTATAAAATCATACTTTTCTAATTTGACAGGCCAGAGAAAGAATTATACGCAAGATAAATAAGATAATAGAGAATCATAGAAAAAATGAAAGTGAAGGTAATGGTGTTCTTGGAAGGCTATTAAATGAGGAAAGTTTAGAAGATGATGCAATAGCAGACTTCATTATAAATCTTCTTTTTGCTGGAAATGAAACAACCACCAAAACAATGCTTCTTGCTGTTTATTTCCTCACCCATTGTCCTAAAGCATTGCAACAAATACTGGTAAATTGGTACTCTTTTAAAACTTCTTTTTAATACTCTTTATACAAATGATAAATTTTCTTTCTTTCATTTCTCATCTATCACAATACAATGAAGATTTTATTTTTCCTTATGGGCTACCTGAACAGGATGAACAGGATAATCTAGGGACTAACTGTGTTGGTGATGAATTGCTTACTTGGCAAGACTACAAAGCAATGCCTTTCACTCAGTGTGTAAGTCCTTCTGTTTCTTTAATTTATTGTAACTAATAAAAAGAAAATCTTTTCCTTTCTTTTTTCTTTTTTTGAGTATCAGAGTCGAACCTAGTTCTTTATTCAAGTCGGATATGCATTTGTTATATAGCAGTGTTGAGTATTGACTCAATCAAACTGATTCGAATCAAGTCAAACAAATCATAAATTGTGATTTTATAAAAGTGGGACTTTGATGAAACAAATCATAATTATTTTTCCTCTAGGTTATTGATGAAACACTTAGGATCGGGGGAATTGCCATATGGTTAATGAGGGAGGCAAAAGAAGATGTGCTATACCAAGGTATTTCTTTATATTTCATTTTACCCTATAAAAACAAGAACAAAATAGTAAATTATTTCATTCTTATGCTTTTCAGATTATATCATTCCGAAAGGATGTCTTGTCATTCCATTTCTCTCGGCTGTTCATTTGGATGAAAGTTTATATAAAGAAGCTCTGAGATTTGATCCATGGAGATGGATGGATCCTGAATATCAGGTAGAAATTTAAACATCAAATTTACGTACGTATCTCAGTATTTCTTTTTCCATCACATTATATTCAAAGAATCATTGTCCTAATGAAGGAAAAGAGAAATTGGAGAAATAGCCCACTCTATTCTCCCTTTGGAGGAGGTGCTCGATTTTGTCCAGGAGCAGAGTTAGCTCGTCTCCAGATTTCCCTCTTTCTCCATTACTTTGTAACAACATACAGGTGATTGGCTTCTTTCTCCACACTCATATATATAGAGCTTTAAGATTTCTCTTGATAAACTGTAATTGAATGAAATGTTATGTAATCATTATGGTTCGAGCTGCAATATAGTCATTATAGTCTTTCAAGCTCGGATTGAGATTGAGTTAGAGTATACCTTTATCAAGTCGAGCTCGAACTCAACAGAGTTCATCTCGACTCGATCCATTTACAGCCCTAACCGTAATCCTGAAACTAAAATGTCAGTTAATTCACCTGATAAATTGACATAATTTTTGTATTTGGTTAGGTGGACACAAGTCAAGGGAGATCAATTGTCATTCTTTCCCTCTGCTCGCTTGGTGAATGGTTTTCAAATTCGTTTGATGAGGAGACATGCAGAATCAAAATTAAAGTGTGACAATGCTTCAAATAAAAGCAGGACTGAGAGTGTAACAGATTTTTAATGCATAATGGACATATATAACTTTCTTCCATCATATGTTAATTATTTATAGAAGTAGATATGGAGTTACCGATGTATACTATTTCTATTTTCAGTCTTGTTCGGCAATGGCCTTTAAGGTAGCATTTAATCAAAATATTATTTTTATTGTTTATAGTATTTGGTGACGTAGTGTTTGTAAAAATGTTCGAGGAAACCCTATTAAACAGCTGATAGCTATTAGGTTGTGTTCAGCAGTCAACAATTTTTTAAGTAGTTTTTAATATTTTGACTTATTAAAAAGACTATGTTCGGCAACAACTGTTGAGTAACTTTTGGCATTGAACTAACTTTTAGAGGTTAAGGCAGTATTTTATAAAAAGTTATTTCATCTGACGTTTATTTTTTAGCGTTCAATACTAAAACAGCTAAAAGTTATCAAAATAGTTAATTTTGTCGAACAAACTTAGAACAACTAATAACTACTTAAATAACAAATAACTAAAAAACCCTAGTTTTAGCTCTCTCTTTTCTCTCTAGTTTTTTAAACCCTAGTTTTAGTTTGGGGCTACCTCATACTTTTTAATATCTTTTTCGTTTCAGCTTCTTTTGCTTTAATAAATTTAGATCTAACATATTTGTCTTTTTTGTTTTGTTACTGTTGATTATCTCCGTATTTAGAGTTGTTTTGTCCTTTTTTTATGAGGGTTTAGTACTAAACAAAATTATGATATTTGATTTTATTTGGTTGGAGACTTTATATCTTGATTTGTAAGTATGAATTTTTAATCAATGGAGTCTTGGTAGTGCGGTTTGTTTCTTCACTGATGCTATTGATGCATAGCGGCGGAAACTCATCTGTGTTCGTCATATGTTGCAAATTATTGAAAAAACAATCCAGTTATAAAAGATCCAGATGAGTTATTATTTTAACGTCCAAATCAATTAAAGGACATGAAGATTTATATATTTTAGTTTTATTCAAAAGAATATAAATTCCTGATCTATAAACTTATTTGTAATTCCTAATATTATTATTAATTAATTATATATATATATTTTTAAAAAATAACTAATTTTACGGAATAGATCCTCCTACTACAATTTTAACGGTGACAATCCGAGCTCTAAGTTTTTTTTTTTTTTTTTTTTTTGATGGCCTCGCTATTGCTGGATGCCATAGCCCGGTCGGGTCCAAACTCATCTGTGGTTCCGTCACTACTCGTGTGTTTTTGCAATACATTCCGAAGAAACAACCACGTCCAGTTATTACAAAAGATACCAGATGAGTTATTATTTATACCTGTCGGCAAATTTATAAATGAAAGGCACATGCAGACATTTAATATACTTTCTTCTTGTTTTATGTTTCTATATATAAGATATGTAAATTTTCTCGAAATTCTATTAATAACTAATTCTTCAATCTTATATTTATTGTGTTTTATTTCTCTCTATATTTATATTTCATTAATCTAATTATAATAGTATATTTTTTTTTTATAAACAAGTTACGACTAATTTTTACGGTATATTTAGTATCTCCTCCTTAATACTATTAAAATTTTAACGCGTGACAATCCGAGGGCTAAGTTTTTTTTTTTTTTTTATATTTATTTTTGGGAGAGAGGTATTCTAGTAAAAAACACTGAGCCTGTTTTAACACAAATGGGACGAAAATATATCAATAGTATTGCTACGTCTTTTCACTGAGTAAAAGAATCCTTAATATTTTATACCTTTAGATGACTGTATATGATGGGTTTTGTTACATCTTATTAGGTAAATAAAAATGTCTCTCAAGATTTTTATTTTGAATCAATATGACAATATCAAATTCTATATCATTTTAAATACTATTGAAAATATTAAACACTGTATTTTTTTCCCATTGGTAAATATAGTTTATTTATGACCTTTTTTATTGTGGGTTAAAGAGAGAACAGGAAAATCATTGTTTTGTGTGAAATTTGGGTTTATTGGATAGTGAAATTAAGTTAAAAATCCACAGAGTATGAAAGTTGGGTAGCGAAAAACTAATCGTACTGTTAGACGCCAAATTGATTGCATTAAAAAAACTACAAGGCATCAAATTGGTCTTTAACCTGACTAACAGCTGGAGAAGTGTGAATCCGCCCAAAAGAATTCCCGCGGGTTATCTCGTAGTTTCAAGTTGTTTAGGACTCACTCGATACGGAGGGAAGATGGATGATACTGTTGGCTCGCTCGCTCGGTTCTCTCCACTTAACCTTTCTCTTTTTTTTTTTTTTTTTTTTTTTTGGGCCAAAAGAGTGTTCTAAGTGTTTAACACAAATGGGACCGAAAAATATATCATAGTAATTGCATAAGTCTTTTCACTGAGTAAGAATCCTTAATTTTATATTTAGATGACTTTATATGATGGGTTTTGTTAATTATTAGGTAAAAAAATGTCAATATTTATTTTTTAATCAATACAATATCAAATTCTTATCATTTTAATACTAATTGAAATATTAAATGTATTTTTTTCCCATTCAATATTATTAGACTTTTTTATTTTTTAAAAACAGGAAAATCAATTTTTTATTTGAAATTGGGTTTAATTGATATAAATTAAAAATCCAGGTATGAAATTGGTACAAAAACAATCGTTTAGACCCAATTGAATTCATTAAAAACTACAAGGATCAAATTGGTCTTTAACCTGATTAACAGCTTGAGAGTGTGATCCGCCCAAAAGAATTCCCGCGGCTTATCTCGTAGTTCAGTGTTTAGATACGATACGGAGGGAAGATGAGAACTTGCTGTGCTCTTCTCTCCATTCCTCTCTTCCCTGCAATTACCAGAAGTAAGATTCTTCTGTTTAACAACAATTCCATTTTCCAATCCAAAATCTATTGCCTAAATTCACTTGGCCTCTCAAAACGACAGTTACTGTCACATCTCAATGAAAATGGAGCTACCATCAGTGGCAGACATTCTTCTATTTCTTCAAATTGCAGTGTGCCAGAGCCTTCAGATGATTTTGTAGTTGTCAATTTTTATCGCTTTGTGTTCATCGAAGACCCACACCAGGAAGTTGCCAACCACCTATCTTTCGTAAAGGTTTCGCACTTTTTTTTTTTTTTTTTTTGAATTACAATGTTAATGTTTAGGTTTCGATCTTATGGTTATCTTACATTGAAATGTAAGTAATTAATATTGCAAAAGCCTAACAATTTCTATTTTTTTTTTTTTTTTGGCTAAATTAAGCTTGTACGCTTTCTGCTTATTCTGTTCTCAGGATCTTGACATACATGGCCGAATATATATGAATGAACAAGGAATTAACGCTCAGGTATAGTTTCTCAGGTCTTTCCCCTTCTCGTATGCTTTGAATCCTTAGCATCTTCTTTTTCGAATTCAATGAGCTCTCTTGGTGGTTTCTTTAATTTGTTGGGTTTTCTGGAGCCGTTGTGGTTGCTAAATATATAGTGGTTTGACTTGTGAATATGTACTCATATATAATTGTGGCTGCGATTAAATAGTATAAGTTCTGTAGGGAAGAGTCTGGGCCAGCAATATGCACATGTAAATTGTAGCACGGGATGTACTATTGTATAAGCCTAAAGGAAGTGGATTTAGTAAGTTATCAGCTGAAACAAATGAAAATTATGTCCTCCCTTAATTTTTCTCAGGATTTCTGTGACTAACGTACATACATTCAATCTTGCTTCAGGAATTACTACTACTTTCAATTTTATCTATCGACACTGAGCAAAGGCTAAATCCATGTTAAAGTTTATATTTGCTCATTGGAGTTATTGAATTTAAGCTTTCAGAGGGAGAGCAATTACCCTATTATTACCGAATTCCATTTTAGAAGAATGGGTGGGCTTTTTTGCTATTGAAAGGGTGGAATGTACAGTTCTCTAGCGAATCTTTTAGTATTCAGTCCCTTAACCATCAATATACCTGGGGCTAGTGAATCTTTTAGTATTCAGTCGTGTTGTTGTTGAGTGATAATAGAAGTTTTATGTGGTGAGTAAGAAGCCAAGTGTTTTGCAACTAATAGGTTAAGAAAAACTTGTCTGGTAAAGAATCTAGAATCTAGACTCTAGAGTCATGTCAGGAGTTATTTTTTTGAAATGAAATTCTTAGTAGCAGCCATGACACTATATATTTCTAAAACTTGTTTCCAGTAAAAGAGAAATGTAGAGTTAGTAAAGTGGCTTCTCACTTTTCACAGATGAGTTTGACAAAATTACTAGTTATAAAAGATGCAAATTCTCTATCTATTAGTATTTCCTTCTGATGTTCTGTATTGTTGTGCAGTTCAGTGGACCACCAAAAGATGCTCTTGCATATGTTGACTGGATAAGAGAAGATTTCAGATTTTCTGATATACTGGTTCAAGTATCTCCAGCAGTCAATGGACATGCCTTCCCAAAATTGAAGCTGCGTTATAAGCCTTCATTAGTACAGGCAAGAAATATGTTTTGCTTCTATATCCCATCTTTGCCTAAAGTTCATATTCTCTGCAAGTTGTTTCCCTCCATTGATAAGTTTTTATCCACTGCTGCTATACATTTGCTGTTCTCCTTTGTTATTGTTGTATTTAAGTTTTTATTTGAGCGAATACACGTTTATACATATTGATGTGTCTTCTATCTCTCTCTTTTTTTTTTTTTTCAGAATAAACCATAAAGGCCCTTAAAGTTTAACAAACAATGCTATTTTTATCTTTGACCTATTGCCTGCTTAATTTTTATTTTCAAGTTTGACATATATGGACGATCAGACGCTTTTGCCCCTTTATTGGTAAAGATTTTACCAATTGCTGCTGACAAGTTTTTCATTGGATTATTTTCTATATTTTTAATTTTAGTTTTACTTAGGAAATAGTTAACTAAAAATTATTTTTTGCATGTTTTTGTGTGAGTTTTTGAATTTTATATGTGGGCATGTATCTACACACTCATTTGGTTGTTATTAATTCTAATCAGTTGGAAGGAGGTGTTTCACATCTCCCTTTGTTGGACCATTCAATGCGAGCAACGCCTCTAACACCATTTGAATGGAGAAAAAAAGTGGAAGCAGCAAAAGAAATTAATAGGAATTCAACACTTGGTTCAAATTATGTTCTATTGGATGTCAGAAATGGTATGCCTCTATCTTAAAGTTGTTGTTACTTGGATTCTCATGGATGAATGCTGTCATTTATTCTTCTTTTTGTTTAACTTTTTAATTTAAATAGGTATTCTTGTATATATATTAGACTTTATCAAGTAAAAGTACAGTTGTTAAGAAAAAATTAATTGAATAAGAGATTCAACTGGTTGATATTAAGGTCTGAAATTTTTATAGAATATCCCAAATATTTAGAATTTTAGCTTACCTCATGATGTAGTTTATATTTCTTCCACTAAGCAAGCCCAGGTCCAAATTGTGACCTTAACCCATTATGGAGAACAGCTTCTTCACAATTCTTCTTCTTATTCTTTTAGTAGTAGGAAACTTTATAAGTAATTTTACATTTTAGTAGGGTTGTTTAGGGATTTTATATTTGGGTAGGATTACTTAGAAATTTTATATTTTAGTTTCTCAATATAAGTTTGTGGCCTTTATGGGCATGTCTGGTTTATTTGTTGAAATAAAGTTTAATTGGTGTGAGAACTTAGGTTCTACATCATTCCAACTTGCCATCTTGCATTGCACTCATGGCGATTTGTGGCTTATACTCCTGTCATAATTGGAACCCCTTCTTCTTTTATTATCAGATAAAAATATAGCAGTACATGCTATTGTTTCATCTAAAATCAATGCTTACAATTTATATTTTTTTCATTTTTCTCGAATGCTGTAGCATTCAATGGCAATATGGGTATTGATTGGAGTACAGCTGTTGTTTTGCCTTGTTCCAGGCTATGAGTGGGATATTGGTCATTTCGTTGGAGCCCAGCGACCTGATACAGATTGCTTCAGGAGCACTTCATTTGGACTATCCCATAGAGAGGTATGACCAGTTTATTTATGTGTGATCAAATTGTGACGTTAGACAATTGGATGTTAGATGACCAGTTGATTTCCGTCCTGTAACTATATTTCGACATAGTGCATATTCAAGCATTTATTTAGAAGTCAAATATTTAAATTTGATATGGGATGGTCAAAACCTAGTTCTGTTAAGATTTAGTTGTCCTTTATAATGTTAGACTTTTAATAGAAGGGTCAAGACCCCTATTGTCTTAGGATTATGTTGAAGATCTTATTTTAGCAGGATTCAGTTAGAGGCAGACTTTTGAGAAATAAAAAGCAGTTCTGGTGGTCTATTTTCCTGCTAGTGTAACCTGAAATTCAGCCTAGTTGGTTGATGTTTTGATCTATTTGTTGTCTTTTTTCAATAATCTCTCATCTGTTCTACGGCCTGTTTAGAGTTAGGATTAGTTACATCAGTTTGTTTTTGTGGAAAAATTACTTGTTCTTAATTTTAGTTGGTTATTTATTATTTTTCTGCACGACTTTTCCTGAAAATTTTGGGATGTGAAACTATTGTATCCACCCCTGTTCTACTCTAGGTGCTGTGACAATCTTTACCAAGTCTGAACACTTCCATGTGGTGCCACAGAAATATAATGCTCTGATGTGTTTTATCTTAATCTAAGGCAGGTCTTTTAATTTTTATTTATTTTCTCTCCCAGTTTTTCTTTAAATGAAATATTAGGGCGCAGTTATTAAATGCGTGCCTTGGACTCGAGCACTGACAGTGGCGCGACCTCAATAAGGCATGCACTTCCTCAAATTTTTTATTCTTCAATTATCCTTTTCTTTTTCTTCCGATATCATTTCATCTCTTACCACTTCCAATATTTTAACAGAATTTTTAGGACGTCACTGGTTTTCTGTCTATGCTGTTCCTCAAGAATATGACTTCCATAAATATACAAATATTTAGTAAATAGTATTGAGAAATATTAATATTTATAAACATAATACTTCTGGAATAAGATGAATTTTCGTATTTGTAGATTTCCAACGTTCCTGTTGACTTTCCAGCTTCCTATGGTATTGTGGACTTAACTTTTCCATATCTAATCAAATCTATCACCACATGACCTGAATTCCTATTTGAAGATTTGCTATGATCTAGTTGCCATGAGTTGACTTCCTCTTTCTAGATTTGATTGAACTCTATCACCACCTCTTTTTTTCCTTTATTTTCTCATCTATTTTTTTATCTTTTCGTTTCCTAGAAGCTCTCTGATGTCTCTTTTCTTAAACATGAAATCGTGATTTAAGAATATTTGACACCCTTAGTTTTATTCTATTGGAACTTAAAAATACTGGTATTAGAGTTCTAAATGTTTTATGTTTTCTCTCATATAGGGATTAGTTGCTTATTTTTTCTTTTTGCATTGCCTCATTTAGGTGCGAGCTTGTTTGTTAAACCTAGGTTCTTGGGACCACTTTCATCTTAATGCCCCTTGTCCCTTATGTTTTAATAACTATGTTTTGGTAATCGAGGACATAGCAACGACCATAATTGTCAAATTGAGAATGGAAATCCTGATTTTTATGAATCAATAAGATCACATATTAAGATCGTACAAATTCTGAAAGTCCTCCCCCACTGCGACCCCCCACCCCCTCTTCTGATGATGGTTATGATCATTCCCCTTTTTTTGTTCAGGCCATTGCTTCAGATCCTTTAGCAAAAGCTGATAAAAACACCACACATGTATTTATGTATTGCACAGGAGGCATTCGATGTGATGTATATTCTAACATCCTAAGGTATCTTGTTCTTTCCTCCTAATTACTCTTTTCTGTTTCTTTAATTCTTACATTTGATTTGTATCTATGGTTGAATTTTGGCAATTACCAAATACAATTTATGTTTAACTAGGAGCTTCTTCTTGTTTTTTTTTTTTTTTTTCAACCCTGACCTGAATTCCTATTCTGAAGATTTGGCTATCGCATCCCTATGTTTGCCAGTTGACCGTTGACTTCTCTTCTTTCCTTAGATTTGATTCGAACTCTCGCTCACCACCCCTCTTCTCTCCTTATTTTATTTCCCTTTATTTTCTCACTAATTTTTTAATTTTATATTCTTTTGCGCGTTCTCCATCTAGAAGCCTCTCTTGATGTCTTTCTTTTTCTTTAACATTCGACTAATCGTGAAGTTAACGAAATATTTGACAACCTCACTTAGTTTTCATTCTATTGGAGACTTCTCCCACCATAGTTCATCGTAAAAAATACTGTATTACCGAGTTTCTAAATCGTGGTTATGGTTTTGCTCTCATATAGGGATTAGTTGCTTATTTTTTTCTTTTTGCATGTGCCCTCATTTAGGTGCGAGCTTGTAATTGCTTGTAACCTAGGTCTGGGACCACTTTCATTTTAAATGCCCTTGTCCCTTATGTTTTAACTAATAACCTCATGTTTTTTGTGGTAATCATGAGGACATGAGCAACGACGCAAATAAACTCTGTGTTTCAAAATTGAGGGGGAATTGTGGAGAAATATCCTGGACTTTTTATACCTGAATCAAATAAGACCCCATCTACAGTATTAAGATCGTACAATTCTGAAAGGTCCTCCCTCCCACTGGCGGACCCCCACCCCTCTTCATGATGATGGTTATAGATCATTCCCCTTTATTTTTGTTCAGGCATTGCTTAAAGATCCTCTTAGCAAAAGCTCGCATAAAAAACACCACACATGTTTTACTGTATTTCGCAAACAGGAGGTCTATTCGATGTGATGTATATTTTTTCTAACATCGAAGGTATCTTGTTCTTTCCTCCTAATTACTCTTTTTTCTTGTTTTCTCTATAAGCTTCCTCTTTAGATTTGATTTTGTTACTCATATGGTTATGAATTTTTGGTCATACTTTATGACTTGCCAATACACATTTATGTTAACTAGGAAGCTTCCTTTCTTGTTTTTTTTTTTTTTTTTTTTCCATTACTTTTTTTTTTTTTTTTTTTTTTTTTCATTATGTTCTAATGGTTGATTAGTTATCCAAGTTTCAAGACAAGGCTAATCAATCAAATCAAAGATTTAGAATACATTAGCAAGGGGAACAGAAGCACACTGCAGGTCATTCACATCAATTAAGCAAAATAGTTGATAGTAGATTGTGAACTTTCATTGACATTTTTTCTGAACTGCTAGGAAGTTAAAGCATACTTCAATAAATAATCAGATTCTTTTTGTTGCATGCAAGGGATAAATCCATAGTTATGTAGAATGTCCCTTGAGGGGCCTGTAGCATGGGTATGGAGGCAGGTTACAGCACTTAATGTAGTGTATAATATTTTGGGGATAAGACTTAGGCTTCATTTGGGATTGAATTTGGAGCTGCTTCTCAAGACAGTGTTTTATTTTTTTTTTTTTTTTTTTTTTTTTTTTTTTTTTTTTTTTTTTTTTTGGCTTTTTTTTTTTTTTTTTTTTTTTTTTTTTTTTTTTTTTTTTTTTTGCTTTTAATTTTGTATGGCAGAGAACGGGGTTTTCAGAATTTGTATACCTTAAAAGGAGGGATTTCTCATTATCTCCATACAGAAGGCCCTATGGAGTGGGTCGGGAATTTGTTTGTGTTTGATGACCGTCTCTCTCTTCCACCTTCTGCTTATAACCCAGATGCTACAACAAGAAGCAAAACTGACCGAATATCCAAGAACTATTCATTTGCTAACTGTTATATTTGTGGATCACATGTCCATGAGCTGAAGCATCGTAACTGTGCTAATCTTGATTGCAACTTGCTTTTTCTGTAAGTTCCTCTCTTGAGAATTTCTTTTTGATTTTGCTCTCATTTTGTTCATAAAAAAGCTAAAGAGACACATTTATTTTTTGATTAGCATGGAACTTAGAAAGAGGTAGATACAAATCATTTTTGCATTCTGTTTTGGTAACTTTTATTGCCTTTGTTTTTTCCTTTTTCCAGTTAATTGCGTTATTGGACACCTTAATGTGACATGCAGTAGGTCCGACGTAAGCCCAAATGTATTATTTGGGTGCTAAAAATTGATACTATTACCCCCAAGTTTAGGCTGTAAGACAAAATTGAAAAGTGCAGGTGAAAATTTAAATGTTGGATTTTTTTTCTTATATTAGAAATATACTTAATAGATGATGTTATTTTAATAGTCAATTCGATTGAAATTGAAGACTTTGGCTGTAATTGCAGCTGATACACATTGGCCATAATAATGCATTTCCAGAGTTTGTATATTTCTATTAATACAAACTTAAATAGCTAGAGAGAACTTAATTTAGAATGTTATTTTTTCAAGTGAAAACTTAGTGTAAAGAAGCTTTTGATGGTTCTTCTAAGTGAAAACTTAGAAAGAACGTCTTTTACGTGCTTGACAAAACGTTCATAGCATAGCCGAAAGAGGGTTGTTGAGCAGCCGCTTCTTGATTTCGGTGTAATAAGTATCTTGATTTGTTATTTGCTGATAGCCTTCAAATTGATTCTTCATGCAACTGGCTTCATACACTTTCACAATTGCAAATTATTTTTCAATGCCCAATTTTAAGTTATAATTTCTGAACATCAATCTTTGTAAGGTCAAAAGCTACTAGATCTTTGTTCACTACTTAACTCCTTGTCTTATCTCATCCCTGGTCTAAGAATGTTGACAAGTTTTGATTAGACCTAAAGTAGTAATGCACTAGCATATTTAAATTTTGGTATGTTTTAATTATATGAGCCTAAATCAATCTTCTTCACATGGCTCTTCAGGCTTTAGCTTTTACTTGCTGCAACCTGATAGAAGTTGTCGTATTGATTGGAATATGTGCATCTATCTTTTCAGGTGTTGTACGGACTGTGTGAAGGATTTAAGAGGATGTTGCTGTCTGAAATGCTCAACTGCTCCTCGGCGACGGCCTGTGCTGCCAGGAAATCAAAGATACCAGAAATGGTACAAATACCAAGAACTGGATGTGCAAGGCAAGTTGACAGTTTAATTTGAAGATTAAGAATTTGCTTGGATAACCTTTAGTTATTTTGTAATCTGAAGGGGAAAATTGTAATCAAACTAATCTGATGATTGTTTAGCTAGAAATTTAGCTCTGTATAAAAATGAAAGAAATCAATGAATAGCTCTGTATAAAAATATTGTTATTGTTTATCATTTTTCTCTCTGATAAAAAATATCATCATTTGAATCAAAATACTATTTATGGTGGATCCATACACCGAGTGTAGGTAAATCTTTTCATGATGCCATCTTTATTTTTAAAAAGATGTCTTCAACATGAGAATTATAAAGGTCTATGAGAGACTAAAGGTCCACGAGAGAGACTTAGATAAATAGAAATTCAAGAATTTGAGAATGTGTTTTTCCTGACAAAATCAATAGCAAGAATACTTAACAAGAATTCCCATTTATTTCCAAAAGTATAACATTTCAAAACACCTCAATAGAGCAGAGGTCAAATACCAAAAAAAAAAAAATCCATAAAGCCATTGGATAATTAAATTGGCTCTAGGGACTCCACCAACCAACCAATAATAACCAAACCCAATTTATCTAAATAGCTATTACTAAGTAACATTTCATTGTGGATTTCTTTTTCTTTTTCTTTTTTTTTTTTTTCCTTTTTTTCCAAATCTTATTGTAAGGGAAATACAATCCAAATTAAAATATGTTATTCACCTCCAATATATATAAATAATAAGCTTTAATCTGTGAAAGTGACATGAGAAAGCTCTTCAGAATGTAAAGCAGAAGAACACCATGGATCATCTGTGATGAACTGCATCCATGAATCATCTTTATCTTCTTCATCAGCAATATTAATTGGAACTTCTGGAGACATTGTTTCACAATCATTATTATTATTTATAATAACTTGTGAAGAACTTTCCATTAATGACACTTGACCACTACATTGCCCTTGTTCTTCCATTTCTGAGCATATCCCATTCTTCTTAAACACACGACACAATGCATAAGAGTCCTGCAAGTTTCATATATAAAAGTGACAAAAGCTTATTTATCAAAGACAAACTAAATCTTTTGTGCATCTTCTCTTTCTTTATTTGTTGGCTTTGTACCTGTCAATTATTGTGGCTGACTTTGCATGTAATAGAGTACTTTAATTTGAGTTTATTTTCATCAATTTAGTAAAAATAATCCAAAAAAAAAAAAAAAAAAAAAAAAAAAAAAAAATAAAAAAGAAAAAAAAAAAAAAAAAAAAAGAACATTTAAAATGTAATGTGATGTGATCAAATGCATTTGTAGTGTAAGGCTGTGTTCAATAAGTAGTTTTTTTGCGTTTTGACTATTATGCACTATTTTTAATAGTATTTAGCAACATAGCATTTGAATTAGTTTTTAGAAACTAGGTAGTTTTTTATAAAAGGTTAACTCATGCGTTTAGCTTTTAGTATTTCATGAAAAACTACTCAAACAATTAAATGCTACTAAAACAGATATACCAAAACAGTTAATTTTACCAAACAGATACTTAATATGTATTCTTCTCATCTATTTATTTGATAGCATGTGAATTAAAAACAAAAAATTTTACAATAATGGAAACGCATAATTATATAATTTCTATATTTATTTATTTATTTTGAAAAAAAATCTAATTAGTTAAATATACATATATACTTCAATTAACACTAATTAAAAAGAAGAGAAGAGAAGCAAAATTCCTCCATTTTCTCATTATAACCTCAATTTTCTTGATAGAAAATATATATATTATTTATATGTGAAAAATGTAGATTAATTAAGAGAAAGTTTATGATTTTAATATAAAAATGGTTGAATATTAGTAAGAGATTATTTAATAGTTAGAAGGTCATCTTCTTCTTTTTGGTATGATGTGGATCGGTGGATTTTGGTGTTAGGGAATAAAGTAAAAAGAAGCCGACATCCTTCTTCCACCATGAAAGTGAACTGATTGCTTTTGGATTTGATTACTGTTAATCAGTTTTAAATTACTAAATTAGGGTTCGAATCTACACTTCTACATCACTGAATGTACGTTTTTAAATCATAAGATGCAACCAAAAAAAACAAGAAAGAACCATGGAATTGAGTCAGACTGAGGGATACTACTTTTGTCTCACTCACTTGAAATAAATTAAATTTAAAAAAATAAATAAATAAAAAAAAAAAACACATAGCCAGCTGAAGCAACGAATATATATATGTCAGAGATTATAATATTTGTTAAAAAAAAAAAAAATTAAAGTGATAGCTTCCCATGCAAGTCATGCACTTGTCACGTTCTTAATTTTCATTGACATTTTACTGCCTCTTTGTCTTTCTTTTTCTAATTTAATTAATGTTTCTGTCTTAATCATAAATTAATCAGACCAACCTTTAATTATGTATCAGACATAATCACTTTCTTAATTTTTTTTTCTTTAATTGTTACATAATTTTTATTTATTTATTTTTCTTTATTTCTTCTAATTTAATATCAGTTTCCTAAACTAAATTTTCAATTAAAAAGACTAGCTCTTCAAAATTTAATTTTCTCCCATAAGTTTTATTTATTTTTTTTAATATATACCATAAAGTTTTATTTATTTTTTTTTAATATAATAATATATTATATATTATAATAAATATAATATATATATATAAACTTAAGAACAGCTATAATTAAATAAGATTTTATGATATATATAAACTTAAGAACAGCTATAATTAAATAAGATTTTTATGATACTTTAAAAAAAAATTTATGAAAAAAGTTTGAAATTAGCTCATTCTATTTCCATTACACATACAATAAGATATTTTAGTTTTTAAATTTAATATAGCTGAGATTGTTTTTAAAAAAAAGAATTATAGCTCAGATTTGAATTTATAATTATATGGTGATGATTATGATAATTAACTATATGGGTAAATAATATTTTATATAACATGAATTTGTTATATTTATATATAAATGCGATGATTATGATAATTAAATATTTATGTAAAATGCACAAACAACCTGAATAGCAGACGTATCATCAGATTCTTTGTCGTCGAGGCGATACTCATGCATGACCCAATCAGTCCTTATCCCTTGAGGAGCTCTTCCTCTGTAATACACTAATGTCTTCTTCATTCCAATGGCTCTGTTCTGAGAATTAACTCTTCTGTCTTTTCCTGTTGATTTCCAATACCCAGCTTTTGTTGCTCTATTTGTTCTGAACCCATTTGGATATTTTCTGTCCCTTGGTCCAAAGAAGTACCATTCTGGGTCTCTGCTTGGAAGAAATGATTTTTCTGCAGCAGAATGAGAGTTTTCGAGCTCGAAATCTCAGTCACAGCCAAACTAAAAACATAAAAAAAGAAGAAGAAGAATGATGATCACCTGCTAACTCCCATGGTTCACATTTGTAGAGATCAACCTCTGGAATGATATCAAGTTCAATTTCTTGGCCATTAATTTTCCTTTTAAGATAATAGTTAACAAGCTCTTCATCTGTAGGATGAAATCTAAATCCAGGAGGCAATCCAACGGGTGCCATTATAATTTCTTCTTCTTTCCTTTCTCTCCTTTCTTTCTTTCCCAAAGCTTTTCTTTCTTGCTTTTTTTTTTTTTCCCCTTATTACAACTCATATACACTCAGTATATATACATTCACTCAGATATAATAAAATAAAATATTTCAAAGCCTATTGTCTTTGGTAAGTTTTCACTTTCGCTTTTACAGATTCTTGAACAATCGTTTCTTTCAAGCATATATTTTATTAATTAGTATTAATATTATCTGTTTATATATTTACATATCATAATATTTTCTTGTCATCATCAAAATTAATTATTTGTCTCAATTATTTATTAAATTCCATTTTGTTTAGCTATTATTTTGAAAGCTATAAAAGATAAATTATTTTGAAAAATGTAATTTGTTAATAATAATATCAATTAGTTAATAGAGTTCGGTATTTTTTAATGAAATAAAGGAATTCATATCCTTTTGAGTAATGAAACTAAAACTAAAAACTATAATATTAATTCCGCTTGGACTTGATATTGACAAAAGATATAAATTTTTACGATAGTGTTAATTGATTTGGACATCAAAATAACAACTCTTCTAGATTTTCTGGATTGCAATTCCAATAATTTGACAACATATGACGAATACAAATGAGTTTCCGCGTCAACGAAGGAACAAGCCGCACTATCAGGTTCCATCGATCAAAGATCTGCGCCTGCAAATCAAAATCTAAGTCTCCAACTAAATAAAATCAAATAACATAATTTTATTTACTAATAAATTCTCACAAAGAAGGACAAAAAAGTTAAAAAAATGGAAATAACCAATAATAACACAAAAATGATAGATTTGTTATGGGAAAAGCATATATGAGTTTATTAAAGCAAAAAAAGATTAAAAGAAAAAAAAATTGAAGCGAAAGAGATAATAAAAAATAGGAGGTAGGCACTACCGCTGTTTAATAGCAACAGCTCCAAACTAAAATTAGAGTTAGAAAACATAGAGAAAGAGAGAGTGAAACTAATATTCATAATATAATTGTTAAATGGTAAATTCGTAAATAACATTTTTTTTTTTTTTTGAAGAGAATTACATTTAAATTAAGAAAGTAATTTACTTACCAAAAAGTTTATTTACATAACAGAATGCATTTAAAAAATACTTTTTGAGAAGAAAAAAATTCTTCAGAAGTATACTTAATTAAACCATCTTAATCAAATTAGGCCTAAGAAAACTTTAATTATTTCAAGAATTAATGCAAAAATAATTTAGTTAATTATAATATATTTTCTTAATTTTATGTAATTACCTTAAATGATACTACTTGAAATGAAATAAGAAAGAGCAATTTGTTTCAGATCCAGTTACAAACCGGGCCGGACTGCCAGTTTTGGTCCAGTTCCTTTATAGCAGCTTAGGATCGGTTGGGCCTTCGATTGCAGAAAAGTTTGAAACCGTAGAGCGCACGATTCGGACCAGACCTGGCTAGTCGTTTATTTAAGTATGTACTGGTTCAGAATTGAACCGTCGGAAATTAACATAGAAGGAAGGAAAGCAGTTGCAGAGATCGTTAATGGCGGCAATAAGCTTGGCGAAAAAATCCGCAGTATTATATCATTATCCATGTCCAGACGGTGCATTCGCTGCATTGGCAGCTCATCTTTACTTCTCTAACACTCGTCTTCCAGTACTTTTCTTTCCTAACACTGTCTACAACCCCATAACCCTGGACCATCTTCCACTCCATCAAATCTCTGATCTTTATCTTCTTGATTTCATTGGACCTTCTGGTTTTGTCCATCAAGTCTCCTCTAAAGTTAACAGGTTTCTCTTTTTTTTTTTTCTGTTATTTTCCTCAAATTCACTTTATTATACTTTCTTAATAACTAGTTGTTTATCTGCAGAGTTATTGTATTAGATCACCATAAAACAGCAGTGGAATTGCTTGGAATAAGTGACCAGAAGAAGAATGTTAATGCAGTGATTGATATGGAAAGAAGTGGCGCTACCATTGCTTTTGATTATTTCAAGGAAAAGCTACTACAGACTCCTAATCAGAATCATATTGTCACTGAGTTTAATCGTTTTCGGCCTCTTTTTGATTACATAGAAGATGCAGATCTTTGGAGATGGAGACTTCAAAATAGTAAAGCTTTTAGCAGTGGGTTGAAAGATTTGAATCTTGAATTTAATGTTCTATTAAACCCCTCCTTGTTTCATCAGGTAATTTTTCCAATGCAAATTCATTTTATTTATATTAGCTAGCTTTACTAGCCTGTAATTAGAATTTGTACCCTTAAGTTTAGAGTTGTTTTGCAAATTCAATTGGTTTTCATAGAATTTGGTTTAAAGATAATTAATTCACAGAGCTAAAGATGTGAACTTTTAAATGGATTTTCATTTGTACCAAATATGGAATTGTGGATTTGTAAATTAATTTCATAAATTTGCATGTTTTTTAAAAAATCTTCTAGTTGAGGATAAACACAGACACACACAATTAGTTGTGTTATATGTAATTAGTGTTTAGTTTTGTTGGAAAAAGGTTCTCTTTTATTATTTTTTTATTATTTTTTTATTTCTCAGTGAACCCAAGTACAGTTTGGAATGCTCAGTCTAATTCAAACTTTCAAATAACCTTTGCAGTTGCTATCTTTGGAACTGGAGTCTGTCATTACTCAAGGATTGATAAGCTTATCAGTCAAGCAGAAATTAATTGATTACACCCTTGATAGGTCATATGAAATTGCACTTGGGGGTGGAGCTTTTGGAAACTGCCTGGTATTATTACTTTTTTTGTTTATTATTATTATTACTATTATTATTTTGCAAATACTTTCTAGAGTTTTCTAGATACTCCATTTATCATTTGAAGGACATATATCATGAATCGACGTTCCAAGATTTGTCCAAAATTTGTTTTAACCCTTTTTGTTGTCAAAAATTTTTTTGTAAAGTTGTGTTGGTGACAATATCTATGGCCTTGTAATGCCGTTTTTAAGTTTCTTAGAAACGGATATTTATGAAGAGAAAATGAAAAGATATTCCTGACTTTGTTATCCTAATTTTAGGCTGTCAATGCAGATGCAGTATCAGAGTTGAGGAGTGAATTGGGACACCAGTTGGCTGCCAAAAGCCATGATCTAAAGTTGAGGTAAGCTATATTTACTGCTGAAATTTTTTCACCAGATGCTCTTTCTGGATGTATTTCATTTTGTGATTTAATTTTTCCCTCCTTTCAACTAGTTTGCATCCAAGAGAGTTACCATGCTGTGCATTCTATAAGTAGTTAAATGGCCAAATGCATATAAAAAAGACATAACACGCAATTTTACACCAAACACTACATGTTTTTGCAACTGTGTTCTATGTCGCTCCAATTTGAAAACTTTGTTGCAATTGTACCTTACATGTCAAAATCAAATAGGGTGTAATTGCCAAAGCAGGCAATGTTTGAGGTAAATTGTCCATTAGGCCCATGAAATTCCCTCTAAACTTTTTGGGAAGTTTCTGTTGAAACCCCCTATATGAGCCCCTCACTGTTATTCTTTTCCTCTTATGCCTAATTCCTATCATATCAATAAGGTTGTTTTTGATATCTGAATTTGATGTTGCATCATTTAGAAGCTTGAGTTGGTCGGAGAAAATTCTCGTGTAGCTTTGAAATCAATATGGCATGTATTTTCTCTCATAGCTAACACCATTGGAAGTTTCGTCTTGTGCTGTTTGTTGAACTTCAAACTGTGCCATCAATTTAAAGGAAATATATTTCAAATCCAGTCTTTCTTGCATGGATAAAGATAAACAAGAACAATTAGAAAACCAGTGGCTTTGTATTCAACTATTTTTGGTTTTGTGCCCAAACTAGTGGTTTCTTGCATAGATAATCACTTTGTGGTTTCCCACAAAGCTAACATGTTCCCAATGTCAAATGAGACGTACTCTGTACTGTATGTGATTTGACCATTTGTTGAGATCCATGATGCAGGCAGTCGGTGCTTAAGCACTGTAAAATCTGCTCCTTCCGTCTTCTCAAAACCCAATTTTAACTCCAACCAATATCTCATTGCCTCCTAATCCTTAAATTCCATAAAAATTTTTACTATAAAACAATTCCTTGGTTCCGCCCATAACTACACTACTAAAGTCCTCTGCGATTCCAAAGATCTTTTTGATCAATCGCAGCCACCTATTTTTCCATTATTTATTTATTTTATTGAGGAAGCTTTATAGTCTATTTTTTATGCTTGGATCTTGGTGGTTGATTTGATACTGAGGAAAACAAAGATGGTGATCATTTTTTATGGTTGATGCTTTGATGCTTTTTACGGAAGCAGATGATGCTCATGGTTGTGGATGGAGATGCATATGTTGTGGTTTATGTGATGAATGTTGATGGTGGTATTGCGACAATGAGAGATTGGAAAGTTACCTCTGTTATTGAATGTTTTTAGAAACAATGATTATTGAAGAGAAATTTTAAAAGGGGTAACAACTTCAAAGATGTAGGATAGTTTAGAGAATTCAGAATTGCCTCTTTATGGTAGCTTGAATTCATTATCAGAACTAATTGAAGTGTTGAAATTAAGAATTTCCTTCTTAAATGGTATAGGGGTGCTTTAGGACACGAGCTATAACTATAAGCTTCATATAAAAAGTTTCCATGATTAGACGAGTAAAAATCCTTTCTGCTGTTCGTAACACTTTCTTCAACCCTTTTGGTGAACAAAAATTCAATTGTCTGCCTACACATGGAATTTTACTTGCCTCATCTTGTCTTGAACTTTGTTGAGATTTATTATTGCTTTTAATTTTGTCATTGAGATGTCGTTTCCCATATTCTTCCATCAAATACCTTTTTCTGTTCTTGATCATCACAGGGCTATCGGAGCTGTTGTATACAGAATTCCAGAGCTTCAAAATGACCAATTATTGAAAATTAGCTTAAGAAGTTTGGGTAATGAAGACACCACCAACATTTCAAAGGTGATCAAGTAGTTTCTACGTTAAATTTTCAGTTTCACCCTGCTGCATTCATTAACCAGCTAAGATTTTACTTGCAGTGGTTTAAATTGCTATTTCTTGTTATCTCACTTCGTTGCAGGAATTCGGTGGTGGTGGTCATCAAAATGCCAGTTCTTTCATGCTTAGTTCTGCAGAATTTGAGAGCTGGAAAGTTGGGAAAAGTGCTTGATGATTGTAAAAAAATTGACACCCAAGTTATAAAAGTTTCTGCAGAGGGGAATTGCCATATGTGCCGGCAAGTTCAATAAATCCAAGAAAACCAACAAAAAGTAATAAATGGAAACAGAAAATAAAAGGGTTTTCAATGATTATTAGAGGTAGAAGATGATTGTTAGTTACTGACAGTTATTAGCTAATAGATGCCAACCATTTGGTGCAAGTTTTTTAGCTGCTGCGGTTGGCTAAGATGTTAAATAACGGTCAAGGGTGTAATTTTATCTTCAAGTATATTATGTTGTATCTTATATTGTTTTTTTCTTTTAACGTATTATAAAAATCAAATAATTATCTATTGAATATTTAATTGTGTAATAAATAGTGTTTATACTTACAAATGTTAATAATTAATTTTTCATGCATTTTAAATACTCTTAACCATACAAAAATTGACATTTGTTATTATTATTATTATTATTATTATATAAAGTCAAATCAAAATATGTTCGCTTCAAAGTGGCAGGCAAACAGAAATAAGCCCAATGGGCCTTAAATCCAAATGGACGATTTTAGTAAAGACCGAGCATAACTTTTCGAATTAAATGATAGAATTTTACAAAATTGATTTGAAAATTTTCATCAAGTTGAACATTCACCAATTTCTAAGGATTAAGTAGGGTTGAAACCATTTAACTGCACCAAATAACCACTTTTGTGCAATTTAATATTTTTTTAAATGGTCTAAAAAAATTTAACAAACTAATTAAAACCCAAATAAACCGTTTATTTAAAAAATTATTTAAAAGTTGTAACGATATATAATTTCTTATCTAGGAATGTATAATATTTTTCTGCAAAATGTCATGGCAAGTTGATTTTTAATAGACTATAATATCTCTAAGTTATAATTGTAATAATATTTTTATGTTTCGTATAAAACAAAAAGACCAAAGTAGGAAATCATAAATTAAAAATATTATAAAAAGACTAAGATGTCAATAAAATTAATAACTTACTACTTCATAATTAGTTTTTGAAAACCAAAAAAACCAAAAACAAAGCTCTCAAGTTTATTGTTTATTTTTACAATGCAAACCCAAATAGCACTCCATTCTCAACTTTTACTATGAATTATATTCGCACTTTAACTTATTAAATTATATCTATTAAACACTAAAATTTTCAACTTTATTTTATTAAAACTAAAGTAATTAAACAATCATTAAAAAATTAAAATTTTATGAAAATCATTATTTTAAAAAATTATACTACGATATTTTGTAGATACCAAAAATTCCCACAAAATTCAAAAGTATTCCGTTTAAAGTCACAAAATTGAGGAGTAAATTTATACATTCACTCCCAAAACAAACTATATCAAAAACACTTTATTTCAATTTGATTTAATAGATTAAATAATTTTGAATATTTATAGCTCGATTTAAAGAATTTTCAAAACCGCAACCAACCAGAATACTTTAGAAAAGGACTCGCCACATTCAGGCCACCTTGTATTTCCATCGAGCATTTTGGCCACTTAAGAGAAAATGTGGCAGACAGGATTAATACACTACCACCATTACAGCAAAAGTCACGAATAACAAAAGAAATGGTAAATTTGGAACAAACATCCATATTCCAATATTCATGTCAACACACAGCAACAAAGCAAACTGCAGTATATTCATACCAGAAAACAGTTTTTTAACTACGTCCTAAATGACAATCCAAATGTTAATTTTCTGGGTCAGATTGAAACTAGCAATAAAACATGACCCTCTTGACATTCTCCTTCAAGGCAGGTAAGGGTCGCACAGCCGCACTGGCACTAGGTCCTCGTGTGCTCCTTGCACCTGCACCTCCACCCATGCCACCTCGTCCACCTACAGGACCACTTGTCATCGATCCACTATCTGATGTCTCTGGCTCCATGTAGAACCGAGCTCGAAATGCTGCAAGATGAGCATAGTACGCAGGAGGAACTGCAAAACCACAACACCCATAAATGAAAAATCTAACATCATCATCAAACTAGAAGGCAAGAGAGAGAGAGAGAGAGAGAGAGAGACTAACCAATGGAAACAGAACGTGTACATCTTGCATATCTGGAAAATTGTAAATTTTAATTAGAAAAACTCAAAATTAGTGCCATGATAATCACTTGTACAAATGAAGTTAGAAGGTGAACAAAACATGCTACCAATAGTGTCCTTCACCATGGGACCGAAGGATCTAAGCAACAATTCTATCAATTACAGTACCAGACTATCAGTAATTCAGTAATGCTACTAACATCAGAAGCAACGTAACCATAACCAAAACTTACGTGTAGCAAAGATTGTTCGTAAGTAACTGCAACCCATCAGCAGTAAATTTGTTCTCATCCCATAAGACATGGTAGTGAGCTGGACGGCTTGTACCCTATAGTCATGTTTGGCCATGTTAAAAAGCATCTAAGTATTGAAACAATCAATTATGGTTGTTACCTGAATTCCAGCATGGCTACACAGATAAAAGTCAAACTCTGTTGGATGACAGATTTTCGAATCCACAACAGTACCTGACAGATCACAGTTTAACATCATGTCACTGATACAGCAATATACAATTGTGAAATCAAAGACAATCGCATGATGAGTTACCAGGAAGTATATTCCCACTCCTGTCAACAGCATTACGGTCATGATGGTTATTGGCAAACAACCTGGTGTGGTGACGCTTCTGAACCACAACAAACGTCACAGGAGGCTGATAATTTGGTTCTAAAGAAGCACAAGCCTGAAATTGACACAGGAATAGATGACAATTTCGTTGTAGGAAACATGTGCCAACAGAATTTGTAGAAAACAGACGAACGTAATCATGAGGGTCCAAAACGCATAATAAATAGGGTTCACCATCGAGATAATATTTAAGAAAACAAAATTAGTGTTACCTTCCGGATAGCATCAAGTTCATACAACAAAACTTGATAGAACTGTCCTTCACTGACACCATCCCTGGAATAAGTGAATAAATCATCAGATATTGCAGCAAATAAATAAAAACAAAAGTAACAATATAACAGTCAATGGAGCAATGCCTGTAAAATATAATACGCTGAGGTTTCTGCCCAGTTGCTCTTCGGAAAGATATAAGGAGTTCCCTGTATTGTGGAAAGACAAATTTATGATACTATTTCAAATTAAATAAAATTCAAACATAGACCATAGTTGACAAAGGCTTAACCACAAAAGGTAACTTGACCCAAGGTGCAGGAGGCTGCATCTTGAGAGACGAGAGGTGCACATTCAGTAAAACGTGTATAAGATACTACGCCTACAATGTTTGAATTTAAAAGTAGCAATAATTGAGTATAAAAATAAAAATTCATAGTTAAACATGAAAACTAAAAGGCTAACGCCTAAAACTAGCTCAGCATGAGTCAGAATCACAACTACACCAGAGTCCATGGAAACCAAAATGCACAAGCAGACATCAGGGCACTTTATGTACAGACTGCGAAGGTTAAAAACCAACTCACCAAGAGGCATAGAATAAAATAACTCAACAGTGGGCAAGCAAAACCAACTGACAAATTTAGAAGAAAATAAACATTAAAAAAAACCACCAGCAACTCAAGGTACACGAGAAGGTGCCCCTTAAAGGTGAGTGCACAGCCACATAGGAACACAACATAATGATCAACCCAGTTGAAACTAGTAAAGGTTCTTGACCCTGGACATAAGTTAGCCTAGAGCCTAGACATGCCCTTGACAACTATGAAATAGAGACAGCGAAGGTCAATCATACTTGATCATGCCACCAGTGACTTTCCCTCTTACAGGATCTTGCCACTCTTTGAACAAATCTTGGATAAGCTCTTGTCGATGGGCTTGAGCACAGACCAAACCAGCATACTTTGTAACCTCTGGCCAATCTTGAGATGCCACAACCTGCATTAAATTTTAGAATCTTCTGTTAACAAAAAAGAGAAGTAGGCAAAGCCCAATGAACACAAGATTAATTTAATTTGGAAGATGAGAGAAAATTAGATAGCATACAGCTGCAATAGATGGGCTCGAGTCCTCGCCAGGATGAGGATGGGTAACATCAGCACCAAAAATAATAGTAGGCCGGTCACTGACTAAAGGAATACGCCTTGATAATGCATCAACAAGTACAGTGTTTCTTCCCCCAACCTTCACATTTATCTTCAGCGCTACATTGGCTAGATATTGTTTGCTCATTCTAAAGACATGCTTTGTTAAACAGCACTGGGAAACAAGTCCAAGATCTGTCTCACAAATCCGCTTCAAATCACCTGGCATACAGGGTGATCACAAAAATAATTGTGAAGAATAGCAAAATGCCTAGTATTTACAAGAGATCACATAAATAAAATGATAAAAGCAACACCATCAACATTACTAGACTTCATACCATAAAGAGAACCATTGTTGTCAGGGAGAATTACAATAAGCAGGTCAAGCTCCTTGCCCTGGAGTCTTGTCATGGCATCATGGTATCGAGTCTTCAACACCTTTTCTACTTGCTCAGGACGTGCACTTACAGGAGAAAGTACAGGCTCAGAATTAAATGCCTGCATAAAAGAAGCAATCCAAAGTTTTGAACAACAAATTATATTCAACAGATATTGGAGAACCTAAACAAATACTGCAGAGTACATACCATGCCAGAAATATGACACATTTGTGCAAGTTCATAGCAAAATCCACGAGCCACACTATCTTGAACATTCCGAGAAAAATTTATGCATATCCAGTTGTTCACAGTTCCCCCATTGACCATTTTCTGCAACAAAATGACAATGAATTAAAATATAGAGCACTCAGAGTTTGCAAGTTGACAAAAAAAAGGATAGCACAATCTAAACACATAATAGAAGAAACCAACAATGAGAGAAAGAAGAGAAAAAAAAAAACCACAAATGGGAAGCATAATTAGATAAATTCCACAAAATCATGCAAAAGATTTTGAGTGCAGTAACTAGGATAATGTGATATGAAATACAATTACTATAATTTTACGTAAGTGAATACCTTATTCATCATGTTCCATTGTCCAACTTGAGGCAGGCAATCCTTCTCTCTACCCGTATCATGATATTTAAGCTGCAGAAACAGTGAGCAAATCCAATACACTTGATTAAATAATGGAAACAAACAATAGAAAATCTATGCAGCTTGAAAAATATGGTAACAAGAGGAAAAGGTAAATTTACCCATGGAGCAGGCAAAATGCGAGCTTCAACAGAAGCAAGCTTTTCACTGATTTTAATTCCAAACTCCTTTGCATAAGGATCATCGCGGTAAGCATTATGATGAACAGTCTATACAAGAAACAACGGGAATGTTAGAAGTCCACTAGTATGTAAAAAGCATACTCCCCAACATAATCGCGGATCATTTTCTAGTACAACCTTCAAAAACGACTTCTATTAGCAGCTGAGGCAAGCACACAGGGTACAATTTCTGCTATTGTTTATCCGACATTACATCACACCTACAGCTATGTGCATATGTAGATATAGGACTTTCCGCAGATATATTGCAAGGAAAATAATAGATCATAGCATTTAATCATTAAAACCTTAAATTAGAAAAAACCCACTAAGGTTTTAAGGCACATGCATGAATTTAAAAGCAATAGCTAACCAAAACTAATTTATATTAATATATGCAATGCACATATCCACATATCAACGCGTACAGGAAACCCTCTTACAAGCATTCAGTGACAGCCTCAAATGGTTAGAATACTAAAAATGGAAATTATTGTCAATGAAAACAAACTGTATCAATTTTGTACAAAATACATAAAAGTTAGAAATCATAAAAATTCTCGTAGAATCAAGAATGAAGTTTTCATTCTGTACATGCCAGACCAGGAATATTTTTTGCAGGAGATAAAATGAGCTCCATTTAATATCAGAAAGAATTAAATTACATATATCATAACAAGCAATAATCAGCCGATTGAGCAGACAAATTTAATACGGAGTTGAATCAACTCAAAAGAAGCAGACAATGACTTCAGATCCCCCAAAAAAAATGAAAAACCAAAGCCTCATGGTAATCATTAAAAAGGATAATATAACATTGTGAAAAAATATAAGCCATAGCATCACACCTGAATAATGTCACGTTCCCTTTCATGAGGACGCTGACAAGTCACCTTCAGAAGAGCAGTGATCTGCCTCTCATTCAGTCTCTTTGAGTACCTCTGACCCTCCACAATCTTGCAGACCTGGTTTGAAATTGTAGGTTGCAATCAATGTATCCAAACAATAGCAAAAAATGAAGACACAAACACATACCTCCATCGGCAAATAATTTGGTCTCTGCTGGTTACCCACTTGTAGACACGGCCATTGAGTATGTTGAATTTCAAAGCCATAGGTCTCGCGGAAGTACTCAACTACAGACTTCAAAGTTCCTCTTTCATCAACAGGAAAACTGATACACAAGCATTAAATAAGGGAAACAAACTGCATATGATCACACACTAAGACCAATGGAAAAATTAAAAAAAGATAAACATATGACAATCTGATACTCACGTCAATTCCCGTGTAGCCTGTGATGTTAAACCAGATATGCGGTATTTTCTGCGCATATTTCCTCGGTGTGTAACTTCAACCTTGACGCCGCGAAGAGCCTTTTTTATCTATTGAAACACAAATAGCGATGCTCATTGTCAAATAATCATACGAGTAATCTAACGCAAAACTCAATACAAGAAAGCGTTAGGAGAAAATTTCAATCAAACAACTAAATGTCTTATACAGTATCATATAAAAGTGTACGTGATGCTTCAAAAGGTGGAAGAATTGATCTGAGAGATTTAATGTAAGCCATAGCAGAAAACTAAAAACAAGACCAAAGAACAACAAACAATTTCTCACCTTCACACGGTCAGCATCAGATAATGGCCTAGCAGAAACATCCCGGTTCAATAATTGTGTAACAAATTCAATGACAGGCAGAGGCTCAATGAAAGCAGTGGACGACATATCTGACCCAAGAGATCACATAGAAATAAAACATTAAGTTGATAAAAACAGTAAACAATAATCAAAACAAAATACAGTAGGACAAATCATGAATATGTTCAGTGAACTTATAGTGGAACTTAACCAAACATAAATAAATTGAATAATAAACGACAAACACTGATGGAAGCAATGCCAAAAATCATGTACCAATATTCAGCGACAGTCCCATCTGTGTAGGGCGAATACTTTGGTAGAAACCACGCCAACTCTCCAAACCTTCGCCAAGGGGTTGCCTTCTTCCTAGATCAGGGGAATAAAATGATCGACCCACAGGGCAATACCTGCAGTTGATGGGAGCTTCAGTCTTCAGAAAAAGGAATGCATAATCAAATGCCAAAAGGAAGAAGTTACACAATTCATACCGAGTAGTAGGCAATTCACGCAATACAATATCAAGAACTTGAAGAGCCTCCTGTGGAGCATCTGCTTGCCTTCCCTGCAAAAAGAGGCCTAAATGGTGTAGGTCAGCACGTGCAGCTAATTTGATGACAACTCTAAAATCCCTCTCTCTCCTGCAACAAAAAGAGAAGGTACTTAGTAATAAGTAGGAAAAATGGGATACAGAAACTAAAAGAATATCCAGAAAGCAAAAATCATAGAACCTTTGCCCCCCTGATCCATCATCTTCATCAATGAGAGTGATTTTAAATTCCTTTGAAATAAATGGAAGTGCACCAGCAGTATAAAGACTCTTCCGGCCGTCATAGGCAGGCAGACGTTTTCCAAGATGAGATTCTCTATACAATTTAACAAGTTGTTCCATTACAGCTCGATTGACTCCCCGTGATGCGACTTCAGGTGTAATGGTAACCTATTGAGCTCAGTCATGTCATCTAACCATAGACATTAAAAATTCACACAAATTAACCAATCAAAACACAGAAGAGAGAACTCACATCATACTGGTGCAAATCCTTGTCTGGTAAATCAGCAAAGAAGTGGTTAGCCTTTACTATACACTTTGTGCCAGTGCTACCCTTGCCAGGACGAAGGGGGAACCTCATTGATTTACTTGAGGGTGGAGGCGCAGCCTGAATTGCCTGGCTTGAAGAACCTTCTTGCTGGATAGAAAGCTCCTGCAACTGCTCTGTTAGTGTTACTGGTGATGGCTCTGGTGGGCGAAACGAAGAGCTCGCCTCAGATGGCGTAGACTGAGGGGACACCCCAGCTTGGTAAGGAGCCAGGGTTGCTTGGTGCAGCTCGGGGACTGGTGGTCTAAATGGGCCACCAGAAGGACCTCCTCCACGGCCACTACCACCATGACCACCACCGCCACCATAGCTTCCTCGGCTTCCTTGCTGAGGTGGCGGCCCTCCTCTTCCCCTCCCTTGATATTCAGGGGCTCCACCATACTGCTGTTGTGGCATCCCACTCCGGCCGCGGCCACCGCCATAACCACCTCCACGACCTCCTTGTTGAGACTGTGGGGCCCAACCCCTTCCACTTTGATAAGGGCCTCCACTTGCTCCTTGCTGAGGTGGTCCACCCCTCTCAGATGGGCGCTGGGAACCCCGGTTGCCACCTGCACTAGCTTCTTGAGAGGCAGAGCTCTCACCCCCACTAGCAGGAAGCTCAGTTCTTCTCTTTCTCGGCATTATGATGGCTGAAAAAGATGCAAACAAAAATTCAATACTAAGAAGGAAAAAGAGGTAGAGTGCGTATTTTTTCTTAAAAAATAAAAAATAAAATTTCGCCAAAACTAAAACCAACAGTATTTGGATTGGTTAAAACACATATTTCTCAACAAATATTTTTACAAGCAACATCATTCAATATTCAGTACAAAGAACGATTAATACTCCTAGAATATCAAAAGAAGAAACATCTATTAATAACCAATGTAAACAAATACAAAAGTAGTAACAAGCTTAATAATGACAGAGAACCAGCCGTAAACGTAAACAAAAATTTCAATTATCAACAACTGAAAAGCTGAAAAGCATAAAAGCGAAGGCCCCAAAAACAACAAAATAAATGCAGGACAGAAACCCTAAAAAAATAAACGAAAGCATTACAAAGCGACGCTTCCAAATCGCTTGGAAGAGCAAACGATCCCAATGAAAACAACATACACAGTCAGTAATAGCAAACACTTCATAAAAATCAAATAGATCTGTGGAAAGGAAGTTCTACGACTACTAAATAGAGTATCAAGTAGAAAGTAGATGGCAGATCCATACTCCACAGCCAACAATAAGTAAAAGTCATGCGATTGATGCACAAACACTACTAAAACACTCGAAAGCAGACAAAAAACCGCTTTTACTTACCTGAAAACAGCTATCGGTACCGGAAAACTGGTTATCGTACGACGAAAAGCTCTGTATCACGCCACTCCACCAGAGCGAAAAGGGGAAGCCTAAGCCCTACCCAAACTCTTCCTCGTGTAAAAAATATATTGAAAATTTGCAGAATGACATCCGCACTCTGCTTATAAAAGAGTAGTTGGTGTTTGAAAATGACAAGTCCGTCCTCGCTAGTGCACCCACTGCTATAGACGTGGATGCTGACATGGCATGTTTTCAGACTTTTGGCTTGGCCTATTGGAAAATTCTACTTGTTTTCATTAATAATATATACTATTTATTATTATTATTATTATTATTTTGTATATATTTCAAAAATAATAATAATAAATCATTATTTTGATTTTCCTTTTTTTATGGGTGAATCACCAAAAACAATTTTATATTTTGGGCAAATTTAACACATACTTTTAATTTTGTCAATTAACACCTCATATTTATTTTTCATTGTCAATTATGGGAGTCCATTAATTTATTGGTTATTTGATCATTGGCTAGCCTACAACACGCTAGCTCACATCTACCTGGCTATTTTTTAATCATTTATCCTTAATTTTTAAAATTTTTAAATTAGAAAATTATACTGTTCAGACAATTTCCTCTGCATCCCACTAAAAACTTAAAAGAATTTGATATATTTTTACAACTAAAGGACTTTTGATAGATCCTCTACAAGCAGCTCACACTATTACAACTAAAAGACTTTTGATAGATCCTCCACGAGCAGCTCACACTATCAGCAACTCCAAGATCTGTCAAGTGGGTTTCTTCACTTTCAGAGTTGACTTGACTACATCCAATTAAATTCTCGATAAAAGTCAGAATTAACAATAAAAATAAATACAAAGTATTGTTGATTGACAAGATTAAAAATATGCACTTATGTATATATAAATACTTATTTATCTTAATTCTGTGAATAAATTATAAAATTCAACTAGTCTATAAGTAAAACATGATGTTAAGGTCAATTGGATTAGACGTTGAGCGAATAAGGGAACTCATTTACTTGCTAGAGTTTCAACTTGTTTTGACCCATTTCATGTTTGAGATGCACTTCTTGAACCTTTGTTACAACTTTATGATTCAAGGTAATACAAGTAGTATTTTCCGTTTTAAAAAAATTGGATAATAAATAAGAAAAATATAAAAATATATAATTTTACCTTTCATCGTTTAATCAAAATACACAAGTAAATTATTCAAGTTAAAAGCAACAAACATATAAATCAAATTAATTTTTTAAAATTACTTATCTAAATCAATTAAAAAATGCAAAATTGCACGACTCGCGCATCAACTCGTGTATAACTGGTTCATAGAAATATGACCCTAAATTATATGGCTTTTGCAATTATAATTTACTTTTAATTTTGTGATTTATGATATTTTTTTGTAATTTACTTTTTGGACACAAAATTATCTTGTATTTAATGATATTTTGTGGTCAAATACTTTATATTAAATATTTTATAATATGCCTTCACATTATTACTCTTTAGTCCCTCATATTTATAACTAGATTATTACTATTTAATCTCTTGTTTAACAATAAAATTGAAATATCATAGATTTTACAATATTTTTTAAAATATTAGGGATAAAGTGGCAACTTTGATCAAACTTTAGGACTTCGAAGTAATTTTCTTCTTGATTATTTTAATTAACTGATTTTTTATTTATTATTTAATTAATTAGTTAGGCGTTAGGAAAAGGAAAGATTAATTAATTAATTGAGATATGGAATAGAGAAACAAGGAGACAAATTAGGAATGTTATTAAATTACAACCAACATTGCTTAGCACGTTAGAGAAGTGCAGAGCAAGTTGTTTGGAATTAAAGAAGTTATAAATACAATTTACATATTCGTGATTTAAATTTTAATATAATATTTTTATAAATTTTTATTTCCATATAATATTATAAAGTATCTATATTAATAAATAATAATAAATCATCAATCGATTTTAATTTTTTCCGTAAGAAATTAATATTAAAAAATAATAATAACTTGATTATTAGTCATGCAAAGATAAAACAGTAATAAGAAATAGGCCGCAATAAACCTTTTGTCATAATGATAAATCAAATGTTTTGATATTTATTTGTTTTAAAATTGCAATATATAGTTGTCTTTATTAATTTTAATGATAATAAATTGAATTGAATATTAATGGATTATAAGTAGAGAGCTCTTTGAGGTTTGGTAAGATCTAACTTTTTTTTTTTTGTAATTTCGATAATTTTTATACAATTTTTTAATATTAATATATTTTTTTAAATATATTTTTATTATTTCATCAAATATGAAAAAGTTTGATAAAACCATAATAGAAAGCGGTTTACATGAAATTATCATTAAGAATAATATATATATATGGTTGAATTTCTATATCTCTTTTATTTTAATTATTTTATTATTTTTAATGTCATTTAAGAAAATTTATTAATTCAAAAATAAATTAAATCAATGATTTTTTTAATATATATTTTATTTTCTTTCAATAAATTAAATCAAAATGATTTTTTAATATATTATTTTATTCTTTCAATTTTATTAATAGATATTAATTTTTATATAGTTATGTCTAAATATTATTGAAATTGTTAAAATGGATGTTCTTTATATTTAAACAATTTTTCAATAAATTTTGAACAAATATTTGAAATTAAAAAATAATTACAAAATTTTTCTTAATTAAATATATATTATTTAAAATATTTATAGATAAATATATAAAAATATTTTATTGTTCATGCACAAACATGCTGCGAGTTGTAAAATATGAAAAATAAAATCAAATAATATTTTTTAAGAAATATTGTTATTACTAATGTCAATAATATGTTTCAGTACGCCAATAATTCAAAATAAAATAATATAACATTCTATTTTGATAACTTGAAGCTACACTTATTAATTAAAAAGTCCTAAAAACATAAAAGAAAGGCATATTAATTTTGGTGATAGCTCCTTACGTGTATTTTATTTTCTTTCAATTTTATTATAGATATTAATTTTTATATAGTTAGTCTAATATTATGAATTTAAAATGGATGTTCTTTAATTTAAACAATTTTCAATAAATTTGACAAATATGAAATTAAAAATAATTACAAAATTTTTCTTAATTAAATTATATATTTTAAAATATTATAGATAAATATATAAAAATATTTATTGTTCATAGCACAAACATGCTGCGAGTGTAAAATATAAAAAAATAAAAATCAAATAATATTTTTTAAAGAAAATATTATTATTACTAATGTCAAATATGTATTCAGTACGCAATAATCAAAATAAAATAAATATAACATTCTATTTTAGATAACTTAAGCTACACTATCTATTAAAAAGTCCTAAAAACATAAAGAAAGCATATTAATTTGTGATAGCTCCTTACGTGCAAGCATTTACCATTATTATCTTCTCCCTGAAAATATAATTATATTAATAATTAAGATTATTAATAAAAATATAATTCCTTAAAGCACAAGTCAATGAGCTATTTAAGTAGTATTCCTAATTGAGTAGAATAAGTTAATTTTGAAAGTTAAATTTATATCTAAATTAATAACAATTAAAAATAATATTTACATTCATATCAATAATGAATAAATGATATGTATTTTTTAAAAATATATTTTTAAGTAGTATAAGTTGAATATAAAAGAAAGAAATTAGTTACTGATTACAAAAAAATTTTTCTTAGGTATAGAAAGTAGTATAGTAGGATTATTACAAAAAAATTTAAAGTGTAATTTCCTATATATAACATTAATTATTCAAATAACACTACCATACCATGTTTATTATACCATATTTTTAATTTCCCATAATTTTGTAATTTATAGAATTGAATTCTTATGTTTTTACTATATTTATTATACCATATTTAATATATTATATAATTTTTTATTTTATCAAGTTGAATTATTATATGTCAATTAGGTGGTGGTCTGATTGGTCTTTTCACTTACATGAGGAATTAAAAGTCTTGAGTCCTCTCGACCAAGCTAACACCTGTTGTGTAACTCGTAGTGTTATTTCGAGCATAAAAGTCTCAAATAAATTAAAAAAATTAAATTATTATATCCTTATGAATATTTTATGGATATCTGATTTAGTATATAATATAATTTCTTAATTTATAAAATAGAATTTAGATTTAAATAGAAAAATAATATAATTAATCAAATTAAATTATTTTTATTTTCTCAACTAATAAAATTAAAAATCTGTATTTTTAGCGGTTTTTACAATCAAATATAGATTTTAGATAAATTATGGATTATATATATAGATAGATATATCTACCTATAAACATTTTCTATTTTTCTTTGTTTAAGATTTGTTAGAATTTTATTTTATTTTCTACAATTTGATTAGATGTTGAAAATGTTTTTAAAGTTTATTTATAATTACTTTAATAAACATGTATAGATAATTATAATTTTGAAATTTTTTTTGTCTTATTTAACTATAAGATAATTATAATTTTATTTTAAAATTTTTCTTTTCTTTTCTTTTCATTAATAGCTGACATATCTCTTTTTTTTAAATCTATTGTAACTTTATTTTGTTTTTTTATTTTCTTATCTATATATTTAGATAATTACTGAATACAAATATATAAATTTATTTGAAGAAAACTATAAAATAAACTATAAAATTAATATAAAAAGCTAAAAAAGAAAAGAAAATGATGGAGCCACAATAAATTTATTTTAAAGATAATTTATATTTAGATAATTATTTTTTTTAAGGCAAAGGTTATTGCAATAGAATTTCTTGGTGTTTTTATTTATTACATATTTGTTAATTTTTGTTTTTTTTTCCCATAAATATTGTGATACAAGTATTATTTTTTCAATGCTATGATTTCTAAGTCCACTAATAATTAGAATCATGAATCCATTAAAGAGGACTTTATTACAGGAAGAGAGATCAAACATGGGACCATTCTTAGGTCCAATTAGTTTTAATTAGATTATGAGCAATTATTCTCTGTTTTTTGGTCCAGCTACATATTGTATTTATTTTCAAATCTTATGTGACAACTGTATTTCTGTCTTTAAAATGTCCTTTTCTTTTTTTTTTTTTTAAGAAAAAAAATGTCCTTTTCCAACTATTTGTAGTTTACAATAGAAATTGTTCCAATATATTTTTAGAGAAACTTTATTATAATTTTTTTTATTTGTTAGGAAACTCAATACGCCGTAATACATAGATTATACAATATAGATAGTTCTCCCAAATTTACTAAATTATTGAAAACTCTTTTGATCGAGAAGACAAAAACTTAAACCTCTCATTCTTCATAATAGTGAGAAGATCAGGAGGTTCTAATAGGCAAAAATTATTATTACTTCTGTCCCATAATATTTGTCACACTTGAGAAAATAATTTGTTTCAAAATATTTATCATATTTGTGATTTCAAGGAGTAATAAATATTTTTTTTCCATATGTACCTTTTGTATATGATCAATAATTATTACTTCGATTTAATGGTTTTCTTAAAAAATTATAATTCAATTAAGATTAATATAGTCAATTTACTGTAATTTAGATAAATTTAATGATTTTCTCAAGAGACGTTAAATTTAAAATGTGAAAAATATTATGGAACACGTATAGTATAATTTTAGTCGTCATAAATGTATAATTAAAAAAAAAAAACTTATATAAACTTATGTAACCAATTAGATAATATAATATTTATACAAGAGTATTAGATAGATGGCAAAGTCAAACAATGTTTAGCTTAATGTGATGGTGAAAAATAGAAGAGATGCATTGAAGTGTGGGCCAAATACATAAATGAACTTTTAATATTCACTTTTAATTTATTTTGATTTATTAAACACTTGGATTTATGAAATTTTACTTATTAAATATTTTAATTTATAGAATTATTTTATTGAGCATATCAATTTATAAAATTATATTAATTAAATATTTAATTTATATTATTTTTCAAAATTATGCTTTCCGTTAAATTAATATTTTGCATATGAAATTAAAAAAAACCTTAAAAGCATTGCTATTAGTAAAAAATATTTTATCTGCGCATGTTGATTGGAATTTACTCGTGGTTCATCTGTCTTAATCTCCTATATATGGAAGATTTTTTAATAATTTTATCCATGGAATTGCGGCAACAACTGAATGTAAAGAGTTCTAAACAGAGAGAAAATGGCAGCTAGCGCGATATTGAAGATAACTCCTCCTCCAAATTCAACTTCATCCTTTGAGGTTAGAGTCATTGCGTTATCGACTTTTCCAATTTCATTATGCGCTAGTAGCTGTAGGAGGAGACAATTGCCATTGCGTTGCTTACATATTGGAAGACCACCGCAAGGATTAGGCTACCACCGAGTGTTGGTGTCGTCATCTTCTTCTTCTTCCACTCCTCAAACCCCCAAGACAAGGCTCTTCGTAAGCGGTTAGTTTTACGTCCTTATGTACTGTTTGGTTTTATCTTATTTCTGATTCAATCATTTGATTATTTTCCAAGTAGTGTGGGCTTTTTCTGTTAACTTAGGTCTTCAATTCTCTATGAATGAAACTAGGTAGCACTTTTATAGCTCCATCAATTTATGAAGTAGAAAATATTCGTTATATTGTAAGTAATTCTGTTTTTGTTCTGTCAAATCCTGGAATTCTTCTACTATGGCTGTGTTAATTTGGTATTTGGGGCTAGGGACGCTGCAACTTTATTGCTATTAGTTTATTGTATGATAAGATTTTGCTAGATACAACAAAGTGTTTCTGCGCTTTTGTAATTTAAATTATATAATTATGATGTTGAAGAAGTTATATTCTATACAACATGTTGAATAATAAATGTAGCAAAAATTATGACTAAGAATAACAAGGAAGCAGACAATAAAGCTTGTATGGCAATATGAAAGGCGTAAGTAGCAGATGGAGAGCAAACATTCACAATCTGCTACTGCAAGCTTTTTAACATCCTGTAAGAAATGCATAATAAATAACGGGTTGGGTGAAATTAGCTTTAACTAGAAAACTGTTTTAAAGGTCGATGAAAATGTCTTAAATTGCTTTATGGAAAGTTAAAATTTGAACAAAATGATACCTAAGAGTCTTTAATCTTTTGTTTTTTTTATTTTTTTCTGTTCTTTTTTATCCGTGTTGAGAGCTGCTTAATGAACTCAAATATGTATTCTTGGTAAAGAAACACTGATGCAATCCTTTCTGGTTTTATGTCTCATTTCTGTGCATTTAATGCAGGACTGTCTTTTCGTACCACTGAAGAGAGTTTGCGAAATGCTTTCCAAAATTTTGGCCAACTTGTGGAAAGTGAGATCAATCGATTTACAGCCTGTAGTTCATTGTGTTGTTTAATTATGTTATGATGTTTAGTGTCTCCGAACTGTCTATTATACATTGGGTTTCTAAAGTATTGGTTCTTACCTAACAGTGAATCTCGTGATGGATAAAGTAGCAAACAGACCTAGAGGATTTGCTTTCCTTCGTTATGCAACTGAGGAGGATTCTCAAAAAGCTATAGAGGGAATGCATGGCAAGGTATGTCCTCAGTAATAGGAAATGATGTTCATGCAACCTGGATTTGTTTATATTTTTTGTTCTTGGTTAGTTGGTTTGCATATTCAATACTCACTCTTTTTCTCAATACCATGCAATAGTAATTCCAAGGCTTATACTTGCTTCTGCATAAGGATTATGGCATGACTTGGTGTAATGAGTATAACCAGAATGAATTAGAGAAAAATTTAACAAAGCATAAGAGTGTGAATTTTTTGACTTAAAAAGACAACATATTGTTCATTTGGAGAGTCTTCTTTTCCATCGTAAAAGGCTCATTACAGTGGGAGGCAGTTCACCTTAATTTCACGAACCATCCCAATCACACGTTTTAATCATTGGTGCATCCCTAGGGAGAAAACATGAGTTAACAAAAAGAGTAGTCCATTGTATCTCCTTATTGATACATTATGGAATATGGAAAATGATAGATAGGACTAGGAGCTTGCATTTTACCAAATAAATTACTGCTTGTGTACTCCCTCATACCCATGTTCTCACTTGCTCTCCTATGCACTGATCCTAAAATTGTTTGCTTACACTCTCCTTGGACATATCTAATATCGTTCTACCATTTCTTTATCTTGTTGGTTTTTATTCCTCTTAACCTAAAAATCTATTTTAGCAGGTTGGGAAGTGTTATGGCCTAAATGTGATATGTTGTCAGGATATTCTATGAGTACTCTATTGCATAGTATTGGTTGAGATTTCTCTTGAAGTAGTTCTTTATTGGAATATAACAATTTTGTTGTATAACTAGTCATGATACCCATGCATTATGTGAATTTATTAGGGACAAACTGTTTCCACAACCAAGATTTCTATATCCACAGCTTGAGTAATGTTGAGTCATTGACTAGACCAAAATACCTCCTTTTTTTCTACCACAATATTCTTTGCTCTTTTTCTGTATTCCACCAATCAATTTGTCTCTATTAGAGCTTCTGTTGGGACTTGAAGAATATGTTCTACTTCACAGTTTTGCATCTCCTTGTTAGAGAAATTCTAAAAAGCTAAACACATTTGAAAAAGTCTTTTTTTTCTTTTAAATGTTCTATGGGGATAGTGAACAAAACACTAGTAAATTGAGGTATAGCTCTAAATTATGGTGTAAAAAGTTTGAGAGAGACGGAAATCAAGAATATTTTCATCAATTGGATGTTGGCATCTATAATTACCAAATGAGAGAGAGATGATGATGTTATAAAAAAGAGAGAGTAAAGAAATGATGAAAATAATTAATTATAGGGAATAGTATTCAAATAATGAATAATTAATGAGGTGGATTAGGATTAGTATACTTTTTTATACTTTTATCTGTTTAACATTTTTAGTTTTTTCATTTTATTTATTAATTAATCATTAAAATTTAGAAAAGTCATAATTTCACAATCTAAAATCAACTTGGCTCAAATAAATTTTTAATTGTCTTTAATTGTGAGTCAAAATATTGTCAATTATTACATGTCTACTTGGTATTTAGAAAAAATATGTAATAAATATTCTGTGGAAAAATATATAAATGAAAGCATGTAATGCAGAACATGGATTAAATATAAACTGTAGAGTAATGGTTCATCCAAGACAAAAATAATTAATGAATAGTTTCTTTAAAATAAAATTAAAATTATAAAAAAAATTTTGTCCATGCCTAGGCTGTGCCTGCACCATTCCCTAGCATATAAAGATATCAGAAGTACCCAGTATGTATAAGAGAAAAGGATGAAAATAATAAATTAGTTTAACTAAGAAAATACTGTGCTAACTGCTAATAGGAGAAATGAAACGTGGTTGCAAGTTAAACTTTGAATTATGGGAATGTGAAGTTTTTTAGTAGTCTCTTCAATTAACGAATTCCCAATATCTTAGATCTTAAAAGAAGGTTTTATTTTTTTTTAAAAAAAAAAAGAAACAAAAGAAGAAGCTTGTATTTGAATAAAAAAAACCAGTAGTACTACTACAACATATGTACTGACTCCAAAACCACGTACATGGTTTATATAAACCCACCTCTTCATCTTGTTAGTAGGTTGCTGGATTTATTTGGAGGTGTTTTGCTTTTATTCTGAACTGCAATGAAATTTCAAGTCATGTTTCTTTGACTTCATGAAAAGGCAGTTTTGAGTTTGGATGTGTCCAATTGCAATTGACATCAGGAATTCAGTATGGTTACAAATTTGGTGTAGTTTAGAGGAGAGAAAGAGATGTAGAGAGAGTGTATTGACATTTCATTCAAGGGTAAGATAGGAACAAAGAATTAACTTAATTAATTTACGAAATCCTAATAGAAAGACTTGTTTGTTATTGGAGTACCCAACTATTTATCAATCAAATAAAAGAAAAAGTTGGAAATGATGTTGAAACTATAAATTATAGCATATTAGTGGCATTAACTAGTAACTGAATTAATTTGTAGTTATATAGGAATAGAGGTATATGATATATTGATAATTCTCTTCTCTAACTAAAGTCCTCTTAATCTAATATCTTAAGAATTTAATTAATGTGGTAAATACATTAAAAGTTAATTTTAATTAAAGAATATAAATCATTTGTACTCAAATCTCAATTGTTCCCTTAATTGAGGGCATGATATTCCATTTGGAAGTCACCAACTAAATTGAAAATGACCTATTAATTTGCTTTAGAATTATAATATACAATGTTGGAAATGTAGGAGGATTTTGAATTGGTATGTAAACTACTTCCTTGCAGTTTTTGGATGGCAGGGTGATTTTTGTGGAAGTTGCAAAGCCTAGAAGAGAGCTTCGCCAAGGCCTTCGACAATCTTGAAGAGGTAGTTTTACAATCTATTATGGATGTTAAATCTTTGATTATGTTAAGGTTGTATTGGCTAATGTTGATTTCTTCATTGCCAATCTACAAAAAGAAAAGAAAAAGGGGAAAAATCCATTGATTTTCCTTTTTAATTGGTTTCATAAAACACAGTCTAGGTGATGTATGCATATTGAGATCCTTGGAAGCCTGGAATTTGCTTGGAAAAACATAGTATGTACTATAATGGCTAGATTGCAGTGGCTTCAGGCTGCATTTTATTACTTGCAGAATAACTTACATGGATGGTAACCATTTTTAAGAATTTCTTTTCTATTACTATTTGATTGAATAATGAAAATCAAATAAAAATAATTAATTTTCTTCTAATGAATGATACAAAATGTTGGGACTCTTCATGAGTTTCTATTATAATGACAAAAAAAAAAAAAAAAAAAAAGCAGTGGCTTCAAAGGCTGGCAATTTTTATTTACTTTGGCAGAATAACTTTAACAATGGATGGTAACCATTTTTAAAGAATTTCTTTTCTATTACTATTTGATTGATAATGAAAATCAAATTAAAATATTAATTTTCTTCTATGAATGATACAAAATTTGGACTGCTCATGAGGTTTCCTATTATAATGAACAAAAAAATAAAAAAAAAAAAAAAAAAACTCCAATTCTTTTAATAATCATATATAAATCCCTTTAATACCAATTTTATATAAATTTTAATTAGAAAAAAAAAAAAAAAAAGAAAACTCCATTCTTTTAATAATCATATATAAATCCCTTAATACCAATTTTATATAAATTTTAATTAGTGTTGTGTCATAATTGTATCTTTTTGTAGTAATTAAATAAGAGTTTTAAGAGGATGGAATAAAGAGTTAATAAGAGTGAAGGAATACTAAGAAATGGAATTAAATGTGTATTAATTAATTTTTATTTAATGTTTTAAAGGAAATAGGAGGTTAGTGGATATAAAATTAATTAAAATCTCCACATCATCTCCTATTTGAAGGTTAAGAAAAATGGATAATTGGGTGTAAATATTAGGAATAGGATTCAATTTGCTCTCTTAACTTTCAAACAATTTACAATTTTTATCAAAGAAAATCAACCTTTCCGTATAATTTACTGTTTGAAGTTACACCAAAAGAACGAAAGGCTCAAAATTTTTTTTTTTTTTTAAAAAATAAATATATTTGATTGAAATTAAAAATAATAAATAATTTTCTAACTAAATATTCAATATAATCAAAAAATTTTTAATTTTATACTTTTTTATATCAAATATTTTGTTTAATTATTTTTTAAATTAAAGATAAGGTAGTGTGAGTTTTTATAATTATTGTTATACTTTTAAATAATTTTTTCTTAATTTTTAATTCTTTAAATAATTTTTAATAGTTAAAATATTAAAAATTGGGGTTTTTTGTTCTTTTGGTGCAAGTTTATGAGGTAAATAATTATAAAATAAAAAAAAAATTAATTTTTAAGCAAACGGCATATTGTTCTCAAGTTCAAATGGCAAATCGAGCGTTATTCTTTAAGTGTGATTCACCCTTGATTCTCATCACATTAATGTAAATGAATAGTGTTGGAGTTTGTCTAATTTGAAATTGGGTTAATCTTGACAAATTTAAAAATTTTGAATCTGAAATTAGGTCCTTAAAATTAAAAATTCAAATTTTCTAGTACTTTTTCATCCCAATTAGAGCCCTTCAACAAACATGTAACTTCAATTCCACCCACCATCATCTAGCACATAAAGAGAAGAAGAGGAAAGTGTTTATGGGAAGTAGAGAGAAGATTAATTAATGAAGAGGGGTCCACTTCAGTCCACAACTTTAGTAAATAAAGGAGATGGAAGTTGAATGAAAAAGGTTAGGAGTTGGTCATTTCATTTGGTTTTTCATTCAATTACCTAATTTTTGCTTGCTGGATTCAGACCAATCAGCTCCTACTGTCACTTCCTAAAAGACAACTTATGTTAGTATATATGCTCTTTATTCTTCATGTTCAAGCTGCCACATGATTTGTCAAATGTGTCATGTAATGTTTGCCCTTTTTTTCTCCTTAAACATTAAGAATTTTAATTACCAAAAGACTATATAAAGTAAAATGTTTGAGTCCAAAACAAAATACTAAATTGAAAAATGAACAATAATGATGGAGGAACCACAGTTCAAACCTAGGTTTTAGGATGCGCTATTGGTTGGTTTGATTTTGAATCAAAGCAAACCGATAGCGCTAGAAATCGAATTATATTTTTTAATTGAATTGAAATTAAACTACGCATAAGATTGAAGCCAAATCAAAACATGTTTAATTTGGTTTTTTTTTTTTATATAATTTTAGCTTATTTTCATAACTGAACCAAAAATTGAAAATATCTAAAATGGTAAATTGAACCGGTAAATTTAAATAAACAAACCGAAAAATCAAACCAGATTTAATTTGACGGCTTTAGGGGATGTGTTCGTACTTTTTCCTAGGAAGCTAAAAAGTGTTGTCAAAAGTTTGCTAGCAAAGTAAGAATATAAAAAGAACCTACTTTTATATAACAAAGAGAAAAAAATTAATCGGATCGGGTTCGAGTTTAGCTTGGCTTAAATCAAATTGGTGGATATTCGTACTCACTTCATTTATACATGGATAGAGATTTATCTAATGGATTCAGGTCGAATCAAAATGATCATCCATGACTTTAGCATGCAAAATCAAAGAATTTTAAAGTTAGGAGGGCTGGACTAACGAAAATCAAGAGCAAGCATTAGTCGGAACTAACCAAAATATCGAATCAAATTAACTGGTTTAATTTTGAGGATTGAACCCTCAACTTCATTTAAATGAGAAGAAAAGAGTGTCGAATCATTCATCTAAATAATCGTGGATTGAATTTAATGATTTTGATAATTAGTAATTACAATTTAATAAAAAAAAAAACTCTTATATTAACAAACTTATCTTTCAGATGCTGTACGGTAGAGTTTTCAAAAATGTCCACGTCATTTCATGGACCATTTATTTTAAAACTGCAACTTGTTTGATTCCAGTAAAAACTTTTTCGTTACGGTAGCATTTTGTGGATATAAAAGAGTACGGACTCCTAATTTTTCTTCAACATTTAGGTCAAAGTCAATTAATTTACTGATTAAATAATTGATTGCTTCAAGCTTAAAGATTAGGGTATGTCCAATGAGCAATGATTAATCATCATTTAGGATTAGGTTTTCAACGCTTAATAACAAGGTCTTAATTTGATAAAATTTACATTTACACTCACTTTCAAAATTAACTGTGTTAAAATAAGTTGATGGACCGTGTCCGTGTCAGGTCTAAAACAACAAAGTTAGGATGAACACGATTACGATCAGTCAGGTCTGAAACAACACAGTTAGGATGAACACGATTACGATCAACGTGAATATAATTTAGAATTGAAACCACCCAATACGGTATGTTTAATTGAATTAGAGTGAGTTTGTGAATGAATCCATTCTACATAGATCTAAATGGGTATTTTATTATTTCAAAATATAAGTCGTTTAAAGTTTTTGCATAAAAATAAAGAAAACAATTAATTTACTTAGATTGTAACAAAATCAGGATAAATTATCTTTTATTTTAAAACCAATAATTACTTGTGAAAATATTTATTGTATCTAATATAAATAATGGTAATATTGACAAGACATCATTTATTACTCCTTAAAATACTAAAAACGACTTATATTTTAAAATAAAATGCTCTATCAACACGATTTATATTTTGGGACGAGAAAGTAAATTTTTTAGGCTGCAGTGACTAATTTAATGTAAAAGGACGAAATTGAAGAGATCACAGTGATTTATGGTCAGTTTTCAATTTTCAATTTATGAGTGGTAATATAGAAGAACCAGAAGTATACTTTATTAATACAAAGCAGTCTATTTACTTACTGCCAAGTGCACAAAGCATATTCTGCATTAATCATTAATCAAGTGCTTAAAAGGTAAAAAACCCAATTAAAGAACACACTCTCAGGTGTTCTTTTTTTAATTTATTTTAATTTTTTTTTTCTCTTCTGATATTAGCATGCAATTGCAAAGAGTTGACAACAAAAGAAAACAAAAATGGTCAATATTTGGTTAAAATAATATAATTTTGGTTTTGGTCCACAGGATCTAGTAAAAGAAAGAATGATAATGTGGGTCCTAACTAAGTCCAAATGGAAAAAAAAAAAAAAAATAGCACTGCAATTGCAAAGAGTTACAACAAAAGAAAACAAAATGGTCAAGTATTTGGTTAAAAATAATAAAATAATTTTGGTTTTTGGTCCACAGGAAATCTTAGTAAAAGAAAGAATGATAAGTGGGTCCTAACTAAGTCCAAATGGAAAAAAAAAAAAAAATATATATATATATATATATATATGCGCTTTTGAAGTTTTGACCTTCCAAAATTTAATAAGTATTTTATGCAAAATACTCGTATAATTATATATTCAATTCTTCGTATAACCTAATTAATAAATTAATAATTTTTTTATATTTTGCCATTTTTTTTTCGGTAAAACATTTTAAATACTCTCATTTACATATATATATATATATATATATATGCGCTTTTGAGTTTTGACCTTCCAAAATTTAATAATATTTTATGCAAAATACTCGTATAATTATATATTCAATTCTTCGTATACCTAATTAATAATTAATAATTTTTTATATTTGCCATTTTTTTTCGGTAAAACAATTTTAATACTCTCATTTACATCAATTATTGATTCAACAATTATCTCATAACAAAAATCTAGATGATCTAAATTATAATCGAACAATGATTGAATTGGAGGTAAATCATAATCGATACGTGACTGTTGAATTAATCCGACTATCTCATAATAGAAATGAAATTGAAACCGAATTATAATTGACACGTGCCGGTTGAATTACCGTGGTTAAATAAAAAGAGTTCAAGTTTAATTAAGGATTATAAAAGCTTTTAACGTAATGGTAAGTTCTTCATTAAACCTAAGTAAGTCTTTTCCATTGTTTCTTTTACATATGTAAATAATAGTTAAGCAGAACAATGGATTTGTGGTGGGAATCTTGGCAGAGAAATCCGGCTCTCCAAAAAGGTATCGAGTTTGACTTTTGTGCCACTTATTTTTCTTTCCTTCAGTCAAAGAGAAAGGAAAGTAAAGAATTAAGAAAAGAAAGAAACAAAGAAAGATAGAAAAAAAAAAAAAAAGTTAGCTGAGATATTTGATGAGTGAGAGTGAGAACCCAAAACCAAAAAAAATGCAATTTAACGCTGAAAAATGCGTCTGAAAGGAAAAATCACAGGCAGAAAATTGATTCAGCAGCTGAATGTAGAAGAAGGAAGTATTGAAGTAAAGGAAATTAAAAGCTCTGTTGTGCATACCTGTACCACTCTACCAGTGAAGCGAGAAAGAAGAGAGAGAGAGTTTCAGAGTGTCTGTCTGTCTTAAATTTTAGAGAGAGAATTATCTCGAGTATGGTGAATGACTCTGTATTCAAATTAAAAATTTAAAACCCACACCACTCTCTCTCCTCTCTCTCTCTTTCTCTCTGTATAGATAGTGAGAAAGAGGCAATGCTTTTAAAACCCATCAGTTACATAACCCCAAAAGTGGCAGAGCAACAAAATTATATATAGTAATATTATAGTAAATAGCAGTAGTCACTGTGAATAGAAATATATATATATAGATATATAGGCTTAATTAGAGCCTCAAGATTTGATCTTTTTGATGATAATTCCCATTTAATTCGCTCCAAATCATGCCAAATTCTATTACATTTCTTCTTCTGCCGTTTCTTTTGATATGATATCTTCCCTTTTTGTCTTTCAATGTCAATGCTTAAACTCCTCCGTTTACTTCTTCTTTATTGTTATATTGTCATGCCTCATCATCTATATTATTCTTGATTCTTCCTTCCGCTACTTTTCTCTTGCTTTTCTTTTTCAAAATTCCGTCTCCTTTTTTTGATTTTTAGCACTTTTATGGAGTACGGTAGCGGCGGCGGAGGAGACGGCGGTGCTGGTAGTCCGTCCGGTGGGGATCATGACCTCTCCGAATCTCAGAGGAGGAAGAAGCGTTATCATCGCCATACTGCTAATCAAATTCAGCAGCTTGAAGCGTAAGCTCAGAAATGAATTGGCATTGCAAATTATCATTTTTCTTTCATTGCTTTAATTAGAAAGTAATTAAAATTTTGAAAAAATTTAGAATGTTCAAGGAATGCCCACATCCAGATGAGAAGCAGAGGTTACAATTGAGCAGAGAGTTGGGTTTAGCACCTCGCCAGATCAAGTTTTGGTTTCAGAACAGAAGAACCCAAATGAAGGTTTTCTAGATAATCTCTTCTTTGTTTTATTTTTTTTTTTATAAAAGATCATATTTTTCTAACACGTATAAACTAAAAACTTTCAGGCTCAACACGAACGAGCAGATAACTGTTCACTTCGAGCTGAGAATGATAAGATCCGATGTGAGAATATAGCCATTAGAGAAGCACTCAAGAATGTGATTTGCCCATCTTGTGGAGGTCCTCCTGTAACTGAAGATTCATATTTTGATGAACAGAAATTAAGAATAGAAAATGCACAATTAAAAGAAGAACTTGATAGAGTTTCAAGCATTGCTGCCAAATACATAGGGAGACCTATTTCTCATCTCCCTCCAGTACAGCCCATTCATATGTCTTCACTGGATTTATCTATGGCTAGTTTTAGTGGTCCTTCGCTTGATCTTGATCTTGATCTTATTCCATCATCATTTTCTTCTTCAAGTTTACCTTTTCATCATCCACTTGGTATTTCTGATATGGACAAGTCGCTTATGACTGATATTGCTGCTAATGCTCTTGAAGAATTACTAAGGCTTTTGCAGACTGATGAACCTTCATGGATTAAGTCACCAAGTGATTCTAGAGACATTCTTGACCTTGATACCTACCAGAATATTTTTCCCAGGCCTATTTCTCGCTTGAAGAATCCCAATGTTCGAATTGAGGCATCTAGAGATTCAGGTGTTGTTATCATGAATAGTTTAGCTTTGGTCGACATGTTTATGGATGCAGTGAGTCTTCTTGTCCCGCGAATATTCTTTTTTTATTTTTGTATGTTTTTTAGGTGCCCATTTTCCTAATTCTTGTCTTTTAACTTTGCAGAACAAATGGGTAGAGCTTTTTCCCACAATTGTTTCCATGTCCAAAACACTTGAAGTAATTTCATCTGGAATGTTAGGCAGCCACAGTGGTGCTTTGCAACTGGTAAAAAATAATTTAATTTTTATCACACACGAAAAAACTGCAGTTTGAATGTTAACTTTGAAGAGTTCTGCAGATGTATGAAGAGTTGCAGGTTCTTTCACCATTAGTACAAACTCGAGAATTCTATATCCTTCGATATTGTCAGCAAATTGAGCAAGGCTTGTGGGCAATTGTTAATGTTTCATATGACATTCCACAATTTGCTTCTCAATGTAGCTCCCATAGGCTTCCATCTGGATGCTTGATTCAGGATATGCCTAATGGATACTCTAAGGTTGTTTAAATTGATCCATTTGAGGTTTTATTAAGGTTGTTAGTTGAATGTTGCATTTTAAAATTCATTTCAAATGTGAATTACAGGTTACTTGGGTTGAACATGTAGAGATAGAAGATAAAACCCCAACTCATAGGCTTTACAGAGACCTTATATATAGTGGGATGGCCTTTGGAGCTGAACGGTGGCTTGCTACTTTGCAAAGGATGTGCGAAAGGTTTGCATGTCTAATGGTGTCGGGCACATCAACTCGCGACCTTGGTGGAGGTAATTGTTTTAGAACAAGTGTTTTTGTTTTACTTTTTATAAATTATAATTAACAAGTTACCTATATTTTCCAGTAATTCCATCTCCTGATGGTAAGCGAAGCATGATGAAACTTGCCCAAAGAATGGTAAACAGTTTCTGTGCTAGCATCAGCACATCTAATAGACATAGATGGACCACTGTTTCCGGTTCAAATGAGGTTGGAGTTCGAGTTCATAAGAGCACAGATCCTGGCCAACCAAATGGTGTTGTTCTTAATGCAGCTACTACCTTTTGGCTTCCAGTTTCTCCACAAAATGTCTTCAATTTCTTCAAAGATGAAAGAACTCGAGCTCAGGTATAAACATTATATCATCCTTATTTATTATATTAGTTGTTTTGGTACTGATTCTTAGGCTGAAAAAAAAAATTGCTATTTTTTCTTTAGTGGGATGTTCTCTCGAGTGGCAATGCAGTGCAAGAAGTTGCTCATATCGCCAATGGCTCACATCCAGGGAACTGCATATCTGTTCTTCGAGTAAGGCTTAATATATCTCTATACTTGCAGAACTGTTAATTAGCTTTCGTAATTGTCTAATATAGATTGATTTTTTTTGCAATAATAGGCATTCAACACTGGGCAGAACAATATGTTAATACTACAAGAAAGTTGCATAGACTCATCAGGTTCACTTGTAGTATACTGTCCAGTTGATCTACCAGCCATTAACATTGCAATGAGCGGAGAAGATCCTTCATACATTCCATTACTGCCATCAGGGTTCACTATTTCTCCTGATGGTCGTCTAGACCATGGAGATGGAGCATCGACAAGCTCGAGTACCCATGTAAGCATGGGCCGTAGGTCAAGTGGTTCACTAATTACAGTATCATTTCAAATACTGGTAAGCAGCTTGCCATCTGCTAAGCTAAACTTGGAGTCTGTAACAACTGTTAATAACCTTATCAGTACCACCATCCAACAAATTAAGGCTGCAATGAACTGTCCTAGTTCTTGATCATCTGATTCTGCAATACAACTGTTTCTCTTTGGCTCTACACCAGCTTGCTTTAAATTAAATATGGAGATGAGAGATGAGAGAAAAGAAAAGAACAATAAGTATTGCATTTGTGGAAGAGTTATTGAATGCTGAGGTTTAGTTGGATTTGAGAGAGCGTTAGTTGAAGCCTTGAATGCTCTCTCATCAACCCTCCAAGATGGTTTATTTACTGCTGCTGCTGTTTTTGCTGCCAAACTTCATTACAGTCTACACCAGCTAGATTTTATTTATTTATTTATTTATTTTTACTACAAGGGGTTGGATTGTTTGTTTCTTGAGAAAATTTTTATTAGCTTAAAGTGGGAGTCAAGAACGCACCATCTATATCTTTCCTGCTGGTTCTTCTTTTCTTTTCTTTCTCATATTTTCTTCGCCACTACAAACACAGCAAGAAAAATGTGTGGTTCGGGCATTGACTTCTGTGCTTTTACATTTATTTAGCAATGAATGATCTTTTGTTTTCTTTTTCCACTGCTTGTTAGTTACTACTTGTAATAAAATCGTCTGCTTTAATTTCTTTCTTTCTTTCTTTCACTAATGGATGCATGTGTGTTAATGAAGACGACAGGCAGCCAGGAGTTGAAATTCACCAGTGCGGTGGGCCACTATTTAGCTTCTGCATCAATGTTGGGCTCCACCTCTTTCCTTGCCTCTCATTTTCCCGCATTTGTAACTTCAAATAAATACTATCATAAAACTTCACCCTAATACGTAAATACATACATGAACTTTGTCACTTTACCTTATTTTAAATCATCCAGCAACTTTAATATATAAAATTATACATATTAAACACTTCAATTTGCAAAATCATTTTATTAAACACTTCCATTTATAAAATTTGATTAATTAAATACCTATTAAATAGTTGAAGTTTATAAAAATTGTTATTCTAAAATTATGCTAATTATATATTATTTTGATATTTTGTAGATAAAAGCTAAAAACTCTAAAAATTATTATTAGTGTGAAAAAAATATGCAATATTATCAAAATTTACAAGTTTAAATGTATGATGGGTTACTCACAAGTTCAGAGTGTCACTCGGTTAGATTTGTAAAGTTCAAGATGAATTTATGTATCTGACTATAAAATTTAAGGATGTTTTAGTAATTTTTTGAAATAGAGGGATGAAATTGTTAATTGGGATATAAATTAGGAACCCAAATGTATTATTCTCTTGATGTTTTAAACTCAATAAGATTCATAAGGTCCACACAAAATAATTAACATATAATGTTTAGGGTCTTTAAGAAAACCAAGAAAAAGAATTATAGTTAAATTAATTTAATTAACTATTCTTAAACTGTATAAAGAATATTTGATATTACTATCTCTGTTCTATAATACTTATCACATTTATAATTTCATGTTTTAAAAAAAAACATTAAATTTATTTAAGTTACAATAAATTATTAAGTAAATTGACTATATTACCCTTAATGTAATACTAATTCTTTAAGAAAACTATTAACTTGAAGTAATAATTATTGGTCATATCAAAGGGTAAATATGAAAAAAATGGATTTATTACTCTTTGAAACCACAAATGTGACAAGTATTTTGAAATAAATTATTTTCTCATATGTAACAAGTATCATAGAACAGAGGTCGTATAATTGTTGTGATGGATGGAGTAATGTATTTATAAATCAATATTCAATAAATAATTTAAATAAACATAAAATAAATGTAATTTATTAAAAAACTAATTAAATGCATGCATGAATTAATGTTTTAAAATGATTGAATATTCATTTGTTAAATTCATTTGAATTTATATATTTGAATGGGTTAACTGTGTATGGAAATTTTAACACAATTAATCAATGTATTGAATTCAATTAGTCATTTTCCAACTCTAAATATTAGAGGCTAAATAACATGTTTTTGAGATAATTGAAACTGAATAATGTATTAGACATTAACAGATTGTGTTGATGGAGATTATTTGTTAGGTTTAGAAAGTAAAGTAAGATAGAGGGAGTTATTTAGTAGTTTGGGAAGAGAGTTTGAGGGAAAATATGTTTTTTTGAAAATTATTTGAGTGGTTAAAAATCTGTCTAAACACCTCAATCTTCAATACCCCGAATTGTGGTGTAAGTATTGTTAAAAATTTTAATTTCTAAAGTTATCATAATTATTTTATAATTCTTCTATGACAAAGGTATTTTCCTCTACTATTAAATCAAATAAAACAATGTTATTAAACTTTCATTTATCATACCTTCTCCACAAATACAAAAAAGACATTTACCATACTTTACTATACCTTAATTTAATGATTTCTCCCTCCATTCATCTAAACAAAGCGTATGAATAGTGTTGATTGATTTTGTGAATCGCCGGTTATGGCTAGGGGTGTCAAAACGAGTTTGGGTGTTGAGTTCAACATGAAATCGCTTAACATGCGATACAATTGAGATCAACACGAACACGATCCATTTAATAATCGTGTCATATTTATCGACGTGAACACGATACGAAAATTAGGTAGGTGATATGAACACGACACGAAAATTAGGCAAATGATATGAACACGACATGTGTAACTCACCTAATATCATAAACAGGTTAAGTGGGTCGTGTTGATCCATGTACAACCGTGTAACCTACCTAATATCATAAATAGATTAAGTGGATCATATTGACCTGCATATAACCCACTTAACATGCTTATAATATTTTTAAATTTTAATTTATTTAGCTCAAATCATATTTAAAAATAATTTATATACATAAAATATATAAATTCTTCAAGATTCATGACTAAAATAAAAAAATTAATTTAACAATAAAGTTGAAATAGGTTTTAGTTGGAATATTTATATTTGACACTAAAATTACCTTTTTACTTTTAAATAAATGGGTCATTTGTCTAATTCGTATGTCAACCCGTGTCACAATACATTTATATTTGCGTCATAAATGGATCATTCATTTATAACACGAATCCGTTCAACCTTGACCCTAACCTATTTATTTCGTGTGTTAGGCAAATGGTGTTCGCGTGTCAGACCATTTTGATACTCCTAGTTATGGCCATTGGCTTAGAATTAAAATTTGGTTATTTAGGCTAGGTTGGTTTTGATTCTAATTTTAGATTTTTTCCCCTGAAATATCCAAAATCATAATCTAAACTAGTCAATTTTAGCTATGTTTGGTCAATTTTAATTTCAAATGTTACAATTCAAAACTAAAGTTTCTCGAATCTGATTTCAAGAAATTAAATTGATTTCTATTTAGTTCTGATTTCAAATCGAATCGTGGCTACCCTTACCTCCAAGAATAAAGCTGTCAATTAGCTCAACTGTTAAAATTAAAGAAAAAGAAGGTCATGATCTACCTTAATTAACAAGTCATTAAAACAAGTAGATTGACAATCAGCAAATATAAAGTCTTTCAACTGTACAAATCAATGCCATTGAGTACTTCTTCTATTCTTTTTATTTAGAGAAAATTTTCTCTTCTGGGCGTTTTTTTTTTTAATAGAGAACTTTACTCTAAATAATAACTTTGGGATGCAAACTAAATTAAAAAGATTAAAAAGCTATTGGAGTATATGTGTTTGTTTTAAGATTAAAGTTGAACAATTAAGAAAAGTGACGTACACAAATATTCTCAACATAATGCAAACGTGCTTTAAGGGATAAGTTGTCAACTCACTTTTTCATTTCGTTTTATAGTAACAGTGATCTTTTTTATAAATTTGGCCACTAAATTAAAGTTTTGATATTCAAAGTCAAATAATGGCTACATAAATACAGAATTAGCCTTTATTTGTATGTTTGATGAATATAAATTCACTTTTATCATTGTAAATTTGCCCACAATGTTTGACGTTAGGGATGAATATATGTTTTGCTCAGTTAAGTTTTAAAAATGGCGATGTTTTATTTTTAAAAGTGCGGGTATGTTTTGATTACCATAGTCATTCATGTTATATATAGACAACCATAGTCATTTCTGCTTCATTATGTATAGGATTCAAGTCTAAAAGATGCAAAGTAGTGACCATTTTTGGATATGGTGTGACCGATTTAGATGTTATGGAGAAGTAAATAGATTTTCCTGAATTAGATCATTAACTATGATTTCATTTGTATGTGGGCAAAATTTGGAAGTCAAGGAGTCAAATTGTAAACTCAAACAATTTGGCTCCAAGTTCTATTTCATTTTGACTGCAATGCATTGCATTTGGACACTACTTTCTGAATTTTATTCAAAATTGGAGAAATTAAATGTTGTTTTTAATTTTCAGTTTCAATTGAAAAACTATTTAAGTTTAAACAAGTTAGAGCTAAAATTTAAGTCTTCTCTCATTTATTTTCGCCGAAAATTTTGGCAATTTATGGACTTTAACGAATAAGTTTAAAAATTTGGCCTTTAATTTAGCTCTAAATTTTTTTTTTCGTTTTTTTTTACACATTATGTAAAACGTTCCGATTCTAATAAAATGTGATAGAGTTAATAAAAAAGGTTAAAAGTGACGCCCAAATAATATAAGTAGTCAATAAATGCACTTCTTAGGACTAATTTTTATATCAGCTATTGTCTCCATAATTAACGAAAAAATAAATATAATTTAGAAAGAAAATTTTATTTAACTAACTTTTTTAATTTAAGAGCTTTTTCTATTTTCTCTAAATAAAAAGAAGTATTTATTTATACTTTCCTTTTCTCTTTTTTTCCACCCCTAATTAAATTGCATTTGCACTTCCCAAAGTGCTCCTTTTGCTTTTTAATGCATCTTTTTTTTGTAACAAAGAAATCACTACATAAAAAAAATGATACTTCAAAATTTATAAAGGGAAAATTAAAATGGAATAAATAGATAAATCATTTACTTCCTTCGTTTATAAATATAAGTCGATTTTTGTTGTTGCATGATAACTAAATAAATAAGTAATTTATATAAATTAAAATAGTATGTTTACTAATTTGATTAAATTATTTTTTAGAAAATTATAGAGATCGTTATTGTATTTAATATAATAAGAGTAATTGAAAAAACTTTATTACTTCTAAATATTTCAAAACAAATTAAATTTATAGACAAAAAAATTATCGTAAAATTACTTATATTTGTGGAAAAAAATTATCTTAAAACTAATAATTGCAATTTTTAAAGATCAGTCAATCGATCAATCTTCTTTCTCCATGGGTCCACTGCTCAGTTAAGCTTCTCTCTACGACCCAACGCCACAGTTAAATAGGATGTTTGGATTGACTCACTCAGATTTGCGCTGCTCATTGACCAAACCAATCATATTTGTTAAAATGGTTTTCTTGGGAGCAGAAGTGAAACCGGGAGAGACATTTATGTATGCTCCTGATAAGAAACGAAGAAGACTCAATATTTCGCAGGCAACATTACTAGGGAATTCGCAGGTAACGTCAAGTAATGATCGTGCAGCGTCAGATAGAGTGGTGGTTCGATGTGAGATTCGACGAAACGCCATTTTATGTTTTCTTTTCAGTTGTTGGTAACCGAAGCGTTCACCTCATTGGTTACTATCTATCGTCGACGTCGACGTCGAGTCGTATCCTTTCTTTTTTTCAATATATATACATGCAAATTGTACATATTATATAGTTTTGTTTCTCCTTTACTATAATGAGTGAATCCCACGAAGAAGACAAAATTCCCGTTTCTTCCCCCGATAAATCTCCTGCAGAACAAATGGTGAAGTTTGATGGCACAGAATGCTATGGGTCTTTGCAAGATGAGCAAAAGTTCTGAACTTTTCAGATGGTAGTTTCTGCAGATCCTTATACGTATTTGAAGTTAGAAGTTTTAGCCCATGCATGTCCCTTAATCGTGACGTACAAGATAATTGGATAATAAAATAGTATGGAAATTATAGAAGAGTCCAGCGATTGTTTCTATAAGATTTAAATAAATGTCTGTAGATGCAAAGTACTGTGTTTTAAGCTTTCTTGGTGTTTGTTTGGTGGGAATCTATTCCTATCCCTACTGGAGAAGATAGACTCTTATGCTAAGTGTCTTTGTTGGTTTTTTTTGTTATGTTTAAGTAAGTTCCACGTCTTTTGTTAACTTAGTCTGTTTTGTGTTTTGGTTTTCTAACTTGTATGTTTGTATGATAAGAAAATAAGGGAAAAACTGAGAAAATAAGAAATTGACAGAGAAAAAGAGAATTGTCAAGAAGAAGAAAAGAGACAACAAGGGAAAGAAGATGAGAATTTTATTTCATCATTATCAGAATGAATAGACAACTTTATGCATTAGTTTTATACTGCTCTCTCTCTCTCTACACACATACAGTAGAGAGGGAAAAGAAGAAAAAAATGGTGGCTGAAGCAATAGCAGAGAATGATGGTGATATCTCTTTGAAAAGTAATGGAGGAGGTTGTTATTTAAAGAGAGTGAAAGAAATGGGGGAATGTATAATATGCAAAGAGAAAGATAAGCTTCTTTCAATGGAGGCTCCTTCTGCTTGCAATGGCACTCCAAAGGTTTTCATTTTTCTGGGTATTTCAACTTTGTTAGAATTTGTATGGGTTTAGAATGATTCCTTATGCCATCTCAGCTCACCTGCTACACAAACAATAGATTACAACATTAAAAAGAAAAATTACAATTTCAGTTTCAAATTTACAAACATATCACAATCAAACTCAATGGAGAAGTTCTCAATTATGCAATTTCTTTATAATTTACCGAATAATTTATAATTAAAAAAAATGCCATTAATACCAACTTGATTTAAATTCACTTTTTTTCCCCTTTTTTTAAAGCTAATTTTTAAAAACTCTACATATTAATTTTTCTTCACAAGTAAATTTATTGGATCTACATGCTAAACACTTTTTTTTAAAATTTTTTTGAATAAAAAATTAAATTCATTTAGTGAAAACTCTTGTAATGGAGAGAATGAGCAGAACCACATGCGGCCTAATATGGACATGTGCCCACCTTGAAATATTAAAAAAAAAAAAAAATTTAAGGTTTCAAGCATTTAGATGGACTCATGGAGCCTAAAGTAATTCTATATTCTTATTTTAAAAACAAGAATATAAATTGTACTTAGCATTTGCTAATTTGTAATTATATGGACTAAAAGATCAAATATGAAATATTTGTTATGACTTTAGGCATAGGTTTGATGATAAAGAAATAAAATTTTATTTAATTTTTATTGAGAGACAGAGGCATATATGGCAAATTTATATAGTATATAGTAAAGTTTGGAAAAAAATAAGTTTAAATTTATTATTTTAAAAAAATGTTCATACTGAAAATTTAAATTTTTAAAACATAGAATCTAGTTATTTAGTTACACTTTTTAGAAATTTGAAAAATATTATGGATCAATGGATTTAGGTAGGTTGTTTTTTTTGAAATTATTTAGATATTATATCATAAATAGATTCAATATTAAACTTGTAATTTCTAAATTTGAGAGCCAACAATAAAAATTTTGTTATATTGAAATTTGAAAATAAAAATATATTTTAGACAAATTAATTTTGCACATTTCATTTATATTTAATATTCATTAACTGTTATATGTTCGCACCACTAAAATTTCTGCATCCGCCCCTTATTAAGAGAACTCTCGTGAAAAAACTAATCAAACTACGTAGTAATACCATTGTTTTTATAAATAGTTCGACAATAGTTTTTCTTTGTTGTATTATTTTAATCATAACCCCCAATTACACACCACCATTTGTTTGCTTATCTTCTTAGTACTAGAATTGGCAATTAACAGTTGACAGTTATAACCGCCGCGGGTTCGGGTTGAAACCCAATCGCAACTTTAAGCACCCCTTGACCAATGCGGTGTTTTAACACGCTCGGATAAGAGATATTGGAGGCTGGTTTGGATAAGGAAGGCAAAACGAGAGGCAATGACTTTCTGGGGAGCGGAAGTGAAACCGGGACATGTATTTGAATATTCTCCTGATAGGCAGCGAAGAAGACTCCATATTTCACAGGCGACGTTAGGGAATTCGCAGGTAACGTCATGGATCGATCGTGCAGCGTCAGATAAAGTGGTGGTTCAATGTGAGGTGGGATATTTTGGTCTAGTTTCTCTTTGCTCTTTGTTTCCTGAACGAGTGGAATTCTGCAAATTGAATTTAGAATTCGAGGAAACGCCTTTTAAAGTTTTATTTCAAGTTATCGGTAACCGAAGTGTTCACCTCACTGGTTTCTATAAATCTGCAACTAGCGGAAGCACCCTGAGCAAGGAGCCGTATCCTTCTTCTTTCTTTTTTCCCCAATATGTATATAAAATTGTGCACGTTTTATAGTTTTATTTCTCCTTCACTGTAATTAGTGAATCCCTTGGAGAAGATGGGATTCCGATTTCTTCCCTCGATAATCCTCCTGCAAGGAATATATCGGAAGCAGAAGAAATGGCTAAGAAAGGAACAGACTTGACAATTGACAAGGAGGTTAAAGAAGATGTGCCGGAAAGAAAAGCAGATGTTGTTGTAGATAGTGAGCTGACAAGGTGCGTGTGACTGAAAGTTGTTGCAATAATTTTATCCCATTGGCAAATTTTGTTAATTATAGTATGATCTACGGTTCATGTTGTAAATGAAAACCCATTGAGGCTTATGCAAATTTTGGAAATATTAGGTAATCATTTTGAATCTATCTCCACTTATAGTGTATGCGCTTGAATTGAATGTCTTGCTCTTAATTATGTTTGCACTTGAATTTTTTCATTATGAAATGCTCCAGTGAAGTTTTCCTCTGCATGTTAGCTGGTATACGCTTCAATTGTATGAGTCTCTCCATTTTGCACCTGAATTGAGTGGGTCACTTGTGCAGCCAGCCTGAGCAACATGAGTCTATCCTATCTTCTGCTCAAGCAGGCTTGGAGAATGGTGTAAAGCCAAAGAAGAGAAGTAAAAAGCGATCCAAAGTGGAGGACCAGGTTAAAGCTGGAACTGAAGATTTTTCCTTTGGCACAATTATTGAAGTGATAAAATGCAGTGATAAAGCCAAGCAAAGTGAGACAAAAGCTGGCCAATCAAATCCAGATACTACTGTAATAGATGAAGATAACAGGACTGAAAGTGATAAGTGAGCTTGTCTTGTCTTATTAACACTTCCTTTAAGACCAATAGGTTGGATGAAATCTTTAATTATCAGTGGATTCTTTGGGGAGCAAGGTAAAGGAAATTATGCTAGTCACAATCACAAGAATGCTCTCCTATGAATTTCATGAAAACCCTTCTAAATTCACCCATTACAACCTTCCATTTTGGTACCAAATGACCACAGTAAATTCATCAGTGCATTGTCTCCAATCTTTGGTATTTATAACAATTTCTCTGTATCAAAGGCTTTCTAGGCAAGAATTCTCTAAACCCTATTATCAAAATCCCTTGCCTATAACAATGGCATTTATCAACTAACTTCTACTAAATATCCCATAGAAGTTACAGTCTCCCCATCTCTTCTTAACTTTCTCTGTAAAACAACCCTTCCCACTGTTTTACCAAAAAAGTCTATTTTGTTAAAAACATTAGGCACCTAGTGAAAGAATCAAGTAGTATCCTGGATAAAGGCTTCTTTTCACTCCAAATCATTATTTGCTAATTTCACGCAGGGGAGATAACCAGTCGCATTTCTCACCACCTTGCGTCGTCCATGGAAATGTTGCAAAGTCCAGGAAGAAAACGGGAAAACGGGCAAAGGAGGAAAAGGGTCTTGAAGCTGAGAGCCCTTTCCATGGTAATGTTAACAGAGATGAGCCCAAGGGTAAAAGCACGGGACTAGATATCTTGTTGAAAGATGAAGAAAATCAGAAGAAAGCAAATTACGGGTTAGTGTCATTAATTGCTTAGCCTCTTGTTCTATGCAAACCAAAATATATATTCATCATCTTCAGCTTTTCTATTGGAGTCCTTTGCAAACTTTTAAGAAGAGAATAGCCCTCTTTCTTCCTTTTCTTTAACTGTTTTTCTTTATCTTATCAGGAAGGCTGTCTTGCCATGGAATTCTGAGCTGCCTTCCACTCAGTTGGTCATTGAAAATGGTTTAAAGCCAAAGAGGAATACAGAAAAGTATAGTGAAGATATAACTCTTGGAGCTGACAGCAATAACCATACAAATGTCATTAAAGAGGATAAAGCCAGTGAAAATGAGTTGAAATTTGATGGCACTGAATGCTATGGGTCTTTGCAAGATGAGCAAAATCAAAGGCAAGTCAGTTGTGTTTGAGAACACTTGTGTTATTCTGAACTTTTCTGACGGTAGTTTCTGCAGATCCTTATATGTATCGACATCGGAGTTGAGTGTTCCACCTTTTTATTTTGGTTAGAAGTTTTGGTCCATGTCCCTTAATTTTGATGTATAGGATAATAGGATAAAAAAATAGTATGGAAATTACAATTATATACTACTTCCATCCCAAAAAGATAGTCCACTTTCTATTTTCACACAAATTAAGAAAGTAGCAATTATTATGGTTAAAGGACAATTTTATTCATATAACTTTCCTATTATATACTAACTTCCATCCCAAAATCCATCCCAAAAAGATAGTCCACTTTCTATTTTCACACAAATTAAGAAAGTAGCAATTATTATGGTTAAAGGACAATTTTATTCATATAACTTTCCTATTTTGCCTATCTTAATTAACACATGAGCAACTATTATATTGAAATAATAAGTAAAAGCTAACGAGGGCTATTAAAAATAAGATAAAATTTAATAAGTGTGTAATAGACAATTTAAGGATTAACTATCATGCAAAAAAAGGGAAGTGGATTATATTTTGGGACAAACCAAAAAAGAAATATGGATTATCTTTTCGGGACGGAGGGAGTATTAACTGTGAAATATCAAATGGCATAATATGTTTTTAACTTGTGAAGAATCACATGGATGGTTCGGTTCCCTTTTTGTGTTTTTCTGTAGAGGATATTTGACATGAATGATTCTGGTAATGCATGCATAGCACATGTCTAAGTGTTCTATAGATTTTATTGTAGTCCTTAATGACATAGAACTTGCTGTGTGATATATGTACAGGATTTTTTACAATATTGCTAACCAATCTGCTAATTCAAATCATTCTCGAAAGAAAAAGAAGAAAAGGAGTAGAACTCGAGATGGGGAGGCTTTGAATGCAGAAGGATCAAATGGCAGATCTGTTATGGAGACTGAAGACAATAATGCTGATGAGAAGAATTCATCTCAGCTTCGGACCTTGTCAAATGGATTAATCATAAAGAAGCTGGTAGCGGGGGTAGCGTTTTCTTCTAAATATTTTTTTCTTCATTTATCCATATAACATTCAAAAATGGCTTAAGGAATAAGTACTACCAAAAAAAAAAAAAAAGGAACCTTCCATAAAAAAAAAAACAAAGGTACGCTTCCCATAGATAGATTATGTAAGTACTACCAAAAAAAAAAAAAAAGGTACCTTCCATAGATAATTATGTTGTTAGTTATATGTTCTTGGTCTATGAAGTCGTCTTTTCTGACAATTTTGTTAATTGCAAGGTTCTAATCAATGAGTACCCTTTAGCATCCAAATCAGATTTAGCATTCTATATTTTACTAATGTTTATTGATGCATATGCAAATACATTCTTCCCGCTAAAATAATTTTCTGGATCTGAACTTTGTTAAAAGCAAATGTTATAGAGAGGATAAAATGAGACCCAAGGACTTGCACTGCATTTTCCTCTGATAATTGAAATCTACTTCATTTTTGTTTTTATGATTTCATGTTTTATGCTTTGCTGCTGCTTGCAGGTAAAGGAGATGTGTTGGATGCCTGGAATATCCAGTGTTGATGGTAATGTCTTTAACCCATTTTTCTCTTTCTTTAAATTGTATTTCCCAAGTGCTTTGACAAATTTTGTGTTTGATTCTTCAAGAATGCAAGTTGCTAACAAAAGCAATTTGGGTATGCAATAGAGATGCAAAACACGCATTGTACTTTCCCAGTATTTCTTTATTGAAAGCAGTGTGAAAGTGCTTGACATGTTCTGTCAATTTGTGATGTAGTTATGAGAGTCCAAGAGGTGGCTTTCTGATTAACGGAAGGGACGACTCTGATTTTTCCGGCAGAATCAGGCGTAACTTGCATTTTTGGCTCCGGTGGTAAACTCAAAAGTTCTGGAAGTATCAAGGTTGAGAATGATTCTCCCTTTGGAAGAAAGTGTTCTTTTTTTTGTGTGTTATTTAGTTTGTTGTTGTTGCTCATGGTGGTGATGGTTAAAGTTTGCATTTGGATACCTATTATTTTGTTCACTCCATAGCCCAAAGCCCCGAACAATGTAAAACATGTGGTGTATATGTATAAAATTGCCCCTGTACTGCAAGGTTTTAAACTTAAACACTCCAAAATTTTCGACAGACTTATCAGATAAACTTACCAGAATGGGTAACAGAAAGTACTTACCCGTACCTAATTCAATAACAAAATGCAATTACAAACAGAAACTGTCACGAGTTTATTTTTATTCCATTGCTTTTTAGTTTTTTCCAATGGAAAGACGTCTACGTTCTCGTTTTGTACCAAATGGCTTTATTGAAATTGATTCACTTGTATACCAGGTGTAGGTAAATTAGAGACCAGACTGAGAATTTATGTTTTGTTGCTAACTATTATTGTTGTTTTAACTTGTTTACGAGAGAGTAAATGTTATATTCTTAAGAGACTTTCGAGATAAAAAGGGTCAGACATATAAATACAAAAAAAGCAAAAAAAACCTTACAGCAAGAGAAAACAAACCTTTCTGGCACATGGCGTCATTTTAGTTCCAAAAAAGTGTTTGCTAAAAAATTCGGAGAGGTTGGAGACAAATAAATAATACACAAATCAATAGTTTCCAATTAAATGGGGACTTCCAATATAAAAACCCATAAATGATCATTGCATGTTGGTCTATTTACAAAAACCATATTGCAGAATATGGCTGAGGATTTCTGTGTACATAAATTACAAAACATATATGCATAATGCAACAAACAAACCTGTCTAGTTTTTAGGTTGATTTGATTGAGAGATGTTGATTCGTTTCAAACGCTTCTGCCGATATCTCCACGAAACTTGAATGCGTGAAGCTGCAAGGCCTCTCCAGTAGGGAGATTCATACCTAGCAGAATTCAATTCAAAAATTAATGTCAGAATTGAGTCGTGGAATCGAGATTACAATGCAGGAAAATGTCTGACAACTTACATGTATCTTAACACCGAACTTTTTTGTTTTTTTTCATTTTCAGAGAATTTGCAGCTCGGAAATCATACATAAATGGAAGCCGAAGCCTATAGTTTGGTATTGGTTCATTCGACTTAACTAGAACATCAATAGACACCATTCAAAGTGTTCTACTCACACTTTGGTTGCTTATTATGTATCCCAGATATTGAGTCCAAAAATATTTATAGATGAAGAAAATGGATAACCCACATATTTAAAATTAAAACAAAAAAAATTATTGATCACTGATCTGAATGTTTCTTTTTTGAGCAGTAGATATAACTATCCTATGGAGAATTTTCTGACAGTAATTATTTTACTTGTGGGAAAGGAGAGATGCTTAAATACCTACTATGACTTCAGCTATTTTACAATGTAACCAAGTCAAACCGCAAAATAATAAAGGGTAGAAATAACCTTATGGCTCCTTGAACACGTGGATTTCGTAAGTTTCGTGAAAAGAGATCTGTTACTTCTTCGAGATGTGCAGCATGAAGTGAAAATGCTTCGACATTTGTCAGGCATCTTACTGTCCTGCCACTATGCAATCGCTGTCCAGGAATCTTGATCTTCTTTCCATCTGCAAACGCAATAAATCATTCAGCAGTGTTTTATTTTTGTTCATTATCACCATGCCTTTGGTATTCCTCAACTTATAAACACCACCCCCCCCCCCCCACGCAATAAAATCATTCAGCAGTGTTTTTTTTTGTTCATTATCACCATGCCCTTTGGTATTCCTAACTTATAAAACACCACCCCAAGCCCCCCCCCCCCCCCTTTCCAACGGGGCTTGAATCTAACATCTTAAAGATTAGATCTAACATATGCAAGTTTGAAAATCCCAATTCAAATTCAAACTACTGAAGCATCCCCCTGATGACAGCACTATAGCAATAACAGAAGAACATGCCACTGACTTCTTCCCTATGCTTCTATAGTGCACCAGAAAAACTGACTTTGGCATGTTCAGCTAACTGATTTAAAATGTACGTACTTGCACCAAATTTACAAGTTATTAGAAATTTAAATTAAGAATCATGATCATACCTTTGCCAACTGAGGAATGCTCAAGACACCAAGTGAGGAGTTCCTCACCGCAGACATTCCCTTCAGACAAGGGGGTTATGGTCCCATCTTCTCCAATACTTTCCAATTTTCCGCGCACGATAAAAACCATCTTCTCAACAATACCACCATGATACAATATTTCACTACCCTTGATGTATATTTTTTGTTTTAGTCTCTCACAAATGGCATCCAAGACATGTTCATCCATTACAGCAAAAATCCAAACCTACAAAAGTATATATTTTTTTAAAAGTTATAGAAACTCTAAAACAATAACAACAAAACCTTAACCCCAAACAAGTTGAGGAAATTTTGTAGAAACTTTATAACAAGATAATCCAAAGTCCATGATTATGTTGTAGTTAAATCATTATTAGGCTATAAGTGAAATAATGCAAAGATTTCTCTTGGATTTTGATGAACTATGGAGTACAAATATTGCCACCTGATCAGAGAAACTCTATCACCAAAAAGTCTTGGAGCCACCAAAACTCTATCACAAATTCCTCATAAGATAAAAGATAACTTTGTTTCTCCAAACGATCAATAACCAAATTACCTTTGATAAATCACCTTTTTGAGTCATGACATTAATTTCTGCTCCCACCCCCCACCCCCCCTTTGATAAAATCACCTTTTTTGAGTCATGACATAATTTCTGCTCCAACCCCCCACCCCCCCCCAAAAAAAAAAAAAAAATCCACAGTTTTTAAAGAACAATGCAATATTTTTATTGCTCAAAAAAAAAAAAAAAAAAAAATCCACAGTTTTTAAAGAACAATGCATAAATTTTTATTGCTCATGCAAAGGTTATTGGGCTCTTTTATAGCGAGTTCAAATGACTCTCATACAAATAATCATGCAATATGCTTCAACTTATGTTCTGTTACCTAGCTGTTAAATCGAGATTTGAAATCCTCTATTTGTGAATCAAGATTCAAATCAAATTGTATGATTCAATGCAAATTCTCAAAATCAATTACAAACAACATACTATCTATGTATAAATTGAAAAAAAAAAAAAAACGCTAAAATATGGCATGTTTTGCAAATATTTAGTAAACATATGGCCCCATGGAAATTCACTTGCCTATAAAACAAAGAATATGGATCTAAGTACCACCATAATAAATTCTTCTAAAACATAAATGCATATATAAAATACTTAAAAATTGAAAGTTATATCTCAAATGTATTTGATAAAAAAAAACATAATATTTCTATTTCATATATGTCGCATTGTTGCTAAATGCAAAGAATAGAAAATCTACACACTTCATTCTACAGATGCCTAGGAAAAAGAGCTGTTTTAATTACTACTCAAGTATGTGAATTTTTCATCTTTAAAATTGATCTTAATTCAAATTATTAAGTGGAGGTTTTTGAAGGGTCTCTCATTGAAGACTGAAGTTCTGAATTTTATATTACCTATTGGGTCTATATACCCAATAAGGAAAGAATTGGGTAAAATACCAATTAATTAATACCGATTCCCCCAATTTACTATTGAGTCAGTTGATTTGGTCACGATTCAAGTATATTTGTGATTCAGCCAATAGATTCAAACTGAGAGAGTGGATAATTGAATTGAATTGTATGATTCAAATGGAGCATCGTATGATTCAGACAACTATGATACCAAGATATTCCAAATCTCACTTCTTTCTTAACAAATTTGAAGAGGTGCCGTCTTATATCCCTCTGGAGGTCTTCAGGCAAATTCTCCAAGAGCATTTCTTCATTTACCCCTCTGGTTGCAGCCCAGTTATACCGTTCAGCTTCTAGAACTTTCCTACATATGGCAGTTGGATAGTTCAACAAGCAAATCAGTGTTGCATATCGATAATAATACACTTCATTCCAAGAAAACATTTCAATACAAGTTCCACCATCAACACCGCAGTCACTAGACCTAGTAGCAATAGTTTGTTTAAGAAAATGGATTCTCATGCCATATAAAAGTAGCATACAACATGCTATTGTCCTAACAAATTTTGAAACTGCAGCAGTGCGTATGGGATATTTTTCAACCATTGATATTTATGAAGTGGAAATGAAGGGTAAACGAAAATCTGATTATTGAAACATCAACCATTTTCTATGGTACTCAGTCTTGTAAAGTAAAATGAGAAAATCATAAAAAACAAGAATATTGGAGATCAGGAGGTTGCTATGGATGAGTGCTACACAAGGAATGATAAACAATAACAGAAATAAAACTGAACAACCAAGTGAATATTTCTACACCAGATTTTAATAAATTACTTAGGCCTAAGTTGGATTGACATTTGATCTCCTAACAGAATATGCATAAAACACTGCATGGATACCTGAATACTAGGATTAAATTTTGAAGGAGTAAAAAAAGAAAAAAGGAAGTTGAAAGAGGATACTGAAAATAGAAAAGATATTAGTGAAGAGAAAAAAATCCCATTTAGGTGGCTTCCTTGGGAGTACCAGAACCAGCGATTCCATCACCTCTGGCAGTTGACAATTGTTGATGCCATATATTAGGCTTCTAGGGTGTTTCACTGATTGAGAGACAATGCAAGGGAGAATGGCACTTTATGTTTGAAGATTTTGGATTGACTCTGGTTCTCAGATTTGATGGACATGTGTAAGAATTATTGTTTGTTTTTATTTTATTTTATTTTTTAATTAAATTAACAAAAAAAATAAAATAGAAACAAACATACAAAAGGATAATCCATCAGTATTCCATGTGAACAACCTAACAAAAAAGTTCTATTCATGTCATCTGACACATTAGTATTTCCTTTTTTCAATTCTGTAAAAAACGATGTTAATAAAGAAATCTCATGGTACCTGGTTAACACAAAATTTAGGTGTTTTCAAATGTTGGAAGTGTGAAATCAGTGCTTTTGAACTTTATCCTGTTCACAATACCAAATTTTCATTTTCAAATTCTCAGATGCAAAAATGTGGATTAAGTTGATCTGTTTGGCAGATCCTTCTGTGGAAATTTTGCATTTGTTGGTTGAAACCAAATATCATGAAAAAATTTTGTAGTCAATTGTGAAATCTAGCGTCTTTAGTTTTACTAATTCTATATTTTATTTTCTAGACAATGTTGTAGCCCCTATATGACATCTGCATTTTAGTTAAATTACTACTTAGGGTGTGAAAACCTAGTTTCTACAAAGTTAACTAGTTATTGATTATGTTTTAGAATATGATTACAAGACGATGATCGTCATAATATTTAACAAATATCCATGTTTATTTTCACATGGTTGTGAGAGAAAAGGGCAAAAATGCAAAGAATATAACAACACACCTTCTAAGTTCTTGCGGCAAGCGCCGGTGGCTCATCCATTGCTCAACATCACGTCTTCTCAGTGTCATTTCTAACCTCCTAGGAAGCAGAAGAATAAGAAGTCAATAAGCACATATTTGCCTTATAAAACCAATGGAGATTCATTAGCAAAAATTAGTAAAATATATGATATTTGGTCAACAACAAAATTTAATAGAAAGTTAATTGGCACATAAGAATTATGTCATACTTATATGGTATAGTCAGATGTTGGTTTATGAAATTATGTTCTGAAAATGAGATTATGGTATCTACAAATTTCTGCCACATGCTATTTCCATATTTAGAAATGTAAACATGCATAATAGGCTAACAGCTTGCTAATTGAATCACTCACATGTATCATCCAAGTGAATTACATCAAGCATCTAACTGGTGCAATGGTGCATCCTATACTATACTTCCAAAAGATGGACTGAAGCAATATGTATGAGAAAAATGTCCAGTGGCTAGAATGAGATTTCTACATGAGGGACTTAATATTATTTTAAAAGACAAATTTCTTGTCTGTATAGAGATTAATCAACCTAGTCAAAGCTCGGCAGAATGTACATTCTCTAAGGGATGTATATTTGGTCTGTTTTCTGCATCATGCTAATTATAGGAAACTTTGGTTAAAAAAAAAAAAAAAAAAAATTCTCTATAGGGATGTTATATTTGGTCTGGTTTTCTTGCATCAATGCCTAATTAATTAAGGAAACTTTGGTTAAAAAAAAAAAAAAAAAAAAAAAAAAGGCAAACAACCTAATTGGCACCTAAGCTTGCGTTAAAAAAAAAAAAAAAAAAAAGGCAAACAACCTAATTGGCACCTAAGCCTTGCTGAGAAAAGAAAAAATTCAATCTAAACAGTCTTAAATTGGTGTTTGATCTACTTAAAGTTCAAATTTTAAAAGCCTTGTTAATGGCTGTAATGCTATATTGACTTTTTTTTCGTCCTCTGCATACAAATTGCTTATAATAAACTTATGAAGCAACCGCAAAATTGATTTGAGGAGCTTTCAATCTAAAGGGGCATAAAACTGGGCGGGGCAGTAAGCTCTCTATCAACAACAGGAGGGCTGTTCTCCTTTGTCAACTCCTTGCTTGTGTTGTTGACTTTGTCATCGCTACTGCCCTGCTTTGGCAAAGAAAGAAGAAAGGCTAACTTCCCTGATTCCTGTTCTAGAGCCGAGAGAAGAATGCACACTGCCTACCTGATTATAACCAAATTGAATCTCTAGGAAAACAAACTTTTTCACTGGACTGACAATTCAACCATGCTGGAATGGTTGAACTAGCATTTTGGTTAATAGACCTTATCTTTGTTATTTTGAAAAACCAATGAGAATATTCAAGACAAAACAAATGAATAATAACATAAGCTCAACAAATCAGAAGCAAAGAACTATGAACTATAAGCTTCCTATATTCAAAAAAACAAAGCAGTGTGTATGTGTGTACCACATTCATCCATGGAGTCTAATTAAGCATTATCATTTGAAAGAATATGCAAACCAACATTTTCACCAGTCAAAAATCAGGGAAAAAAGACAGTACAAATGAACCTGGAGAAAGTACCTCCGATCAAGAGACTGGAGAAAGTTCTGCATATTGCCTATGAGATAAGCAAAGAGCAAGAGGCCAAGTCCAATAATGGCCATTGTAAAAAGGACTTCCCAAACAAAATAACTTGGCATCTGGTTTCCAGCGAGAGTACTGATTTGCTTCACAAAATTAGACATGACATTAATTCACCAGGAATTAATTACAAAGTGACTCAATTATCACAAAAGTTTTAATCAATATGTTCATAGAACAGAAATATAAAAAAGGACATCAATATATTCATAGAACAGAAATATAAAAAAGGACATCAGTATCAACCATGTGGCAGACTGAAAACAAATATGTTCCACCATATTACATCCCAACCCAAAGAACAAAAAGTTTTATGTTTGATGTCTGCCTCTAGATTGTCTTGTCTTACCAAGTTGCAGAGTGGAATTAGTGAGTTAGCAAGATGGTACTTTTTATGCTCATTATGGTAATTGAAAATTGATCCATGGAAACTTTGGATGACATTCTGTCTAAACTATGATATTTTATAAAGTTCTGGGAAGTTGTGCCACGCCAAAAAAAAAGCGTCTATATGGCAATTTCTTGGTTTCGTCCTTTTTGGTGATTTTATCAGCTTTCTAAAACTTCATGTGGAAGTTTTTACGAATAGCTCATAGAAGTTGTACCGAGGATGCAGTTCCTTTAAAATGCTAATAACACACTTATGCTATTCTTGCATAATCAGCCTATATTGATTGTTGCATAATTGGCGGCTGGAACTCTTTTTGCGCGACATGGATTTATTTAATTATTTGCTTCAGCACAGAAATTTTTCTTTAGGATTATTTTACAAACTAAAGATTTGGGAGTACCAGGTATTTTTTGAGAATTGAGATTGCTCAAAACAGCAAAGGTATTTTTCTTTCTCAAAGAAATTATGTTCTAGATTTCTAGCTGAGACAATTATGTTAGGTGATAAACCTTGAAGTACGCCAATTGTTCCAAACGTCAAACTTAGATCTACACAGAGATTCGTTAGATAATCCAAAAAGATATAGGAGGCTAGTTGGCAAATTGAACCATCTTCCTATAACACTTTTGTTATATTGCATTTCCAGTGAGCATGATCAGCCAATCGATGTTTTCTCATAGAACTTCTCATTGGGATGCTACGCTACATATTTTGTAGTGGCTCATGACTCTTGTATGGTACTCATGGTCATTATAAGATAGAAAGTTTCTCATATGCAGATTATGATGGCTCTCCTATGGATCAAAGGCGCACATTAGGCTGCTGTGCTTTTGTTGAGGAAAATTTTGTCTCAGAAGACTAAGAAGCAAAAAAAGTTGTAGCCAAATCTAGTGTCAAGTTTGAATATTGATCCATGGTTCATGTTGAACTCTTACAGGTATATCACCTACTTGATGAGATTGGATCGGGGACCTCAACCAATGCAGCTGTTGTGAAAAACCTGGTTGTGATTCAAGTGCTTCTCATCCACTCTTTCATGAGAGGAGGAATACATTGAAGTTCATTTTCACTTAAGATGAAAAAGTTCAACGAGGCCTAATCATGCCAAATCATGAGAGAACTGGGACATCAACTTACAGATTTGTTTACTGTTAGAATAATATATGGATTGTGTATTTGTAAGTAGAGGAATCACGTTCCCCTGATTTGAGGAACTATCTTTCCATGATTTATGGGTTTATTTACCCTAAAATTATGATTGTTTACTTTTGTTAAGGACTAGTTGTAAATAGAGTTCTATTAGGAGTTAGATTCCTAATAGGTTTATAGTATTATATTTAAGGACTAGTTGTAAATAGAGTTCTAATTAAGGAGTTTAGATTCCTAATAGGTTTATAGTATTATATATATAGTATATAATTATATATATATGATAGTATGCGTTCCTTATTGATGAAATAATATATATATATGCGTTCCTATTGATGAAATAATTACAACAAATATTTTTTCCACGCTGAATTACATGGTATCAGAGCCTTTGGCTCGTTAAGTTTTTTTTTCCTTTTTTCTTCTGCTCTTTTGTGTTGAAACTACAGGCAGAAGTGTGTTTTTGGTGACTGTCAGTCTAGGTCACCCACCTAGGCTGGTAGTTTTGTCTCACCGCCACCCAAGGAAGAAGGGCAGGTCGCCGATCGGCTCTCCCTCCAAGTCCGGTCACCGAAACCCTCGCGAGTGGGCTTCACGCACCACTCACATTTTTTCACCGTTCTTCACGTGCCAATGCATGAGGGCGCGTTCAGCCATCTCCTGTCACCAGCTTCTCCGTTTCCGGCGTCGATTCTGCCAGTACAGTGCAACCTAGTGTGTTGCGTCGGCCCTCTTCGACTATTGTTGTGTGTTTTCGTGCTGCATCTTTGCTGTCGCTTTGCTGGGTACAGTCTGAATTTGTGAATTTGTATGGCTGCTGCCGATTTGTTATTCTGATATCAAGTTACCAAGAATCGTAGTTTTCCTTTGCTATGCTACATTTGTTTTTGAGCGTTTAGTCACAAATCATGACGACTACTCCATCGAAGACTTCCGAATCAAAACCTGTAATCACTGATGTGGTGCCATTACTGAGTAAAATAACGTAACACAAACTTACTGGCTCTAATTTTTTGGCATGGAGTAAAACAGTTCGTATATATTTTCGTAGTTTGGATAAGGATGACCACTTGACCAATGATCCACCTGAAGGAGATGCTAGGCAAATCTGGCTTAGAGAGAATGCTCAGTTATTTTTATAGCTTCGGAATTCGATTGACAGTGAGGTAATTGGTTTAATTAATCATTGTGAGTTTGTTAAGGAGCTGTAATTGGTTTAATTAATCATTGTGAGTTTGTTAAGGAGCTGATGGATTATCTTGAATTTTTGTACTCGGGAAAAGGTAATCTATCCCGTATGTATGAAGTCTGCAAAGGATTTTATCGAGCCGACTAGCAAGATAAGCCTCTCACAACTTATTTCATGGAATTTAAGAAGATTTACGAGGAACTTGATGTTTTATTGCCTTTTAGCGTCGTTGTTAAGGTTCAACATACTCAGTGAGAACAAATGGCCGTAATGAGTTTTCTTGCAGGTCTTGCTCCAGTTTTTGAATCTGCCAAATCACAGGTTCTTTCAGGCAGTGACGTTACCTCTCTTCAGGAGGCTTTCACTAGATTACTACGTACTGAAGGTTCTCATACCCCTTCCCCTTATGATAATAGTGCCATTGTGAGTCGTAATCAGATAGTTAGGCAGCCAGGAAATAGAGGAAGAGGAGGAAATAACCGTAGTAATAGAGCAATTAATCAGGAGGCGAGCATTCTTATCTGCCATTATTGACATGAACCTGGTCACACTAAACGGTATTGCAAGAAACTGATAAATAAGCCGCTAAGGGCAAATATGGCCACCCAAGATTTTGCAGTTACTTCTTCTGACAACACTGTAACAATTTTTGCTGCGGAGTATGCTGAGCTCTCTAGATACCGTTCTTCTAAGTCTACTGATTCCTCAATGTTCTTCTAGATACCGTTCTTCTAAGTCTACTGATTCCTCAATTGCTGCTGCTGCCAATTCAGGTACTCCTACTACATGTCTTATGTCTACCTCATCAGAGCGGGTCATTGATTCTGGTTGCACAGATCACATGACAGGTAACCCTAGTCTCTTATCCTCATTAAAAGAACCTGAAAAATTTAATCGTCATGTTACTCTAGCTGATGGGTCCACATCTTCTATCCAATGTAATGGCACCGCTAATCCCATCTCATCTCTTCTGTTGTCTTTTGTTTTTTGTTTGCCTCGTTTTTCGTTCAATCTATTGTCTGTTAACAAAATTACTCGTCTACTAAATTGTTGTGTTAAATTTGATCCTACCTATTATGTGTTTCAGGATCTTTTGACGAAGCGGATTATTGTTTGACGAAGCGGATTATTGGTAGAGGACGTGAATCTAGTGGCCTTTATCTTCTGGATGCACAAGTTTCGTTATCTTTGGCTTGTGCTGGTGCTCTATCTCCTCTAGAGGTTCATTGTCGTTCGGATCATCCTTCATTGTCTACTTTAAAGAAGTTGTATCCGCAATTTCAGTCTTTATCAATTTTAGAATGTGAATCTTATCAATTTGCCAAACATCATCATTTACCTTAGTTCCTTGAGTCAATAAACGGGTTCATCCCCTTTTGAGTTAGTTCATTCTGATGTTTGGGGTCCATGTCCTGTTATTTCTAAAACAGGCTTTCAGTATTTTGTAACTTTTGTGGATGATTATTCTTATTCTGCGTGTTACTTGGTTTATTTTTAATGAAAACTCATTCTGAGATATTCTCTATTTTCCTGGTCCCTTTTGTGCTGAGATTAAAACACTCAATTAATACCTCTATTTCGCAAATTGCAAAGTGATAATGCCAAGAAATATCTATCTGCTAACTCCTTCCAATCTTATATGTCAAGAAAGGTATTCCTTCACCAAACATCTTGTGTGAAATCCTTCTCAAAAATGGGGTTGCAGAAAAGAAAAAATTGACATTTTTCCTGAGTTGCTAGGGCAACTTCTATTTCCAAATGAAGGTCCTCTCTTATAACATTTTTTGGCGAATGCTGTCTCTACTGCGATGTTTTTTTATCTACTGCATGTTTTTTTATTAATCGCATGCCTTCTTCTGTGCTTAATGGTGCAATTCTTTATAGTGTCTTGTTTCCTTCTAAGCTTCTATTCCCCCATTGAACCCCGTATTTTTGGTTGTACTTGTTTTGTTTGTAATGTTCGTCCATAGGTTTCCAAATTAGATCCAAAGTCTCTTCATTGTGTTTTCCTTGCGTATTCTCGGCATCAAAAAGGGTATCGTTGTTTTTCTCTCGATCTTGACCGTTATCTTGATCTTGACCGTTATCTTATTTCTGTAGATCTCACATTTTTTTAGAATACTCCAGTTTTTCCTTCTTCTATATATAAGAGTGACGGGGAGGATGATGAGCTTTTAGTCTATGCTATCCAGCAATTTCCTAGCTCTCCTGCTCCTGCTCCTATTCTTGAAGGTGCACCTGCTCCTGCTACAGCATTTGCTGCTCCTATTCCCCCTCCTGCACCAGCATCTGCCCGCCCTCATTTTGAACAGGTTTATTCCAGAAGACCAAGAATTCTTGGCTCACTTCCCCCAGCT